TCGGAACAGCCTCCTAACCGGTCAACACTACTCCAACCTGACCCAATGCGAAACTATCGATGGTTTGTGGCTCTGCAGCTGCCCCTTGTCCACCGTATAGAACTAACACTACTCGCTCTGCCAGATGTCAAACTGCAGCTTGCCCCCGCCTATGGCGACTTCCTCGCCGCCCTCCCTCCCAACCCTTCTACCTCTGCCCTTGCGGGCAAGATGACGGATAAGCTGGTCGCTGAGTTCCGCTACCTTCTGGCGCAGGCCACAGGGTCCACCGCCAAATTCCTGCGATACCTTACCTACGGGTACATGATCGACAACATCGCACTGCTCATCACAGGCACCCTGCACGAACGTGACACTCGCGAGCTTCTAGAGCGATGCCACCCCTTAGGCTGGTTCGAGACTCTCCCTGTCCTGTGTGTCGCCACGAACATCGAAGAACTCTACAATTCTGTGTTGATAGAGACGCCACTGGCTGGTTACTTCAAGAGCAGTCTGAGCCATCAGGATCTGGACGAGTTGAACATCGAGATCGTGCGCAACACTCTCTACAAGAATTACCTGGAGGACTTTCACCAGTTCGTCAACACACACCCCGATTTCAAGGGCACTCCTACGCAAGAGGTGATGTCCGATATCTTGCAGTTTGAGGCGGACCGACGTGCAATCAATATCACGCTGAACTCATTCGGAACGGAGCTCTCAAAGATAGAGCGGAGGAAGCTGTACCCGGAGTTTGGCAAGCTCTACCCAGAAGGGTCGCTGATGCTTTCTCGGGCTGATGACATTGAATCCGTGGCTCTTGCTGTGAGCATCTCCGCAGACTACAAGGCGTTCTTTGATGCTGTCGGTCTCACTCAGGGCGGTGGCGGTCTGGGAGGTATGGGTGGCTCGGATGGGAAGAGTCTGGAGGATCTCTTCTATCAAAAGGAGATGGAGATGAGCAAGGTCGTGTTCACAAGACAATTCACCCCGGCTGTGGTGTATGCATGGATGAGACTGAAGGAGCAGGTGAGTTGCGTTTCTCCCGGGATAAGTGATGCCAGCTAGCTAACTTTTGACGCAGGAAATCCGTAACGTCACATGGATCTCCGAGTGCATTGCACAAAACCAGAAAGAGAGGATTGGAAACTTTATCTCCGTTTTCTAGATACCAGCTTCTTTCGTTACTCCGTTTCCGTCCGCCTTTCCTTGAATTATCCGCCAAAATATGTACTTTCCCCTTGCTGCACGTGTGACTCTTGGCTCCCGTCATTTCTGGGCGCTTTGTTTCCTCCTATATCCGCCGTGTCTAGTTAGTACCCAGTCACTGTAATGAGCGCATAAACTCGCCCGGTATGCCTATTCTAGTTGCGACTCTCCGGTCTTTGCTACCCTTGCCCTAGGCGTTTTGGGATTTTACTTCTTGTGATATAATCTTATAGATAAAGCCGGTTTTATCTACCTTATATCGGGTTGCTACTATAACCACATGCGATGATGCTGCGATAGTAATCAGTACTGCTCGAGGAGAATACGATTGTTCATGATCATGGATATATACTAAGCTCTGAGCCAATCTGTCTACAGAAAACGTCAAGACAGCGACGGTCCAAAAAAAAGGCCAAATCAAGGTTGGCATGTGAGGTGTCTGAACGACGAGCCCCTAGATCTCATACAGGATTAAGAAATGAAACACAACAAAAACCATAGAAGAACGGATTCAGAGCAGTAACTGCGCCTGGGGCCTATTTAGGCGCGCCTCTGTCTGCTCCTTTCAGGGTTCGTTTGATATGTTTGGAGAACAATAAAGATATGCGGCGGTATGCTTAGGGAAACCAAAGTAGTATAGCAAATGTCAAAGACAATGTAAAGAAATTCATCAATATATGACCTCAGTTCGTCACTCCTTTTTCGAAAGGTTTCATTCATCCCTGTCACGGGAAAATCGCATGTAATATAAAACGACTACTAAGTTAGTCGTACTGGAAAAGAACACTGATACTTTCGCCGTGGTGGACACGACGGATGGCCTACAGAACATTAGCTATGATCCCGTGACCAGGGAATTTCGGAGTGACCTACCTCGGCGAAGACGTGACCAACTTCCAAAACTTCCAATTTAGGGCATCTGCGTAGGTGGTCTGCCTGGTCGACGCTATTGGTGACAACAACCTTGTCGAGGGCGCTAGCATTGATGCGATCAATAGCATCTCCGCTCAAAATCCCGTGGGTGACCAGGGCGTAGACCTGAGCGGCTCCTTCCTTCTTGAGGAGCTTCGCAGCTCTGGTGATGGTGTTCGATGTGTCCGCAAGGTCGTCGATCAAGATCGCCGTCCGGTCCTTCACATCTCCCACCAACATCATGGTCGCATTCTGGCGATCTGTTATCCGGGTGGGACGGCGTTCCTAAGGGCGGTTAGAAGACTCAATAGATCGAGAAATCCAGGGAAAGCCAACCTTGTGGATAAGGGCAAACTCGATGCCCATGGAGTCGGCAATCGCCGTAGCGCGCTTAGCACCACCAGCATCGGGGCTCACAATGACAGCCTGCTTATAATTGGGGATGTTTCTCTGGATGTAACTCTTAAGAAGTGGCCGGCCGTACAAATTGTCGACTGGGATGTCAAAGAATCCCTGGTACTGGGGGTCATGGAGGTCCATAGTGATGATGTGATCCGCACCAGCGCAGGTGAGCAGATCCGCCACCAAGGTACCGGCCTGGGCAACCCATTGCTTGTAACCAGGGCGCGGTTGGAAGTTATTGATCTTCTCGTCGGCACCGTTGCCGTTAAGGGCAAATTTGTTGGCCTCGGACTGCAGGGACTCCATGGTATCGCTGCGGGGAAGACCATTGACCGGACGCTGTCTCTTCACGGGGCTACCGTTGCTGAAGTCCTCCAATTGCGCCTTTGCCAGGCTCTTCTGCAGGTTGTCCACGTCATTCAAAAGGCTTCCACTTTCAGGCTTCCCCGGATGTGGGGTAGGCGGGGTACTCTCAAAGGTATAGTTGATTCCCGGCTTGCCCGCAAGGGATGACTTGGTCAGAGGAGCTCCTGTCTTGTTGTAAGGAATGTCGCTCTGGCGCGAGTATGGGAAAAGCGGGAGGACCGCAGTGACTCTCTTGGCGGAGGCGGTCTTGCAGGCAGAGATGGTGATAAGAAGCTCCATGAGAAGATCATTCACCTTCCCGCCACCAGATTGGATGATGTAAACATCTTTTCCACGGACAGACTCTTTGATTTCCACTCGGGTCTCGCCCACGGAGAATTTTGACAGGAGGACGTCTGCCGGAGGGATGCCCAACACGCTGCAGATGGTCTGAGTCAATTGCGGGTGGGAGGTACCCCCGATGACGACGATGTTCCGGACCATTTTTGACTGTTCGTCAGTCTGTGACGCCTCTGGGAAGCTGGGAGGAAATAGGACCACAGGAGAGGATGGCCGATTCGGAAGCGGGGACAAAGGAGGAAAATCTGGTGAAACGGTGGATCTGGAGGGGCGGCACGAATGGTGAGATTAGCACGATAAAAGACGAGCTTGGGAGAGCAAAAGAGAAATAAGTGATCTCGTGGCGAGGATAAGCAGGCAACTACCTCATGGCGGGGAATCAAGAACGGGGTCCAAGCGAATGTATGGGGAAGACATTGAAACGGAGAGATTGAAGTCGTGTGAGTCCGCCATAGAAACGACCGGAAAAAAAATGCCTCTCCCGCGAGTGGAACCGGCGTTGCTGCAGCCTCGGGTTTCTGCCGTTGCGCGCCTCAGGCTGCGAATTGCCGAATCGGGTTAGGGGGGCTTGTTCGTCATCGACGAAATCATCGGCCCCGCAGCCACGCTAAAATGTCCCGGACTCGTCTCCAGTCTGGTCTATCCTGGGGATCTGAAGTAAATCGGTGGTAGGTAGAGATGGGGGACGGGCCACGACGGACTTCAACAACCATCAACCGGGAACACCCAGTCGGCAGCGCCCTTTCTGCACAAAAAGAACCAGTATCCGCCTTGTCCCTTACAGAACTGAAAGGTAGCTGCCGCATTACACCAAGGTGAGTAGTCTCCGTTTGCCGGTAGGTACATGGAAACTAAATATGAACGGAAAAGGAACCCAGAAGTAACAAGGAAAAGGAAAGACTCTTTCCATGCCCATAGCTCAGGCTTGGGTACTAGATGCAGGCACCATGGACAGAACAGCCATATAGCAATACATCCGTCTAATGGCCCACTCTATCTGTCAATTGCCACGGTCAGCAACACTATCCTTTTGAGGTGCTTGAAGCTTGGTAGATAGGGAAGCTTCATACAAAAGGATAGGAAGAATTTGCTCACAGATTCACTTGTTGTACATGTGGGGATCGCTATGCTGACAAGTGTTACCGGAGGACCTGTCGTAAGCCTGTCAACTTATCCAAAGCACCGGATAGTATGTTTCATGGGGTGTCATGATCCATAGGACGATAAATTTCGAGACCAGAACTCGGTGTCCTCTTCCTGGGCTCAACTATCACTGTTCATCAGACCCTAGGGCCATCATTATCCTTCGCAGCCTCCCCATCGAAGACACTCCCACACAGCGTGATTGAAATGCTACCCATCCATCAGGTGTAAGAAACTCATGCTCATCTTTTGTAGGCCATCAGGTTTGTCTCCCTTTCAGGACCGACCATAGAATTCTGTCAGTTTCCCTCAAAGCTCGCGTTTGGGAGACGAGCCCTGGAGTGCAATCATGGCCACTGATAAGGCAACAACGTTGGGCAATGCGTAGGACAGCCCGTCTAAGACCAGGAGATGCGACAATAGGCACGTGACAGTGTATCGCAGAAGCCCAATCGGTGGTGAGACCTCTAAGCCGTAAAGGGACTAGACTGAGGAGCACCGCGGCGGAAGTCCAAAAGCTACAAATAGACATACCATGGATAGAAGGACTCGAATCTCCTTTTCGTCTATCAGCTGGCGCATACCAATGGATCTGTTCACCGCACATAATACTACCTAGGATCTATATTTCAGAACCAATATTGCCCCAAATGCCGAGTCGCCTTATATTACAGCGTCCATCTCCGACGACCGTATCGTTCACTGTCTCCAATGCCTCCAGACGCACGAGCACACCCGCGAAGGTCTTCTTTTATTTACAAATTCTATTGCGCATGCTTACATTCGCCTGCGTGCTTCTACTTGACATTGCAAAATTTCGTCGCATGTTTTTCATGCAAGATGGGACATGGGTACGTTGGACGACCATTTGGTCGAGTCCAGTGGGATTGTCTGTTTGTCGCATTGCGGATATGTACAGCTCCGCAGTCGTGGTGCTAGCCAGCGCAGTGGTTTTTTATGGTGTTTTTAGAAAGGGGTATACAGGTTCGCTTAAACTGCATACATCTGAAGCGTATGATTTGGTACTAATTGCGATTCACGCCGAACAGAAGAGTCACTCCTAGTTATACGCGGTCTCGGTATCCAAACTTCTACCTCCTCTCAGACCTATCTCTCCAAAGCCTCAACGAGGTCCATACCTACTACGCAGATTCAGGATATTGTGATTCATGAAGCTTTCAAGGGGTTCGAGGTCCGATTCTATCTCGCGGTAATTGTGGAAGGTGAAAGCGAAGTGGTTGTGGTTTTCCCTGTGAGCACCTATTTGGCATCTCCGCGGTGCTGCCTTGCTGTCTACTAACACCGGCTAGAAACTCTTACCAAATCGGCAAATACTGGAAGAAGTCTGGAGAGGTTCGCGTCGCTGTTTATACGATTCGAAGTCATAATGCAGCTCAAACGCACGGCCGAAGAGCGACCAAAGGAATTGAGCGCCATCCCATGCATGTATATTCAAATGGTGGGCATATGTGATATTCTATCTATATTTCCATCTTGGTAGGCTTTGCGCCATTCTCCATCTTCCGTTGCTTTGCTGCGAGCCATCTCGCGTTTTGGACTTCCACGAGTTCTGTCTTCCTCTTCTGCATGACCGGGACATAAAACCCACCTGTCCTGGTTTCATTGGCGCCAACAAAAATCTTCTTGCCCCGGTTCTTTCGCTCCCAGACTGGCTCAATTCCTTCGCCGATGGTAGAGGTTTTGTCTCCCTGGCTGACAGCCAAATCTAGCAATGCGCCAGCCAAGATCTCTTCCATCTTGCGCTGCCTCCAGGTGGACCAGAGCTCCTCTACGATCCCTCCGAGACCGAACTTACCACCCCCCTTACCGAGATGGGATTTAATTTGCCGAACGTCACCAGCATAAATCCAATCCAAGGTGTCCGCACGACTGCCGCTCTTCTTGTCAGGGTAGATGCAGTCCCAGAGAACAAGAGGAGCATCGGAAGCCATCTCGTAAGTTGGCTTTCGCGGGTTCTTGGAGACATCAAGCAGCTCCGCCACAATGGACGGCGGCTCGAGCCCTTGACCTACTAGGAAAAGGACATTGACCATGTGTCGGACCTGATGCCACAAGAAGGCAGAACCCTCCAGGTGGAACACGTATACCTGGGATGCTGTTGGCAGAGGTGTGGTTGAAGACTCCGTGCTTTGTCCTGTAGCAGAGTCCGCCACGGCTTGAAATTCCGGCTGAGTGACATAACCCAAGGGATTGGTTCTGGCATCGAGAAGCTCAATGTCGGCGCGGAAAATGTCCCGGTGAAAAGACTCGATCTGTTTAGTGACATCCAATTTGCAGAAGTTCCGGAAATCGTGTGTTCCCTCGAAGTACTTGGCAGCTTCGCGCATTGCATTGATATCTAACCAACCCTCTCTAAATTTCGGAGGCGTACCTTTTCCATCCCGCGAGATCAAACCCGAAGGCCCCGGTGTAGGAGAAAATGCCGGCTGGGTGAAGAAATATTTATAATGACGTTCCCCACAAGAGAAGCGGGCATCAAATCCCTCAGGGAGGCGCGGACACCATGCCAATACTCGGATATCCTCGGGAAGCACCTTGTTCAGCAGACTCACGTAGGGTAGCTCGTTCTTGATATCATCCCAATCATCTTCCACCGAATCATTCGCCTCTTCCGTATTTTGCATGGTCGCATCGGCGTTTTCACCAGACGGTACAACCTCACTGGACTTCGGCCGTGCGCTTCGCACTCTGATACCAATAACCTGTCCAAACGCGCTGACACCTCTATCCGTACGCCCGGCCTTTGAATAATCGCACCCATCCCAGTTGATGTGATACGGTTTCGTTTCACGCGGCGCATGGCTCTCAACAAACTCATCACCCGATGTATCTGTTGGGAATATCAGGCGCGTCTTTCGCAGAGCCTTGTACAGCTCCTCCTCGATAGTGGGTAGCGGCGTAGCATTCCCGTTCGCATGTTCAAGCCCGTTGTACCGTTGACCCAGATAGGCAAACTTTAAAGCAATAAATCGTGTATGGTATCTTGACGGATCGATTTCCCTGCGCACTTTAGGTGGTTTTGGTGGCCGTGGCTGCTTCTTGTTCCCAGCCGGAGATGAAGGCTCGCTCTTGTTCGGCTTGCCATCACTTGAGGCACTTTTGGCTGCGTCTTCAGGTTGTTTCAAAGGGGTTGCAGCGTACTCCGCTGTCCGGGAGTGCAGCTGGCGCTCTAATTCAGTGATTCGAGCAACGAGGCTTGACGTAGTCCATGTTGAGTAGTCGGTTTGGCCGGGAGGAACTTGTTCCTCAGCGGTGCCGGACATGGCTTTTGTAGGTAGGGGACTGACTTGGGCGTGTAAGCAAGAAACGGACTGAAATGTTCGCCTCGATGAGGGCGCCAGTAGTGCGGAATTGCGACTCAAGAAAGAACAAAAGCTTCCTTGGAATCTTCGCATCCCTGTGAGCACGTTATCTGTGTCTCACGCTGCTGGGTTGCTGCGGAGGGGGGATTTTTGCGGCAAATTTTTAGAGTTCCGCATATCATTGGGGAAATTGTGTAATGGAAACGTATGGTATTGTTACACTAAAGGCCAGAGCGGAGATGGGAAGGTATGTTATGTATTACATGGTAAGCCGGAGATCCAGATAGCTTTGACAGTATGTGTATGATTGATGCCTATATAGAGAATGAAGAGGGTTGGCTTTTAATGGGAAGGCTCATCGATCTAGAAGGAAATTTGGTGTCTCGATTGGAGAGCCCATGGATGCGATTGGAGAGATTCCGGCTATATATCCGACATGTTATCATAAACTTTGCCTTGCTCTGTGAGCCACCTAACACAAGTAGCGCAGCTCTTGTTTAGGCACATAGTTATAATAGATGTGACTTCTATAAGGCGCATATTCACCCTGTGTATGATACTATACAGTCGATATAGTAGCAGATAACCACGTCCAATGGCGGAAAGCGACCGCCCGCAGGATGAACAAACCGTGACCATCCTGCTTCTAGGAGACCCAGGATGCGGGAAATCGACTTTTCTTTCGTGAGTACATTCCTTTCTAGTATATACCCAGATCTTCGCCGAAAGAGTCTCGACCGTTCCCCACCTGTCAACTCATCTAGTGCTGGCCCTGGCCCGCATCCTATAGTGCCAATTGCTAACAACCGCCCAGAAGCTTGAAATCCAACCTTCGCAGACCACCCCAAGGACACAGATTCCGTCCTGCAAATATTCAAGAAGGCCTTCTACGGGACAGTGACCAGCCGTTTCTCTATGATATTCGCTTCTCAAAGAAGTCATTCACCATCGAAGCGTACGACACAGCGAGTCCCAATCAACATTGGTCTACCTTGCAGCCGGATGTTGTCCTTCTAGCGTTTGATATTTCGAATAGAGAAACCCTAGCTAATCTTCGGGCTGTAAGTTAACAACGCGCCCCCCTCTATTGCGGTAGAGGTTGGAAATTGACCGTGCTTTCTAGTGGCGAAATGACATAACCAGATACTTTCAATACGGGCAAGGAGAGCGCATTCCCATCATGATGGTTGGGTTGAAGAGAGACCTGAGAGTGGAATGCGAGGAAATAATCTATCCCCAAGAGGTGAGTATACGATCCTCTCCCTATCATAATTCAGCATAGATCATTCAGGTCTATCCGCGCTATATGTCGCCCTAGAATTAACGTTTCTAGTCGTATCGGATTGCGCAAGAGCTCCGTTGTGACCGATATGCGGAGTGCTCTGCTGTCACTGGAGAACTTCTAGCGGAGACGTTCGAAGATATTGCCCGGCTCGCAGGAATGACGACCACTAATGCTGGAGGCCAAACTGCTGGAGCCTGTGTTATTCTGTGATGCATTGGATGCCCCATTTGATATTATGCTTGGCTTGATAAAGGGTGATCTTCCTAAGCCCTTGGCGTCCCATAGTCATTGCTCATGGGCTCGTTCGACAATTAAACTTGGGAATTATAACTGCCGAATTTCGATGCGATGGTCGTGGTACAATCGTCCAAAGCACTACCGCTACCCCAGGTGGTCAAGAAATCTGGATCTACGGTCGACTACTAGAGACCACAATTATACATGGAGAACAATGGTAGCTAGCATCACTTTTCATTTACGGCTATGATAAACATACAGGGAGAAACCAAGGTAACGATTAAGTCCACCTTGTGAAATTGACAGCACAGGGCTTTCCCCCAGAAGCTCACCGAGGCAAGAGAACAACTGGATATCTTTCCCTCATAAGCACCAGTCAATCATTGACAATGCAATTCCTCCTTGATGCACCATAAGCGAAACGTAGAAATGGACTGCGGAAGGAGACTTCGCTGTAGCATACCACGAAAGAAGAAGTAGGAGAATGATGTTTTGAAGTAGTGAAGCTCCCGTTGATTCTTTTCCTCTTTTTTCTTCTTTGTCTTTTTGGAATAAATGCTGAAACAGAGACTAGGATAGACACGACAAGGGATTCTTTTCTTTGCAGGTAAACGCCACCAGGCGTTTCTTATTGATCGAGGAGTCCTCGTCACCCTCAACCAATCGCCATTGTTTCGTGAAAAGAAAATAATCATGATCCCCTCTTAACGGCCGTCCTCGTCACCGAGTTCAGGCGTTTACCACTTGCCCTCGGTGGGCTGGGTCTCAGCCCAGCTCTCGCCAGCAGGAGCGGCAGAGCTGGCAGCCCAGTCGGCACCGTCGGCCTCCCAGCTGGTAGCAGCAGCAGCAGCGCTAGCAGCAGCGAAAGCAGTGCCGGGAACACCAGCACCGGCACCCTGGACATCCCAGTTCTCACCAGCGAAGCCAGACTCGATGGCAGCGGGGCCAACCTCCTCAGCGGTGGCGACCTTGGCCTCCTCGGCGATCTCCTTGTTCTCCTCGGCCTCGGGGTCGCGGTAGAAGTAAAGGTCGACAACGACGTCCCAGTCAACCTCACGGGAAGCGAGGGTACCGCGGAGACGGAGGACCTCACGGGCAAGGAGCCACCAGACGAGACCGATGGCGTGGCGACCCTTGTTGTTGGTGGGGATGGCAACGTCAACGAAGTCGGTGGGAGAGTCAGTGTCGCAGAGGGCGATGACGGGAATGTTGACGTAGCTAGCCTCCTTGATGGCCTGGGCGTCGGTGCGAGGGTCGGTGACGATGATCAGGCGGGGCTCCTTGAAAGAGCGGGTGATGTAGTTGGTGAAGTTACCGGGGGTGAAACGACCAGCAATGGCGGTGGCACCGGTGTGGGAGGCGAACTTCAGGACAGCACGCTGGCCGTAGGGACGAGCGGAGATGACACAGATATCGGCCGGGTTGTCAATGGCGGCGATGATACGGGCAGCCAAGAGGATCTTCTCCCTGTAAATTGGCGCGCGCGCATTAGATAGCCGTCCTAGATGAGTGGCGTGCAACATGTTGCCTGATATACATACCAGGTCTTGCCAATGTTGATGATATTGACACCGTCGGGGCGAGTCTTCCAGAGGTAAGGCTCCATGTGAGACTGGAGGTTCTTGGATCCGAGGTGGCATTGAGCGGCAAGGAGCATCTCAATGTCCTGGGAGGTGGGGTTGAAGATCGGGGGGAGCTGAGAGGGGGCCATGGTGGGCGATTGATATTGCAGAGGATATCGAGTTGAGGATATCAATCGTCTGGCACTTGTCGCGGTGGTGGTGACGAGGAGGAGACGAACGCGAAGCTGAACTTTTGACACCGCGCTGAGATGGTCGATGAATTTCGCTTGCCCTTTGTGAATTTTAGGGCTAGGGTTAGCCAAGAAGAGCCTCCGTTCCGCCCCGGATATCACGTGTTGTCTAAGCTCCAAATGTGGACTAGCGTGGTTCTCGGCCTTGAGATTTCGGAGACTTCAGAGCCAGCGGCCTGGGATGCGAAGACGCTCGGTAGTGTCATTCGTTAGTCATTGGAATCACTCTATCCTGGGATTGCGACCATGCCTCCCCGCATTTCGTTACAGCCTTCCTTGAGGGCCATCACTGGTATGTTCTATCCTTTGCTGCGGCTCTCCGTTTGTGCTCAATCCAATAACTGACGGGCTTGTCGTTATACTAGGTCCCTCATCTGTCCAGCTTCCCTTTGCCGCTCTCTCATTGAATCCGACAAAAACATCCGTGAGAGCTGGCTCTACAGAGTCCCGGGAGCGTAGGAGACATAGTCCTTTCTTAATGGCGCAGTCGCGCCAGCGCAAGGCAGCCAATATCTCCCGTCAGAAAGAGCTCACCAAAGAGCGGGAAGGGTCTGTGGGAAGCCCCCTTGAAACGGAGCCGACGCCTTTTATCCAGGAACTCAGAAAGACGCAGTCGACCTTGCAGGATAGAGACATCAATTACTTTGTCACGCCAGATGGTCTCAAGGACGCAATGGAATACTCAAAGAACCTGACATCGCCTGTCCGGAGGGCAGATCGCGACACTGCTGATCCTCAGCTTGAGAAGGAAGCAGCTGAGAGGCACCTTCAGGAACATCGGAATGCGCAGGAAGCCATCCGCCGAATTATTAGCATTGCCAACGGAAACACCCAGGACCGCATGCGGCTGCATATCCAAAAATGTATTGAGACTCTTGGCCGGCACAATACCGACAAAGTGTTGCCTCCGAAGCCGTCTTCTGTATCGCACGAGTCTGCGACTGTTCACCCAGAGAAGACACCCCGTGTTGGTCCGGATACTGGCTCTCCGGAAGTACAGGTGGCCATTCTCACGGCAAAGATCATCAACCTGTCCAGACACCTGCAGACGACCAAGAAGGATAAGCACAACAAGCGCAACCTACGTGTACTTGTGCACAAGAGACAGAAGTTGCTTCGATACCTTCGAAGGAAGGAAAGGGGTGGTCCCAGGTGGCAGAATCTGATGGAGACACTGGGTCTTTCGGACGCTGCTTGGAACGGTGAAATCTCCATGTAAATTACCCTGTTGGCGCTTGTATTCTACCTCTCTTACTCTGTATCTCCGTTCAAGCTTAATGTGGGCGTGTAACCTTATATCATTCGAAACTGTCTTGTAACAAAGAGCAGCGGCCTTTTCGCATCCCATTTCATCCCGTGACACCTGTATCTTGGGCATATTTGCTGTACACAAGTATGGATTTGGTAGCCACGATTATATCGAAACCAAAGTGACCCCTCAGGTATTCTGCAATTCCGCGACCAGTCTGTGCCCCCACTCCCTCATCCAGGTTCCGCTGGCGATTGCGGATCGTGAAGCTGACCCCAGTGCCGGGGGCGTTGCGAAGGGCGGCATTGCGAAGGGCGGCAAGAGCGTTCATTGGGTGACACACTCACCGCCGGGCGTTCTGCCGAGACGTCACCCCCCCGAGTCGCAAATTTGCCGCGCAAAAGTTCCCCCAAACCTCACCTTTCTATACCCTCAACCTTGCTCAGCGAGGTAAGTGAATGTCGCCGACTGCCTTCGGGCGCTGTCCAGACGCGTCATAACACACTTCCCCAGCAACGCCAAAACATCTCGCTCACAGTAAGTCAGTGTTTATTTGGCCTTCATTTTCCTCCGCCCGTTTCCTTTCATTTTCTTCTACCTCTCATCCCTCTGTATCCTTGCATATCGATCGCACTCTCGCTACTGATACTCACTATTGCTGTCTGTCTTCGTTGCATTATCAACCATCTACAAGTCACTCTTTCAGTAATAACCGACTTACGTTACAACTCAGATCAACCATTCTGTCTTACATCCAGTCGCTCCGCATCCTTTGGGAATTCTCAACCGCGTTGTATCTCATAGCGTGCCGATCTCTCTTCTCCCGGACCTCCTTGTCCAGGGCCCTCAGTTGTCTTAAGGCTCTAGCATCTTGGAAGCTAGGACTCTGTGGTCTTTCCCATCCTCAATCCTCCTACCCATTCTCCGCAACACTTTCCTACTCTAGTACTTTACCGCTTCTTTTATCCTACGCTTTCCACCCCAGGATTTTTCCCTGGGTAGCTTGAGTCATCTCAGAAGCGGAATCTTTGCTGTTACTGTGTCACAACAGCTCACGTTAAAACATCTATCTACCTTTTCAAATCACATAGTCAAAATGCGCACTCGTTCGCAACAAGCATCACCTGGTGGCTTCATATCACTTGATGATGACCGCGCCCCCCGCCGGACCAGGTCTACGAGAAGCAACACCAATCAAGATACTGCAACACCAGCGCAACCTGCAGCCCGCGCGAAGCCTCAACGTACAGCTAAAAAGACAGCTGCTACCACGAAGAAGCCTACAACTAAGTCTCAAACGCGGAAAACATCTACGACAAAACGCGCGACGCGCCAGTCAACACGACAGGCTGGAAACACCACATCTGACGATGATGCCCACCCTACAATTAAGGATGACGATATAACCAGAAACATATCTGCGGCCCAGAAGACCACCCCCGAGAAGGAACCCGAAATTATTGCATCCGAGAACAAGTCAAAGTCTGCATCTTTTGAAGCAGAGAATGGCAGTAGTGAGTCATACCCATGCGAATCGTTTTATTACAAGGACCCATTCCCCCCCAAGGACCCCAAGGATCGCAACCATCACGACGCCCTGGACTCCCAGGGAATCAGGGCTGCCTCGTGTCTACAAGAATTTATCGACACCCTGAGCGTCTGCTCGCCTCTGACCGAGAGGTCGAGAACGCCATCCTTGGCGTCAGTGGACAAGACCGAGGCAGTCCTGGCACCGCGTACCGCGCAGGAGTCGGGTGCCATCCCCAGCGAGACTTCGAAAACCACAGATAAGCACGTCAGCAAAGTCTCAGCACCGACTCCTGCTGCGGAGGAGCGCGAGCCACCTGCGGAACCAACCGTGGCGGAGCCAATGGGAGCCACCCTCTCAACATCCTCCGAGCAGTCTACTACTGCCTCATTGGCTTCCGCTGCGGGCTCCGGAGGAGTGGCAGTCGTGGAGGACGGGCTGGTAGGCGCGCTGGTTACGGCCTTCGCCGGATTGTCCTTGGACGATCTTGCGCCTCGCCCGCCTGATGAAGCGACTGGCACTCTGATGGAGTCGACTACCGCGCCGATTGGAGAGCCTGTTGAGCCAACCCGCATCGCTCCCCCAAACCTCCCGGCTTCTCAACAACAGTGGGTTCGGGAGTGGGCTCAGCAGGTCCCTTCCACGGGGTACCTTCATCCTATCACGGGACAACTCGTGGGAGGGCCGTCGGCGTCGGTTGAGTTGGCGGGAGAGCCTACTTCCAACAGTGGCTCCCCGACCCGTCAGGATGGGGTTCGGGACTACTACCTGCGAAAGCGGCGGCGCGAAGTTCAAGTGTTGTCCCCGTTGCAAGAAGATCAAGAATCGCAGAGCAGTCCCGGCCCCGGCTCAGGTGTTCCTAACGTGGTTTCCCTGGGAAGTCCGGGAAACCGGCCATCAACACCAAACAGAAACAAGCTGACACCCAAACCAGAGACCCGGAAGCGCGCCCGCTCGGATACCAGTGACGAAGAGCGCAATAACCCGCAAACACCTGCCGCCAACAAGCGTCGAAACCTTGGACCTCCTGGAAGCACGCCGTATCGACCTGCCTCTCGCCCCCGCGCCTTGACTGCGAACATCACCCCGTACTCCGAAAGACGACGAAGGCGCGCCGTCGAGAAGGATGGCCGCATTCACTCAACTGCTATTCGTGTATCTCAATTACTCGCCCAGCAAGAAGCTGACCGGCGCCGTCAGGCAGCAGAGTCTTCTGCCCCTCTTAGTTCATTCCCGGGGCTACCGCAAACAAACTTCGAATTTTCTGTTGATAAGGCTTATGATTTTAGTCAGAGTCAAGGGGAAGGACAGAGCTTATCGGATCAGTCTTCCACACCCCAACAACCGGTCACTCCGGAGCGCACCAGGGGTTGGAACATCCGTGGTCTGCTTAACTCTGTACCCCGCAGGTTTTCCAGAATTATACCCACCTTTGGCAGGAGCCCCGAACGGAACCAAGAGCCAGGTATGCTGTCCTCCCTACCTCTGCCAATACTACCCCTTCCACTAATTAGAATTAGTCCCTCTTCAACCCTCTTCCGAGCGTGCCAGTCGAACGCAAGCCCCTGAACCCGACTCGAGTGCTTCCCAGAACCAAACACAGTCTAACCGCGGTTCAAGCGAGGAACCGCCCCAGAAGCGCGCTCGCAAGTCTTGGTCTCTCTTTCCGCAGCCTTTCGACAGGTCTCTTTACCTTGGGGATCTCTCTAAAAAGAAATCAACCACCCCGTCTTCTGCTCCACTATATCGTCCTGCTGATAAGCCATTAGCGGAAGAATCGAAGAGTCGAAAGTCAACCGCGTCAGACGGTCAGGCGAATGCAGATCAGGCACGCGAACTTGTTCAAGTCAGCGAAACAGAAGAATCTGCGCAAAAGAAGCGTAAGCGGTCTCTGTCGCCTGACGTGATTCCTAATCCTCCCGGATGTAGCTATGGATTGGACTTGGATTATTTCTGCTATAGCTCGGAAAGCGAAGAGGAGCAAGAACTTCCGCAGTCACGAACCGAACAAAAGAAGCCTGATCATTCAGCCAAGGCTGCTGTTCGCAGCGCCTTACGCTCCGAGCGACCATCATCGAAGAAGGTTCGTTTCGATGCGAGCCCAGAAAATACGCCATCCAAACTACGACTGCGTGCACGTGCAACCGACCCGTATCATGGGAGACACTTCATTGGAATGGGCAATGATTCCGACACCGCTGCTCCAGAGTCCCCTCCTCCTGTCTCTCATGTCTCTGATGAATCTCCAAGCCGTGCTGGCTTTGTTCCGAACCTCCAGGGTACATTCCAACTAGATTATGATGCTTTCTCAGACGACTCGGAATCGAGCGGATTCTCTTCAGCAAATGCCCCTGCCCCTAGTCCTCTACCTAGCTCACCGAACGTCGCTCGTGTTGATATTTCCGAAAGGTATGATACGTTTGCTCTTATGTTGACAAGAGCAAGACATAATTAACCCATTTTTCTTTCCAGTTTGCAATCACCAGACCTCCGCCCGGCCCCGCGTCAAGTGGCTACGGCTCCCTCAACTCCAGCGAAGATTGACGAAGAAGCTCTCGCCAGGGCTCGCTCACAGGCGGAGAAGTACAAGCCCAAGACTCCCAGTGGCCTTCGTACTGCAAGCCGGTACTCGAGTCCTATGACCGCTACACCCGACACTGTATCCGCATCTGCGCCCGTGGCCACACCGACACCTGCATCTGCCGCCGAGCCCGCACCTGAGCTTGAGCAGCAACCTACTGAGGATTTTGGTGACGATGAATTTGCTCGCGAGGCTCAGTGGCTTTATGAGAATTGCCCATCTGGAGACCTTGGCGACCTGGTGTGGCCTCAGCCCGTAACTTATGAAGAGCAAGATTTCAGTCCCGAAGCGGTTACTCTTGTGAATGAGGCCTGGGACCCCGCGATGATCGACTTTGCTTATGCCAACATCTGGACACCTGGCCTAGAGGCATTCAAGCGCGAATTGGAATTAGGCATGTCCGAGGTTGCACAGGCATAGACTGCGTTTGTTGACACAAGCTGGAGCCATCACAGTATGGCGAGTCTCAGTCTTCCAAGTCCTGCGTCCGTCTTTCGTGTACTATATCTTGATTTCCCTAACTCATAGAGTTCGTTACGTGGAGGTGATACTTGAGCGTCTGGAGGAGTTTACGATACCGCTGTCTCTGTCTGGTGTTTTTATAGAGCAAGATGTCTCGGGCATAGAAAAATGCGTTGTCGGTCTGAATAGCATTTTAGCAACTGATCAATGAGATTGCATTTACATTCTAACCCGATCATCCTGTCAAGACAACGCCTCCACAGACTCTTAACTAGGGAAAAGAAAGCTACCAAGCCACCGACAAACGGCAAGCAACCAGTAGCATCTGGTCCCTCTGCTTGCTTAAAGCTACCATGCTATCTTGCCTTGATCAACAGTGAGGTCCTCTTTCATCTAGCAACAACGCACCACCGGTACGAAAACGGAATGGAAGGCACAAAATCCCCTCACCCAATACATCTTGCTATTCGCGCATCTCCCCCTCTACCATCCACATCCACATCCAACCACCCCCCGCAAATAACCACAACGAACCAAGATCCCATTTTTTACTACTCCAATCCAACATATTACTTTGCACTCACACCCTCCTACGACTCATCCAACCCTGCCTCCATGCGCCGTACATCCCTTCTCCCAACGAATACAATACCGCATCCCGATGATCAAGGCGTCGTCATAAGCGGGCTATCCTGTCGCGATTCTCTATCGGCGACGAGCGAAGACCAACAGCGGCCCTCTGATGTCCTGACAACATGGATGTTGGTGAATGCAGAGGTCTACTTTCATCAGAATATTCGTCTTGCTTCGCATGCTCATGTTGGTGTTGCTGGGACTGTCACAGGGATGAAAGCGCGAGATGAAAAGGGTGGTAGCAGTGGTGATGGCTTATGGGTGGGTACATGATGATCATTCCGCCGGAGCTTTTTATGTCATCAGAGTTATATAGGGTGTTGGCTCGCCCTCCCACGTAGATGGGGTATCGTGGTTAGGATATACTGGGTAATCAGGGGTTGGATTTTCAGGTACCTGTTGGGATAGAGTATATGGAGGGAGGGTGGATGGGGAGGGATTGATGGAGGTGTCTCTTGGAGAAGGTGAACTAGAATTTTGGTGCCTGCATCGGCGACTTTTGGCTGTTGAATGGCATGGCTGGTGCGATTGGGCATCAAGGTCCTGTGGAAGCTGGGGTGGGCGTGGGTGGTGGTTGGATCCGCGAAATGGGAGGAATTGTTGGAGATGGTGCTGGGTCTATGTGAGCTTGACGAATGGCGAGTCGAGTAGTTGTTCTATGTAGTAATCAAAATGATAGAATAATCGATACTGTTGAATGGATATAGATTGCAAGAGTCTATAGACACATGAATGGTATCAAGGTAATATGAGACAGATTTAAAGATCCAAGCCGGTATGCTAGATCAATCGAAACCCTCGAATTCGTCCTCGTCATCCGCTCCCTTGTCTTTGGCTGCACGTTTAAGCTGTCGCTCTTCTTCGTTCTTTGCCCGGATCTGCTCGATCATTTTCTCTGTCTCTATAACCTTTTGACGCTCTTCTTCTGTCATCTTCTCCCATTTGTCCTTTTGTTGACGGACAGTCTTGAGCTCTCTGCGCTTCTGCTTCTTGTTCCGGTTATCAAGGTTCCTGCTCCAAGCGACGCTCTCAACAGTCCGTTTCTTCCCCGTGAATTGATCATCTGCAATGCCATTCTCGGCACTCTCCTGCAGCTGTTCCTGCCGGCGTTTCTCCCGCTGTTTGTCCTTGTATGTGTAGTTTTCCCAGTCGACATTCACACCAAGGGTCTTATCGCCTTGGAAATTTCTCAACTCCGGCATCTTTGGGAGTTTCAGTAGACCCCACGCATTGCCTAGGCCTTCCCAGTCCAGGTCTGCAGCGCGGAATATACTACTTGCTTGGTGCTTGCTGTAGCTTCTGAACCAGCTGACAAAAGCCTTCTGACCACGATCATGTAATGCACGGTCCGCAAGTACGGCTTTGCGAGCCGTTTTCGTGGCCGCAGCGGCGTCTGCATCTGATATGGTGAGGGCGTGGGGGTACGGTCCGACTGGGGTCTTGCGAACTTCTAGGAAGGAAACGTAGTCTTCTTCTCGTCCTTGGTGGAGTAGGACGACACTCAGTCCCTTTCGACCAGCTCGTCCTGCACGGCCGCACCTGTGGATGAAACTCTTCGGGTCGGAAGGGGGATCAATCTGTATTACGAGGTCGACCGAAGGGATATCTAGACCACGAGAAGCAACGTCGGTGGTCAGGAGAATGGCGGGAGTATGCGAGTTCACGAAGCGGTTGAAGTTCCTTTCACGAACATTTGCTTGGTGTTTACCATGCAGGGGTATCAACTGGAAATCGTCGCCTAGAATCAAAGGAAGGATCGCAGAGAGGTAGTCCACGCCCGAGCATGTCGACACGAAGAAGATAGTTTTTTGAGGAGTTGGCTCAACCGAGTAGAGGATGTGCTTAATGGCGGGGAATTTATGTGTTGGAGGAACTGCGAGATATGTCATTTGCAAGCTATTCCGACAGTCAGCAACGTGAGGTTTCAGTGATGCAGCACCGAGATACAGACCTGGCGGGGGTACGCTTATCCTGGACACCCGCGGTGCCCTTTACTTTAACCATGACTTTGACGGGATTGCGCAGACCGACCCGGACAATCTGATCCACGGCTTCGCTGACGCTGGCACTGAACAATCCTGTCCGCCGTTGCTTGGGTAGGCGGCGCAAGATGTTCTGCAGTGTATCCTTGAATCCAAGATCCAGAAGCCTGTCTGCTTCGTCCATGACTAGCATTTCGAAAGACGACTGAGGGCAGTGAACATGGGGCGACGAGAGCAACTCCAGCAGCCGTCCCGGCGTTGACACTAGCAAATTCGGGGATCGCTTCAGGAAGGTACTCAAATCCTCTGCTGGGGATGTCGAACCGCCGAGAAGGAGCTGCGGGACAACTTTAAGGGTGGAGGAAGGATATTTCTGACGAGGCACATTGTCGTCTTCGTCGGAGGGGGTGATAGCGGAGGCAGATGGAGGATGGAAGGCGAGCAAGGATGTCAATACATTGTAGATCTGTGATGCGAGCTCTCTTGATGGCTCCTGTCAGCACTGGGACTGCAAGCTATTCCGCGGCAAGATATGACCTACCTGGTCGGAGAAATGATGATGGCGCCGACATGGTGTTTCTTAAGCGGCTCTTCCAGGCGCAAAAGCTTCTCAACAACCGGGATCAGAAAAGATAGAGTCTTTCCACTTCCAGTGACAGCCTCAACAACGACATCCTTGTGCGCCATAAACAGAGGAATGGCAGACGCCTGGACGGGGGTCATCCGTGTGAAACCCATGGAGGAAACGGCATCCAGCACCCAATCCGACAGAGCGGGGGTTATTGCATCCCAGGCTCTGGCAGACGTGCCAGGCGGCGGTTTGGGGGCCATTGTCGGTGAATGGGGATTCTGCAGTTCTCCAGCGTCACAGCCTGGGTCCAAATCAAAGCCAACTGGGACAATGAAACCTGCGCAGTCCCGCCGTGGAGTCGATATCTTTTTTTCCCGTCGATTTTTCCTTATCGAAACGCGGCGATTAGATACCGTAGGCGGTGAGCGCATTCTGCAGTAGCGCACGTGATGGTCCGCGGATTCGGCGGAAGGAAATCAAGTCAGCTGAAAGTTCAGCCCATCGTCAACAAGCATCAACATTCGAATCGCACGATCCTTCGCCGTCGGAGCTTAATATAGGTGTGCGATCACGCATTAACCGGCCCAACTTTACAACCTGCGATTCTTGGTGGCTATGTCGATCCTGTGCTAAACGTGGCGCGTCATGCGTGGCGGTGTTTCTGCCTGGTACTACGATCATTATAGAGCCTTGCACCCATAATCTACCTTATATTGTCAGGAATACCTTCCATAGCAATCCTTGCCCAAGATTCCGTCGTTCAACGCGTTCAGCCTGTCCATACTCGGCGCCTGTACCTCCAACCCCGCCCTTATCACCCCGCGGCCGCCATCCGGGCTGATCCAAGCCCCGGCTCTTCCACCTTTCTCCATACCAGCAGTCAATATGCCTTCTGATCCAGATTCCATACCCGAGACTCCTCGAGTCACCTCTCCTTCTCCCACTCCATCCGAGAGGAGGTCCAGCTTAGGAGATTACTCCGGCCCTACAACGCGCTCCGCGGCGCGACGGCAGCGACTAGGAGAGGTGACGGAGGAAGCACATGACAGTTCGAATTCGGACTCGAAGCGCTCACGGGCGCGTTCTCGCAGCCCAAGTGCTCCTGAATCTGCAAGGCGCCGTAACAGAAAATCTAACCCGAAGCTGCCGGCTGGAAAGCCCAAGGCACCGACGAACGGCCATGCAGCATCCAACGGATATCTATCACCACTCGCGAAACCCGGCAGCGGCTGGCCCGACATCTCTCGATCCCCCTCTCCTCTCGGTCTCATACCCCTCCACAGCCGTTATCGCACCTTTATCCACCGTCATGAAATCCCGCGCAAGCTCCTTCATGTATCGATCGGCTTCCTAACCCTCAACCTGTACACTCGCGGTATCCAACCCCTCCAAATTACGCCATGGCTCTTTGGAGCTCTCGTACCAATTGCCGCCATAGATGTTATTCGTCATCGGCCCGAATTCCAGAGGGTCAACGAGATGTATATCCGCTGTGTTGGAGCTCTCATGCGTGAAACGGAGGTCTCTGGTTACAACGGTGTCATCTGGTATCTGGTGGGCACATATACAGTGTTGCGCTTCCTCCCCAAGGACGTTGGGGTTATGAGTGTGCTGCTACTCAGTTGGTGCGATACTGCCGCTTCTACGTTTGGACGTCTCTACGGCCGTTACACATTCCAGCTGCGGAAGGGTAAGAGTTTCGCCGGGACGCTGGGAGCCTGGTTTGTTGGCGTTTTGACCGCCGCCGCATTCTGGGGATACTTCGTACCTTACATCGGAACCTTCCCCAATGATCCCGAGGGATCGTTCATGTTCACTGGCCGTCTCAATCTTCTTCCAGACTCAGTCAGGAACCTCATTGGCTGGACTGCGGACTCCTCCAGCTCTGTCATCTCGGGCCCATTGGCCCTCGGGGTCATGAGCGTTGTCTCAGGCTTGGTGGCCGCTGGAAGCGAGTTTGTAGACATTTTCGGCATGGATGATAACCTCACTATTCCCATCTTAAGCGGTATCGGTCTGTGGGGTTTCCTGAAAGTTTTTGGTTAAAGTAGCAGCGGTTCATACCCTTCGACGTGGTTACTTGTATACGTTTCTTTTTGTTTATTACCCGCACTGCATCTTGGCTATTTGCTGTAAGAGAGACAGCGAGAGAGCAAGCTGCAGTGCTTTGTCTATCATTCTCCTGAGATCCATTTCTTTACCCTGTCAAACTTGTTTATTCCTCCTTATACATACACCCCAACTACCCAATGACAGCATCACCACTCTTCTCGCCCTGGTTTTACTTTCGACCCTGGTTTGCACAAGTTCCATTGAAGAAGGCACTGAAAACAATCATATTCAGCCGCGGAAGGGCTCTGTTTAATGACTAGATAGATATCCTGGATTGGCGTGGCTTTGGCGCTTGCAAATCTACACGCATAGGCCGTTCACATTGTTTCTCCTATATGAATGTAAGGGACATCTGCAACTACCCCATGGTATTATATGACATGATTATTTTGGATGCGTATCATGATGTGTACGCCAGCGCAAAACATGTTTAAGTTTAGATCAGAGACAAAATTCTAATACTCTTTAACGCCTGTAATGCATGGCCAAGAAGTCAAAGGTGGGAAAGACAGGGTAAAGCAGCAGCGGGTACTTAGACAGGGATCAATCAAAACTGCCTTTCTTGTTCAAGTCAAGGCCAAGATGCTCACACGGGAAATCGCTTTTTCTTGCTGCGACTCTTGGACGCATTTACCGCGTTTTTAGATTCTATCGACTCGTCCGAGTGACTCCTGGTTTCTGCTGTGGCCGCTGTCGCCCAATATCCGTCTTGTACAATGACAGATTCAACGTGCGAGGCTGATGTTGCAGGATTGTCAGATACCTTAGATCGCATATTGATCTTTGGTCTCGATTGTTTTGTGTCGCTCGATCTAACGGTTCGACCCTTTGAATTTACGCGACTTCCAGGTTTCTTGAAACATGCAGCATCATTTTCTCCCTTGGGATTCAAAGCAGAACCATCCCCTTCCATATTCGGGGAATGACGAGTCATGTGTATATCAGGCCTAGCAGGGCCCGACTTGATTTGACTTGTTTTCTTCTGGCACGGTGTTTTTTGAAGCATCGTCCCAGAATCTGTCAGATCTGTGGTTTCTTTGGATGGTTTTTCGGGTGTCGTTTCGTTCAGCACTATCGAAGAGATTGCCTGTCCCAACCCTTCAACCTCAGAAGTGGCTTTTCGTTGCCTCTGTCGCCGAGGCCTTGTCCCATCTTGGCCGCTTGCACGATCAGAAGATAACGAAGGAAGTGAAGCCTTCTTTTCATCTGTCACATTCCGCTCTTGCGTATAGCTTCCAGAGCTTGGTCGAACATTTTCCGGGCCCGGGGGAGATGGCGGGCAGTCCGGAAATGTCTCTGCAGTTGGCATCTGAAATATCTCCAAATCAGGGTCATCTGAGAAGGCCGACCTGCGTCCGCTTGTGACACGAGCTTGGTCGAGCCTGAGCTGCCCTTTAGCATCTGCCTTGGATGATAAGTGACACAACGTGGAAAACCGGTCAACTAGATCATCAAAGCTCAGATAATCTTCGTTCTCGTCAGTCAACGATTGCTGCTGGCTATGTAAGTTAGACGTTGGTGCCTTCGAATGGTTGGGAGAGTTTGGAGACTGACGGGAACTCGACTGGCTGGGCTTCAAGGGCGATTCAGTGGAGACAGCTGCCTCCAAAAGCGCTGCGCTCTTAAAACTAGAGATTCCAGTGTGCTCCTTTGTGAGAGTGCCATACTTCAAAATGCTGCCTCGCTTCATTCCCGGATCTATAGGCCCCTTTTTCCTAGGGCCTGTTTTCCGAGCTGTTGGCTTCTTCGGAGCCGCCTTCTCAGCTTGCTCTCTTCTCCAATTTTCCACAACTTCTGGAATACCTATTGTGGCCAAGGCTTCAAAAACCCACACCTTTTCGGAGGCGTAAGGATCATAACGCTTTGTGACACGTTTCTTGGCTGGAGACTGAGGCACTGACACTACCTCATTCTCTAGCTCTTCTTCTTCATCACCCGACACCGTCGATCCTTGAGAAGGGAGTGGAGGGTTTGGCTCATCAGCAAGTATATTCAAACCAACAACGTCGACAGGAACAATGTCAAGCTGGAACTCCGTTAACCCGTCGGTACTGTAGCTCGATCGGCTTTTGTAGATTTTCTGCAGCATTGGAACGTTGCTGTTGGATAATTTGGGACCATTTTCAGGAAAGGCCGATACTTGTCTTCCAAGGCGTAGTCGGTAAGAGACAAGCGGTTCTGAAAGTAACTTAGTCACTTTCCTTGCCCCAGAGCGGTAGTTCCATTCAAAGGTGTTCGCAGCAAACCTCCTCAGTTCCACAACATCGATGTCTTTGTCCCAGGCATTCACCAAGCGTTGCTCAAGGGCCACTATATCGCTTGTCGTTGATACCACAGGTTTTGCATAATACGACAGGATCATCCTATCTGGAAACGTGTCCGGAATCCGGACGGCTTTATGTTTGGTCTGAAAATAACCACTTTCGTTTTCTTCAAGCTCATACTGGAGTCTTTCTCTCCATTCACTCAATTTTACATCGAGGTCATCGCAGCCTGAGTCAAGTATTTCAAGAAGGTCGGCGCCGAAACCAGCTTTTGCAATCTCGCCAGCGAGCTTGCTACCGCACTTGGGGACTCCCGACGGCAAGTAATCACCACCACTCAGCATGGCAAACAGAATCATGCCTGCGCGATCTAGCATCACACTCGATGGCTCTCCAGCGCCGTCCATGCGGTAGCAGGTAACATGCGTCGCCGCCGCTGAACCAGTACCGCTTTCTTTTGAAAACCCCATGACTGTAAAGGTTGATCCAAACATTAGAGCGTCGACGTCATTGCTCATGACCGCATCAACAACTCCTGCCCTTTGCAGCCTTGCACACTCTGCTTCTGCTTCTCCTGGTGCCTCGTGGCGAGGAAATTTGAATAAATCGACTAGGATCTTGGAAAGTCGAATGATTGGAGCACTTCCATAACTGCGTCCTGACACAGCTTTGCCTCTCTTGAAAGGCGGCTTATTCTTGCCATCATACACAAAGAGAGGATGAATTGGGAGTGCCAAGATTTTCAGTAATCTGTAGAATAATGTGCGCAGTTCTGGGTTCCTCCCACCCCGGCCGGCTTGCACTTGAAACAGCCATATTGAAATGTCCACGGCAATACGAATAGGTTTTGCTGTGCGTTCCAAATGGGTTACGGCCAATCTAGATAGAGAAAGTCGTTCTCCCGCGCCAATCGCATGGATAAGTCTTTGTTTTATTAGCTGTGGGCTTACTTGAAATTGCCGACATGTGCACACTGCAGAGGATAGAATATATTTCCTTCCCTCTTGTGACGTGTTTCACAAAGCGACACCGTACAGGTGTGTTTGACTTACCCCGGAATCCCCATTCGGACAGCCTTCCTAGCTCCTAGCAATTGGAGTCCAAGATACCAACAGAAGCAAAATTGTAACGTAAACCAAGGCTTCTGGGGGCGAAGAGTACCGAGCGAGTGTTGTTTTGTTGACGTCGGCGACTGGGCGACGCGGCCCGATGTAGATCCGCCCGCTCGAGCCTCCGCAGCTGGTCGCGGCTTCCTTTTCGCGCTCGACAACGATGAAATCGCCAATTGTGCTGACTGCTCCAATCCGGGAGTTCTTCCCTTCAGTGAGCTCTAATCGGCCAAAAATATGATCTGAAGTTCCGCAAAACAGACGCTTCTGTCGAGAGGAAGTATGATCCGCGCGGGGCCCACGAACCAATCTATCTTCTACTTCCGAACCTCCCCCGCCGTCTCGATTGAATAGCGATCACAACGACTTTACCAACAACTCATTTCAACGAAGAAATGACAAGTGCATATTCCGCCACCGCTTTCGACGATAGGCGTCCCATCTCCATGAGCTTCCGTCACAGCCAGTCCGGGACACCATCGTCGCCCCATACGCCTCAACACCATCTCCGTTCTAATAATTCTTCTTTCGCAAGCACCTCCTCTGCAAGCACGTCATTCCGTGGAGAAGAGGATGCTATTATATTTGAGTTTGGCTCCAGATGGCTTCGAGCTGGATTCGAGGGCGAAAGCACTCCAATGTGCGTGGTTGGATGTGGTCCGGAGGAATCGAGGAGGGTCGGCGACTACCGAGGCTGGTTGAAAGGCAACAATGAAACGGATACATCGCGCTCACGACTAGCCAAAACAGAGGCATGGACTGGTGCATACGAACTATGGAACATGGACCTACGCAATATGGATCTGGCTCTCGTTGACGACAAGATCGAGCGCATGGTTCGAGAGACCTATAATAAATACCTGTTGACAGATGCGGGAACGTCGCGACTGGTTTTGGTCCTTCCCTCTCTTATACCACATCCTCTACTATCATCACTTTTGTCAACCCTTTTTAGCCGTTGGCGGTTCCCGAGTATCACCCTTTTGACGAGTGCTCCTATGGCCGTGACCGCAGCTGGGCTGCGTTCGGCTTTGGTAGTGGACATCGGATGGGCGGAAACCATTATAAGCGGAGTCTACGAATATAGGGAGATGACTGTTAGACGCAGTACGCGGGCTATGAAATCGCTGCTGCAGGAAACAGGACGGCTCCTTACACGACTCTCAAATGACAGCGGGGCTTCGCAATCTGCAGACGAAATATCCGTCAATTTTGAGCTCTGCGAAGAAGTCGCTAGTCGGTTCTTGTGGTGTAGGCCCAAGGCTGTTCCCAAAAGCTCTACCGAGAATTCGGAGCAACAGCCAGCCGAACCTCATGAGGACGACGCTGAAACGACCGACCAACGCGATGCTCCACTCTCAGATGAAACAGTCTCTCTTCCCTACCCATCGGGTTTCGGTACTACCTACATTGATATCCCTTTCTCCAAACTCGCAGAACCAGTGGAAAAGGTTCTTTTTGCGGAGGGCCTAGCTGAATGCGAGCTGGACGATGAGGAAAAGCCGTTGTCGTTGTTGGTGTACAATGCCCTTCTTAGTTTGCCGCCTGATGTCCGCGGCACGTGTATGTCGCGCATTATTTTCATTGGCGGAGGCTCTAATGTCCCCGGTATCCGACAGCGCATCCTCAAAGACGTGGCATCCTTGGTTGAGAAGTATGGCTGGTCACCTGTTCGTGGCACGGTAATTGAACAGCAACGACAAAAACTCCAAAGTCTAAGTCTATCTCAATCACAAATTTCCGCTGTCACGAAGCAGGAAGCTATGAACGAGCCCTCCGACTCTGGAACTGAAAAATCCGCATCAGAACTACAAGAAGACGACGAAGAAGTCGATCCTATTGAGCAGAAGATTCGTCGTAATAATAAGGAAAAGGACGTCAAACCGCCGGTTCAGGGTGTCCTGCGTGAAGTTGAATCCCTTGGTCCATGGGCAGGAGCCAGTCTTCTTACGAGTCTTAAGATCCGAGGCTTAGTCGAGATTGAGCGAGAGAAGTATCTTCAACATGGCCTTGCAGGGGCTACCCGAGAGTTGGAGATGCACGGGCATGCTCCTGATAGACGCTTAGGGCTACGGACGGGCGGCGACCGGTCTAGTTGGACTTTAGCTGGCTGGGGATGATTCTATGCTGGAAAGGTCTCTACCCCATCTACCGTATCCCCCGCACGTCCGCCACATATGCGACCTGTCTAAATATGCATTGGAACTCGAGAGCCCCGGTTGCTTCCTATCCTAGTGCTGACCTTACCTTGAAATACCCTCTGATTTTTTTGTCCTTGAGATTGTCGAAACCGTTAGCAGTAGATACGATACCCGTTAGAATCTTACAGCAGATCATATAGAATATCTTTACTTAGATTCCTCGAACATGTTTGACGTAGATATTCATACGTCCCATGCCAGACCAGACATATGTTGTCGCGAATTATGTACACGGTCGCGGATTTACACGAAGTGATGTAACATAAATAACGAACAAACAGGGGCTCATACTTCCGTCCCAATATTGGAGTATCGCAGATCAGACTAGTATTCTAAGCAAGCTCCGCTGACCACTCAGACGGTACCGAATTGGTAAGTCGCCCAGTTAACGGCAGGCCCTGTTTCAGGAGAATAGATCTGGTCGGACAGCTGACCCCATTGAGGATTGTTGATGCCGTCAATCCAGCCCTCCGTTTCAATAACGATACAACCATGCTGGTTGACGTATTCGGCGCCATCGATACCCTCGGCCTCGTTGCGCTTTATTTGAGACTGCTTGACAGGGATGGTACCATTCTGGCCATTGCAAGAGTAGATCTGGAGTGCTTGCTGGTTCGTAGCAACGTCTAGGCTGATCCCGGTGGTACTGGAATTCATGTGGATGATGGGAACGATCGAGTTGCGAGCAGCATACTGAGGGGGTCGGTCGACGATGAAACAGTTATCGTAACCGGTGCAGTCGGTTCCGCAAAGGCCATCTGCATCCTTGATATCCTGGCCCACCAGCTTCCCGGTGGTGAAGTCGGGGGCGCCATTGTAGACATCGACATCCAAGATGGTGCCATTGGGAATCAGAATACCGTTCGTGCCAACGAGCCGCTTGGAGAGAGGCAGCTGCAGCCAAGTATCTTCAAGAACAGTTTCGTCCTTGAAGGCATTCAGGTTCCAGTAGATGTGATTGGCAAGCATGATTGGGGTCTTCTCGGTCAAGGCAAGGGAGACAAGTTTGGTAGTCAGCTGGGGAAGGCCTTGAGGATTTTCGGTTGTGATTTCGGTCTGCACACTGAATGTAGCATGGGTGATGACATCTCCGGGAAAGTCTTCAAAAGCGCGATCAACCAAGGTGAAGGTGATGGAGGAATTGGTGTATGCGGTGACTGTCCAATTGCGTTGATCATAGCCCACAGTACCTCCATGGAGTGTATCTTCACCACCATTCTCATTTTCTGGTATATGGTACACCTCGGAACCGATTGAGAAAGTGCCATTCTTAATTCGGTTGGCGTACCGGCCGACAACTGCACCGAAGTAGGTGTGATTGGTTTCAGTGTCTCTGAGATACTGTTTGGGGTCATCATAGCCAACGACAACATCTTGTAGGTTGCCGTTACGGTCAGGGACAAGGAGGGATGTCAAGCGTGCCCCGTAAGGGATAAACTTGGCGGTGATGTTTTCCGCGCTAATGGTGTAGAGCTGGAAAGGGTCTGCTGTCGAATTTGCTGCTGCGACAGCTTGTGACAGCGCTGGCAGCCCGTAGAGGGCTGCGGACAGATAGCTTTTGAAGTGCATTCTGATGCCTAGGAAGAAGGTGATGGTAAGGAAGAAGAAGCAGTACGCAAACAGGATACGAGGTGTGATCCGGACAGGGCAGAGCAAAGAGCGGCAGCAACCGAAAAGCTGGGGAAATCCCTGACCGGGTCTGGCGGAGCGTCCCATAATATTTATTGACTGAGAACTTTTTGGCTTTTTACCTCATGATGGCGCGCCTGACCAGCGGGCGGGGGAACCAATACGCAGGGACCGAGAAGCTGGGGTAAAAATGCAGCTAATTCCTTGGTTAATGTTTAGCTCGTTCACCAAATATCCGAGCAAAGGCGTCATCTCACCAAGGGGCGGGCTAAGGTAGACGTGCCAGGGGCCCGATGCCAGGACACATGGGTAGCAGCTCCGTAGCTAAGCTCTGGGGCTGGGCGAATCGAGTACGGGTATGGTGGAAGAAGTTGGTCCGCGTCTGACCACAGTCTGACCGCAAGTCAAAGAGATCGGATAAAGCGAGTGAATTGGACCGAAGGACTAGGATCAACGGGAATCTACCCCAACCAGGGAGGCGTGGTGGTGAGACCTTGTCAAGCGGCGTTCTCCTGAGCCAGTCCGCCGTCGCGCAGATGAAGCCACGGAAAGGATTCAGAGCCACAGGAATGGGGCTAGTCCGGCCTGGGCAAGTCCCGGCGGGGGAAAGATGGTTGTTGCGGGGAAGGCAACCGCCTGGTCGATCATCAACCCTTTCTCTCCCCTTCGCACTATCACAAGTACCACCCGGGTAGGACAGGAAAGACACTTGGGTCCGGGGTCAGGCATCATGGGCAGAGCCCGGGTGCATGTACAGTACCACTGACCTGACAACCAGTGACAACAGCAGCATCACCAACAGCGGACCGGGTGAGTGAAGGAGTAGCTCTGAGACTGAGAGGTACTCAGTATGTGGATCCAGTGCCATTTAGGTTCCTTTAACTCCCCGTAGGGCTCGGCCGGGAACAACTCATCAACCGGATCACCTAAGCAAGCATCTCCCCTGGCCGGGCACTCGGCCTGCCTGATCGGGAGACTTGTTTATGTTATGCGGTGGTTTTGTTGGATTCCCCCCCCGATTGAGGATCTGTCTTGGATGACTGACGATTTGTCTGGGTCTATTGTCCTGAGGCACAACTAACAGGCCTGTTTTGGGGGCTGAAAGATGAAGCTCTCCGACTAGCAAAGCTGTTGAAGTCCTTCGTTTCGGTATCGTCCCTATGAGACGCGACGGGGGGTCAAAAGTCACCCCTCACATGCGCCGCATCGCTATTTCCATATCGCAATGTCCTCTCGCAGTCCAAGCTCCTCCCCGGACATTCTTGGACCATCTGGCGACGCTGATTATTTGATCTCTTCACCCTTTATCCCCTTCTCCGGTCGCCAAAGCTTCATGTCGCCTGCGAACTTCCGCCTCCAAAGCCCGCGGACGGCGAAGGGCAAAAGGCGGTCGCGTATTAGTCTTAGCCCATCCAAAAACGCCCACTCCATAAAGTTCAACGATGTTGTGCTTCCTGCCTCTCCGACGATGAAACTGAACGGCCAGCAAAGTGGAATGCCACTTGATACGGTTCAGCCTGATGGGAATGTCAGTCCGTGGAGGATCCGCGTGACACTCGAAGCGACACAAGATGAAGATACAAACCAAGGAAGTCCAGTGCGAAAACGTTCAAAACCTTCGACGACAACGATGAAAGTGCCCCTCAAAGACGATACAGAACAGACCCCGCGAAAACGCAGAGGGCGCCCGAGGAAGTCGGACACATTGGTGCAGGATGCGACTCCGCGCGCAGGTAGCCCAGGCCACACCCCGGGTCCTGGAGGTACGGGGCAGAAGAGAAAACGGGGCCGACCGAGAAAGAGTCAGCCGCTTGATGTGGCAGACCAAGGCCAGCAGTCTGTGGAGCATCAAGAAATTGAACAGGAAGCGCCCATAGTCGAGCCCGAGCAGAGATGGAGTCCTTTGAACCTTGCAGCAGATATGGGATCTGACGATGATATTCCGGGCGATCAAGGACTTGATTTTGACACCACTGCCGCGCATGAAGGCCAGATGGAACAACCTGATATGGCGGTCTATGGTCGAAGCTCTCCCCGGGTGACTTTTGAACCAACGTTTGACACTCCCAATGTCGATAATGTGGACCAAGGTTTTACAGAGAATGACGAGTATAATCTGAACTCAACCCCATCTAAGATGCCGTCCCCGACCCGGGATAGCCAGATCATTTCTCCAACAAATACTCTGCATGCCGGCCGCACTCCGAGACAACCACGTATCTACCCCACACCGACCTCCTCATCGGTGGCTGATGAAGAGAAGACGGAGCAGGCCCGAAAAACGAATGCAACTCACACTACGAATCGCCGTGAAAGCGGGCTTTACCCCACGATAGATCCGACAGAAGAGCACACAGAGTTTGACTCCATAATGGAAAGTGAAGGGTTTAGCATGGTTTCGTTGGATACCTTACCATCAGCTAAACAACATGAGCTCAAGATAACTAGTCACCAACAAGCAGCCAAGAGCGCACTTAAGCCTTTCCTCGAGCGGGAATCGAACGGCGTGTTGAAGCGAAGAGCTTCGGCGATCAACCAGGATTACCAAGAGCATACTTCAAACCGGAAAGCACAGCTAGACTCTAGGTCAGGGAATCAGTTACTGGCTCAGATTTCCCCTCACTTCGGTGGGGTTGATAGCTATATGGACCGCCCCTCATCAGAAAGCAGACTTGATTCTGCCAAAAACGTATCTGAAATACCGCTTGCTGTGCCGGAGTCAACTTCTGCTCGACAAGAACGAGGGCCGTTGGCAAGACTTGTCAGGATAGTCCGCGCAGGTTTTGCTCTCGAAGGGCCTCTCAGAAATTCAGGAGAAGAGCAAATCTCGCGTCTGTCGGGTTCAGGAGTACCCGGCTTATTGAGCGATCGGGATTCCTTGTTGAATGCGTCTAGGAAACGACTGGAGCTTCTTTTTGGCGACTTCGCCCCTGAAGTACAAAAGGAGCTACGGGCAGGCTTGGCATTTGGGCAGGAACTTGCAAAGAGACGGAGACAGAGCGATATGGAAAGACGCATACAGACCGGGGTGGGAGAAGCGAGTGCGAGAAACATGGTCCGGGGAAACAGGGAAGCAAGTGGATCCAGGTCACCACAACAAATGCTGGATGAGGCAACCCACTATGATACCCCGGGTACGTTTATGAGACGGCGGATGGAAGAGTGGCAGCGGGAGAGAGAGGTCATCAGTCGAGAGATCCAGATGGCGAATTCTAGCCAGGTCATCGTCCTTGACAGCGACGATAACGATCAGTCGAACGTGCAAGACGACAGGTATGAAGTCGGTGACGAGCCCGAATACGAGTCAGAATCTATCCCAGATGAAGATGCCCACGTAGAAGCCGAGCGCTTGGACGATGAGGACGAAGATGACGGGTATGAAGACATCTGGCAGCAAGAAGCCCACAGTCAAGGCAACCACTCAGATCACTCGTCACTGCATGAAGATGACTACGCTGATACGCACCCTGGACAGGATGAGTCTAGCCCATGGAAGGCTGGCTGGACCCCTGCCCGGAATCAGAACGGCAGAATAATTTCACCGGCCCATTGGACAAATGAGCAGGAAAAAGTGCCATTTTTGGGCCGCTCAAGAGTCAAACAGTTACAGGAGCAAGAAGTTGACCTGACATCTCTGTACCGCTCTCAGAACACACCAAAGCGCAACCACTACTATTATGGGAAAAGCAGTCCCCTGAACAGCACAATACGAGGCTCTGTACGCCGTTCATCGGTGTCTTCGGTACAACAGGAGATCTATGAGCATGTGTCTGACCAGGATAGACAGTCGGAGAGCTACGTGGAGTCAAGCCCTCGCCGGGACTCGGACGATGAGACGTTTCAGATTGATCCGACAACCAGATTGGAAATCGCCAGACAGCGCCATGAGCCTGGTATGGAAGACGACGAGATCGAGGGTATGTCTGATGCCGCTGCAGCCGAGGGCCAGCCCCCTTCAGAGACAGGTGACATCACCCCCGAGCGTCCAGGGCATGCTAGCCCTGATAATCAAGCATCATCCTGGTTTCAAAAGATTACCAATTTCACGCCTGGGTGGCTCAGAGCACCAAATACTGATCAGCAAGGGCCCGCAAGTGAAAAGACTTCGGGTGACGAGGAAAATGATGAATCGCCTACCGTTAAGCCAACGCATGATAGGGGTGGCCAAAATGATGAAGTCAACTGGGTACACTTAGATGAGACCCCACGACCGCTTCAATTCGGGGAGCCAGAGGATGAGCAACAGAGTTTTCTTAGTTCCGAGTCTTTCCCAGTGGTCGACGATGTGCATGCTTCACTTGACGAAGGAGAAGGAAAAAGAGAAGAGAAAGCGGAGGCACAGACGCCTGGAGACCAATCAGTGTCTTCTGTTCCTCTGTACTTCTCCAATGATCACTATCGCTTGCTGCATCATCTCTATCGCTCGGCGAAACTATACCCTGAGCGCTTCCCTTACCATCCGGCTCCTGGTCGCTCGGATATGATCGGCGACTGGATATGGACTTCAGATGGAGTCTATGGAGTTCCGGTCACAGAGCTTCAGTTTGCAATTATCGATAGATTTGCGCAACAGTTATCCCAAGCCGACATGAAGGCAGGCGGAACGGGCCAAATCAATTGGACAGAGGCTGACGTGCACAGAAGATTGATCAGTATCATCATTGGTGAACAGATCAGACAAGAGCGGAAGCAGAGGCTCCACGAGGACCGTCTGAGGGTAGAGCATTCGCGAAACAGGGACGCAGCCTACGAGACGTGGCGCATATGACTTCTCAAACCTGCACGTCGCTTGGCCTCTGCCGCCTGAGCTCGTTTTTCCGAAACACAGACTTTGCTGGCATATGGACTAGCACACGTTGTAACGACTTCCCATTCTTGTTTTCGCAGGGTACATCTTATTCCCGGGACTTTACGGGTGGCGAACCAACGGATTGGATCTTGGTGGTGGTTATTGGGTGACAGGTTCACTTCTCCGTTTTGGCCGTATGTTCTTGTATAGCATCTACTTTGTCTATGTACTATTCCCCCTTTGTTTCTTTTGCTTTGGATTCTCCGCACTTGATTGGATCTCAACAAGTCAGCTGCCAAAGGATTTTTTTCCTCGTTTATATTCTGGAATGGAACGCGACGACATTATTGGTGTATGCATGATTTGGGTTCCCTATTTTGGCAAAAGAGTGCGCCTTTCAGTCGGGTTTGGAACACTTTGTTTGGCCCTGAAGTTGATTTGCAGAGTAGGCTTTCCCATGGTCTGTAAGGACCAATGGACGAGGTACAGTTGACGGATCTTCATGGAACGTGTCGTGCTGTACGGATGTTTGCTTTGTGATGCCTGCCATGTCTGTTGGTAACTTCCGAACGGTTCGACCCGGTTCCTTTATGGGTCGTGTTCAACGAAGGCTCCTACTGCCACGTTTACTACTCCACGGGGTGCACATCACCGAAATAGCACTTCTTCTGACAGACTCGAGGATATTGGACCTCATTGGCCACCCGATTGTAGTTCTGACTGCACCGTGCAGACATTGGAGCGCCAACCAAGCGGAAGAGGCGACATACGAGCCTAGCCCCGTTTTAGAAGCCTGATGTCGGGTTGTCTCTCATGGCGCCTAAAACCGGATTTCCTGGCCCAGGATGCAGAGACATAACCGCATAGGGCGTGGGTGCAGCGGTAGTAATCTGATATATAAAAGGGATTGCCAAACGGCCCGTATACATTCGTGCCTGCGAGCCAAACGGTCTAGCAAAAGTAACAGCCAACTCGACTCGCCTGAAAGCGGTCAAAAGGGCAGAAGAGTTCAAGAGGACGAGAGACGAAGCTTGTATATGCACACAATGGGGGTCAGCAATCCAGTCAAGTATGTCCGGCGTCTGTCCCTTTTCACCAAACGAACCGAGCAATCCACCTGGAAAGGGAAAGAAATCGACTCGGATCCGCCGATCGAGGTTCGCTGGAGTGCTGTGCAGTGTCCAGATGACTTCGCATTGACCGATGCCCACATGGCGGTGAGCCCAAGTGGCTCCGATCTGGGCCACAGCAGCAGCAGCAGGAATAGCAGCAGCAGCAGCAGCGGCAGTAGTAGCCGGACGGGATTGGTGCGCATCGTGAGTTGGGCCAGTCTTGTTGGAGACCGATGTCGGTGGACGATGGAGCAAGAACGCAAACTGGCCATTGCAAGGAGCGAGCTGGCTCGATGTCAGAAAGCATGGAGTTCAGAACAGGAGTTGTGGCTAGCACATGTATGGTTTTCTCTTTTGTTTTCTTCCCCACTGCCGGCGGATCATCTTCTGTTCCTTCTTTCTGCCTTCTCTCACCACCCCTGGTCTCTCCCCCCATGACGGACATGACTTAGGGCTTGCTGTACCTGCATAACTGACACTTCATACGCAAATCCCTCCCATCAGATCAAAGACCTGCACGAGGAAAAAGAGGCCCATGAACAATTTCTTCATCACCGAGCGAAACAACAAGACGAGGAACAGCAGCATTTCCGTAAATCCTGGATCCGACGAAAATCCTACGAAGAACAGCAGCAGCAGCAGCAGCAGCAGCAACCGATAGCCCCTACACAGAGGACCAATAGCAGACTGCGGCGGATACGGCGCATGGGATCATAGCTGTCGGACTGTCAGAGATATAGCACTGCCTTACTTAGGATGTAGGCCTGGTGAACGTCATGATTGACGTGAAACAATGGCCTCTTCTGACAGGTGTTTCTCGACAGGCTAGGGGGTTAAAGGAAAAGTTTTACGACTTGACAAGTTCTAATTGTGATCAGCTCTGCAGGGCCTCCCATTCGAAAAAGTGAAGGAAAAGGGGAGAAGGAAAAAGAAAAAGAAAGAAAGAAAGAAAGAAAGAAAGAGAGCAAGAGGAGGCCCCGGCCATAGCATTCAGGATATCCTCATGCATGGTTTGACTAGCCCGAGCTTGGTTTATTTTTGTCCATAACTATCATTCTTGATGTCGATCCAACCGGCTGCACATACTGATCTTCCCGTAGGCTCCAGAAGGATTGCCGAACAGGGAGGGAGGAAGAGAGGGAAAAGTAACAATGAATCCAGTCTTCGCGCAATCATATCACACGCACCTTTTTTCCGGGTCTACAGGCGATCAATGTCGCATGGTAGGACTGGGTCCGATCGATCGTCTTTAAAGATAGCGTACGATGCCAAAGATAGGTCTTCTTCTTTACTCCGTAAACTGCAAAAAGCTCCAGACTCTGTGGGTAGAAGGATTATTTGTACGGCGTCATAGTATGGTCTACCTATAGTTAGGTGGTGGTGTTTACTGTAAATAGCTTGTGACGAATATAGGGTACCGCCACGCCCAGACAGACAGACTGAGGAGATAAGGCCGCAAAAGACAGCGCCAAAAATAACCGCGCCACGCTACGTAGAAATCCTTTGCTAATTCCTACTTAGTCTTGACCCAACCCTGCGGCGACCTAGTCTTGGACTCATGGAGACTCACACCTGGGACTAGAGCCGGACGTGACCCGGCGGACCGGCGAGTGCCGCGCGAGCCCCGAGATAAGCAGAGTGGACGGCGGCGAAGATCGAAAATTGGGGCTTGTTTACCTGACGCTCCGGACAGGAGAACTACTGTACGTACCTTTTCTCTCAGGAGACGGTTGCAGACGGTCGCCACTCAGCGATCCAAGTCCCCATCTGTTGTCGTTAGAGCTTGAAGCGCAGGACAAGGCGCGCGCGGGCCACTCGTCCCAGCCACTTGTTAAGGCTGTGTGTGGTTCTGCACTATTTGCACGGCGGAATAATTCATATGACGGGTATCATCCAAGCCTCCTTTCGTCCCACACTGATCCAGGAGTGTTTGATGATCGATGATTGATGATTCACCCCCGGAGTCTTGGTTATTCTGCACGTAAACCAGCCAGCCAGCAAGCAAGCCATGAATGGACTGGCTTATCTCGGGTGCCGTGACTAATGGCGGCATTTTCATGAGTAAACCTTGCTGTCAAACTGTCAACTGATAAGCCTGCATATTGACTGTCAGGGATGACGAATAGCCTGCCAGATAGGGGAGTAGTACCTGACTCGGACTTTTGCATAGCATCATTCTACTTTTTGGGCATTTCCGTAGGGTCGCTAGATATCGTATATCATCCCCTCTTTGGCGTGTGTTGCGCGGGTGGCTTGTTGCGCCCCAGGACCGCTAGTTATTGCAGGTTGTACCAGAAAGCCGTGGATGATAGCGCCTGCCACCTTCTGGACAGCGAATGGTTTCACGATCCACGCCACGTCACGTTGCTTTTCCCAGAAGGATGAGCCTGATGATCGGTCGAATGTCGATGGGCGCGAATGGGTCCCGAGAGGCAGAAGAATGATGGCTCACAATGGAATTGTTACTGATCAATTCGACAGGTGTTAGCGGCCATGGTCAATCTATCTAGGTAGATATTTAGGAGGAAATTCGTGATGAAGTCACTACTGTGGTATTAGTGTAGAATCAAGTCAGGACTAAAGAGTCAACAGGCAGAAGAAGGAAGAGTCGAGGCTGGAAGAGGCCTAGTGGCCCCCGTGATCCCGGATTCCGAGTCACGCTTTATTGTTCCTTATCGCGTGTTTTCCCTTCACTTTCCCCTCCGGACTCCCTCAGTAGCATCTCGCTAGCTGACTAGCTTGCCATGCTCGGTCCTGTCAGGCTTCCAGTAAGTCCATCTCCCCCCTTCCGTCTTGGGTTCATTGCTTTACCAGCCTTTCTACCTACCTACTAGGTATCTATCTATCTACCATCCTGGCTAGCTCCCTCCCTCCGCCCGAACGCTATGGGTCCTCCGTGATCCCAACTCCCCTCACAACTCCCCTCATATTCCCTCCCCCCCCACCATCCAACGGCTCTGTTACCCTCTTTCGTCCGGTTCCTTTCTATCGGAGCCCGCCTATGGAACCGTTGCCACGCCCTTGGTGATCCCTGCCATTCGTCCTCGAGCCTTTCGTCTCAGTGACGGGTCCTTTAGTGCCTTGGCTGAACATGGTTCCTCGGGCGGATTATTTACTTTTTCGTATGCTTGTTCCTTTTGCTCTGATACCCGCTAGAAGCTAGAAGCATGGTCCGTCCCATGCTCGGCTGATTATTATCATCAGGGCTTGCTCGGCACCCCCGTGGAAGGGAAGACTGCGCGATGCCCGGAAGAAAGTACCCTTCCCCCTCTTCCTCTTCTTTCTTCAAGGCCCGTGATCAATACTATTGATTGGATCCTTCCAATAATGCCGTGGGTATCCCTTGCTGGGAGCTTGATAAGCCTCGTGTCCACCAGTGAGGCCCGCCACCCTCCGCCGACAGTTTCCCCGATATCGAGGTATCCCCATTGGGTTTTATGGTTATTGACTTAATTACAATTTTTCAATTATCTGAATATCATTCCTGGCTTCTCTCTTGCAAGGTTTATTCTCCTTTGCCCTTTATATCCGCTCTCCGTCTGCTTTCCGGATGTCTTTTATGACAGCCGCTTGCTGTTGTCCGTAATTAGACATGCCTGTCCTACCCCAGTCTGGCAGTGAATAGGTGCCCTGTGACTTTCCAATCCTTCCCCCCTGTCACTATAATAGATGTCCGCTCCCGCCTGCGGGGAATCTCCCTCGCTTGGCCCAGATCGCCATGAGTGCGAAATGTCGGCGCCCATCACGTCACTTTGGTGGCCAGAGGATCGGGTGAAGGCCACCCTTTGCCCTGAATACGTCTTCAGCCACCTACCCTCCAACATTCTACATCGTCTCGTCAACCCCTTACCCTGGGGAGAGGGTCTGACTAGCGAGTCCTACCTTGACTGGATCCTCGCCAAGGCCGGTAGGCTCTTCCTAATACTCGTTGACATCGAAATTCCGGAACGGATCTTCGCCTTGGTAGATGAGTCGCTGGACGATTCGGATCTACCATTCTCGGCTCCCAGCACCAGCCGTCTTCCTCTATCAGCTGAAGGTGACAACCCCGATCTCGCCAACAAATTCTTCCTCGCTCAATGGCGGTTTACCGTACGTGGGATCAATGAAGGCGACCATATCAAGTATACTCAGAACGAGGGGGTACCCGTGGAGCTTCTGCGCACAGGAACGGCACTAGTGAGGGAGGGCGTGGAGAAGGTCGTCCTGGCTGGCTCCAAGTGCCGTGTTCTTCTGCGGACACAAGTCACAATTGGGGGCGCACCACATTTCTTCGAGGAGAACGAGGTGCTGGAAGAAATCCGCTCTTTGAGGAGATTAGCTCATAACCATGTCTATTCGATCTATGCGTCTTACTTCGTGGACACCACCGTTTGCACTCTTTTCTCGGGCATATACGAGCGTACATTGATGTCCTTCCTGACCGATGTGCCTCAACCCTTTAAACGCCTCCCGAAAAACGAGCGCCGAGAAATTCTAGTCAATTGGCCACATTGCTTGGTCAACGGACTATCATGGCTTCATGCACATAGCCAGCCACACAGTCTAATTCGCCCCTCCAATATCCTGATTGACGCAGATTTTCGGATTTTTTTGGGCCAGTTCGAGGCGCTTGATACACTTCTATCCCCGGTCAAGTTGGATGACGTTGAATCATATCAGTACGGTGCTCCAGAGCGCTGGGTGCGCTCTGTTAGTATTCAAGATACAAATGCACCGCGCCCCAATATCGCTCTCCCATCTGGAGGACGTTCCGCCCGCAAACAAGCGTCATCTCGCCCGTCACTCCTGAGCCTTTCCAGATTCCGAAGCTCCCAACCGTCAGATCTAGAATCGGAGGTTCCTCGCGCGGATTCAGTCACGTCGCAAGGGACTGCCATACGCATTGGCCTGCGGGGCTCCCCTTCTCGGATGTCTTTTACCAATTCTTCCTCCTCTGGATCGAGCACTGGGAGCGCTCGCAAGCGCGTTATATCCTCTATAAAACGCCCTATGTTCTACACGCCGTCCATCACTTCGTCTAACTCCAACTCATCGGGATCATCAAACGCTCCTTCTACTGTATATAGTCAGTTCGGATATCCGATCATCGGTTCCAACGCCGCAATAGTTCAAACATGGCAAACACGTCAGACCGACCCAGAAGCCTCAGATATCTTCTCTCTAGGAGCGGTGATCTTGGATATCTTCACCCACCTATGCAAACGCAAGCTTTCCGCCTTTGCTCATCATCGAGGGGCTAAGAACCGGACAGCCGGCCGTGGCGGCGGCGTTGCGGACTGTTCATTCCATCTAGACCGAAACGCCGGCCAAGTGAGCTCGTGGATCACCTTACTGGACAGTGACGCAAAGAAACACAAGGATCCCATCTTCCAGGCTGTTCGACCTATGCTTACTGTCGTGCGAAGCATGCTCAACAGAGATGCCATTGAACGTCCGTCAGCTTATCAGGTAGAGCAGCTGTTTGCCCACTCAATCCAAAAACTGGACGGAACTCTGAGTTTGCACTGCACTTCCGACCTGCAATGCCACGCTCCCAGATCAAGGAATCCCTTGCGCCTAGGTGCACAAGCAGCTACATCATCGGACAGACTAGTTGTGCCACGAGCAAAGCCGCCAGGAGCAAGATCGCCATCCCCAAGCAGTCTTTTGACTGCTGAAAACTCATCTACTAGCTCCGGAGGACCCGTGAGCCTCCAACCTTCTCCTTCAGCCTCCGCCTCCCATTTTAGCCTGCCTGATCAACAATGGACAGACAGTCATGTCTACAGCAGCGATACAGACCAAGAGCACGACAGATATACCTCCTCTGCCTCTTCCTCCCCTGCCCCATGGCGCGATCCAGATCTGGCATTAAGTCCAGCAGCGCACAACGATCCGACTTGGAACTACAGCATCGCCCTTGGAAAGCGCTAAACGCTGTGCCGATCCTCACTACATTACACCCACTTGAACGTGTGCACCCACATTCCCATCTCAACATATCTGATTCCTGGCCACCCGAAATCCCACTCCTTCTCCATTGTATCATTGACACGCACACTCCTCGTCGAAATCTCGCTGGCATTTACGGTGTTCTGCATCAAACTTACTATGTACTTCACACATACTTACGCTGTACACATCTTGCCTGTCCTGTAAATTCTGGCCTTTCGGGTTCCTTCTTCCTCTCCTTTGGTGGTTGTTTCTGTTCCAGTTTCTATTTCCCCTTCTGCTTTTCTCATGGAGGCTTGTCTTTTCTACTTCTTCTTGTTTCTCTTACTAATATGACAGCCTCCCACCCCTGATGATTGATGACGAATGAACCCTTTGGTGGTGTGATATCCTTTTCCCCCCCTTACCTTATTATCTTACCTGTACTTTGTCATTATTAATCCTTGCCTCGGCAAATTCCCACTTCTCTTCTGATTCATGTTCCATCTCTATTGATTTAAAACCCTTAAAAATAAAATTCAATAATCAATCTAAACGTATTCCATTACGGCTAACCAGTAACCATGATCATACCATGCATGTAGATGATTCTTAAAATATCGTACAGTGTCCTACATACAATTTGGTCCTGGAGGTCATAGTGGGAGTCATGGGACCGAAAAAAAAAAAAGATCCGGACATGTTCCCATCCAATCACTTACAACCAAACGGCCACGCCCCCAATAAATGCGCAAAGCAGGAATGATACATCGATGAGGCGGTAGAAGCTTCCGGGCTGCATGACTGAAAGCGAACTCGCCCCGTTGCTGACCACCTCTTTAGAGGGGGAGGTGGAAGCCAACTCACTAGAGCCAATATTGGACTGGTTTATATTCTGTGAGATATTGGGGCCACCCGGGCTGTCTGGAGCGCTTGAGCTACCTGTAGCTGTTGTGGCTGGGGCTTCTGGGGCGGCGTGGTGAAATGTCTGTCCCAAGGTGGGAAGGGGAGAGCTGGGGTCAACGGCCCATCCGCCTGGAGTTGAGGCTGGACATTTCGGGGGCGAAATGGTGGACGTGGATGCGCGGTAATCTGACAGGGCCACGCCCGTCGGGTTCAACGTAGCCCACTGCGCTTTCAGGTTGTCGAAATCGGGAGATATCGGAGTGGGTTCGCCTTGGCGAGTGAAACCGTCCTGGACGAGGGTGTTTGTTGGGGGGGCATCCGGGGCGAGGGGACCATAGTTTATCAGGCCGTAGTCGTTTGTTTCTTGAATCCATTCATAGATCATAGCGCCAGACCAGGTGCCCGACATCTTGTCGCCAAAAATAGCAGCCTGGTCCCCGAAGGTGCGTGGCCGTGCGACGTTACATCCTGTCTCTGAGAAAAAGATCGGGATGGGATAGCCTGCGGCTTGGTCTTGAAGTGACTGGTAGCCGGACTGCTCATATGAGGAGTCACCGCACCATTCGTATGCGTTTAGGGCGAAGAAATCGAGACGTTCTGCAGGATCGGGCCGGCATGCCAAGTAATTCTGCAGCATGGGCCGCAATTCCGCAATATCAGCTGCTGAGTATCCTACCGGGATATTCCGATAGTGTTTCTCATCACGATACGCTTTGATATCGCGGGCTGCGGCCAGAACGTAGGGCGCGGCGGGGGAGCCCTCCTTGGTGGTGAGCACTTCGTTGCCGACAAAGAACCCCGCGGTATTGTCGTATTTCTGGAATTCGTCCAGCACGGCCTTGAAGCGGTCGAACTGGGACTGGTCCCACTGGGGGTTATCCTAAAAGAACCCACCAAGTCAGAATCAGAATTCGGGTGATAGGTCATGGAGTGAACAACGGACCTGGGAGATCTGCGTATCGAACGTGTCGAGATCGACGAACAGGTAAATGCCTGCATCCGCAAAAGCTTTCATGCATCCGTCGTGGTTGGCCTGGGGATCCACATGGTACACACGGATTGCATTGGTGCCCAACTCGGCCATGCGGGTCGCATCTCGCGTGCATTGAGCGGTGTCAATCAGGGGATCTTGGGGAACAAGCTGATAGGCAATGCCTAGACCATCGCGAGCTGGTCAGTGCGTGATTGCGGGTGAGGCCCATCGTGGGTCGAATAGCCCACCTTTGATGTAGTACTGCCTGCCATCTTCATAGAAGAACTTCGAGCCGACAGCAGAGATGGTCTGGATGGCACCTGCAGTGGGCACACGCAGCGTGTTGAGTAGCAGCGAAAGCGCTGTCGCAGATGACGACCAGCGTGTTCTGACCATCGCTTCCTGAGTGAATAAGTAATCTGCGATCTCTTGAGAATTCTGACGAGTGTCCAATAAAGTGATGACAAGAGAGCAGACAGACAAGTTTGACAGACCAGTGCCAAAAGAGAACAGGGAGAAGATGGAATACCCAAGCAGAGGCAGCTGATGGTGAATTATGCAAAGATAGGACAATTCTCCCAAGCAGTCACAGACAGCAAAGGGAAAGACAATGCAGATTCATCCATCGGTGAAGAACCATGAAATTTTATATGTGACCAACAAACCTTGGAGACATTCACCAGAAACCATCTGGGGATTGTCCTGGCGCCCGGCCATACCAAGGTGGCGCGTGTTCCCTGGAGGAGACATACTCGGAGTCGTCGGTGCAGGACGAGTGACGTCGAAAGAATTCTGCAGGATCATCAATCTCATCGTGGCTCTCGATTGCATGGGAGCAAAGGCATGCTATCTCCGGGGAAGATGGAATGTACGATCGAAGGGATGCGAGGATCGACGACATGGATGTATGCAGTGTTGCAACAAGGTTGCCGCGAAATATGTATGTTCCGCGTCGGAGTTACCAGGACACCACATTCATGAGAGGAGAGAGGGAGAGGGAGACCGCTACTCGGTCAACGGGGGTGGTCTATAGGGCTATCTGAGATTCTAAGTAAAGTAATCACCAACTATCTATGGAGTATCTACTGTGTAGTAATAGAACTGCCTGTTCCTGGCCCGAACGGAACCCCAGGCTACGCACGTGACTCTCGGGGAACTGGAGGCAGGACCTGCCCTGATTAGTCAGAGGCGGTCTGCTACTAACTACTTTAAATAATATCATTTATAATTGATTGCTTGTTTTTGCATGAAACCGGTAGGGCAAGGGGAACCGAGTGGATAATCGGTGTGTAGCAATTAAATCATCCGGTTTGATCGCCTGGTTGGGTTCTGGGAGACTGGGAGAAACTGGGTGGCCGCCATTAATCTCCCAAACGATAGTGGCTAATAACGCTAGCGGATGGTGCTATTAATATGGGCTCCATCCAGGACGTCAAGATCGAGGAGGAACCTGGCCAGTCGCGAGGGCTTCTCCGGGCCTGCCCGCCCCCTATTCGCCCAGTTGGGCTTCCGGTCTCGCCCAGCACGAGGGCCCATGGGCCTTGGCAACGATCGAGACCCTGGCGGACCCACGGACTAAATAATTAGGATCACCTGGAGATGGGGTCCGTCCCCTCTCCTCTCCGGTCTGTTGGCCGCTTTTTTGACGCCTGACGTGGACAGACAGGTGTGCCAATGATTCAGAATAAATATGACAGAAAAAAGAAAAAAAGAGAAAAAATTAATTCAAAAGAAAGGAAACAAAAGAAACGCATATGCGGCAGCGTTGAATTATTTCCTGCCTTCTGTACTACGACAAGCCATCCCATGTAGAATCATGAATGGGGGGAGGAGAGGGGGCGGAAAGGGGATGCACGCAGCAATGGCGGGCAGGGCCGGGCTAGCAAAAGGCGGATCGTCACCGGCTTGCGTGGATGACGGGGCCTCACCTGACTTGGGCTCTTCCTTCCCGCATGCGTGCCATTTCCTTCCAAGGAATTTCGTTAACGTCTCATTTCCTCATTTCCTCCTTTTCCCTTTTCATTTCCTGCTCGCCCCCCCTCTTTCTTATTAGTTCCTTGCTCTCCTTCGCGTGGATCTGCTATCTATATCTACAATTGCCATTGTCCGCCCACTGTTCTCTTCTTTCCCCCTCTTTCTCTTCCTCACCTTATCTTCACCACCACCCGCTCTCTCACACCTTCTCTCCCCCCCCCACTCGTTTGGTCTGGATCATGCCATCCGTGGTTCTCCCGCCATTTAACATCGCCCTCTTTGGAAAGCTTCTCCGCCCGCTCGTGTTTCGCCTGATTGGCTCGGACTAGTCGTTCTGCTCGCCTATTCGTCAACTGTGCAACGTCATCCTTATTCGCATACTCGTCAGGGCGTGGAATTGCTATTTTTGTCTGGATATATATTTATCTTCATTAGCCACGCTCGTTAGTCTGCTGTACGATACGCGGTTGCAACATGTCCACCACCAGCACCTATTCCCCGTTTCGCATCTCGCCTAGAGATCGCGATAACTTGGACCGCAATGAGGCCTTCAGGCTCGTAAGAGAGCACCTGAGGCGCCAGGAATTGGGCATGAAGGCTCCTAGGTATGTAATCCTGGATCTCCATTGCGACAGGTCATTTGTCGCTAACCAGCAACGGCCACAGCTTTTGCTCGTCTCACCGCCATGACTGCACCAACCAAGAGCAGGAAACTTTCCGTCTTCACCGCGATATCATCCATACCATTCTGCTCCCTCTATTTTTGCTCCATCACCAGGCGTCGCGTATCGCGGCGAATGTGCTGCCTAGTCACAAAGGAGCGGAGTGCGAACGGGCGTTTCGGGGCGAGGCGCGTGGCGCCTACGCTTGGCTGCATTCCATTCTTAGTGAAGAGCACGATTGGTACTTGACCGAGCGTTGTCCCGCTTGTATCGTTCTGCATGTTATGAATTCGGAGCCGACCATTCGTTTTGTGGCTGTGGCGTGCCTCCTGTCAGACCACCTGCAGGGCCTGGACCTGCCGAGCGCCAAGAGACGGCTGCCTAACTTCGACTTCTGGTACGAGTCGCTGGAGACAGCGGTGCGCGAGGATACTTTCTGGGGCGATGGCTTTTGGCCAGACATCGAATACCGCGCCTGTGCGCTGACCGATGGTGTGAAGCAGTTGGTCCTGCAGTGTTTGGAGTTGCAGGCTGCTCTGAGTCGACAAGACCTGCAGCCCGAGACGTCGTACAGATCCAACGCTCACTTTCGGTATGATTCGCCACGGCCTTCGGTTACAGTGAAGCAGTCCAGCTGCACGCAGATGCCCGTCGTGTCCGAGGAGGACCAGAAGCTCTTTGCCAAGGCTAGCGCCAATCGCTACCAGAATTCTCGCTGGAATGAACGGCCGCAGAGATTTCACACTCGCAGACACGCTGATGCTCGGAGAAGATCCGTAACTTCTTAAAGTATTTGGGAGGGGCTTGTGTCAGCGACCAAGCCATGTGAATTCTATATAACAGGCTTTTTTTGTCTTGGGATTAGTCGCTACCAACGGTCTGCCGATCATTATACAACATGCTGGGGTCGACAGCCTATATGGAGTGATCTCCCAATCCGATGATTCTCTCGGTCAGCTCATGAAATTGGTAACATGACTGGGCTGACTCGAGTGAGTTGCCACGGTCTCACTACGCCATCAGTGGCATGCTACTCCGAATGGAAGCAGCTGAGCACCATTGAATGCGGAACTGCTGCATCGACCGTGCCATGGATGTTTCTACGTGAAACTACTTCCTATCGCGGAAACCCGCGCGGGTAAAAGCGCCGTGGATGTAACCCCGAGTCATACTTCCGCGGAGATGCACACCGTGCGGCGTGGGTGTGGCTTGGATAGAATTTGTCCAGATCGTGCAAGCCATTCGCAGCAAGGGGGAAGGCGTGGTTCGGGGAAGAGGTTATTGCGAGGACAGCCACGGTTCCGAAGGGACATAGATAGAGTGTCGGAGGCGAACCGGAAGAGTCGGAGGGTACAATAACAGGGTCATCCTTGTGGAGGCCGCGATGAACATATTATGATTGTAAAGTACAATTAGAGTAGTTGTCCAAAAGCCAAGTACAAATGTCAAATGCAGAGTAACTCTGAAGGAAATCTCCACCTGAACCCAAATCGCCGGCGTAGGTCTAGATCCGAACAGAATACGAAACGGCCGCAGATTGTCCAACGTTGCCAACTGTTCAGCCCGGTTTCCGCCCCCCCAAAACCACACCCACAAACCTGCCGGACCACACCGTTATGTAACCACAAATCCCTCACAGTAATCCCCTCACAGGGTCCAAATAATCCCGTATAACCCAACCCGTTTTAAAAAAGAACAAGAAACGCAAAAAGAATGAACATCTGACACCACACGAATCACCCCGCTGAAACCCAACCTGTTTCTTGTGCGCCCTGTTATACCTGAGACAAGGGTGGTGGAGCACACGGCACACGAACGGGTACGTATGTAAGTTGGGTCTAACTAAGCGGCAAAATATCATACCAGTTTGATATCCTGATAATGGATAACATATATTATCTTATCCATCTGACCCTGATTCTGAGACTGGGAATGAATGGGTCCAGTATACGCGTTCTTTTAATATGTAGATCTTAGATAGATACCGAGCGGAGTATATTAGATAGGTATATGACGGAGTGGATGTTAATGTTAATGTTAATTAATTGTGGATTATAGTATGGTAGTTCTGTATGACGGGTGGCGACTGGCGAGGGGAGGGTTGGGTTGATGACCTGCCTTTCTTGGTGATTGGCAGGTATTGGTTCCGTGGGTTTGGTAGATATTGTGAGGGGGGTTGGTGATGGGTGATGGGGTTCTAGATACATCCATATCTCTCTCTGCTTACTCTGTCTGTTTACTATGTATGTATGTGTGTGTGTGTGTGTGTGTGTGTGTATGTTTCGGGATGTATCTATCCCTGCTACTTATAATATGTACGTATGTAAGTATCTACACTATGTATCCAAGCCCTGGAATAAAAGTTCTAGACCAGCAAAAAAAAGGAAAAGGGAGATTCTGACCCTGCTGAATCTAGTCCAGTCCGATCCACATCCTCCAAAAGCATAAAGTAGGTAGGTAGGTGGTAGTAGATCATGAGATGTTGGTTGGGGTTGAGTGACTGACAGCTAGCTAGGAAGGGGGAAGAGTTGGGGTAGGACAAGAGATGTGTCGAGATCGTTCGTTCGTTGGTCTAATGCATGGTATGTATGTATGTAGGATGTACAATGTAGTAGAGTAGGAAGGAAGGAAGGACGATCTATCTATCACTTGGAAAACAGGATTAAGGGTTGGGGGTTGGATTCCAGTCCAGGGAATCAGGTTTCTGTGATGGTCATGATGATGATGATCATCATCTGTAAGGTTCGTTTGTGTGATAGTGGTGATTTGTTCATTTATTTCTTTCTATTCTACTTTTGTTTATTATGTTGGAGATAGGTGACTAGATAGGTACGTAGGTTGATTGGTGATGTGGGGAGATGAGTATGGCGTGGTTTAGAGGAATACTGTGTACTGTGTACTGTGTACTACCTACCTCACTCAGGGTTTGTGTAAGTGTAGGTGTAGGTGATTAGGTTACTAATCTCTCCCCTGCACCATGGATAGTAGATAGTTCGGCAGTTATATCCAACTAATGTGTGCAAGGACGCGGGCGGGCTTAGTCGGTAATATCGAATTTGACTAGTGAAGTCGTGAAGTCGTAAAGTAGTGAGAATGAGTTGGGCAAGCAAAAAAAAGGAGGTGAGAGGTGAGGATTCAAGCCACTGACGACATTGCGACTGACATCGGCAAATGGATAGGTACAGATGGATGGATCCAATGGACAGGACTGGACTGGCCGGAGTGGGTGGGGAGGGGCGAGGCTTGAGTCGATGGTGGTCTGTACCTACTGTGTACGACGTGCACACGACGCACTGGGGTGACATCTGAGGTCAGACACCGTGAGGCTGAGAGAAGGAGAGGCACAAGAGAAAGAAAGACGGAGGTACCCGATTTCCATATTTACCGCCAAAAGTACGTACCGGCAGCCTCATGCCGGATCTACGATAGTCTGGAATGTCCGGTAGGTACCTTACCCTTACTACATAGTATCTTATCTACTACACAGTACTACTCCGTACGGAGTATGGAGAGAGGCTGCTGCTGCTGCTACTGACTGGTAGGGTACATAAGATACCATAGTAAAAAAGATAGTTTTCTCTACCTGACCCAAGGGTCACAGTTAGGTAGAAGACCAGCCCAATCCCAGAAAGAATTGAACCTTAACGCGAGGCCGACACACCAATGGCAATAATGGCCCCGATTAATGTGGCCCAGCTTTAGGCGGATCTGGTCGGCTGCACGGAACAAGGGTCTAGGCGTCAATCCGCCCGGAAGCGGCAGTGGATTCGATCGCGCCATGCAAGCAAGCCTTCTTCTGCCCCGTGAGCCAATGGGAGTTACCTGGCCCGACCCCGAACCAGGGTGAGCCCGAGACGGTCGACGTCAGGATCCATCTGATTCTTGGGGGGGAGGAATGGAATGGGATGGGATGGTGTGGTGTTGGCTTAGAGTTCCAGATCTTCGTTCAGGTTCGGTTTTGTTCTTTTTATTCTTTTTATTCCGGAGTAATTGGTTTGTTCTTTTGGGGGTGTTGTGTTAGGTAGGCTGTTAGTAGCAGCTCACTGGACCCCACTCGTCTACACCGTAAGAAACTACTCGGTATGTACGGAGTAAGGTGTGGGAATTTCCACTTGCCAGACGAAGCGGTGCAGGATCGGTGTGGGTAAGTAACTAGTCTAGTATAGCTACTATGGCATAAGTCAGGTACAAATATGGGGAATGGGCAATAATGGATAAAGGGAAGAACAAAGAACTGCTGCAGAGTGGGCAGGATCGAAGATGCTAGCACCATCATTCAGGCTATTTATACGCTACCCACCTTATTGAGCACAGATTTTTTCACCCGACGGACCCATCGTGATTTGATCAGGGACTATCTTCCGGGGCCTTCTGGGATGCTGGCTAGCTGACCCGGGTTTGCATGGGACTTCGCGAAAGCCTCAATCCTCAACCCATCAGGAGGAGGATAATGATGCATAATCCATTGTATGGTAGGGAAGCAAACAAGCCTCAGGCCAGAGAGAGAGAGAGGGAGAGATCGATAAAGTGATGCTGATCCGTGTGTAATACGAGATAGATGGCGGGGAGAGGTGGCAGTGGTAAGTGCATTACCGAGTGCAGGCGGGAGGACCAGACCCCGACCGGCACCCGGCCACGGCCACGGCCAGCTTGCCAACTGCTGCCAAAAAAGCAAGCCACCTGATCGCTCGTCCCGGTTGAAATAAGTTGACTGCTGCCTCCCCGAACGAGTAGATCCTGAACCCTACCACAGAACTGTACGATGTCGTACCTGCCTGGCACTGGATCCCCCCCAGGGTCCAGTTCCATGACTTAGTTACCTCCCGACCTACCTATCTAGTAGCTCGCTTGCCTGTCTGTCGCGCATCTCGCCCCGACCGGGAAAGGCCAGGCGGCGGTGGGTCCCTCAGCTTTTTGGGGGGCAAAACTAAAAAGAAAAAAGGTGGACACTGTCGGGACTCGCTGTGAAGTGTGAAAGGCCCGTGTAATACCCGTTACGGTATCGCTGGGCCTGACCCGGTTTAGCTCCGATCAGCCACTATGGAGGCCTAGACGAGTCGGAGGCGTCTGGGCCTGTGGACAAGTCGGTTGGTCGGCTCGCCCGTGACGATTGGAAGGGTCGAGCAGAAACCGGTCTGCGTGCCGCCCCGAGCAGTCGGATGGGCCTGGGGAGAAAACCGACCTGGGAGGAGAGATGTTCCGTTTTAAAGACGAGAATGAGCAGAAGTCGATGAAAAGGGAGGGAGGAAGGGGGAAGGTGAAGGCAGATGATAGATTAAAAGTGTCCCGTTTTATACAGCTGCATTGCTCACCCGCTGACTGGCCCGACCGGGCGTCCTCGTGTCATGAATTCCCCAATCAGGCCAAGGCGGGCAGGTCTAGAACGCCGGTGGAAAGTCGCAGCCCGAGGGTTCTTGGCCGTCTGTCAGTCTCTGCGTCTGGCCTTCTGGTCCTCTGGCCCTTGGGTCATTTCCCAGGCGTCATGATCCTTTTCCTCTCACGCTCTCGAAACCGAACCGCTATTCCATCCGGCCTAAACTTTCTCGACGCCTGGATGGCTCTTTCTCTCTTCTTTCCCCCCCCTTCAATCTCTCGCCCTTCCCCACTGTATCAGCATCATCACTATTATCATCATCATCAATACTACCACTACCACCGTTAACCTTCTTTTCCTCTTCTTGTTCTCCTCCTCCTCCTGTCTGCTCCCTCCCTTCTACTATTTCCTTCCCTTCCCCTCTCTCCTCTTTTTACTTCCCTATTTTCCCCTCTTCCCGACCGTCGGTTTCGCCTCTGCTCTTCATATCCTCTCTACTACTTACTCTACCCTACCCTACCCTACTACCTCTCTGGCTCTCGCTTCACTCGCTCCCACTCCAGCCAACTTCCCATGTGCTTTTGGTGATTTCACCAAACTTCCATTTCAACCCTTCACGTTCATCCATTCTTTAACCACACACCACCCCCCTCCGACTAAGGTCGGTCTGTGAACGGGACACCCATCGGCTGCAGTTTTAACTTAGCCCTCCCGGATCTTAAGTTGGCTGGATCCGCCTTTTCTCGACGTCGCCTCCCTCCCCGGCTCGCCAGTAGCCCAACTGAGACTGGATGAATCCCCCACAGTGCCATGGACCCTATCGACCTACACCTGTGGTGCGAGACAGCTCGGTCATGCTTTCGCCATTCTCAGCTTCACCCTTCTCATCCACCACATCGTCGTCAGAAGTGTCTGGGGACCCCAGCACTCCAATGAGAGCCGGATCTCCGTTTGACTCGCAGGAACCCCTCCAATTAAGCCCCATCTCTCCCCTCAAGTCAGAACAACAACAACAACAACAACAACAACTCCTCCCAGCACCACCATCTCCATTCCACCAGGACACCGGCTCCAGCCGGTTGAAGCGGCGTGCATCGCAAGGATCCCTCCTAACCAAACCTTCTCCTGTCTCCCGTTTCCTGTCTCGCAGCAACGCCTCGCTGCACCTGCCCTCTTTTGAAGAGCTTGGCCTCTCCTCGAAATCCCCGACCCGGGCTGAATCCCAAGCCAATCCTCCCGACTCTCGTCTCCGCGTCTCCACCTCCTCCACCGCATCGGGCTCGCTGGCGGCTCGAGCGTCCCAGTCAACCTCCGGGGTGTGGGAAACACCCGCCAAAAGTGACTATCTTTCCGCTCTTCCTCCGACGCCCCCGGATGACAACGACCATATCGCGTGGAACCCTTCATCCGGCATGTTGCTGTTCGAATCGCATATGAACCGGGAGCCTGGGCCAATGGCCATGGATGAAGGTCCGAACATCGATAACTCACCCGGGCGGCCTTCCGACGGCCTCAGCAGCCCGTCCGATCAACTTTCGAATGGATCGCCCTCGAGCTCTGGTGGGAGTCCCGGGTCTTCTGGTGATATGGATTGTGATCATAACTCATGGCTGGAGAATAGTATCGAAGCATCAGGTGCGTCATGGTTATGCCGTCCCTGATAAATTTCGTACGAGAGCTGCGGAAGCTAATTTTCATCTTGCAGTGTCGTCTCTTCTCTTCTCTAATGGCCGGGGTGAGGCTGTGAAAATTGTCTCGCAGATGCTTCCATACCCACGACCGGCGGACAAGTCTTCCCCGGTCTCAGCACACGACAGCGTGTACTGCGCCCTTGTCCATGCGGTTCAAGATCGTCTCCGTCATGGACAGTCACCATACATCAATATCACACATGCGGTTCCCGAGCAGTTCAGCCTCTCCAACCTACCCAGCTCTCCCCCACCCACCCCTCGTTCGCTATTCGGCAGTGAGGACTATTTCAACCCCTCTGTCTTTTCCAGTGCAGCCGTTGTCTCGGCCTATCACGATTTTCGCGGTCCCATCCAGGCCAAAGTGGCGCACTCCCCGATGCCCGTCGTACCACCGTGTACTGTCCACGTCTCGGTGCTGGAACGGTATCTCCCCCCGTCATCGGCACAAGAGTACAAAGACCTGTTTTGCCCCAAGCGACCGTCCTTCTTGGTGGACCGGCTACACGAGCTGTCCCCTGATGGAGGGTCATTATTGTTCGTCTACCCCACGCGGAGGGGTGCATCAACCTTCAAGTCGCAGTATTTGGGACCAATCTTGGACCCGTTGCTTCGTCAGCTTGTGGTCGTGAATGAGTTGTCTACCGACATCGGTCGGTATCTAGGCAAGCTTTCCTCGGTCTCCCATATGGAAGACTTTGACACGATGCGGAACAATCTCACCAACCTTTGTGGCGAGTTGAGCACGTCGTCTTCGCAGTTCAGCATCGTCGATGCCCGCAAAGGCAGCGCCCATCTGGACCGTGACCTGTGGACCGAGTGGTATATTCACCAGGAGAAGTCTCGCATGAAGGAGGTACTCAGCGTGTACTGGCAGAACGGCCGCCGCCTACCCGCGACCAAGGCTGTCTCGAACATGTCGACGAATTACATCCTGGAGGACAAAGAAGTGACGTCGGCGATGCTCCTGGGCGAAATCCTGGATGGGATCCGAAGACGGCCGTATGGCGAGGACTCGGAGCCTCGGGACGGTGTCGAGTTGGGAGTTTTTGTGATCCGTCGGACTCACTAAGCGGGTTCTGCAGTTGTGGAGCCAGTTGCAGCAGTACCCTCCCCGCGTCCATGTACCATGGACGCTCCATCTTCTTGTGTTTTCTTTCAAATTTCTTGCTGGATATATAGCTGTGCGATAAAAAGGGGGTCTGGCGGGTCCGGCGGCGTCTGCGGTGTTGGACTTGGGTTCTCGATCTGGCACATTTGGGATGTCAAGGGAGCATTGACTGTGCATTTGCAATTATCGGATGAAAATACCCAGGATATCTGTTTCATGGAAGCGTGATGACCACTAGCATGTGATTACTATTATTATTTTTTTATTATTATTACTATTATTACTACTAGATTATGGAAATACATGAATCGCCTTGTCCGAGGCAGTGACGAGATTCATAGGGCTTCTTGTCTTCTATCTAGTATCTATCTACAGTGTAGTATCTATCTATCTATCTATCCATCTACTCGGACTGCACGATGGCATGCAGCAGCGACCGGAGGCGGCCAAGCAAGGCTCAGCCGGGAAAAGACCAGAGACAAATGAGACAAACGAGCCGGGCGGGCAGGCGGTCAAAAATGTCCCCGAAGCTAAGCCTCATCGGGCCAACGGCCGGGCTCCCGCCTTCTGCTCTCCTCCGTCACTCTCCAGTTCAATCTTCGGCTGCCTCTTCTTTCGCCTCGAATTTGCCTGGCCCTGTCCTCTTCGTGCTTATGCAGACGGCTTTTCGAATACCACGGTCTCGCCCTGCCCTGTCCCGGCTGCAGTTTTCTGCCCTGCCCACCTCTGCTTCCCCACTAGCCTTGGATCGCCATCCTCTCTTCGCACTCTTGCCCACTCTCTCTCATTACAATTTCAGCCCAGCTGGCACCTCAATCTAGCCATGGCTTACTCTCCTGCCCCGGCATCACCTGTCCATGGCAGCGGGGCACCCATGTTGTCCAATAGCTTACAATCTAGAGGCCGTTCCACCAGTCCCCCGACCAGCGTGCCGCTGTCGAAACGGGACAAGCGACGCAGCGCGCTCCAGGAGCGCCTCCATGACCTCACGGCCTCGTTCAGCCAGAACAGAGATACCCAGTTTCGGCAGCAATTGCATGCCCTCCAATGCGACATGACCCTTATCAACAATGCTGATCCGTACGAGCCTGGCCCCCTCCCCGACTCGGCCGATGACATCGCTCACCTGATTGAAAACACCGTCGGCGGGGGCAAGTTCGCCAAGGAGATGGCGAGTTTGGCGGGCATGTGGTATTCGCGGTTCGTGCAAGAGGTCAACCACATTAAAGCAGATAAGGACGCGGATTTGGCCATGTTGGTGGTGAGTGATTGCTCTTTTTTTTTCTTTTGTTTTTTTTCTTTTGTTTTTTTTTCCGTTCCCTTCCCTAGTATTGATCGCATGCTAATGAGGTCTTTTCAGCACCGTCACAACAACAACCTGGAACGGTTCAAGCGCGAGTATGCATTTCGGGTCCACTTTGCGGAGGAAGAATACGAGTCGCTCTCCATGACCCTCCGAGAGCGTCTCGTTCAGACCATTTCGGGCAAGCGGGCTCGTTTGATGCGAGAAAAAGAGCAGCTGGATATTGCTGATACGAACGCGCTCCTCCTCCACCCCAATCAGTTTAGCATTACCAACCCGGCCAGTCCCGGGGGGATCCACGGAAACCGCAAGACCCGCCACACCCGCCACCGCGTCGATCTGGAAGAGCTCGGCAGCAACGGGATCATGTCGGAGCATTTCAATAAGAGGAAGAGAAAGGCGGCCGATGAGGATGTGGGGTCGCCCGTGCGCGATCCTGGCTATGCCAACCCGGCCGAGCGCGCCAAGGCGCAGGTGGCCCAGCAACAGCAAGCGCCGTCCTACTCCATCAATTCTCTCTTCACGGAGAAGGAGCTCGGTGCTCACGCGAATAATGCGCACATTGCGACGGTCCACTTCTTCTCGACGTCGAAGCGTGCGGATCAGCCGTCCGGGGCGGCGACGAACGGCAACAACACCGACGTCGATGACGGCTCTGGGGTGGACGGCACGGGTGCCGAGGACAATGGCACCCCGGCAGCCGACATGGCTCGAACAGCCAGCCAGAACTTCCACGCCACGCGGTCCACGCGGACGCATGGCAACCATGCCTTGAACGCGCTGGCGGAGTTGTCGGACAAGCCCGCGGTGCGCCCCAACCTTCCATACCACATCCTGGCCAACTACCACGCGCGTTCAAGCAACAGCGGCGCCCCTCCCCTTCCTCCTCTAATGAACGAGGAGGTCGACGACGACTGGATGCGCATCGACAAGCTGCACAATAAGCCTGCCGGATTCGTGGATCGATCCTTCGTCCATGGCCTGGTTCAGACCATCCCTACAGACGTGGATGGGGTGCCGGAGAACCCCGATCAGTATAGCATGCTGCATCCGGACTTTCCCATTGAAATGGGCATGCATCTATACCCTCTTAAAAAAGACACGGTCGAGATAACGAGCAATGAGCGTTCCAAGAAGACCAAATAGGGCTAGCCACCTAGCCTTTTGCAATATATCGCGGGCGTTAAGTCTAGCCAGATGGCTAGTCGGGTAGGTGCAACAGGACCGGTAGCGGGAGTACTTTAATAAATACCATTGACGGGCGTTGGGATTGATTGGCCGCCTCGTGGCCTTTGTTTGGATGGGACGGAGCAAGAATCTCCGCCCTTTTCTTTTCTTTTTTTCTTTTTTCTTACTATACTTTTCCTTTCTGTGATCTCATCTCAGAATCTCTGATTTGACTGTTTGATTCTCCCCTTTGCTTCGGACTGGACTCCTTGGGATGGCGTTAGGTTGACTGATGATAGATTTGTGTTCGTGTTGCTTCGTTGGATATATCATACGCTAGTATAACGTAGTAGGTAGGTAAGTAGGTAGTAGTAGGTAGGAAATGGATTGACTGTACATGCTTGCACCTATTCATTCCCTTTGACGTTACATGTACTAGGCTAGTAGTCCGTGTTAGTCGTGTTGGTGATGGTATTAGTGCTGCCTACCTCCCCTCCTCTCATCCCCCCCCCTCCGCTCCTCTCACGTAATGTGACTAACCAACCTCCCTGTAGTCTAGGTAGGTACTAGCCGCCTTGCTGCCTAGGGCTTCCACTTTCCCTTTCCATAAACCAGTATCCCGTGTTGATTATGCTAATTTGTAAACTCCTTTGGTTCGTTCATTACCCATTACTCCCCCACCTTATGCTCTGGGTATCTACTTCACACATCTCATCTGATTCTTACAGTGAAGGAGCGAGTGAGCGAGGGAGGGGGGGAAGGAAACCCTAAATCAAACCTAACCTAGCCTAACTTAACTTTACTTGACCTAAATATAGCTTTTGACTTTGACTTGGTCGTGTGATCGATCTACTTTTTGTGTCATATGCGTTGGTTTGTTTATAAGGGATGTAAGAGAGCTTTATACTACCTAGTGTTTTTTTGGGGGTTGTTTGGGAGTACACCTGTATGATATGATGGAGAGGTATTAGAGTATGAGAGAAAAGAAGAGAAGTGAATTGGTTCCTTACAATGTAATATGCAAGGAAAAGAATAGGTAAATACACTAGCTTGATTAATGATCAAGGAGCTAAGTCAAATGAAACTCAATTTACAACCTGAAACTGACTGAACTGGCTGCCTTCCTCGTGGGAGTGTCCAGGATTACTACATATTAGTAGACACCCAAGAGAGCGGCCATGGCGATACCCAACCACCAGCTTGAGGGGGCCTTGTCGTTTGCTCCGGTGTTGGACAGCAGAGGAGGCGTGGAGCTGGGGGATCGGGAAGGAGACGGATGACTTGATGTGGTAGCCAGTGTCGACGAGACCCAGGGATTGGAAATATTGGTCGAGATGGCTGAGGTGCCGGTTGGTACGCCTGGGATGAGGCCCACAGTGGTCTGAGTGCTGCCGACGGCGGTGGTGAACACAACCTTAGGCACGGTCACTGTCCAGGTGGAGTAGGTGACGGTGGTATATGGCGCAGGAGGTGCAGCAGTTGTCAGGGCGGCTGTACCTGTAACCGGGGGGGCAACAGTGGGAGCAGGGCCCAGAGTGATCGTGGTGGGGATGACGGTCACGATGCCTGGGTTTTGCGGGATATGGGCAGCACAGATACCAGCAAAGTAAGAGAGAGCAGCCTGGACTTCTGACTGAGAGGCTCCCCATGCCTGGATGCAAGAAATGACCTTTTTGGTGAATTCATCCGACGGGCAGTAGCAGCTGACATCGCTGTTAGAGTTGCACTTCGGAAGCAAGTTCAACCAGGTATTGATACACTTAGGCACCGAGTTAGGGCATGGTGCAGATGGAGCTGGGGTAGACACCTCAGTAGCACCCGAGGTAGTGGCTCCGCCTGTCTTGGCAACTGTGGAGGTCGCAGTCAGTGTGATTGTTGAAACCGTGTTGGTGACTGTGGTGATGGCGGTGCCACTGGAGGTAACGACTGCAGTCACCGGGCAGGTGGTCACGGTTGCCCAAGTTACAACAGTTGTTGTGCTCTCAGGGACAGAGACCGGTCCAGATGGGCCATGCGCACTGGAGACAACAGAGGTTGGAGTGGCTGAACACCCAGGGCAGATTGTGGACACTGAAGTCAGAGTCACAGTCGAGACTGTGCTGGTGACTGAGGTAACAGGGACACCACTCGAGGTAACAACATTGGTCACAGGGCAGGTGGTCAGAGTCTCCCAAGTGACGACTGTTGTCGTTCTCTCAGGGACGGAGATGGGGCCAGATGAGATCGGTACAGCAGAGGTTGGAGCAACACACTTGGTGCAAATGGTCGAGGTCGAGGTCAGCGTGACAGTAGAGACGGTAGACCCCACCGACGTGGTGAGCGAGCCGCCCGCAGAGCCGGTAGAAGTCACTGGACAGGTGGTAACCGTCACATACGTGACGACAGTAGTCTTGTCAACCGGAGGAACCGAAGAACTAGGCCCTGGTGCAACAACGGAGGTCGATGGAGCAGGGCTAGTAAGGACCAGACTTGAAGATGTAGTTTCGACGGGGGAGCTGCCAGACGGAACACTGCCAGACGACGTGATCGACGTGGTCAAGTTGACAGGTGTCGTAGAAGCAGTGGTCGTCGCAGCTGCAGATGACGTCGGAACCACTGGGATGAGTGGCGTGGAGGAGCCACTCGCCGGAGTCGACGAGGGAAGAGAGATGGTACTGGATGTAGACGGGTCCTCGCTAGGCGAGCAATCGAATTTGACCTCATAGATACCCAAGTCACTGGCATCAATATCGGTGTCCGCATTCAGCTCGAAGCTCACTGAAGTAGCACCTCCGCACTGATAGTTGGTAACATCTGTACCGGCCGGGGAGCAGGACGTAACATGATTGCAGGTTGACCCATCAGGCATGTTATAGACGATGCGGACATCAGCCTTCTGGGAGGTAACAAGACGGAAGTTGCTGACAGAGAATCCCTTCTGGGCTTTTCCGTAGGACATCTTCGGGGCCGAGGAGCTTCCCTTTGAGAGTTTACCAACGATGCATTTCCCCTAGGATCGTTAGTTAGGAAAGCAACACAAGTCATGTCGTACTTACACTACCAGAGGCAGAAGCGTTGAAGCGATCTTTCAGGGAGAAGCCCGAGAAGTCGAAGCCAGCATAGGCCGAGAAGGAACCGACAGCAAGGCCAGACCAGTCAAAACCAGTCTGCTGCTCCTTAGAACACTCATTGTCGGCTTTTCCAGGGCTGGAATAGCATTCATCGGTTCCCCACCACTAAGGAAGTTAGCATTGCATATATACAGACTCCGAAACACACTCACCAAGCCTCTGGGGTGAGCCAGAGCCGCAAGAGGCCAGAGAGAGACCGAGAGGAGAGAGGCCAGGACTGCGGCCCTCATGACTGATGCGGTCGAGATAGGTCAGGACGAATTTAGAGAAATTGTGAGAGATGCAGAAAAGATATCGAAAAGATTTCAATAAACGAATGTTTTAGATAACAGAAGCAACAAGCGATGGTAGATAAACGAGCGTCTAAATACCAGAGCAATAAGAACGAGAAATGGCCTGGGAAGGAAAACAGACGAGAATAAGTAGTCTGTTACCAGGGAGGGGCTGGACCCTTAAAATAACAACACTGGGATGATGTGCGACAGGTACCGCTATAAAAGGGGACAACCTCCGGCATTAACAGCAACAGGACCAAGGCTGTCGCCTAATATTCACAGGGCCATTCACGGCAGTCTCCTCCATGGCAAAGAACCGGCCAAGACAATCAAGCAAGCAGACAACTTCCAGCCAGCAGCGTGTTGAAGCATGCGTAGTTGGTGTTACAATCACCAATCCAATCCAGAGACGGCGGCAGTCCACTAGTGCAGGAACAGGGTTAAAGACCCTGAGTGACTGGGGGCGCGAAGCCATCACCAATCAGGTCTGGTGGAGACTGGCATTTTGCTCAGCCTAAAAGGTAAGCTGTTGAAGGACCCTTTATTTGCCTTTTGAAAGATGGGGGCGTCGGTGGCTGTGACTTGGGTCTCACGCCAGATATCCGCCCAGTTCAGCCCATGGCAGCAGTGATGACATTGGGCTTCAGTTCATTATATATTGATGGGAAACCATCTATGAATACTAGGCCAGCGATGAAGGGAGTGAACCCCCAAGCACCTGATAAGTGAATGTGATAAAGAGCCTGTGAACGCGATGGAAAGGGAAGGATGAAGAAGAGGGGAAGTCAAGGTGACCCGGATAGTCATGTGGGTGATCAGTGACGGTGACGGTGACAGTAACAGTGACAGTAAGTGACAGGAACTTACTTCTTCCCCATGAGACTGTCTCACCTGCATCCTCAGTGTCCTTCCTCCAGGGTCCAATCTCCACCATTCAGAACAACAATTTGCCTTCATGCCCAGACTCGGCCAAAACACAAGTCTGCAGTCTCATTCCAAATGGAACTCTCCGATCTTCAACGCTTAAGCTTGCTTGTGTGCAGTGAGTGGCCCGGCGTCTCGCCCTGAACCTTACCCAGCAGCCATTGCCCCTCACACAGTGGTCGCCCCTCTAGCAACCACCGAAATTACCTGTTCCCCTTTCTATTAATATCACCGGAGGATTTAGTTCACTCTCACATATCCAGCAGTTCCCGCTGAGCCGAATTAGATCGACTAGAGACCAAGAGTGAGCGAGACATTCCAATTGACCGGGTAACCGCCGCGAATTAAAACCCCGACGGATTGCCGCCACAACTGGAAGAGGGAATAAGCAATTGACAGATGCAAGACAGGAGGAGGTCCGAGAGCCTGGGAATACATCAAAATACCACCTTGGAATCCAACCCGCAATGATTTAGCTTGATGGCGCAGGGCCTGGACCTAAACCCCAGTCTGTCTGCCGTCTCCGCATTCCATCGGGGATACCAGACAAGCCTAGTCGCCTAGTCGATTAATGGGGTTGCAATGGGGTTTCTGATAGAGCATTCGTACATCGTGCATCTCATTTCGGGCGCCCTCCGCGGCTTGACTAGCCCGCCAACGCCCAAGTACAGATCAACGAGCGAGCGTGTCGCACAATAGCCGTCCCACCTGCCCGGAGGGTTCTGGGGCATTGCAGTTGCTGCGAACCCCTGAGGTGGCTTGCAGAGGGTGGTATTCTCATTTCCCCTGGGATTAAGCACCGAGACAAGCATGATTTACATGAGGCATAACATGGTAAAAGAACAGCCGCTAGCCCCGGTCGAAGGCTGTCGTGCCCCCAATACGATGTGGACAGGAGACTATTACTAGCCCATGTTTGGAACGAATTTTTCCTATTTGCATTTTTCGAACTCTAAGACGCCGTAGCATTGCACACATATCATCGACCATGGAAGATCAGCGAGGTAAGGGAAGAGAAGGAAAGGTCTTCGTGACACGAGGTATATTCTTTGATCAACTCCAGAAGTAGAACGTCATCATGAAACTCGAACTTTTGGTCATGCGGAATCCCCCTCTTTCTGACCCCGGAGAGAAAGAAGACCTAATTCTGTTAGAAAACGCACGCAGAACACTCTAAATCCATTTACAAATGTTCAATATGTCCTCGGAACTAGTGGAAATCCATGCACGCTAAGTTCGTCTCAAATCAGAGATATCGGGGTATCACGCGGGGTCGGACGGCATTTAGAAAGGAAGCTGACTACGACGGTGGGCGTCCATGAGCTTTCGGCGGACCGCCTCCCCGCCGTTGTACCCACTAGCCTTGCGCTTGCGTGTGGGGGTGCGTTGGTCCGCATGGCGTGCATGGCGGAAGACGCTAGCAGGACGAGAGGGCGAGTTGGCCGGCATGAACTCCCGATGCTGTGGGAGGCGCAAGAGGGCTTGGTAGCGATTGTGATTCCGACGGAATGCCGTGACAATACCACGATCCAGATGGTTTAAAAATCGTTCCGCACTACTGGCCTGTTGTGAGTCTACACCGCGGTTGGGTGTCGGTGTCCCCGTGCCCGCTTGTAGAGGCCGGGCAACCATCGGGGACATGAGCGACTCCTCATCAAAGGCCTTGTCCATTTCGTCATCCGACGAGCCGTCACCGAAGTCAATGAAGTCTTCGACATTTAAGGCAGACTCCGGATCATCTTCATCGTCATCTTCGAAAGAGCTATCGATAGCAAATTCACGGGAAGGATAAAATGCCTCGGGGGGGCCCATGACCTGACCCCCTGGGGCAATATCATTACCCAGTGCAGTCATCATAAGGTTGGCGCTGGAGGCCAACATGGGACTCATGTCAGGGTGATTAGGTGACGCAAGGGCCTCCGTGTCGCTCTCGTCAATGAGGTGCATTGTAGTGGCGCGGGGGCTGTTATGAGCTGTACCGCAAACGCTGTTCGTGGCAGATTCAAGCCAGTCATGACGGGATGAAGCATACGCCGGGATTATCACAAGATGCTTGCCAGTGCAGTCAACCAGCGCAACAGGCTTGTGAGGGTCGGCAACGAAAGTGCCCATAATGGGTCCTCGTCGACGAGTAGTGGTTTCGCTTTTGTCATCCCCTGCGGGTGCCAACGACGCAGAGGAATCGCGACGTAGGATAGATCTAGGGTGCGTAATGGTGGCAGGAGGAGGGAGATCTTCATCTGTAGTCTCGCCATCATCGGCTTTGAATTTGTGTCAGCAAGAGGATTATGCGGGATTGACAAGCTTTCTGCATACTTTCATAGCCGCTTGACTCCGAGCCATCGGAGACGGCATCGGATTCCACGTGATAAATGTTGGAATGTCCGTAGTCTGACTCGGCATACATCTCGTCAGACTGGCGCCGGCGGCGGGAATACTTCTCATTATTATCGTTGTCGATCATGCGACGCAACTGGGGATCGAGACTATCTTGCTGGAGAAAATCACTGGGGATCTCGTCTTCGGTGTGTGAATCGCTGTCGGACGAGGAATCCGAGTCTTCTTCAAAGTGCACCCGGCGCGGCACCGGCGTCTCTATAGCAGTCTCGCTAGCCATGTCGGTCTCGCCGAAAGCCTCCATGGCATTGTAAAGTTGTTCTTCGTCAAAGAATGAGGCAGCCGACAGGATCATATGATCGTCGAAAACATTGGGACCGGCCCAATTGTCAGTGCCGGGAGCTGCCAAGATACCGCCAACGGGGTTCTCATTCTCAGACTCTACAATCAACAGCTCTTCCAGCTTCTCGACATCTTGTTCCTCATCGTCCGAGCCGTCGCTGATGTAGTCCACCGCGGCGTAGACATCATCTGAACTCTCGTAAGACTCGTTGTCATCGCTACTCCGTTGACCGTCATAGCCATCGTCGTCCGAGAATTTCATCTTCTTTGTTCTCTTCTGGGATTTCCCACCCGTCTTATGGGCCCTATCACGGCGACCATAAGACGGGCCACGGACAGCTGGCTGTTCTTCCTCATCATCCGCGTCATCATCTTCAGAATCATTCGCATCATCGCTGAGTTCTTCGATGGATGAGACGGACGATACACTCGACACGGACGAAGAAGCTCGTCGTTTCCGATCGGCAGTCAGGGAGCTAAGGGAAACAGCTTTGTTGGACATTCTCGGAGAACGCCCCGCGAGGTTGGGTTCGTGGTGAGCCCGGGGGCTCGAACTGCGGTGATAACCAGCCTTAGCGGCACCCTGAGGGGACCGCTTGGGGGAATGGGCTGTTGGCGGCATTGTGTTGTCAACAATAGGTATTGTTGTTATTATTTCGTTGCTATATACTCGTCCAATTCAACTTGGCACGGGCCAAGGTTGAGTTCGAGGGCGTGTGGTTCGACAAAGTTTGCTACCCGTCAAGCGGCCGCAAAGAATCGATTGCGTCAGCGACTTGGAGAGACAGGTTCAGGGACCGATATAGTTGAGTTAAGAGTTGTGTGGACCGTGAATTCGTAATGGCGTAGAGGGAGAGGAATGAGTCGTATCGTCATGCAAGACAGAGCGGGGGGAGATCAGGATCGGTGATGGGAATCGGCAGGGAGATCGGATTGGAGGGGGAGGGTAAGGGGATGATAGGAAAGACTTTTCGTAGACCGCAAAAGCACTTCACCGTCCAGCAGGGACGTCAAAAGTGCTTCTCCTTTGAGTGTAGTGAGGGGCAATTCCGACGCTGGCTGTAGTTGCGTCGAAAGAGGAACAGATGGTCGTCAAGTCAATTGAAGATAGTCGGAGCTGCTGGACTGGGGAGCATGGAAAAGGCAGCCGTACTCCCCAGCGAGGAATCTACAGCTCAGCGAAAGCCATCCTGGCGCGGAACCCTTGACGATATCTGGATAGTAAAGAAGAAAAAGGTCCTTGGGGTGTGGATGGGGGGCAGGGGAAGAATCTGCGACAGAAGCTGGCAGAAGAGATGAGGGGTGGAATAGATGGTAGGGAGGAGGGAAAAGACAGCAGGGAGAAGATCATCTATCCGTACGCCGTCGTACCGTGACGAGGAGGTTACCAAACGGAACGGCCTCGGACTGCCTGGGGCGGGCCAAATTTTCCAGTCAGGGTGGAGCCCGCCTCGGCCGGTCGCAGTCTGCGGGGTGATGATTGGTCAGGAACCACAAAAGCAGTGTCGCCCATTGGCGGGCGGGTGTTCACCGCATCTTTTTTTCTTTTTCCCATTTCTTTTTTTGCCTGCATCCACCCCAGCTGGGCCTCTGCTGTTCGCTCAGTCGTGGGAGCCAATCACCGGCCGCGGACTGTAACAGCCTGGAGTGAAGGCGACAGTGATATGACCGGTTTAGTACCACTTAGTCACGACCGCCGGCCAAAGAGGCAACAGATGAAGAAATCGGTTCATGACATACCCCTTAACTAGTAGGACATACAGTATGGGGTCATAAGGCTGGGCCGGAATGGGTACGGTATGCACTTCATACAGGTGATGTCTACGTTCTTCCCCACGGATGCTAGAGGCACTTGGGTAGTCCCTCCGTTGGGTACCTGAAACTGCAGATGGATGGCATACGGAGTACTCCGTACAAATGGAGGGTGATGGGTACCGACGGTAAATTGAAAGTGGACGGCGCCTGTGGCCAGAAATTGCCCTTAGTTACTTGATTGCCATCCATGACTTGGCCCGCTCTTCCGCCTGCCTAGCAGGAATCACCGGGCAAATCATAAACAACGCTGGAGTGCCGTGGACGGAGTCATCCCCAGGTAAGCCTCGGTGACTCACCCCTTTCGACAAGGGGCGTCTGCGCTCGTCTAGATCGCCCAGCGCTTATGGGAAACCGTGGATGATGATGGACCGGATATGGGACGCATATGGCAAACCGCTACATACTCTCTGATGCACTGACGTACATGGTACGGCATTACCACCACCGACACTAGGAGCTACGCAGGATGTAAATGCAATCTGTTAGATCACAGGCATGCAGGCAAGAACGCAGATCCCTCCCGAGCCTCTGATAGATATAGGATGAGAGGCCTCTTTTTCCGAATCGTGGCATGCAGAGCGGGCCATAAGAAGGGGAAAAGCAAATCTCCCAAGCCGACTGACTCCCTGCCGCTAAGAAAGGGAGGACAGCTACTGAACCGTGCCCTCTGCACGGTGCCATCCCTCTCACATCGTCATAGCATTCTGGATGCTCGAACAGATGGACATGATTCATCCACTGCACTCGTTCTGAACTATAGCGCGTGCAGGCGCAGGAAACACGAGATGGCTGCCGGGCAGGCTGCACTTTCAGGAGGTCGGGAGTAAGGGACGATGACATGGATGGATCCGGATGGCTGACTGTGATGGGCCACCTTACCGGATGAGGTCAATCCCACCACTCGGATTGGCCGAGCTCGGCACTGGCGGCTATGCTTTCCCTCTTTGGGTCTAGTCGATCCATGATTATGCTGCCTCGCTGTTCATCCTCGACTACTACTGTATGTAGGTAGGTAAGATTCTTCCTTGCCTGCTACAGTACACAATATACAGTACAAAGGTTGATCGACTACTATCTTGGGCAATACTCGACCTGTTTATCTACTCTTGTAGCCAACAAGTAGCTATATTGACATTGTATGAACCTGTAAAATAAACCAGCCGCCATAGTCTGAGACCGTTAAACCTGAGGTAGCCATGGTTGTCACCATTGTCAATCCGAACCGACCCTCTCAACTACATCGTAGTACTTTTATCGTAGCCAGTCTTCTCCCTGTAAAAGGGCCATTGACCCTGGTAAGGTATAGACATTATATCACGAACCCTGAACAAGGGTGTCCAGCGCACGGTACTCCCTACAAAGCGATAGAGCCTCGGCATCCGCGGCTCAAGCCTAGGCCTCAGCCTTCGGCGGCTGCAGCAAGCTGCAACATCCTCCTTAAGGCTGGCCCGAAAGCCACCAAAGGATCCAGGCGTGGTTTAGCGACCAGCGCAGCTAGAGCATCTCGAGCCTTTGAACCGACCGAACGGTTAATTCTCCGAAACTATTGTACATATCTACTGCATAGACAGTAACATCCTAGTAAGAAGAGGCTATCTCCAAAGAAAACAACCCAGGATCCTAACTAAGTACACCCCTGTCACGACCCATCAAAGATATTCACCTAAGATGACAAAGTCAGAAGAAAATACTACCTAGCACGTGATCCCGTCCAGCATCCGACCCCCCGACCAAAATAGGTCGCTAGTCGACGACGAGTAGCATGGGCAGGAAAAGCCACCGCATCAAATGTCCAACGACGAGGGTCCGTGACATTTTCGGCATCATCCCGAACGGCCCGGGCACTCTTCCTCTTCCTTTGTCCTCCCCTCATAATACTACGTACTATATCCAAAGCAACCTGTCTCACTCAACTTGTTGTCAATTGTCCGCGCTATTATCGCGGTCTTACTACTGTCTTTATCTAGTTTGTTCTATTCTTATGATTCGGAAATTACCACAAAGTAGTACCGTCTCCTAGTAGTAGGGCTTTGTCGTATGTAGGCTTCCCCTCCATACATAGTAAGTATGGGTGGCAACAACAACACAGAGAGAATCAAAACCAAGAAGATCCGGGAATGCCGCTAGCACCACACCACACCACACCACTTTTGACTCTCTCGTACATTAGTGTTTTTTTGGCCTAAGGGTGGTGAGAGAATGGAACTCGGGCATGATGCCTTTGGCATTCATACATGATGCATGCATGTTGTCATTGGTTCAAAACAAGCGGTAAAGAGGGACAGCTGGCTGCTGGGGACTACCAGTATGCCTATCACTCACATACTACTATCTTCATCTCCCATCTCCGGACAGAAGAATTTCTGCCACATGTGAAGGGGAGTGTTGCTTGCTATTTGTAATGGGTATATTAATGCTGTGTATATACATGAAAAGTAGATGTACGGAGTAGATGGGTGGGAACTGCGCCGGCGTATACTATGCATGGGCTGATAACCGCCATGAGGGTCGAGAATAGATGAGGGAGGAATTTTTTCTGTTTTCATTACGCATTGCATTCTAGGAATGGTATGGTTCAATCTTCATGAAACTGGATGGAATAGGGGGTGTGGAAATGCCATTATTGTCATCCACGAGTCACTACGGTTGTCAGCTAGGGGGAGGGGAGGGGCTTCCATTCAGTTCTTTCTGGATTCTAGTGACCCAGTTATCGTTATCAAGATTTGAGGCGAGATAGTGGATTGATGATGCTGCCCGCTATTGTATGTAACAGTAATACCAGCGGTACCACTAGACCGGGCGGTGGGGCGCTTACTCACGATCGGCAGCCGTTACAGACTCCATTGGCCAATGCGTGGCTACTTTTAGCTGTATGATTGGGTTGGTGGCTGCACCCCGCAGTCTCGTTGATTTTCTGGCAAGCTGCTCGTCCAGCACAGGATGCTGCTGGCATTGACGCTGTGCAAGGTACTTTGTCGACCTATCTACTTGGATGCTGCCCATCCGACTTATGCCATGGTGGTCTCAGAGTCAGTGCCCTCCTGCTACGAAGCGCCCCCTGATTCGGTGGCAGCACCCGCCGGGAACGCGGCTAAACGGCCGACCTTCCAGAATGGCCTTGAAGGATCTGAGATGAACGTTGCCACCCGGAGCCCAGGTTGCCCACAACATGCCCGGTCCGCTCTTCAACCGTGGGTCGCATGATGTTTGAGGTAGCCTAAGTGATGCTTTGATTCAAGCCAGAGGACAAGTCGTCGTAAGAGGTTCAAGTCATAAATTTTAGATGAGGACAGATGGTATCAGATGACTCAAAAAACAATCCCCGCCCCTCTTCAAGCGATAACGCCATACTCATGTGCCCGGGTAAGGTTCAATTTTCGGTGCTGCCGGTGTCGCTTTCTGGTCTGATCTAGACCAGATTGACATTATTGACTTGGATCTTTTGGGCCTGGTAGCGATGTCATTACTAGGCGCATTTTCCTTTCCCTTGGAGCTACTCGCAGTAGCGGCTGCCCCCCGTGCTTGTTCGACCTCCTTCACCCCCTGGCGGATTTCCGCGGCGGAAGCTCCTCGGGGAGCCGTGGTCGTCAACGTCTCAGTCCGGCGGATCTTTCCTTCAGAGGATGCATCATTCAGTTTCCCAATCTCCTCCTCTGTCACAAGGCGCTCATTTTCGAGTCGGACCTCACGACCACGTTTGTGACAGTACCAGAGCACAAACAAAAGGACTATTGAAATATTAGTTCCCCATACCCATCTTAGCTGTAACATTTGCGCAACTTACTAAACAATGCCAATGACCAAAGCACATTCATACCCAACACGGCCGGGAATCTGGCTCTTAAAAAAGCCATGATGGACCGTAGCATTCCTACAAGTGCTGCTGGCTTCCCCACCAGTTCTTTCAAGCTCGGCACCTTTAACACCATCTTGTTGGCGGCAGCGGCGGCCTTGCCTACATTATCCACGTTGATACCGCTTTTGCTGGCCTTTTCAGTGGCAGCTGCAAGAACTTCAGGGGCCAGTGTCTCGGTCCATTTCTCAGGGAGCTTCTCGATCAGACCTTGAATAAATTTCGGGAGCTGAGAATATGTGCTTTGCAGTTGTTTATTGCCGTTCTTGAGGAGCATTTCAAGATCATGGTATGCCGTGGGAACACCATTGACCAAGTCTTTAAAGATCAATGTGAATTTACGTAGCAGCTCCCTTGTCTCGTCACTTATGGAAAACACGCGATTGTTTTCGGCCGCCAGGTTAAGGCGCTCGAGGATCTCCGTCATATCTTCTGCTTCTTGCTTCGCTTCGTCATCGTCTTTGCGCTCGGATGGTTGTACATCATTTTGAGTAGGTGCTGATACAGGTTCTTTTGCACTTTCCTTAACCTGGGACAGCAGGACAAGTCAGCCCTGCATAGAGACAGAACGGTGGAGGAATCGGGACCTTCTTTTCCACGGTACTCTTCCTTCGAATCCAGCTCCATGGCCCCCTCTTCTGCGAAGAAGCCTCGGCTTTTGAATCCTGTGAGACGCTCTGAGAGCGCTCTGTCTTCTCCCTGGCCTTCCGTTCTTCCTCCCCTAGCTCCCTACCAAACTCCTCTGCCGGTGACACGGGCGATTGGCTGGTTTCCAGCGTTTCCGTTGGTACAGGGGACACAGGTGATAGATGGTTATCAACTTCAGTAGACGGCGAGACTGGTCCTTGATTCGCCGGATCAGACATGATCTCCTGTAGGAATGCCTCGTCCTCGGCCGTCAAGACAGGGTCATGCGATTGACGTAGGGAGGGACGTCTCCAATTCTTCCACTGCTGCATGGCGGACTATCTCGCTTCGGAGCCCTTCGTGGACAATATACTATCTCTATAAATACCCTCTTCCATTAGCATATATTCACAAACAGGTGGTAAGTGATGCGGATAAAACAGCCGTCCTTCCAGGTTGCGATGCAGGTAGGACGAGGAGCGAGGAACCATGGATATACCTCAAATATATATCAAGACCCACCAAGTCGGGGCCGCAATCAACAAAAATGATAGAAGCACTCTAGAGAGCTATTCAGCATGATCTTTGCGCAGAACATAGTCATTTAGAGCTCCTGAGATGGGAGACCGCAGCTCAGGGAACGAAGTCAGCCGATGATATCACCGCGAAGACATGTCACATGGGAGGGCACCCCGCATGTGCCACCCCTGCACCGCCACCTTCATCTGGATCGGGAAGAGATCGGCTGCACGGACCATCTTCGGTTCCCAGGCACGGTTTTGGATTTAGTTACTACATACAATATACAATAGATGCCAGTGCTACTGTCTAGGATGTGGAAGATCTGGCAGCCGGTACCGTATCAATCATGTGGAAAACGTTCCTTGTGCCTTCAATTCACGTGACCTACATTCCACGGGTTGCTACCACGAAACCGTTTGTATGGGTATTGCAAATCTGATCGAATTTGAAGTCTCTACCCCGTACATTCTTTATGTAACATGCAAAAAAGACAGAGCAATAAGGAGAGCTACGAGCATCTAAAGGAAGTTCATGAGCGGCATGCCTCACTAGTATGCAAGTGAGCCAGCAAGATTCAAGAGCAGTACTATCATGAACGATTGAATGATTGTTAACTATGTGCAAAGTAGAAGTCTATTTGAAGTGTGTCTCACTCAGCATCGGTATCATACATCATACTCCAGGAACTAGCAGCCCAGTGCACCTATGACTCTTGTATATTCGTCCACCCCTCCACCTTCTGAAAGTCCATCACCTTATAGTCTCCCCCAAACCTGTTCTGCGTATCATCCCAGTCCCGATCCACTGCCTGCTCGGGTCTCCAACGGACTGCATCCGCAATCCTCTGGCCCATTTTTCCTTCTAGCCGGTCGACAATGAACCCGCCAATTGAGGGGATGTGAGCGAATCCACGACCAGATGCACCAACCGCAAGCAGTAGAGATGGATAGTCAGGGTGATAATCGATGAGAAAGTTCCGGTCCACGGTATCCGCGCACCAGCAAATCCGGGCAAATGAGAAAGGCCTATCCGCCAACTGAGGCATTGTTGCTCTCAGGAGGCCACGAATTCGCTCGGCCGACTCAAGGGGAATTTGATGACGAGCGAAGGGAACACTTCGTCGCTCACCATCCGGACTGACGATCCAGTTACAGTATCCTGGATGCTCGTCGCAGATCTTGAGTTCATGCTTATCCTCGTCCGGTTCCATGAAGAACCCTTGGTCCGCATTGAAAAGGACAGGCAGGTTGCGGTATGCTTTGGCTTCCTCGGGTGACATACGGATGTGAGCCAGAGTCCAGGCGGTGGGCCGAAGCTGTTTCTTGAAATCAAGGAACTGATCCGCATTGGCACCAGCAGCAAGAATGACTTTGGAAGCGAGATGTTGTTTTCCATCTGCTGTCTCGGCTCCGATAATATCCTGAGAACCATTGTTGGATGAGAAAAGTAAGCGCACAACTTTACCTTCGGGGTCTCCTCCGATGAAGGTCACCCCGAGCCTCTGGGCCTCTGTGATGGCAGAGACGAGGGCATTCCGGGCATGCACCCATCCAGCACCCGTCTTCTTCCAATAACCCTTCCATCCTTGCAGGGGACCCGTTAGGATACCCGAGGGAAATGCCTTCCGGAAGTCCTCCGGGTCGTTTAACTCCACTATGCCGGAGCCGCGGTCGCGCCGTCCGATGTGCTTAAGACCGCCCGGGGAAAAGGCAGAAGTGATATTCCCGACATTGTGGAAATATGGCTTGAACACCGGGTCATGCTGAAAGCCCTTGGTAAGAGCAGCAAAAAAAGTCTTGTTGACGAAATTGGGGTCGTCCTCAGCGGGAGGATCCGCTTTGCGTTTGGTTAGCTGTGTTCCCTGGCACACCCCCTGATAAGGAACACTCACTGAAAGAGACTATCTTGTTCACGTCATTTCCGGCTGATATGGCGGAGGGCTGCTGGTAGGCATCCAGGACAGTGACATTGGTGTAGCCACGTCGGGCCAGATGGAGGGCCGTCGACGCGCCCCAAGTGCCAGCTCCGATGATAAGGATAGGAGATTGAAGCATGGTTACGTCTGCCGGCGATGCGGAAGCAATGCGAATGAGAATGGAGAGCGAGGGATGCTGGAAGGACTGATCGACACGCATGCTGTGGCCACGAGGGTTTCGGTTTGCTAATGAAATGAGGCAGATGGGGGAAAGGCAGGCTTATCAAGTTGCCATCCGAACGGCTAATCTCATATCAACCAAGGCCGGGGGCCCTGGAAGGTCGAGGCGATGGCAAATCACCGATGAAGTGGATAGCGACATAGTCGAGCGGCGTGAGTCAACTTGTCCAGAGGCAACGTTGCGGTGGTTGGAAGCAATTAGCGTCCGGCTAAGCTCCCTCCACCGGCGTGGCTCCGTCGCTTGGACCTGCCGCCCCTCTCGCTCCTCTCCTTTGCTCGTCCCTGTCGCCTCCACACTTTGATAATTCTCCCGATAGCGATATCGCCCTAAACCTGGGGTAACATTGGCTAATATCATCCGAAGCTTATCGAGTATCGACCCCCCGGATCATGTTGGTTGCCATGCGCTGCCAATCTTGCCCGTCTGGCAATCCCCCCAATGCCTCCTATAAAGAGAGAGCTGGCCGTCAGAATGAAGCTCTCCTAACCAGCAAAGCTCCCAGACTTTCCCTGGCGCTGTCATCACCATGCCAATTTTCAAAGACAGAGACCTTGACGTCCCCGGCACGGAGCTGCTGATCGATGTCCAGCATGACCTCGATGTTGCCCACGATAGCTCCGACATCATCCTGTTGCCCCCTCCCACAGCCTGCGAGGGCGATCCTCTCAACTGGTCCAAATTCAAGAAATACTGGCACCTCTTTCTTGTTTCCGCATATGCCTGTGTCTTTTCTTTTGCTGAGAACAACACCGGAGATGCCTACTCGACGATCGTGGACATGACGGGGTCCACCATGACCATCATGAATGGTGGTGGCGCACTCAACTATCTTATGCTGGGACTGGTGAACATCTTTTGGATTCCAGCGGCCATGAAGATTGGGCGTCGGTTCTGCTTCCTCGCCACGCTGCTTCTCTGCATCGGCTCCTCAATCTGGATGGGCGCGTTCCATACTGCAGGTGAATGGTATGGCTGCAACATCGTCAATGGACTCGGCACATCCGCCTATGAAGCGGTGATTCAGTTGGCTGTATTCGACCTCTTCTTCGACCACCAGCGCGGTCGTATGCTGGGTTTTTACATTTTTGCCCAGCAATTGGGTTCCATCATTGGTCTGGTTTCGGGTGGCTACATCGCCGATGGACCGGGCTGGCGCTGGGCCCAATGGGTAGTCGCCATCGGTGAAGCAGTGTTGATCATCGTTTTCTATTTCTCATACGAGGAAACACTGTTTCCCCGGTTTCTCTTCACTTCGCAGAGCCTGCCCACCGAGGAGGCCAAGACAATAAGCCCGGTAGAGGCGACCGAAACCGCTTCTGTGGACAAGAAAGACCGCATCGTGGTTGACAACGCGAGTGTTAGCGAGGGCACAGCCAGTGGGACGATCCCATCGCCGTCCGAGTTCCCGAAACGGACCTTTTCTCAGAAACTGCGCCTGTGGGTATACTACCCACAAGATAAAACCACGTATTGGTCGTATTTCAAGCGGCCGTTCTTCTTGTTGGCTTTCCCCAACATCATCATTGTATGACATCCCGCTTTAGTCAAAGCCAAGGCTGATTTACACATGCTAACATACGATGCAGGCTGGCATCATCTTCGCTTTTGGCTGCACCTCGGGTATCGTGACCAACAAGACCATCTCTGAGATTCTCACCGGGGCGCCATACAACTTCACTGACGGCCAGACTGGACTTGCCTATCTGTCTGCCTTAGTTGGCAGCATTATAGGATACCTCACCAGTGTTATGGGTGACAAGATTGTCATTTATCTCGCTCGTCGCAATGATGGTGTCAAGGAGCCGGAGATGCGTCTCTGGGCCTTGGTGCCTTGCTTCATCTACACAGCACTAGGATATGAGCTTTATGGCTGGGGAGCACAGGAGGGAGCACACTGGATGACAATCACGGTGGGCATTGGAGCAATGATTGCTCAGCAGGTGGCTGCGACATCAACAGTATGTTCCCCGAGTATATGCTTGGCCCGTCCTTCTCATAGCTCTAAACTAACTATGCACCTCCAGGCTACTGCCTACGCAATGGAATGTTTTCCCGGGGTTGGAGGCGAAATTGTCGTCATTCTCGCCATCTGCAGCTCAATCATCAACTTCATCATCTCCGAGACCACACAGCCGTTCTACGATACCACCGGGCCAGGGTGGCTGTTCCTATTCTATGGAATCTGGGTGATTCTCTCCCTAGTAGCCGGGATGGCCGTCTATGTGTGGGGAAAAAAGTGGCGGAGAAAGTGTGCTCCCAGATACTACAAGTTCCTCCAGGAAAGAGGAGGCAACATCTAATGTGCTTTCATGTATACCCAACTGGTGTTGATACGAATTTCACGTCCTGATTCTAAGATTGACCAGCAATGTTAGATTGGCTATCTATTTCTAAGTACTTTTCTAGTCTTTTGGCCCACTTCTCCTTGTCATCTTCCATAATGTCAAGAAACGCCTCTGTACTAACCTTCACCAATCCAAGTCAGCCCCGATCCTCTCCATGGCCGCCTCTTCCTTACATCGAACCCACTCTCGAAGACACAACACCCCCACCTTCCTCAGCCCCTTAGACTGGGCAATCTTTGCACAGAGCTGCATCCAATCTACCCGTTCTATGATCGGGGACACAGTCTCCTGCAGCGCTTCCAGATAGATCTGCCTGCCCGTGCACAACAGGGCGATAGTGTATCTGTCTGAGCAGGCGAGTATGTATATTTGGCCTCCACTCGGTCTTTTGGTTTCCTATTGGGGGACGGACCTGGCAGCGGCGGCACAGTACGATTTGAAGGCGGGAAAAGACGTGAGCGTAAATCAGGAGGCGAAGTTCAGAAGGAAGGCAAAGGAATCTGAAATATGGGGTCTGTTTTGGATAGAAATCGGAGGATCTTGGACAGGGCATTCATTTTGATCTGTAGAGGTAAGTGAGGCCTCACGCGTTGCCTGGTTGGGTAATCAATGTGTTGCGGGGAAGGCGGATAAGATTGGCCCAGCCTGACGTATATCCAATCTCCAGGCTGAAGGCTCTGTTGCCTAGACTTGAGTCATGTAGGCAGCAGTGTCTGCTGAAGAGTATTGATCATGGATCAAATTTCCATCCAGGCTAGTCAGGTGTCTCCAATCAGCTGCTCACCATCACATGATCCCCCTCCTCTTTCTTCATTCTTCATTCTTCTCTTCCTCTTCTCTTCTCTTTCTTCTTCCTTCCTCACGCTTCCAGAGTCGACCACTCCGCCACGTCCATCTATCCGCAGTAGATGAGCGTACGCGCAAGCTAAGTCCAAGACACCTGTCCCCTCCAAACCCACCAGGTCTTCAACTCATGAAGACCGGCGGCTACGAGAGGGATCCCGTCTTGGAGAGGCTTCCAGGACTCAGCTCATGCGGCGATGTGCATGACCCAGCGGCAGCGTCATTCGCTCTTTTCTCGTTTGATCGGTTCATCTGCTCGTTCCCTCTGGCTTGGTACCTTCTTTCCCTCCTTTGCCTCTACACCTGGATGTCTCTAGTGTATTTCCTGCTTCGGTCGATGGGCGGTAGTAGCAGTATGATTTTCAAGAATCGGTCGTTTACATCCAAGCATCACCGGGCGGGCAAATCTTCCCGAACCAACAGGAAACTGCGCGAGGAACGCAGAAAGGCGAAGATGCAGGAGGAACCGGCATGTTCCCAACCTAAAAGGCGAGTCCTACGTTTCGTAGGTGTCAAGGGCTGTTGCAGGAATATGCGCAGCCTACATGTCTCTCGTAGGATAAAACAACAACTGACTGTATTTCGCTTCACAGTTCTATGGTCAGCTTGATTGTCGGTCAGGAGCAGCGCATGTTCGTCGCGCACGAAGATGCCTTATCCCGTTCTCCGTTCTTCAACGCCATACTTAAGGACCAATTCGTAGGAGACAGTCCGGAAAAAGTGATAGGCTTACCGGAGGAGTACGTGACTCAGCCCAACATCCTTATCAAACCATGGCACAACTGACCGCATAACTCTAGAGAGCCTGAACTCCTCTCGTGCATCCTCGAGTTTCTCTACAAAGGCGACTACTACCCACGGCTCATACACAGCAAGACCCAAGATGCCTGGGAGCTCGAGGACGCGAAACAAAACCATAGTACCCCCAATGGCGGCCGCTGCAGCTCGAGCGAAGCCACATTCTTTCACCCTGGGACTGGCAGTCTCATACTCAGAGATACGGCCGTGTACTGCGCAGCGGAGAAGTACGGACTGGACGAGCTCAAGCGCCTTGCTCTTCGCAAGCAGGGTCTGCAAAGCGGAATTTCCATTGATGTGATTCTCCGATCTGCACGGTATGCGTACGACAACACGCCTGATTCCGAATACCGACTACGCGCTCATTATCTGGCGATGATCATTCGAACTCGCCATATCTTCAAGGACAGCGGGACGATGCAGATTGAAATGGAGATGGGACATCCACTTTTCTTTGATTTGTTCGTGGCCATGTGCAATCACCTGGACGATCTGGAGGAGATGAGGTCCGTACCCGTACCATAGATCCCAAAGCATCCTTTATCTAACAACCCCACAGCATGAACCATTAACTCCACTTCCTCCACGACCGCACAGCCACAGTGACGAAAACAGAAAACCCTTAAAAAAGTACCGCTATGCACGATTGAATCGAACCAGATTGTCAGCATATACCTCACTTCTTTTCCCGAGGCGGATCGATTGAATTTGAGTCTGGCATGATTACTTTACAACCCATGCCTATATCCTTTTTAATCCTCTGGCTTCCTGCAATGCTTATGATCTGGTTTTATGCGCACGCCACCGCACCAACAAGACTGCCATGTACTTTGCTTTGAACTTTTCCCCCACGACACCCAAAGCTGGATATTTCAAGCTGTTATTGTTGTTTCTATTCTTGATGGATATACTATGTCTGATCTAATTGATCTGATCTGTACATTGTTAATTGGACAGAGAATGATTATGGAGACGAGGGAGGGAGAATGATCGAATCTGGAATGAATGTGAATGTCAGCCGCCTCACCACTACTATACGCTACCAATCCCTTTTGCCTACGTAGACTACGGAGCCCCATTATTAAATACAGATTGTCTCAATCACTTTGTCATGACAATAGTGATTGAATCTGAGCTTAAAGGTCTCACCATTGTCCAGACAGCATGATATCTTTCTTTTTCCTTTTCTTTATGTAAGTAATAGTATACTATGCGGTGGTCAAGTCATCCAGGTTTCCAAAAAATAGTAATAAAATTTGAAAGGTGTATAGCACCAGCTATTATTACATCCTATCAACGCATGACTGGATACATCACGTAAGACCAGAAAAAAAGATGATGATACGGAACCGAAAACACCAGCACTGCACACAGAATCAAACGCTCACGCCAGTAAAAATCAGGACCTAGACAGGACAGAACAGGACACATTCTCCATGACAGAGTCACAAATAGATGGATGAGAAAAAGATAAAGGTGGAATAAATGAGTGATATCGTATCAAAAACAACAGAGACAGGACACATGGAATAGGCCGAGATAAAGAAAGGAAAATAACCCGAATGCCGTCTCCTACAGCAATACACACCTATTCATTGACTCACACCTCATATCTTCAAGAAGAGGCAGCCTTCTTCTTCTTGTACGTCCGCTTGGGCTTCTCGGCAGGTTCGGCTTCTCCGTCAACGGAGCCAGAGGCGGCGGACGTAGCAGAGGCAGCGGCGGCTTCCTTCTTTGCAGCGGCCTCTCTAACCCTAGTGGAACGAGCCCTGGTGGGCTCCGCTGGCGGGGAACTTGCGGCCTTTCCACGCTTGCCCTTGGTGGTGGTGCCCTTCTTGGTCGTCTTGACGAGGGGAGCATCGGATCCTTCGCCCTCAGCCTCAGCCTCAGCCTCAGCCTCAGCCTTGCCCTTGGTCTCACTCTTCTCCTCACTCTTCTCCTCACTCTTTTCCTCGCTCTTGCCTTCACTCTTGCCCTCACTCTCACCCTCTTTGGTCTCGCCATTGTCAGCAGGTGCTGGCTTGGGGGTGCTACTCTTCCTGGGCTTCTTCGTCTTGGGAGTCTCCTTGGCTTCGTCCCCGTCGGCCTCGAGTTCAGCTTCTCCCTTGGGCACGGTGCGAGCACGCTTCTTGCTTTGCGGGGTAGGCTTCTCCGAAGCGGGCTTCTTGGGTTTAGGCGTCTCCTTGGCCTCAGCTCCGTCGGCTTCGGAGGCAGCTTCCTCCTTAGGTTCAGCGCGAGCACGCTTCTTGCTTGGAGGAGCAGTCTTCTCCTCGGTGGGCTTCTTTGGGGTCTCGTCCTGATGATCATTAGCATTGAATGTACAGAGTCATCGGGAATAGAATCCCATACCGTAGCCTTCTTGGACGCACGCTTGCGGAATCCCGACTTTCCAGGACGGTTCATTTCCACATCCTAGGTTCTCAGTCAGAATTACATAGCTTGATAAGAGATTGACGCAACATAAGCGCATATACATGAACCTACCCCCTTCCAATCTTCATCATCAACGTGACCCTGCTCCAGAGCCTTGCGAATCTTGGCCTGCGCCTCCTGAGAAAGTTCCTCGTAGCCATCCAGGACCGTATAATCTTTCTCATCAGATTTACTCGCATCATCAACCGCTTCAATCATGTTGGCGATGATCTTGGGGGTGACACAGCCCCTGAGGAATGCATTAGCGACTGAGCGGATATGCGCTAACGTATCAATTTATTAATTCATTCTTTCGACTTACCAATGACGCCAGGAGTAACTCTGGAACTTGTCGTTATCAATCCAGGAACCGTGACGGAGCTCGCCCTTGGCGATCTTGAGACCTTGATCTTTGCATTCTTTGTTCTTGCAACCGGCGCGGCCGGTTAAAGCTTGTTCTGTGTAGATGTTAGTTTCTGCAGTGGAGGTGGATGAATTTTCTTGCTAGAATGCGGAAAAAGATGGAAAGGAGATAAGGAGGGAAATGGATGTGACAGTTGGCAGCTGTTGTTGGACAACAGAGACAGAGCCAGGACCGACCCCAACCCAGCAAGTTGACAACGAAGCCGTGGGGAAAACAAGAACCAAATCCCACTTTTCCGATGCATGAGGAAGACCCTCACACTCCAGAGATGCTGCTGAACTGGACGGGAGAGCTGAACATACCCAGACGATAGGCGCCCATAACTGCCGAGCGAGAAGATGGAGTTGTTGTTGTTGGGGGGGGGGAAAGACTACAATCTAGAGGCGGGAATGTTAACTTTGTGTGTTGGAGCGACCAGATTTTGGGGGGCGCGATCGGGCCGGTGGAGGATTCAAGTCGTTGGGGGGCACCGACCAGACAAAGAAGGCTCAAGATAAAGGCTGGGAATCGGACAGAAACAGAGACCGATCCAGGGAACCGGAGAGATCGAAAGAATTAAAAAAAGAATCCAACGCGATGGGAGAAAGAAGAGGGAGAAGAAGAGGAGAGCGCGCGAAAGAGAGGGCGCTGCCAACGGAACACGCCAAAGACCAATGCCGCAGTGCCGCCGCCGCGGTTGACGATATACTTATTATACTGACTTATACTTACTCCCTTTATCATATCATATCATTATACAAAAGGCCAAAATACCTCCCATTGACGGTCTTTGAATGCCACTCATTCATTCATTCATTCATTCATTCATTCATTCATCCATCCATCCCATGTCTAAGAACCCCACTCCACAAGGATATGCCATCAATGAATGCCTAACCACATACTCCAAAGACGTGTATAATCACATGCGCCAAGGTCTCTTCTACATCATTCAAGTATCTTTTTGCCATTTTGACTCTTCTGACAGCCCAATTACTTGGAGACCATGACTCAGGGCTGTCCTGAACCAATCGCAGTGGCTTCAATCTTCTCAAGGTCCGTGACGTGCTTGCGTAGCATGACCACCGCCCCAAGACTGAGTCGCGACACAAAGGCCGAGGCGCTACCAGCATCCCCACTCGTGGAGCTGTTGTAGTGCTCGATCATTGCCAGCGCTGCCTCAATGGCCCGGCGTAGTACTATGGGTCGGTTGCCATTACCCGGGTCCGCAGGATTTGGCAGATAGTTCCAGGCCACAACATCTTCCATGCCGGCTACCGGATGTTCCAAGACGTGCTTGATAAACTTCCGCGTCATCAGGAACGTCTTCTCGGTGTACTGCGTGGACTCGACCCGTCGGTCACCTTCGGCGGCAAGGGCTTCGTACCCGGCCTCATCTGAGACATAGTTAGTATCGATAAAAGTTCCCCATAGCCAAGCACGTAGACATACTGTAGAAAGGATCTTTCACTAGAACCAGCCCCATAATAGAAACCAAGATCTGCAGGACAGTAGACTTGGTCGGGGACCAGTTTTCCTCCGGGTTTCGAGTGGGCCATGTCCCGAGAATGCTAAGGCAGATTTTGCCGTCTTCGTACAGGTTCGGGTTGATCCTGCCCTGGCCGTTGGTCCATGAGTGAAAGAAGGCAGCGGGCGGTTGGTTGGGAAAATCGTTCGAGAAATGCATGTCGATCACAATGGGCACATACTCATACGGCGTCCCTTCCGGGCCTATGATCAGAACCCTAAGAAGGTCCATTCTGGACTCCCATGTTCGCACAAAGATCCCAGGAGGAAGTGACTTGCTGAGAATTCCAAACTCATTCCGAATACGCTTGATTCGTAGACCTGAGTTGTCTGTAGCTTCTTCTGAGATGAAGTGATGATCCCGGGGTGGGAGTCCTTCCAATACGACAAACCCTGGAGGTGAAGTCGAGAGGGTTGGCTGCTTATCTGCAGCGTGGGCCATCGGGTCTGTATCATCGGTTACATCTTTCATTTCTTGATCGATGTCATCGCCCCCCATTTCATCATTTGTATTTTCGGGAAGCCTGATCTCCGCCACGTCGGGGGCAATATGATCCTGGCCTGGGAGATCAGCACTCTGAACGTTTGAGTCATCAGTGTCGTCAGTGTCATCAGTCATCCACTGATCTTCGCCACCATCATCAAGACGCTCCCCGCCTTCATATTCGTATGTGGTAGTTAGTTGCATATCTTCTGGTAGGTCAAAAAGGCTAGCTGCTTCCAGTTGTGACAACTCAGCAGGCGATGGAAACGTAGCGGGATTGGCTTCACCCTCATCGATGACCATCATGATCCTTTCAAATGGAACGCGGACATCGCGACAGTTGGTTGACCCGGCCATCCGGACAGTAATAGCTCCAGTGGTATCGATCGAAACAATCTGACCGATGAAGTCTGTGTGAAAGCTCGCATTCAGCGCCCACTGGTGCAAGCTGTACCGCGAAGGAAGTGGTGTAGTGTCGATTCGGGTCGTTTTCTTAAACCATTCCGAGTCTAGCATCTCCATTCTCATGGCTTCGAGGTATGTATACATTTGAAAGAACGACAGCGAAGACGTGTAACTAAAATTGCAAGGTCCAGACATCCCAGATCCCTCCATGTCATGTACCTGCAGACTCGATTCATGAATCGTGTCGGGGGCAAGAAGCACAATATCGCCAGGTAATCTGCCCAGGCCGGCAAACATATCGAGCTCATAGCGTGAAACTTGGCTGATTGTATCACCAAGCTCGCCCAGGGAAGAGCAAGGCCTTAGAATCTGCCCGCCATGCAGAAGCTCAACATCTGGATCTTTATACCAGCGAACCGTGGCTACCCGTTCTCGACTGTCGACGGTCTGGACGACGCCGACTGTTCGCGCGCGCATTGTTTCCCTCTTATGCCCTGGCAACCGCTTAGAGAAGGACGGCATGTTATCGAGGGGAGGCCGCTGGATTTCTTCAAGTCCATCCTTCAGGGCAACGATATTTCCCGGCCCAATCTCATCATCAAATCCGTAGAACCTACGCAGGGATCGTGAATTTCCAGTGGTGATACTTCCGTCCTGCCATTGAACAGTGACCTCGGTCTTTGTAGAAATGATTCGAAACATGTTCAAATCATAGCCAAAAGACTCATCAAGGGGAATAGGCTGGAACGAAGGGAATTTCTGAGCGGCACCTGCCGGGTCCCGGAAACGTGCCCTGTCACCGACCTTAAGCCAAACATCTGATTTGACTGCACCCCCGGTTGGGACCTTCCCAAAGTCACATTTCATGGCATTGCCATTGAGCGCGGATGCTCGGAGCAGCTCCATCCTGTCACCGGTATATGGCATTCCTAAACTGAAGACATTCATGCAGAGCCATTCGACCTGATACTCCGTAGCCGGCGTAGCCAAAACATAGCCGTGGGGGTCGACATCCATCCCGATGAGTGAGTCCCCATTCATTTTGCGCATGTTTGTGCGCGGGGTGACGACACACTGACCAGGATACACGTAGTCATACTCGAGGAATCGCATGTCCGCATTAATTGCATTAATTTCCCTGGAAGGCTGGTCTTTAGGCATCCAAATGAGACCCTTGTCGTCGAACGTGACGGGCACTTCCAGGACATCCGGGTTTAATATCCACACCGGCATGTTCGAAACGCGCAGAATGGCATCACGCTCAACGTGCCGAATGATGCCAAACTTCTGGCGATGAATAATATAGTCTCCCTCGGAAAATTCTTCGTGGTTCACAAGCTCAGATATGGGGACATCGTGCAGCAAAGGCGGACGTGGGGCTTCGTTCCCATACCCTCTGGAGCTCTCTGTGAACTCGAGGGAGTCAAAATATCCGATCGATGGATCGTAGGTGCGGGATGCAATCGGCTCAAGTGTGCACGTCGCCGATGCGTTGATAACCATGCCGGCCATTGTATCGTCTGGATGTCGTTTGACGGTCTCACCGATTTCGACGGGGCGGTCGATCAGTTCGAGGTCATCCTCATGAATGAGAGCATATCCTTCTGCGAACTCGGAAAACCCAACAAAGACATATCCTTTGGGAGGCTGGTAGATGAGATCAGTGGGCATAGACTCAGATTGACGAACCCCGATAACCTACCACGCCGGTTTCCAAAAACTCCGCCAACGCCTCTGCGGGTACCGATGTGTAGGAGACAACTAGGTAATCATCTGGCGGTTCATGCGAATTAACCTTGGAAGCAGAGATGTCAGACCCTTGCTCTCATTGTCCGCCGAAGGCATTCGTCATAGAACATACATCATGGTGCGTTTTCTGCGATCAACTATCAGCATCCCAGGATACAGTTTGTTCATGGTTTCGACGGGATCATACTTGAACAATCCCCACTAAAGAAGGGTTTGATTTTAGGCAGCAAGCATCTTCAAGCTCGAACTAGGAACAGGTAAGAACGTTGAGTCGAGGATGCTGTTCTGGCTTTTCTCGTCGCTGACCTTAATAGCACGTGAATTCTCCGCATTCGGAACGTCAGGGGCAACGCCCGCGTCCATGGCGATTAGATGGGGAGAGTACGGAGTAGTGATACAGAAGAGAAAGACAAGAGCACAAAGACCGCTAAGTAGGAATAATAATAGATACAGAGAAGGACTCAAAGGAAAGGATGGGCCAGCCAGCAGTTAGTTACTGGTCGTAGGAGGGCCTAACAACATCGGAGGGGGAGTGGGCGATGCCGCATGATAACGGAGGGAAAAAGCAACCCGCTGGCGCAATCAACAACCAGAACCTGTCATGTGCTGCGGCAAGATGCAGATGCCGGCACGGAGTAAGGTACAATAAGGCTGGACTCTCCGCGACGCCTGCTTTCCAAGGCCACCAAGCACCGACTCTTACCAGCACCCAGCTCGACGACTACTTCGCCAGGCTGTATACATCGAGTTCCCAACTTGGTAAAAATCGGCATATACATGGAATCGCCGATTGCGATCCTTTCCCGACCAATCGATCGATAAGAAACCACTGGCAACCACGCGCTTCACCGCCTACGCTTCCTCCGAAAACAACGGCCGTCGAGCTACATTTTCATTAAAGGATTAACCAGTCTATTAACGACTAACATCAGGACAAGCTTAAAGACTTCATTCGTCGCACAGCTACGCTCACCGACAACACCACCTCAATCAGATTCTGCCCTGAGAAACCACCCCTCGAAACAAATCCGAATCGCCATTGCGCAATCTATCCATCTCTTCCTACAACTCCCACTTCCAATCCAAGCAATCTCCAAACCAATTCAACCATGTCCGAACCCGGTCCCGAATCGATTCCTACCAGCGCAGACCCGCGCAGCAAGCGCCCCGTCAAACGCCGTGCCGTGACACCGCATTTCGAACACGCCACACAGATCGAAACCCTCTTTCGGGATCCCTCGAAAGAGATCAGACTTCCGGATTCCTCCAAGCAGCGAACCTCGTCCTCGTTACCTCCCCCGCCCGAGATTGTCGCAAACGTTCAGGGTTCCTCGGCTGGTGCGGGGTCGGGAGAGTTCCATGTCTACAAGGCGAGTCGGAGGAGGGAGTACGAGCGTCTGCGACTGATGCAGAGCGAGGTTGATAAGGAGGTGGAGGACAAGGAATGGGAGCAGAAGAGGGAAGAAGCCCGACGGAAGGATGAGGAGAAGACGGAGAAGAACAGGAAGAGGAGGGAGAAGAGGAATGCGAAGAAGGGCAAGAAGAATGCGTCGAACGGCGATAAGATGGCTGTTGATGAGGCTGGGAAGAAAGAGGTTGGCCCTAGTGTCAATAAGGACGGTGATAAGCAGTCTGGCGGTGATGTTCCGGAGGAGGCCACGGAGGTCACTGGAGTGATCATCCACGATGACTGAGAGTATACGGCTGCGGGGTAATCCGGGGATGGGCCCCTGGAGGTGTACGATATGAAGATACCCATGTAATTTTTGGTCTAGGATATTCATACAGAATCAAAAGGTAATCGTGCAGCATTATGTACGCAGTTTTAATTTCGGTCGTCCTAATATTTAATCATCACCACCACCGACACCGGCACCCGCCTGCTGAGCAGACTTGCCACTGCAGATATCATCGACACGAAGGAGGAGGCATGCGGACTGGGAGACGAGTTAGTTTGAGGTAACAGGGGGTCTGATATGCCGGTACTCACCTCGACAGCAGTCTTGATGCTCTGAAGCTTGACCGCCTCGGGTTCCCAAACGCCATACTCCTTCATATCCACCAAGGCACCGGAGTCTCCATCCAGACCCCACGTGGTGTGGCCTTCGACGTGCTTAGCCCTCATGCGGGTGAGGACACGGATGGGGCTGGCTCCAGCATTCTGTGCCAGCGTCCGGGGGATGACCTCCATGGCATCAGCAACGGCCTTGTAGGGCCATTGTTGGACACCCTCAATAGACTTGGCCAACTGGCTCAATCTGACGGAAACGGCCATTTCAATGGCACCACCGCCGGGGCAAAGACGGGGGTGGAAGATGACGTTCCTGGCAACCGACATGGCATCCTGAAGGTTCCGCTCGATTTCGTTGAGGATATCCTTGGACGGGCCACGGAGAAGGATCGTGCAAGCCTTAGGGCTCTGGCACTTTCTGAGGAAGGTGAAGTATTCATCGCCAATCTTCTCGATCTCGAACAGACCACACTGAGTTCCGATGTCGGATTCCTGAAGGTCATCGACACGGTTCACGATGGTGGCACCAGTGGCTCTGGCGATACGGTTGTTATCGGTCTTTCTCACACGACGGAGAGCTGTGACATTGGCCTTCACCAAGTAGTGCTGGGCAAGGTCTAGGGAGTGGTTAGAGGATGATTGCATGCAAAGATCAGGACGGTTTTCATACCAGAAACACCCTTCTCGGTGATGACAACGTCGGGCTTGAGTGCCAGGATAGCGTCGCACATGTGCTTCACTTGCTCCTCCTCAATCTGCAGGATGCGGTTCCAGTCGTCCTCCTTGGTGATCTCAATGTTCGTCTGCGATTCACCCTTCTTGTACTCCAGCGGGCAGTCGAGCAGGAGAACTCTCGGGTTCTCTATCCTTCTCCGCATCTTGGGGTGGGTGATGTCCTTGTTGATCATGACACCGTCGATAACCTCACTCTCCTCAATCTGACCGCCAGGAATCTTCTCAATACGAGCGTAGCGCTTGATGTCGACCTCCCTCTTTCCACCACCAGCATCGAAAGACACGGTCCGGACAGCCTTGAGCGCCAGGCTGCACATGAGCTCCGACCACCGGGAAACGAACTTGGTGCCAATGGATGACTGGATGAGGGTGTACATAGCCTTGTCGTCATCGATATCCACGGGTAACGAAACCTCCTCCACGATGGCGAGGGCGTCCGCCAGAGCACGCTTGAAAGCCGAGATGATGACAACGGGGTGGATGTTGCGTTCGAGTTGGGGGAGGGCCTGGGCGAGCATCTCACCAGCTGTGACCAGTTAGCAATCTAGATGTCACGTAGAAGCCCGATATTATAAAAATCTCAACGCAAGCGGCAGGTACGTACCCAGGATAATGACAGTCGTCGTTCCGTCGCCGACCTCCTCGTCTTGGGTACGGCTCAGTTCGATCATGCTCTTCGCGGCGGGGTGCGACACCTCGATTTCTCTCAGGATAGCGTGTCCGTCGTTGGTCAAAACAATACCGCCCATGGGGTCGAGAAGCATCTTCAGCATCGCCTTGGGTCCCAGACATGACCGGATGATGTCCGCAACACTGCAGGTCCAGTCCCGAGTTAGAAGCCGGAGCGGGGAAGGGTAGGAGGCTCACGTACGTCTTCGCAGCGGCGATGTTGGACAGCTGAGCTTTACGCCCAACCTGTCTCTCACCAGCATTGGTGTCTATGAAGATGGGAGGTTAGCGATATGAGCCAAGCCCCGGAGTTTCCCCTCGATTTGACATACTCATGACCACCACCGGTGCTTGCATGATGGCGGTGGTTCTTTGACTTGCGTCGGGTAAGGAAGAGTGAAATGGAAAGGTCCCGAGGGAAAGATGGAGTAAACTCCGAAGCCGATCGACAAGCGGTCAGATAGGGGCCTTCTCGTGGGGGGAGCTGAAGTGTTGTGCCCGCCGTCACCATCAAATTTCCAGCGCTCCTCGAAGTGGGATTGCGGACAAGAAGCTCACCGCCACCATGCTGCTTTGGGACTAGTGCCTCTTCCCCCTGATCTACTCCTATCGCAAGTCATCGAATCCAATCGTTCTTTTCTCATTCCCACAACGTATCTCGGTAGTATGTACATTTTAGTCTTATACAGATATCCCATATGTTCGTCAAACACTTGTCAAACAGTTCCCTTTTTTCCGATCCTGCCAAACTCCAATGAAACAGACCCAGGACATGTCCCCCACGCACTCATGTTCATAGCGTCAACCCAGCCTTTTAGTAATCACGATTGATTCATTTCTTCAAAAGCTTGCTCAGCTTCTGAATACTTTTGCGCACGCGACAGCGCATATGAGCTCGCATATGGGTGATCAGAGACAAACTTCGTTTGCGAACCTGCGATGAGACCTTTTCGGCCACCTGCTGCCGGTCTCTGCTCTCACGTGTATCAGTCTCTGATAGATGGACCCCAATCCCATTGACTCCCAATCCGTGCAGGCTACATATACGTGTGCTGGAATTTGAATAGGCGGTATCATTTTCTGCGATTGTCGCATGATTTGAAAACAGATCGTCGCTCAAGTGCCAGGACTCCAGATCTCTCGTCGTCAGGTCGTGCTGTCTGTTTGCACTCCATTGCCGTTGGATCAAACTCCAAGTAACATCGTCTTGATATTCATGCCTGGATTCCCGCAGGCCATGGACTTCGCTCATTTCCTGGTCTGCCGAAAGTCGTGCCATCATGTTCTTGAACCAGGTTTCTGCGTAGGGGCTGTGATGGACAGGCCGGGGGCTAGGTTCCTGGCTGTGGTATTTGCGCAATCGTTCTAGTTGTAGTTGGCGCATGTTGTTCTGGAGATGTTGGGGAAGCTGTGCTAGAGCGGCTTCGTCAAGATCGTACAGCACCTCCTCTTCGTCATCCATGGAGTATCGGCGGTTCGTATCCCATGCACAGCTTCCCCAAGTGTCGGAGCTGCTTCGCCAGATATAACTGGACTCCTGTGAGCTCGCTGTTAGAGCCATGTCTTTGATGTGATGATGTAAGCGCAGTGAGACGGAAGTTCATCGGAACTGAGAGGCTGAGCAGTTGGGGTGATGGGGCCAAAAATACGTGGTAGGTTCTCTGAAGCAAATAAAAGGCAACCAAAATGATGAACTTTGTCGCTAGGTGAGATCAGACTCGGGTATTAAGAGCGTATCATTTCCATGTCCTCTACTGCTTGTTTGACTTACTGGTACACACGTTCACTCATCACTGGGTCACTCACTCGGGCATTTTGAAGGTAGAGCTACAATTGGTCTTTGGGACAATGCGCACCACTATATTTGCCAACGCCGACAATCAAATAAGAAAGACGTCGTGTGCGTCTTGGACGCGTTCTTGGTGCAGGGTCATTCACTGCGAGGCTCCATAAATAGGCCTATGCCGTCACATGGTGTAGAGCCTCTACAAAAGCCTGTCATTCTATAGGAGCTTGAAGCGCATCGGAGGGTTGATCTTGACGACTCATCACATGTACAAAAGACGGTGAGGAGAAAGAGAGATGCATGGATTATAGAGTTGCGAGGGTGTATCCGTGTGCACATACAATGATCAGCATGCAGGTATCGTACAGTTATTAAAAGTATTAGAAGGACGGGCCCGAAACTTTCCCGGCGCACATGACTCTCAGAATTCCCGGCTTTCACCGATGTCGCAAACGTCAAATACCTCAACCTCTGGGATGCCATGCTTATTGAGAGCCTCTTTCAACTTCTTGGGGGGTTCAAGCACTTCTTCATCCGTTAGCACCCAGGTACCCCAGTGGATTGCCATGGCTCGTTTGCACTTGGTGTCCTGGAATATTTGGACTGCGTCATGAGGATCTGCATGCATGGTGCTCATGAACCACCGGGGCGAGTAGGCACCGATCGGGATCAGCCCCAGATCGAAGGGTCCCCGGAACTGACCGATCTGTTTGAATGCAGGGCATGAGGGGAAGTTGTACTCTGGGGCGTGGTCATCGGTTCCAGCAGGCAGCTCTGGCACCGCTCTATAGCCCGTGTCTCTGTTGGCGCTCGTGGTTAGAATACTGAGGTCTCATAGATGGTTATACTTACCCAGCAAACCACAATTTCTGACCCCCCGATTCAATGGACCACGAAGCCCACAAGGTCTTTGCTCGATCAAACACGCCCCTGTTACTTGTATGCTGCGAGGGCAAGCAGCCGATTCGTGCTGTAATATTAGATGGACTTGAGCTGTGGCCTTCTCCGGCTTCATTGACCTCTGTGGCGGGTCCGGTCAATGGTGAAAGGACAATGTCGCGCTCCTCCCACCAGTCCAGCTCCGTCACGTTGCTAATCCCAATGCTGCTGAACCATTTTTTGTTACCCAGGGGGGCAAAGAAATGGCAATTCGGATGGCGCTTGGCGATTTCTTGGACCGTGGGGTGAGATAAGTGATCGTAATGGTTGTGGGAGATCACCACTGCATCAATGGTGGGAATATCTTCGATGTGGCATGGCGGGTCGGTGTAGCGCTTGGGGCCCATCCAAGACACCGGGGAGCAACGATCTTCGAAAACGGGGTCGAACAGAACTCGGAGGCCCCCGGGAAATTCGACATAGTAACAAGCATGACCTAGCCATGTCGCCCGTAGATTGGACGTTTCTCGAGTAGACAGAAATGTTGGTTTTTGAACCGGGACTGTGGGGGGCGTGACATCCGGCCATTTGATCTTCCCCGTGAGGATGCGTCTTCAACTCGTTAGCTATGGTAAAGAGCGATGGGAAAGCCTCGTACTCACCCCCACATGCGGAAAGCGTCACCCATTGTCGGAGCTCTCCATGAACTTCATAGAATTTGTTAGCAACAAAATAGTGTGGATGCATGCATAGCTGTGAGAGGACATACTCCCAGGGAATTTGGAAGCCGTCTTTGAGATGATGGCTCTTCTCCTTGACATCCTCCGGTTCCGGGGAAACTGGAGAGAGAATAACGGCAAGGGAGAAGAGGGCAGCCGACGTTGAACCAGCTGATGTAGTCGTGGCCATGATGCGTCTTGATGGAGAAGACAAAGGGGGCACATAAGCACTGCGCTGTCGGAAACAAGACCAACCACGCAGGAATGCTCGCATGGTTGAGGAGAGGGCGCAGGCGAGGGGGAGGGGGAGGGCGAAGGGGGTTCTTATACGATGCTTGGTGGCGCTTGCCTTGGGATCATCGCTGTGAACACAAAGAGATACCTACGATTGTAATTGCCCAAAAAACCCAAATGGTGATACTAGCCCTCTTATAATGCCGAGCAGCGAGAAACCAGGTAGTAATCCCGATGTCCGATGTCATGGTAAAGCCCGTTATCTCCGTCTGGCCGGTTGATGACTGCCATGTCATGGTTGGTTCTTTCTTCCACGTATACATCTAGTATCTGGCTTCCACGACTCTCTTGGTGCCTAATGGGTGGGTATCCATGATACATGGGGTCTAGAATACTCGACGTATCCATACCGGGATGCATTGTTACTCTAGTTACTCCGTACGGAGTATCATTGTTCAGGCTACGCAGCGTCGTCCTCGGCCCGTCATAACTCCGACTCCCCGGAAGTCCCATTGCTGAGCACGAAAGGGACTGGACCGGACAACTTATAGGTGGCGGTGCAGCCTCATTGTTCACTGTTGGCATGGACCCCAATGGACCGTCAAATACCCCAGGGCTGCCTTCGCCTGTCGATCTGATTGCGCAGCAACGGTCTGATGCCATTCACGCGGCGGGGCAGCCTACAGGCGACGGAGGCCTTCTCTCCCAGCTAACCAACAACCCTTTCTTCACCGCGGTAAGCTTCGCCGCAATGATTCCTCTCAGTAGGTGCTGACAGTACCTGGATGATTAGGGATTTGGTCTCGCCGGTCTGGGAGCCGGGCTCAGTCTCGCGCAAAAGGGCGTCCGTCATGGCGCTGCTCTCCTCCGCCGACGCATGCTCGTCGACGTCGAAATTAGCATCAAGGACGATTCCTACCCGTGGTTCCTCCACTGGATGACACTATATCAACAATCCCAACTTCACTCGGCTCGCTCCGCGGCCAGCAGGTCTGGCTTTATGGAGTCTCTATTACAAAGGTTAACACCGGGGATGCGCCATCTCTCTATCCAAACACAGAAAGTCGAGCGCGCCAACGGCGCCATACAGACCCATTTCGCTCTCGTGCCGGGCCCTGGCCGGCATGTTTTGCGCTATAAGAATGCGTTTATCTTTGTCAACCGAATGCGGGAGTCCAAGTCTCAGGACCTTCACACCGGCCGGCCGTGGGAAACCATCACTCTGACCACCCTTTATTCGCATCGACATGTCTTCGAAGACCTCTTCACCGAAGCGCATGCGCACGCGGCAAAGTCCCACGAGGGCAAGACATCCATCTACAACAGCTGGGGCGCCGAATGGAAGCTATTTGGACAGCCGCGGCGGAAGCGTCCATTGGACTCAGTGGTTCTCGATGAGGGAGTCAAGGAGCGGATCGTGGACGACGTGCAGGACTTTGTGTCCAGTGCCAAATGGTATCACGATCGGGGCATCCCGTATCGCCGTGGCTACCTGCTCTATGGGCCACCTGGAACGGGTAAAAGTTCGTTTATCCAAGCTTTGGCGGGCGAGTTGGACTACGACATTGCCATCTTGAACCTCAGCGAGCGGGGATTGACCGATGATCGGCTGAACCATCTCCTGACGATTGTCCCCAACCGGACCCTGGTCTTGCTTGAAGATGTCGACGCTGCGTTCTCGAACCGCCGGACTCAGACAGACGAAGACGGGTATCGCGGTGCCAACGTGACCTTTTCGGGTCTGTTGAATGCCCTGGACGGTGTGGCAAGCGCCGAGGAACGGATTATCTTCCTCACCACCAACCACGTTGAAAGGCTGGACGAGGCGCTAGTCCGCCCAGGTCGGGTAGACATGACCGTGCGCCTAGGCGAGGTGACTCGCTATCAGGTCGGTTGTCTCTGGGACCGGTTCTACGGAGAGCTGGACCCGAGCGGCTCCAACCGGCAGACGTTCCTCAGCCGGCTACAAGAATTGGGGCTGATCGAGGACGAGAACGGCTTCAAGGCTGATCGATCGAGGAGCACTAGCGCTGCTGCTCTGCAGGGGCTGTTTTTGTATAACAAGGGCAATATGGACGGAGCTATTGCGATGGCCGAGGGGTTGACCTTCCGTGTCCATGACGAGGCTATGGGGCATGAAAATTAGACTGTATTATAGAGCGCTATGTATATTAATCTGCGTGGCGGCAAATGTATCATACTAATGAGAGCAAACGGTTGGAGTAGCTGTAAGGGTTGTGGCCTTGATGTGATGAGCCAGACTGCGCGGGTTGAACAATGCGCTGGCCTGCAAGTATACCCTCGGGCTTGTTCCCTCTTTGGTAGCCGGTCATCCTTCACTTCCTCCAGTCACGCTCGCTCTCCACCACACTCCATCGCCGATCCTGACTTCAGCGCTATTTGGTGCGAATCGGGTCTGTTGTCATTGGAAGCGCCGGGCTTTCTAAGCCACCATGTGCCGCTCGGTCCAGCGAGATGTCGAGGTTAAACGCCGACCCGGTCATGCAGGTTTCTTCCCCACCGCATCTTCTTCACACTAGCAGCCTGTTATCGTCAAGACCCTTGCCGCCGTGAGATACTGACGATTCTGCATGGCCGAAGCCGTCACACGGCGCGATGAGGTGGGCGATTGCATGCGGTTATATACTACCCTGGTTCCCTGATTCAATTACTTCAACCAGTTGATAACTCTTTCGTCACTTGTTTAGATCGTCATAATAAATCTAACTGCATACACATACTTGATCTCCTTTACATGGTTGAAACTGAGCACGCTTCTTCTGCATATCACCGACGTCATGAATCAGTTCCAGCTATTCCCGTCGCCCTCGGAGAGCAGAGCGCCTAGGGACGTTTCACAATGGGCAAGGAAAAGACCAGCCATTAGAACGCACACTGATACAATACCCATGGAAGAGCTCCATGGCAAGAATAGCCCGACAGAAGCAGTGATCTTCAAGCTGATCGACGACACCAACTCTATCAAGCCACCTCCCAAAGCAGTCTCCAGATCAACTCCCGTCTCCATCCCGGAGACAATCCAAGAACGAACCAGGTCACCTTTGTATGATAACGTGCGACAGCGTCCGACAGAGCGAGTTGGCTCTCCGTCACATTCGGCCAGGACCAGAGAGCCTTCTCGTTCCCAGGACAGCTCACCAGCCGCGGCTCCGGTGGTGCCGATGAAGTCGAGATTTCGATATAACCTTGGTCTACCGTTGAACCAGCAATACTATCCAGAGCCCTCATACAATGGCCACCGGGAATATCCCAGGCCTGCTGATATGGTACCCCCGTCTGCTCCAGAGATCGATCAAGCTCTTGGGCCCAAGACAGTTCCTGCGAGTGTGATGAACTTTCCTGTTGGCGTCCTTGACCCAGTGGAGACATATTCATCTCAGGAAGAATTAAAGAGTCTATGGGAAGTTGCCAATGGTCAACGCCCCCGGAATATACCTGGAACATCCAACCTGCGCATTGAACGGTAAGCTGTTCATGAACTTGCTTGTGACAGATGCTGATCTTTCTAGAATTGACACTGATACCCTTGCTTTTGGACATCCCAATGCACCTTTCTACACAATGCGAACCTTAGGAAAGGACATATCCATCATACGGAGGAACCCTTCCAAGCAGGAAAGCAGTGTCCCTGTAATGAACCTGAAATTGGAGGCAAAATCCCGTCGCCAACCACCTTACGATGGACTGGTCTCCATTTTATTCCCCCGATTGGCAGCCATTCTTGCCATCGACCAAGCCACAGAGCTGGCGGAAGAGCTTCGGCTCTCAGCGTCCGAGGCAGTCCAGGCGGAAGGGGATGCACTCAAGCGAGTAGCAGCCCAGGAATCCTGCAAGCTGCTATGGAGCCAATCGAAACAGGTGTACGAGCTTCACCACCCGGCACTGAGTAAGCTTCCCGCGTTGGTTGGTGCCGCGGGCATTCCTTTGTCGCCCGTGCAGTCAAAGTATTCGGGGGTGCTTCACATTATAGTTTCCTGTCCTTCCAGGGAGGGAGAAGCTCCCACCATACTCGTCACCACGCCTCTACCAGCCAATGCTGTCGAAAGTGCTATGCCCGCTACGCCTCGCACATCCACGCTGCCCCTGACCGATACGGACGAGCCCCTGGCGTCGTTGGACTTGAGGAGCATGACGTTGACCATAGCTACTGTTGCCATTGTGGAGACGATTCCATCTCTGTATGCCATCGATTCGCTTGTTTCTGCCATACTCGCTGTGGCGGCGTCGGACGAGTCTACCAGGTGTGTTCTCGAGGGGCTAAATGTGTATTCAGCCTCGGGGAATGAATCATTTGGTACCAGCCCCGATGGGGACATGATAACCCTGGCGGAACGCGAAGACGATACAGAAGGAAGCCGGCTCTGGTCGAAGATGAAATCACGGCCTGATTCGAAACAACGGAAGTGGTATCAGTTCTGGGGCCAGTCCAAGCCGAAGAACCGAGAGATTGTGGTGGAGGAGTTCGACATGGACAAGTATGGACGGTACGGGGGTGGGTCGCGAGAGGGACAGCAGCTGCCATGGATTACGCGGGCATGTGTGCGGGTGCTGTTCTGGAGTTTGAGTGTGATGGTACACACACTGACAGCGATTGTCAAGGGGATGGCCTGGTTGGTGGTGAACTTGACTCGGTGTGTGACGAGGAGCTGAGTACACGTTATACGACCTGTGGAGTTATGATGTTATGAGGCGTTTTTCTGGGAACTATGCCATTATTCTGCGCGGAGATATTCTCCATGACATTCTTGATCATGTATATCCTAGGTATAGTTGTTGTTTGACAGCTACAGTGATGGAGCAACCATCACCACAACAATCGATACATTATCATTATAGGAATCTTATAGATAGAGTCTAACAATCCGAAAGATCGCCCTAATACTATAAAGTGTAACAATCTGACGTAGTTACACCTTGTTCACCATTCCTGAGCCTTCACTTTCTTCTTCCCGATTCCAAGCCAGATCTAGTCTCATCCATATTCTTCTATATTGATCATAGCCATCCAAGACCGCGACAACAACAACCCCCACAAAAGTATACGATCTAAGACAATCTCCCACACCGGATACCTACCAAGAACACGACCCAAAATCTGCAGTGATAAGGACTAGGTAGATACTGAGGAACAGGAAACATTCATACATACCACAAGCCACCGACCACATTCCAGTCTGCAACCCACCACCAATTAGATACCCACTAACCACCCAGATTCACATCCCAGTCGGCTGGGATGGAATTCCACAGGGATGTGCAGTCGCCACAGAGAAGGGTGTATCTATATAGACGCCTTCCATCGTCAAGATATAGCTAGAGACTTGAGACTATCGTCTACTTAACAATACCTCAGACTTGAGAAAGCAAGCAGCAGATAATACACCAAGAACAAACAGAGAACAAGAAAAAGAAAGAAAAGAATTGAAGAGAAAAATGCACACGCTTCTCTTCCTCTCGACTATATCCCTCGCCGCTGCTACAACCAACAAAGGCCTGGGGTATTTGCAGTGTGCGGTGAGTTTTCCATCCTATCCTATCCTATCCTATTCTACTTCCAATGCTATTCCATCCTACTCTCGCAATCCCATCTCTACAATACTAATACTATAAGAAATATAGTCCTCCATCGCCCGCACCTACCACAACACAGAATGCACCTCCCCCTCAGCCCTAGACTGTTTCTGCAACGCGCCCTTTAACCCAGATACCTTGGACCAGGAGACATTGGATAATTGTGCAAGTGAGGGTGTCTGTATGTCCATCTATCCCTATCCCCCAAACCTCCCAAATCCCATACAATACAATAAAAAGCCCTACTAACAAGAAAATCTATCCAATATTATAGCCCCCACTTCAATCCCCACATACATCTGCTCCGATACCACCGTCCCCGTCCCCGCCAGAAAAGGAAGCACGCCTATGATGCGCGTTGCCGGGCCCAGCAATGCATCTACTAACGATAGCTTGGAGACAAGCGACAAGGAGAGGAGTACCGCAGATACATACACAACAAGGAAGAGCAATCTGCGAACGGCACCAGTCGTCAACACTAACACCGCCAATACGGATATGAACGATGTGGATGATATGAACATGACTGCCGAGGAGATGAGGAACATGGATATGAGGCGTGCATACGCCCCAGATCCAGACACAGAGATGGATACAGATACAACAAATATAGAAGAGAACACAGATACCCAAGAAGCCACAGACACAAACACAGAACCCACTACAACAATCCCCCACCACCACAACGTCCACATGACCGACGCCTCCAACGCCAACGTCGTCTATAAAGTCTTCACCGAGACACGTACAGACTGTGCCTGTGATCTACCGGGGTATAGTTCTCCCACTGCGCCTGTTGGTGTCGAGGGCACGAATGTAAATGTCCCTGCTACGCAGACTGGGGCTACAGCAGCCACTGGAGCTAGCACGGGGGTGGTGGATGGGGTTATGGTTACTGCTACTGCTACTGCTACCGCTACCGCTACTGATACTGGTGCTGCTACCAGCTCAGCAACAGATGAGGCGGGGGGTAGTTCCTCGACGGGACTGTTTGCGACGTTGGCATCATCATCATCATCATCGGCTGGGAGTGTTGCGGGGACGTCGTCTGCGGTGGGGGCGGTGCCGAGTGGAGTTGATTCGTTGGAGAATGGGGGAGAAGGGGATGAGGATGATTATGGGGTGATGTTTACGGGAGGTGCTGGTGCTGTGGGTGGGAGAAGGTCGGTGGTGGGGATGATGGTGGTTGCGGGGTTGGCTTGGGGGTGGATACTTTCCTGAGGAGACCCTGTCTCTATTATATGTTCGTGGTGAAGGGGATGGGTTATGAGGTTTATGTATGGTGATGAATAATTATGTGCCATGTAGTATGTCTTATGTAGGTTAGTTAAATGTCGATTATGTAGCTTGATATTTCAGTCCTGATTATGACAATATACTATATCTTGATCTGCCCATTTCACATTGATTACACCGATTATGGTAATAAAATCACGCATGAATCGCCTCCTGCACCTTTGGATACAACTGCACCAACCGATAATACATCTCGGGATGATCATGCACCAAGACCTGAGGATCCCACGCCATGGCTGCAAACAACGTCTCAATACCACTTCCCACGGGTGTCATAAAGATCTGACAAATCTGCAGCCCAATGACAAATGCAAATGCCATGATAACCGCCGTGAAATCCCCATCCCGGTTATACGCCGGGTTCGTGAACTGCAAATACAAATACGCGAGCAGAGCACACACGTACGACACGAACACCGAGCCCATGGTCAATACCGGTCCCACGAGACAATCGTTGACCAGGGCATCTACACCGCGATCTTTCATCATCTTCCAGGTGTCTTTCGCGGCCGGGATATATGCTTTGCCGTAGAGGGCGATATGGCAGAATGCGTAGCGGTTGAAGAACGTGACGAACCAGTCGAGCATTGAGATAAAGCAGCCGAGGATCCAGAACATGATGCTTCCCAGGAGACTGCCCTGGGCGGCTTCCTGGCGCTGAGCGACGGAGCAGGCCTGGCGGAGCATGTTGATGATGGCGATGATGAGCGAGCCGAAGCTGATGCTGCCGAAGGAGTAGGTGGTGGCGCGGCGGAAGGCGCCTCGGGTGGCGCCCTGAGGCATGCCCTGGGGGGATTTGGAGAAGAAGTACCAGGAGCCGTAAATGCCGGCGATGGTGGTGTGGACGGTGTTTTTGATCCATTCGCTGAACCAGTACATGGCGAAGGTGACGTAGATGACCAGGCCGATGACGCGGGCGGTGCTGCAGCCGCCGGAGCGACAGGCGGGGTTTGTGCCGGTACTGTCGGGCTCGTAGGCGACATAGATGGACACGAGGGTCACGGAGAACCAGGCGGCGAAGGCGACGGCGACGAGGCCGCCGATGGTGCTGACGAGGAACATGTGGCCGTAGCGACGGGAGATGTCGATGGAGACTTCCATCATGTAGGCTGTGAAAGGGATGCGGGGGATCCAGCTGATGAAGCAGATGATGGCGAAGACGCCGAAGATGAGGAAGACAATGCCACCGCCGTATTGCTTGCGGACGAGGTAGTAAATGGCGGTGCCGAGGGCAAAGACGATGTTCAGGATACCGGTGACCCAGATGAAGAGCTTGGAGAAGTAGCGGGCGCCGAGGAAGTAGGCGTAGGAAAAGGCCAGGGCGACGCAGAGAACGAAGATGAAGAGGACGAGGGTGTTGGTGTTGAGGGAGAAGTCGTTGGATGAGTCGTAGATGCCACCCCCGCTGAAGCCTTTGTATTGCGCATAGCGATGGATCGTCACGCCCGACACGGCGACGTAGCCGAGGAAGACTGCGATGAGCTATGCTGGTCAGTCTGGTGCGGTGCAGCGCAGGAAGGGTGAAGTGAGAATGAAGTTACCAAGAGCCCAGCCCAGATGTCATTATACTTGGGGCGCTCGACTTTGAAGGCCTCGTCGAAGCCATACACGGCTTGGTTGTAAGTCGGCGGCGGCCCCTGTGGCGGTCCCGGCGGTTTGGGTTCGGGCCCTTGATAGTTGCCATTGTATTGGTTGGGAGCCGGTTGGCCTTGATAGTAGTTGTACGGCTGTTGCTGAGGCTGGTCGCCAAAGCCCTGAGGAGGGTTGTAGTAGCTGGATGTCTGGCCGCTCATGGTGCTCTGTGTGTATGCGTGTGGTGTGGAGGTGATGACGAGGGGAAGTAAGGAAGCCAGGGAGAAAAAGGCGAGCGCAAGGGGAGCAACGACGTGGATGGTTACACTGCAGCAGCTCTGCTGGCTCGAGTGCGTCATCGAGAGCTGATCGCTGATCACCGCCCAGACGGAGGATTGATTCCACGGATCCCCTGAACTCAATCCCTCCCTCTATCTACGCCCAAGACCAATGCGATAATATCAATGTCACTCGTAGATATTTCTATGGAGGTATGTATGTACATGTAACATCGTCAGGTCGTCAGCCATCCCCGCACGCATGCGAGACCCCTTGACCACTTGACCATCGACGATGCTCGACGCGTCGGCCATTAAAGATTAAAAGATCCAGATGGAGAGAGTATGGTACAGGCATGAGGGCCGGCTGAACTAACACGAAACAAACAAGCTGCTGCTGGGGTATCAATAAAGACATCGCTCCTCCTATCGAAATGCATGGTTCCGCATGTGCCGCCACGAATCGCCAATCTTGCGCTCGATGCCGGGGATGGGCGTGCGCGATCGACCGGGCCACTCGTCCGTCGCCGCCTGGATCTGGCCCTTGTTCCATGCTCGCGACCGCCGCATGTTCTCGTGTCGCACCGCCGCCCGTCGCGCTGCTCTCAACTCGTCGATGCGCCCCTGCCCAACCCGGTGCCGTCGAATGAAACAGTCATCCAACAGTGCGTTGGCATCCAGCAACTTCTTCGGAACCGCCTGCACCACCTGGAACACCTCCATCGGATCGGACACGGCCATAATCTCCCGCTCGCACGCCTTGAAGATGGCCAACGACACCCGGAAGAACGTCTTGGACCCTTCATAGAAGAATACATCCCACACGCGCAGCGTCGTCTCCAAAGGCAACGTCCCGATGAACACCGACATGAGCCAGTTCGTCAGCCCCAGCGTGATATCGGGCAGACGCGACGTTACCGTCAGCGCCGGGGCCCGCGAGCCCCCGCCGAGCCCGCTGCCCGCAATCTTGTTATACACGTGCGGCGACGTCTCCTTGAGCAGAACCATCAGGATCCACAGATCGATGTTGGCGCCCTCCAGGCTGATCTCATGCGTGCTCGGGAGATACACCGAGCTGATGATGTGCAGCATCCAGAATGCCTTCTCTTCCGGCAGGAACAGAAGCAGCATCCCCGTGATGAAGTTGAGCGACTGCGTGTATCCGATCTGTGGGTTGTGCACTGCAAATGCATACAGCACGCGGCGCAGAGATTGGATCATCTGCGTCTCGACCGTGACGGACGCATGCTTCGGGTTGCTGCTGCCAGCGCCAGCGCCAGCGCCAGCACCTCCGAACTGGTCGGCCGATTCGGGTTTGAAGTGGATGTTGTCTGGAAACGTTCGGTGCAAGTCGCGTTCAATGTGCTCCTTGTCGTCGTTGCTCGGGGACTCCATCGCCTGCCGGACCAGCTGGTCGTAGAGCCCAGGGTTCCGGTTCAGGTGCTCGTATCCCCCGGCGTAGAAAAACCAGGCCGCGCCCCGGTACTCCGACGGGATGCCCTTGCGCACAATCCGCTTGACCTTGTTCGACTTTGGCGGGAAGGACATCGGATCCGTGACTGGCAGACGGTTCTCTCGGAGCAGTTCCACCCACTTGATTCGCCGGGTGGCTGCAAAGTCGGAGTAAGAGCTATGCCATGCCTCATACTGTTCTAGAGTCACATGGTGAGTCGCTTTCCGGAATCCGTACCGGTCACGAGGGCCCAGGCCCGGGAGTAAGGCCGGAGGCACCTCCCCGGGCAGGACCACCGTGGTTTCTTGACGTTCACGCGGGGAGGGGGATTTCAATGACGGCTCGTTCGGTGGCTCTTCCAGTACTTCTTCCAATGGCTCCTCCGGCATCACATCGCTGTCATACCGTTCGCCCAGGGACCCTCGCACAGGTGCATCCAGCTCTGGAAGCGGCGGCACGGGTGGAAGATCCTCGGTGGGATCCAAGTCGGGCGAATGCTCATCAGAAGTGTGGCCGTCGTCGAACGTCATTTCAGTAGGCGGGCGTGGACTCCACGGTCTGGCTTTGTCGTCATCATAAAACCCTCCGTCATCATACAGCCCCGGAGATCCTGGCTCCTCTGTCACATCGCTAAAGCCGTCGAGATACATGGATATAGCATCCTCCACACTCATGCCGCCATCTTTCTCATATGGACCGTCGGGGGTGTCAGGAGACAAGTCGGTGATCGAGCTGCTCTTGGTGAGGACGCTGCTGCGCTCCGTTCCGCTCGCATGCTCGATACTGGACCGCGAGGTCATGGCAGAGTTGACACTGGAGCGGAGTGCATCTTGCCCGTGCGAGTCCACATAGCTGCCCGGAGGCACGATGCGAGGCATTGGCAATCCATACGAGTCATCTCCGTACCGTTCCCGGGAGTGATGGGGTCTTGGACGCCGGCTGTGTAATTTGGAGGTGGACATGGAAATGCGCAGTCCGGGTGCGCCTGGCGGATTCTTCCGAGGAGGTTGACGCTCCATGTCGGCCTCTCTTGGAGCATATACTGGACGGCGACTGGGCGACACAGGGAATGTGGGGGTACGGCTGGCGGGTTTGCGGATGATGAACTCATCGTCATCATCTCGGCCGTAAGGGGACGGGGAGCGCCATGACTCTCCTGCAGGTACAAACGGAGGCTGAAGTCGTGGGGATCGAGGGACTGGAGGCGGAGGAGGATGGTGGGGAGGAGGAGGACGAACGCCGTCGGCGGTCGAGGGGCGCGGAAAGGGAGGATTAAGTCTTAGAGGATCCAGGCGGGGAGGGTTCGGGATCCTGCGACGGCTGGGGATATCATGCGCGCCTGCAAGGGGCGGATATCGAAAGTCTCCATTTCCTGTGACCATGGCCACGAGCTGATAAACCCCAGTTCCCGCTGGACATTTGTCGATGGATGAAGAACGAACAGGCGCAGTCGAAGACCGAGTCAGGGGCGAGGATTGTAGATAAGGCTGGCGGAAATGAAGAGAAAAAAAAAGAAACGAGAGGATAAGCGCTGTGGTGAACGAGTGAACGAGTGAAGAGGGCGAGTTTGCCCGACAGGCGCGAAGTGAAACGAGCGGAGGAAAGAAACGGACAGGTTAAGAATAGTAAGTAGAAGTAGTAGTAGTAGTAGTAGTCAGTTCACCCCGGCAGCCCACGATGCAGCGACTAGTCCATCAGCCAGTCTCACGATCCTGCCAGAGGGTCAATTCGAGACTTGATCTCATGGCGGAACAGGAGAAAGGAAGAGAAGAAGAAGAGGAAGAAGAAGAAAAGCGACGACGAGCCGAAAGGGAAAAGGGGAAAAACGCTGCGGGCCTCGATCGAGCCTAGCGCGGTCGATTTCCGTTGAAGTCGCAAAGAGCCAGTTGCGTTGGTTCGGTTTTTACTTACGGCCGGACCCTGTCCGGTAAGGTCCAATTTCACCGCTAATTTCAGGTACCGTATTCCCGTTACCTCTGTACACCAACAGGGTTTCAGCCGGCCGCCAGGATGAGATCAGTCGGACGGACGGCGTTTGAGGTTGATGATCAATCAAGCTGGTGCATGGTCCTCGAGTTGGAAGTACGGTGAACGGGGATGCTGCATACATACATGAACTCTCTCTCATAGGCTAATAGGTACAGACAAAGTAGAATCTCATAATGCCTTTGATTGTTCTCCTGCCCACGGGTTGGTTACACAAAGGTTGCATGATTGATCTCCACGCCTCGAAGCCAGTCACAAGAGGCTCTCAACCTCCATCTAGTTACACTTTATACATAGCATCTGCTACATACTACTGCACAGACTACTCCGTAGCGGGTATACATCCACGGAGATGCCTACTCGACCATGACAGGTCACTCACTGCATGTCGCCATGGCAGCTGCAGCCGCCGTGACGTTATGTACGGGGAGACACTGGATACATCTGCCAACCACCTATCCCTGCCATTGGGTCCGCCCCGGTCCGCCTGGGGACCGGATGGATGCATTGCATACCGTTGGATGATAAACGATCAGCCAAACTGGCTGCCTGGATGGCAGCGATCTGATGCCAACGGCCATGACGACTGGCGCTGGGCTTCCTTGGTACGGAAAGCGAAAAACCGGTTTGGCGCAATACCCAGTACCGGGCGGAGTCGGTTTCAGCTGCCCCTAGTCGGGTCCCACCCGCCGAAGCGCCAAGGTTCGATTCGCTCGACAGCTGCTTGCCGTTTTAGTTCATAGACAATCTGTTTTATCCCTTCTCTGAGTTCTGACTCTCGCGGGATCCACCTCGTTATGTATGTCCTTCCGAGTAAGACCGGCTGCTCTTTCTCTACCCTCCGAAGAACTGGGTTCCCAACCGGCCAGGGTTCACGCCGTATCATTCTATACTAATTCCTTCGGGGTTCGCGACGCCCTCACATGATTCTAGCGGGGCTCGATCGTCCCGTGATGCGGCCGCGCCCCACCAGCACCTACTGCTTCGGGAACTTTTCCCTAAACCTAATTCGATAAAGTTTGATGCTCAAGGCACCGTATCGCTTCACTTTAGCACCAACCGAAGGCAACCAGGCATTTCTCCTCGGCCGTATCTAGTCCCGTCGTTCGGCTCATATCTGATCTATCGCTTACCTCCAGTGCATTGCGCCTCCTCTCATGATATAAACGGGGTGGATGAATCTCGCGCATGCGTGGCTTGGCCTCCCAAATTTGGATCGTAAGATACTTTCACTAAACCGAGACACACTTGACACACCTGCGCGGCTACGGGGCTGGTACTTAGCCTTGCTCCGTTGCTTCGCCGAGATGCTACTATCAGAAAACCCAGTGGAATACTATTGATGTCAACGGATGTCAAGAAGCTCTTGGTGATCCCTGATCGGTAATCAAATCTCAGTCTCTAGTGTGTCCCGAATGGGATAATGCCATTAACTGGTGGGTCTCCTGCGCGTCATGGCAATGACGAACGTGTTCTCGACCAGGAAATATAGTCCCAGAGGGCGGCTCAGTCGAGATTGCAATGCCTCAGTTGGCCTCGATAGGGATGATGCCAAGTTTTTTTTCTGTCAAGACGTTAGGCTTGGCCTTCACTGCCTTGCATTTATTTTTAAAACTGGATCTGGTTCGGATCCCTGGCGACAGGGAAGAGTCCCACCCCCAAACTCCTGGTTGATTATTGCGCCGTTCGTGTCACTTTCACGTTCATGTGTTTTTGTCGCACGAACCATGCATTGACCACCTCCCATTCGGCTTCCGGCTCCGTCAATTCAACCTGTGAGTTGCACACATCAGCCAACGTCCAACAGGTCACATATGGTAGAGCATGGGAGCGCACATACCTCATATGCCAAGAGCAACGATGGTATCAGTTTATATATCTCCAACAAACTGATATTCTTCCCAATGCAGGTTCGGGGGCCAGCCCCAAACGTCAGCGTCGCCCCTAGCATATTCTGCCTGCGCGCTTGGAACTCCGTTTCAGATTCACCGTTACCCCGCAGCCAACGCTCAGGAATGAAGTTTTCTACCTCCTTTCCAAAAACGGTATGGCGATGAATTATCCACGGGTTGACGCCTACAATCGTCCCGGCTGGGAGAAAGGGGCCACTTGGCAGTTGGAGGCCTTCCGCAGGGACCACCCTCTCCAGAAGAAGTCCTACGGCAGAGTGCAGACGGAGAGCCTCCTTGATGACTGCATCGAGATAGGGGAGTTCTTGGCTTTGTTTCCACGATACGGGAACGGTAATCCTCCCTGCTTGAAGCGCCCTACGCAGCTCCTCCCGAAGCTTGCTCAATATTTCGGGATGTTTCAATGTGTAGTATAAGACTGCTCGGAGCGAGATGGCAGTTGTATCAGATCCCGCGTTGACGTTGCTGACCGTGTAGGAAAATACCTGGGTATCGTCAACGATGTCGGGGTGAGTAGTTTTGGCTTGGAGGAAGCGGGTCAAAAAGTCCCTTTGACGTCCGGGGTAATCATCCGATTTACTCTCAGACTGAGACAGTCGCTCATGCATCCGATCGCGCGCAAAGCGTGCAACAGCACCAGTGGAGCCGCCTCGGATGAGCTACCAGAGAGGGTTCTTCTTTAAGACATCGTCTAGCCAGGGCATCTGGCCGATCTAGACATTGACGGCTGTCAGCATAGATGAGATAACATCAGCATGCAACCGACCTTTCCTACATAATCGAGCGTTTTCTCCAACGACGCGATGATCCCCTCCACGTCACGGCCCTGCTCAAGGAAGCCCAGCTGTTTGCCGAACGTCATTTCGCCGATGACATCGAATGCGTCTGCGCATATCAGTCTCCTTCCGATCACAGAGCCACCGGTCCTCTTACAATATTGCAACCATACAGCAATATCAAACGCCCTGTTCTTCTCCGAAAACTCGTCCAACCGCGTAAATAACGTCAGGATGGTGCTATCGACGAACGGCTCGAACTCTGCGACCGTACTCATCGAATATGCCGCCGACACTGGTCGTTTAATCTTTGCATGGAAGTCCTCATCGAGAGTTGTGAACAGAGTTTCAGTCGACTTGCCTTTTGCAAGCTGCTGCTGGACACGGTAAAATCCGGTCTATACCACCACTCAATTAGCCCACAGAATCCCCAAGAACACCGCCAGAAAAACATTGGAAGTATGCTTACCTTCTTATACCCTTTCTTGATCCCATAAATCACCTTCAAAGCATCTAGGTTGGCCACACTAACCACCTTCGGTCCCAACCGCACATACTCCCCATGCTCCTGATGCAATCGATCAAGAGTCACCTCGGGTCTTCCCCGCGCGACATCCACAAACCGCCAAACATTCGATATCTTGGCCAGAAACGGGCCCGGAATTCGGACTACCCCAGGAGTGAAATAATTTCGCGTAAAATGTACAATGACGATAACTAAACCTAGCTCTGCGATATGTGTTGAGATGAACGGAATGATGTTGGAGAGGATCGCCATGTTGCGTGCACTTGTTCACTTTAAGCTTGGCTCTTGATTGGGAAAATTAGTTGGTATCCTAGATGAAATATGGAGTAAGTATGTAAGTAGGTAGAAAGAGAGAGCAGACTGCCCTCTCACTTATCTATTTACTTATTTATCGAAGACAGTATCCTTTAACGGTTCTCCGCATAAGAGTGGAAAGATTCCCGTTCTTTGTTTTGGGGATGACAGTATTACCGAGGCTGCAGCTGCAGCTCGCCGTTTGGGGGTTGGGATGGATAAGTTATGAGGGGTTTTGGTGGTATTAGAGTGCATATCGGTGATTGTCGGCTTTTTGTTCATATGCAGGGGACGTCGTCATACGGGGTATGGGGTAAGTAATATTAACATGGGTAGAGTGTGCCTGGTTTTTGAGTCTTCTACACTTCAAGGTGGAATGGGTTTGTAAATTGCTTTCTATGTTCGATTGAATGGCATTAGGCGTGAGTAAATGGAAGGGGGAAACGGTGCCTCTACATCATGATGGCAGTGCCATACTTCTGTCCGAGAAGATACAGCAAGGATATGGGTGCTATCTTTCCGATTGATACTATTCACGAACGCAGCCAGGAAATGCGAATGCCTATGCAGATCTTCCTACGTATATATCTATTTTCGTGTCCTTCTCCCGCCGTCAAATGATGCTAACAATGCCCCATGCTAGTGTGAAACAAACAAGTTCCTTTCATTTCGCCAGATTATATCTCGCAGCCCCGTAGTTCCAGATGCATTCTCAGTTCCAGAAGGGGGCAGAGCACCTCCTGCGCCACTCCGTAGACCACAGCCCACCTCATGAAGTTGTGGCATACTTGCGCGTCCACTCCTTCGCAACCTCATCGTACCGCTTCCGGTCATTCTTGTATTGTTCCGCAATTCGTCCCTCCACGGCATCATCGGGCATGGGTTCTGCGAGCAGCTGACGTGCAAACTGCAGCACAGCCTGGATCCGGGAGCTCGGTTTCCATTCATCTGCGCGGAGCATGCCCAAACACATGCTTCCCTTGTCGTCGTTGGTTACGTTGGGGTGGTAGATCTTCGTCTTGAAGGAGACTGTTGGTGGTTTGAAGGGGTATTCGGTAGGGAGGGAGAGGTTGAGGAGAAATTTGCCGTTCTATGGTAGGAAGTAACGTCAGTGAGGGTCGTTGTGGTGAGTAGAGCAGTAGGTAGGAACTCACATGGTAGGGGGACCCTTCAGGTCCGTCCATGTATACGTGCCATGTGTAAAGGTTGGATTCGTCGGCCAGCTTCACCACAATACCATCAGGGGGGATTCGACAAGCTCGGCAAGCTCCTGTGAGTCACGTGTCAATTGTGATCTGTCGTGTGCGGTGAGGAAGATGATGCGGAACATGATCGCATTTGCTCTGTGCTGCTTACCTTGGCTATCCGCTTCTGGCTTCCCATGGTGGATATCTAGATCTGATAGATGCTGGTGTGGTTGTGGGTGTGGGAAGGAAGAGCGGGGTAAGGAATCGAGGGTAGGTTGATGGCGGGACCGGACAGGGGCTTTTGCGAAACGTAAAGTCAGCCAAGCATCAACCGCACGGAGAAATCAGTTCCAGTTCCTCTGAAGGTTATCGGTGAATGACGGAGGGGGAGGAAAGGAAGGAGGAGCTGTGCTGCGAAGCTCCTTTGGCATGGCGGGGCGGGTCAGGCGGGGCGGAGGATCGGCGGCAGTGGCAGTGGAAGACGTCAGTCAGCGTCGCTTACGGCCAAGAGTAGTACTTTCTTTCATTCTTCAATCTTGAACACAACGACAGACATACATACAGTTAACCAGGAAAAGAATATACCGCTCCAACCCGCTTGAAAACCAGACTAACAATATAAACTCATGATTCACACTACACAGGAGATGACATCCCATGCGCGTCCTTCTGGGTGTGGTTGGCTGTCCCAACTTCCCAGTACTTCTCCTTCCTGCCCCTTTTCGTGATGAGACCGACAATGTCAAAAGGATCAACCACGGTCAGGATCACGGGCCGGGGATCATCATAACCAGGTCCTTCAATTTCTGTGACCCCGTCCGTCGCCAGATATATTTTGTTGGAGCGTGGAAGCCATCGCATCGGATGGAAGACATTCAGCAGGGTGGTGTTGGCATACATCACAACAGCCTCGAACACCCAGAAGAACCACTCATCCTTGAGAATTGGACTGATATTGTTGCCGCTAAAAGTGTTGATGCTCGCAGCGCTAAAGTATTCCACGGTCCGAAAAATCGTGCGCACGGTAATCAGGGTGCAGCTGCAGTACAGCACATACAAGGCTCGTTTAATCTTGGCATTCAAGACTCCCCCACGATGGCAGTTGTAGTGGAATCTGGAAGCAAGGGCCACAAACGCTGCCATCAACACAAGTTGCAGGATCAGCGCTGCTTTGAGCAGTGCTTCGCCGGTGTTTCTTTTACCTTCGGTCGCCTCGGAATTAGCGACCAGCGCGGCGCCGTTACCTGTGATGGCTTCGATCACCGCACCCACGGCAATAAAGGTGGTGAAGACCCGACCAGGATGAATCGGCGAATGGTACGGAATGTAATAAAGGATGCGACCCAGAGTAAAGTAGTTGGCACCCTCATAGACCGGACTAGACAACAGTCAGCAAGGACATCCATTGACACTATACGTCCGCGAATACTTACGGCCCGGCTAACAATAGGACAGTGCTCGCGATATAAAGACCCACGTTGTCCCACTGCCCGAAGGCACCGATGATACGCGTCACAAAGCCTGCTGTAAAGAGAAGAGCAGACCAGGGTAGGAGACCAGTCACTTTCCATGACTTATACATACTGCAAACACAGTTAGGCGCTAGCTTGAAGATACCTGGGGCTGGATACATACCAACACTGGTAAGCGTGTAACATCCCCGAGACGGCGAACAGGATTGCGAAGGATATGGGTGCCCCTTGAGTAGGGGCATAGTACCAGAGGCTTCCCTCTTCTTCTTAGTGTTAGTAGATATCCAATGGCCGATGGACTTGAAGAAAATGCATACGATAGGGGGATCTTTTCTCAAGCATGGTTGCGCCCTTGATCTGACTGTCTGAGACAAGGAAGATATTGGCTACAGCAATAATCGCCAGAGATGCTTGATGGGGTTGTTTGGTTCAGATGTGCTACTTTTTCTTGCTTCATTCCATCAGAGCCTTCCTAGAAGTATATATACTGCACCGACATCTGCATCTTTGGCTGTGAAGCACAAGCGAAAACGAGCATACCGTTTTGGGTAAGCGTCAGATCCAGAGTGTTGAACCTTGGGAATGGCCTCAACTCTAATGTGAGACGACCAGTTGACTACTATCTACCCAGCACCAAGCAGCCTAAAACCCTCAATACTAACTTGCACGGCTCCACCTGTGATGGCTGATGGTTGATCATCACATGGGACTCCCACGTTGGAGCACTGGACTGGCTCCTGATGGCAACTCGTAGCTGCTGGAACCGTCGCGTTGGACCCTGACCTGAACAACGCCTGGGATGGAAGGGCCAAGACGAAGGAATACGAGCACTGGAGCAGGGCTGAGTCGGGCCAGAAGGGTGGGGCAGCAGCTCGTATCTGGTCCGCCACTCAGAGTAGACCCTGACCAGGTGATGCTGCAATTTTGGTGCCTGGCAGAATAGGCACTCAATACGGCTTACCTCATCTGAAACCAGGTGTTGTCAGGACAACACGGGTCCAAACCCAAAGGGGCAAAGTCAACATACCGGGGACGTGATTGCTGGCCTGGACTCTTGCCTTCTCCAGCTTCGATTGTGCTTCGATCGGACCCCCATATCGCCCAAAAGACGTACGACAACTCACTCCGACGCCAATCTATTCAACCGAATGTGAAAAGCCCACGTGGATAGCTTGCCATCATGAGCTCCACCAAGTCCTCCCCAGCATCCCTGTTCCAGGTCTACCTCCGCCTGCGGCCCCCGATGGCCCAGCACGTCCAGGATCAGGCCGAACGATGCTTGACAGTCGAGTCGCCCGGAACAAACGTCATTGTTGAAGATGGCCTCGAGGCACCGGCCTCATTCTCTACTCATATCACTCTGCAGCCGCCCGTCGACTCCAGAAAGCGTGCAGTTGAAAGGTTCGGTTTCACCAAGGTGTTTGAAGAGTCGGCATCCCAGCTGGACGTCTTTCATGGCACTGAACTGGAGTCTATGGTTCGTGGGGTGCTGCTTGAAGGCAGGGATGGCCTTATTGCGACGTTGGGCGTGACGGGTAGCGGAAAGGTCTGCTACACCGCAATCCGTGGATGAACATGTGCTGACGAGGATGACCTGTAGAGCCATACAATCCTGGGCTCGAAGACCCAGCGAGGAATTACGCAGATGAGCCTTGATGTGATCTTTAAATCTTTGGCCTCAACAATCAGGCCACTCGACAATTCTATCAGCCCTCTTCTCCTCTCCACCGTGGCCGCCTCAGACGTATCCGAGTCCCAGATGTTTACAGCACCGACGTTTCTCGAGGCCGTATATGGTGACCCCACAGAGCGTGGAAGAAGTTCTAGAGCCCAAACCCCAATGAGCACTGGAAGGGCCAACACCCCTATGACGGTATGGAGCCCACCCCCCAAGAACCCATTGCAAGGCACCGCACGGTTCTCCCCGTTGGTCACCACCTGCACTGGACCCTATCCCAGGATATACAGCGGATCGCCCTCACGATCAAGCTACATCAATCCCATTATCATGCACCCTATTTTGAGAGAAAGGATGAAGCAGCAGTCATCAGTTCAGCCAAGTTTGAGAGAAGTACCTCGCGCTAATACATTATCTCATACTATACAGGATCCCATGCCGGCTATTATCTTCCCTCGTCGCAATATGCCCCAACGTCCTGGCAATGCGCCCCGCTCGCCAGATGTCAGTCACCTCACCATGGAGCTGAACCCGCATTCAGAATATGTTGTGCTAGTGTCGATGTACGAAGTTTACAATGACCGCATCTTTGATTTGCTGTCACCTGCTGTAGCACCTGGCCAGGGGAGCACTATGTCTCGCCAGGGAGGAAATGCGCAGAAGGACCGACGAAAGGCACTGTTCTTCAAATCCACGGAAGGCTCCCCTGATCGCAAGATTGTCGCAGGACTGCGTAAGATTGCGTGCAGCACCTACGAAGAAGCCTTGTCAGTGCTCGAAGTAGGCCTTACCGAGCGCAAGGTTACAGGAACCGGTGCCAACAGCGTCAGCTCCCGTAGTCACGGATTCTTCTGCCTAGAAGTCAAGAGAAGAATGCGGAACAAGCGAACTGGTGAAGAAATGTGGATAGGCAATACCCTCACAGTAGCAGATCTTGCTGGTGAGTAATGACGCTTCGCATACTCCGGCCAAGCTAACATAAATAGGTTCCGAGCGCGCGCGAACTGCGAAGACGGCTGGCTCGACTCTTGCCGAGGCCGGCAAAATTAATGAGAGCTTAATGTATCTTGGACAATGTCTTCAGATGCAAAGTGACATTCAGGACGGGAACAAGGTATGTGACCAAATTCTCGGATGTCGATCATCGGATCTTGTTGACACAAATAGGCGGCCATGGTTCCGTTCAGGCAATGCAAGCTTACGGAGCTACTCTTCTCGAATTCTTTTCCATCTTCCAATCAGACGTCTGGTTTTAATCGCCGCCCACAGAAAGCCATCATGATTGTGACCGCCGATCCTATGGGAGATTACAATGCCAACTCACAGATTCTGCGCTACTCGGCATTGGCTCGTGAAGTTGCCGTGCCCAGAGCCCCTTCGATTGCCGAATCTATCTTGTCTAGCACGCTGGGGTCTCGTCATGGATCTACCAGTGGACGCAATACTCCGAGCCCCAGCACGAATGAAGAGCTCGAGAAGGCTGCCGTAGAGATCGCGAGACTGACGGCCGAGACTGAATCTCTTGCCGTAAAGCTGGCCGAAGAGGAGATTCTGAGGGCGGACGTCGAGATGAGATTGAAGGCTAGCGAGGAGAGATGCATCCTGATTGAACAGGAGGTGCGCGAGGAATGCTGGAATGAAATGGACGAGCGAATGGAAGAGGAGAGAAAGAGGTGGCAGAGTGCCTGGGATCAACAGGTAGGATTGTTCAGACGTCCCATCAAAGGTTCTTACTAATTGTGATAGGCCGGGTTTAACGACGAGCATCTGGACAAGAAGATCGAAATCGTGTCCCGAGGATTCCAGAGTAAGCTTCAATCGTCTGTGCTCTCCCTCAATTGTACTGACATTTCCTTTCAGTTCACGAAGATCCTCAGCCATCCTCAAATGAGCGGATCGAGGATCTCGAGTTCGAAAACGACCAGCTCCGCAGCAAAATTGCTACCTTAGAGCGCGAGCTGACGTGTCGGTCCCCTACCAAGAAGCCCAGGTCCAAAAATACTCTCGAGACTTCTCGCAACTCTAACATCCTCGGACGCGAGAGTGACATCGAGGGCGCACTTAAACGCATGGACCAGCTGAAGCTTGCAGACAGCATGTTCTCTCCAGTCCCGCAGACCAGTTCCCCTGGAAAGAGGCAGAGAAAGATGGCGACTCGGAAATGGGACCTGGCTCCCGAAGAAGACATCTAAGTCATCACTGCGGTCTCTCTTCTGTTGTGATTTCACAGGATACCTTAATTGTGCATGATTATGGATTTTACGGTCGGAAAAGGGTGTATTGGGTGTTTTGGCTGATTATTACGGGGATACCATGGTTTCTTCATGTTGATAATCATAATAATCTCTATGATACATGCATGATTCACACTTCACGTCGGCCCTACAAAAAACCCTAGATGCTAGTGTCTCCTAAACGCCCGCCGAACAACATTTCACATAACACAGAATCCGAAAGCACAATCATAGTGTTGTTGGTAATGTCCTGCTAGTTCGATGGATTCGATAATTCATCCCACCTCACGATAACAAGGCTTGTCTAGGATTCCATTGGTTCGGGTTCAGATTCATCTTCGCTTTCCTGGTCTGTCCCTGGAATCTCGGCCTGCTCGGCCTGTTCAGCGTCATCGTCGACATCTTCGTCGTCGTCGCCTCCGTCACCGTCACCATCACCGTCTTCGCCGTCATGTAGACCTTCCATGTCAACAGTGTCATTTGGTTCGCCATTGTCTTCCTGATCTCCTTCGTCCTCATCCTCATCCTCGCCCTCGCCCTCGCCCTCGCCCTCTATTTCTTCGTCCCCACCGGCTTCATTCTCTTCGTCACCTTCCAGTTCATCGTCATCGCCATCTGCAGTGTCTTCGACTTCTTCCACCATAGTGTCGCCTTCACCTTCTATAAGCTCGGTATCGCCCTCTCTTTCTCCCTCCTCTTCTAGATCGCCTGTAATCTCGTGCGTCCCTTCCAGTTCCGACTCGGGGTCTATAGACCCCCGATCGTCAAGGTTAGGGAACAATAATTTGCGCTCGGTTGTCAGCTTGGATAATTTCTCGTCATCAATTTCGCTGAGCTCGCTCTCATCATCTGCGCTATCGTGCAAGCTGTTCGGAATGTCGCTCTGTTGTCCGGCCCCGAGTTCTTCGGTAGCCGGTTCAAGAAGATCAGGTTTGATCGGCTTGGGAGCGGAAGTTGGGGTAGCCTCGGAAGTGTTGGCCTGTTCGGCTTCTGTAATCGCAGGGGCTTTGGCGGTGGGAACGCGTGGTGCGACTTTACGGTTGACAATTGTCTCGGCTCGCTTTTGGATATCGCGTCGTGCGATACCCTTTGTACGACCGCGAGGGGCGGGCGCCTCGGACGCCGGGGCTGAGGTCGGAGGGGTAGGAGTGTCGGCGACACCGTCACTACCCATCAGGAGGTGATCAACCTTCATCCTCTCCTTGTTTTCTTCGTTGGCTTGCTCGATGACTTGCGGCATGTTGACTTCATACAATCGGGCATAGAGATCTGCAATGAGATCTTCGAGTAGCGAGACCTTCATCAGGTTATTGTTCAGCTTCTTCAGCTCGATAGCGTCCCGAAGCAGTTCGAGAAGAGATGGACTCTCCAGTGACAGCTGCGAAAGTTCCTCTAGGCGGGCAGTGTTGGTAACGAATTCTTCCCATCCAATGGGCTTGAAGACGCCGTCTTCATGTCCTTCGCTGATATGACCAGCTCTTCTAATCACTTTGGCATAGGTGAGAGAGGCATCCTCCCAGAGCTTGCCGTGGTTGATAAAGTCACCCTGTTTTTTCCGCACTCGGCGCAGTAATTGGTCGAGGTTGACTCGATCATCGAGCTGATCGAGAAGACTGACAAAGAAGTATGCGTAGCGGGTGGTGTAAACGAAGTGCCGACCAGGGCGCTCGAATTCGGGCCTCCAAACCTGGATTGTCATTGTCTTGGTGAATATTTGTTGGGTGAGCTCATTCTTCGCGGCTGCAGCTGCAGCCGGAGAGTTCTTGTCGTCATCGTAAACGACGTGTGCAGCCTAGAGGAGGTAAGCCATTGCTCGAGATGATGGGGTGGTAGATAGATATGCATACCCTGACAGCCATACGGTGATGCCAATTCGACTTATCTGCACTCTTCAAGTTTCGCAGTACATCGAGGATATATCTTTTCCACGCCGTCTGGTCTTCTGGGGGTCGCACCTTGCGAGCCCAAGGAGTGGCTAGAAGCGTTTTGCTTCCCTCTGCGGCCTGAGGAAGAATTAGCTAGGCTCCAAAGTTACGAGTGGACATTCGCCTACCGTTAGATCACCGCGATGCACAAGCTTATGCACTATGGATACCAGCTTATAATGAGGTTCGAAAATAGGATCCGAGCGCGAATCCTTCCGTTGCGGAAGGGCATCGATGGCATCAAGCAGCGAATCCAGGACCACGTCAACATCGATTCGTGTGAAAGTATCTCTTACAGATTCATCACAACTATACATCTTCCAGAGACATTTGCTCAGCATATAATGAGTCCTAAGTCGCTGTTAGTCTTTTACCATCATGCCCGTGGGAGATCAACACACATCCAGTTCTTGGGCTTGTCAACAAGGGCACGCTTAAGTAGATAGCTCGCAAGGTTCCAGACAGTATACAGCTTCATCTCTTGGAAAGGCCTCCCTTCATACATGCGCTGACTTTCCTCGTTGCTGAAGTGCCGCGTGAAATCGGCTAGACTGAAAGCCCCCATGGAAAGTGGCGCACGGGAAGAGGAGTATAAACGGATACCGAAATCCGTGAACAAATCTGAAAGCATGGCACGAGTCTCGAGAGTTGGGGCTGAGTGTTTGATCGCCGTTGCAATGGCCATGGCATAGCAATGTATTGCATTGCGCTGCCAAGTGACCAGCTCCATCCGATTGTTATTGATCTTGTCGGCGGACCAGGTAATGTCTTCCTCTAGCTTTGAGTCGTACGTCTGAGCAAGTCGGTACCAGGATTCCCATCTTGTTGTTCCGTGCTCCAGATCTTGTCTAAACCATGTGATGGCATCATCAAGGTCGGTAGTCGGTACAGGATTCAGACGCTTCTGGGAGCGAAATTTGGTTAAAGCAGCATGACCCAGAAGGAAATACCAGCCGTTCTGGGCGATAATCGCACTCTCCGCAGGTACGGGAATCAACGGAAGATCTGCAACTCCCTGGATGGCACGGAAGATTTCCGAAGGATTCAAGGGAGACTTCAGGTATGCAGTGATAATCCGCTTGTTGTATGATAGCGGAGGCGACGACTTTGTAGTACCGATGGCTTGCTGCATCTTATCAATTGTGGACTTCAGCTCTGACTTGGACAAATCTTTGATATTCATCTTCTTAGCCTGCCTCATGACGAAGTCTACCATGACGATAGCCGTGGAGCGGTCTAGCTTCTCGGGAGGACATCCATGGTCATACAATAGACCGTCTACAGGCGACAACTTGATACCGTAGATGTCGTACAGGATCTGACAGATATCTAGTTCAACGTCCTGTTTCACATCTAGAGTGAACAGCTCGGACCTGACCAATTTGAGGAATTGCTTGTGGGAGAACCTGCACATCCTGCGGATGCCGAGTGCATTATGGACGGATCGTAAGTAATGTATACGATCTTCCAAGGGGGTTTCGAACGCTTCATCATTCTGCGCGATGGCTTCTTTTATTAGCGTATATTGCAGGATCCAACAACGGACCTGCATTTCGCGTAGCTTGTCCTTGAGGCTTTCCAGGGATTTCGCCAAAGCCCCACGGAGATCCGGGCCCGAAAGTTTTCCAACACGAACCAAATCCTCGTACAATGCAAAGCTATGCAAAAGTTTGGTCAAATGAGCCACTGCGGACATTGACGACCTCAGATGGTCCATGTCAAAGCACTCATATGCCTTGTCTGATTCGTGCAAGATGGTTGTTACAGCCTTGTTCAAGATGCCGTCAAGTGATTTCAGCCACCTAAGCAGGGTGATCTGTCGGTGCTCACGGGGTTCCTCAAGATGTGCTGGACTCCGGAGCTCTCTCAGAATTGTCTCGATGCTGCGCAGGTAGCAAGACACGACCTTGGGAGGGTACTCGATCTTTTTGTATGCGTCTTGCAGCCTCCTCCAGAGAAAAAGTCTTAAGCTGGCATCTCCCCGATCCAGGAAGGAGCCCATTTCACGGAGCTGTGAAGCTGATTGCTCTGATTCTTTTTCATCGAGGCCGTCTTGGACGAATAGGACAGAGGAGGGTTCAAGGATAGGCTCAATGGTCTCGATCAGACCAACAGGATCGTCTGACGTCGGGTTGAAGATCCTCATGAAGAAATCCATCGACTTCAATTTTGAGATCTCCTGGTCAACTGCTTCCAAGGACAACTCGGGCATTACTGCATTGTTAACAAGGTTTATCACTGGATTGTTGAGAGACGTCAAGAAAAACTTCAGTTCTTGGAGACAAAGCAGTACGTGTTCTCTCTGGATATCTCTACCCATATTTGAATGGAACGTCGATGCCCAAATGTGACGAAGAACGACTCTTTCTCGGGCATTGCTGGGAGAGCTGTATTCCAGGAAGTGAGTAAGCGATGTTCGTGCGAGTAAGCACCATCGTTCCAACCGATCTCGCTGCAAAATTCTCGTTCTGCCGTCCACCTCACTGTTTGGATTGTTTATGGATGCATATACATCGAGATGAAGCTCGAATAGTGTTTGAAGCATCTCCAGATCCGCGAAATGTTTCAGAGTGTAGGTAAACGATTTCTCTGTAGCACTGGACAGTATTCGGTTTTCTAGCTCATCGACGTGTTCGCGCATTTGTTTGTAAACGTGTTCGTCTTCATGCAGCAGTAGTTGCACCACTGTTTCTTTCAAGACATCAGGCCACTGGTAAAGAGTATACGCCGACTCCATGACGGGCCAGTCCTGGGGTACCATATCATCTGTTGCGCATCTCGCGAAGTCTGGCATTAGAAGCGTTTTGAGCCAGCAAAGGGCGACATCATGTATGTGAAACCATCCATCATTAATCGTCCTGAGGAACATGTATAATTCATCTTCTCCGGAGAGGACCTGCTTCATGCCCAATTTTCTGGTCGACTTCCTAGAGTGTTCTAGAAAGATCGCGAGTCCAGACTTTCCCATACCTCGGATATCCTGAAGGGTGGAAAGGTTGTCTGGCTGGTGCATGACTTGAGATTTAGCTTCGTCCCAATTTTTCAGAAGGTCCATTAGATCCCGGGCAAATAGATGTCCTGTATCCTCAACAGCAATGAGGTTTGCGGAGTCATTGCTCTCGTTGGTAGAGCAGACTTGTTTTCTCAGATCATCAATGACTCCCAGATCCTCCACCCCAAATTTGGATAGCAAAGAGCCTACAGTACTAAACAACCATTCATCGGCTTGAGTAAACCCTTCGAGACGGTCCTCATAGTACTTATTCAGATCGAGAGTGACCTCTTCTGCTTGAAAGGAAACATCCTCGGTAGCTTCACGGAGACGGGTTCTCCTGGCTTTCGCCCGGATACGGTCTGCCTGGTCCTCTGTTACAGCCGAAGCAGAGGATCGTTTCCGTCCACTTGAATGCGGTTTTACATCAACCTCTTCAGCATTTGCAGTTTCCTGCTGACTGCCCGGATTGTGTGGCTGAGTTGACTGGATCTCTAGAGATTCCATGAGCTGCTTCTCGGCGCGCTGATCGATAGATGAATGGTCATCGACTTGCTCTACAACGGCATCGGGACCTTCGATTTTCACATTTGGTTGGGTTTCTTCAGACATGACAACATCTTGCTGTTGGTTTAATTTGATGTCGCCAACCTGTGCATTCGAGGCTCGACGCTGAGATCCTATAGCCTTCATCTCAGGACTGAGAGCTGGCAAAGATATGCCAATAGATGTTCCGGGTCCTGTCTCCAAAGCACCGATTTCTTCTTCAACGAGCCTTTGGAGTATAGACCTGCCAACAGCTGCCCAAGTAGGGCTAACGGGCTTGACCTCATGGCGAGAACTGCGTAGGGCAAGAGGGCTCTTCGACGGATCCGTGTCCCGGAGATCCAATGGCAGAATAGGGAGGTAAGGATATGGATCTGCCTGGCGTTGTAGAAACTTAAGGAGAGCTTTCTTTGGCTTTTTCAGTGGGACTTGGGCCAAGGACAGTCTGTCAAGCAGCGACCGTAACACACCGCGCAGGCGCTCCTCGGCAAAAGTCTCTTCTAGTCCCAGTTGCTCTGTCTGAATCTCTAGGCGGTTATCGTCATCTGCAAGGACGCTTTCAAGACAGTATCGTGTTAGTCGGTAACTTTGCAGGGCACTACAAAGTCTTGCGCTCTGTCTCCAGAGGTTCAAATCCGAGTCATCGCGCTCCAGGGCCTCTGCGAACGACGTCAAAGCTGCCCTGGTTTTTTCATTGACTTTCACTTGAGAGTCTTCGGCCGCATCAGATGAGTTCGAAACATCCTGTAAAGATGCGCGCAACGCATCTAGGATGTACTGTCCATGGTTCTTATATGACAGGTAGATAGTCTGCATCAGAGTGCTAGAAGTGGAGTCACTGATATCAAACTCCGCGAGTGCTTGTGCTGCACCCGCACCTGCTGCATCATCATAGTGAAATGGTTCAGGGTCGTGAAGGGCGACGCGCTTATAATCCGAAACTGACTCTGGATATTTGAATATCTCGGATTCCAATAGAGCATCATAGGCTTCCGCGGCTTGCGCATAAAACTGCGGACCCTGGGAATGGAGCTTCAAGGCATTTTGATAGAGCTTCAGGGCCTCCTCGATCTGAATTTCCTTAGTGTCATCGACTTCCTCTTCGACTGCCTCGTCCGGTTCGATATTCAACGCCACCCAGCTGGCCATGATGCCGGATAATTCAGGGCGCAACAAGCTCCCTGACAGCGGTAGTGAATCGGGGCCTGCTTGACCACATCTCAGGACAGATGAGAAGTAGCGCCGTACCTGAGGGAAGGCCCGACCTGGACGGCTTTTTTGGGCGTGGAGATGGGGGTGGAAGATCGAACAAGTAAGAGGAACAGAAAGAACGGGGAATGCAACTCCAGCTGCCGCGGTCTAGAGCCCGTGACCAACACGCGTTGCGCGGGCGGAGGTTTCCCAAAGGGGCAAAGGCGGTGCCGGGGGTGCCTGGGGCCCGGTCTGTGCCTGAGGAAGCGGCCAGGCATTCATCGATCGCCGCCATCCGTCAACGAACGACCGGCGAGCCAGCGACCCTGCGCTCTCTGCTGCGCCTCTTCTCTTCGCTTCGCCCGATCGTGGATGCGCCTTTTGCTCCCGATACTATTTGGTTTACCCTCGTGATCCCCCCCTGAGTCCTTGTCTGCGCTCTTGCCAGCGCCATGGTCGCGCCAGCTGTTCCCGAGTATGCCTTCCCCTCGTTTACGTGTCCTGTGACTTGTTATCGAATGTATTGGGCCCACTATCATTGCCCTGCAACTGACCCCTGAGTGTGAGCAGAATCTATGAGGAGGAGGACAACATCTTCGCCGCCGTTGATGCACGCTCCGAGTCCCTCCAGAATCTCCGGGAATTAGGTCCACCCGATTTGGTTTATCTGGTCAAGCAACCCAAGACCAACGCCCATCACCAGGTACGTCGTCAGAACTGCGGGCACGGTGGACAATGCGATGACAGTAGCTAACTCATTTGTCCTTGGGACGGATACAGACTGGCGTTTACCACCATGTCACCGGCGTCGATGCCTCTTCCTCCGCCAGCCTAGCCGCCTATGTAAATACGCTCACCTTCTCCCCGCTGGATAAAACACACAAGGTGGTTTCGGGGATCTATTGGTTAGAATACCGGCTGGCAGTGTCTATCATCGCCGGAATGTTAACGGATGAACAGCTGCTACAATGCCTTCTCCCACCTGGATATGCGCGTCGAAGTCAAAATCCCCGGTACGCTGGAAAGCTACTGCATCGATGAACGCGGAGATAAGCGAGTTGCGACAGAAGCCCTCTGGCTGGAGACTTTCCTGTGCGGTATCCTGCGAGCCTATTCATATGCGGACAATGGAAGCGGCGATGCGATCAGAAAGATCGTGGGCGTGCGTCGCTTCAACCCGGTGACGAATACGGAGATGGAGCACAAGTTCCTGGATGCTGCGGAGAGACTCTTTTTCTTGGGTGCGCTTTCATGCTCTAATGCCAAAATGCGCTCAATACTGATACCATTCAATAGGCAGACAGCTCAGCTCGGATCCCGAAACACAAGTCCCGAATACCGTCAGTAACCACCTTACGTCGGGCCTTCTGAAGTATATCCAAACAACTGGACGCTACACCTCTGGTATCAACCTCTTCGAGAAGCTTCGCACACGAGACGTAGAGGTTTCGTCACTCCTTGCACGGGTCCTCGTCATGGCGGACGAGGAAGTCCAAGCGGTGCGGTTGATGTTCGACGCCTTGCAAGATGTTCCCATGGACTACGCCTTGCTTGACTGCCAGGCCTCGTTCTGTCAGGGCAAAGGCGAGGGAGAGATGGCTCTGGAGTGCGCGAAGCGGGCTGTAACCGCTGCGCCCAGCGAATTTAGCACATGGGCACGTCTGGCCGAGGTTTACGTCGGCCTTGAGCAATGGGACCTGGCCTTGCTGACCCTGAACTCTTGCCCCATGTTCACGTACCAAGACAAAGACACGCCTCGCATGCCCCAGCCATCCCGCATCATGCTTCCGATCCTCGCTGAGAGTATGCTAGACGAGATCGACGAGGGACAGCCGAAGCAGGGCGATCCCCATGACTACGTCCACCCGTCTTTGCGCAGGCTCCACGCCGCTTCCTATCAGGGAACCTTCCTCAAGGCGTACAATCTCCTCACCAAGATTGCGGCTGCTATCGGCTGGGACCAGCTTCTTAAAATCCGCAGCGAAGTGTTTGTCATGGAAGAGGAATATCGCGTTGAGCGCCAGCAATCCACTTCGAAACCCTCGCCTTCGTCCGAGAGCATATCGGACGAGCCCAATGGAAACAGCGAGCAGGAGAACGGTCCGACGCCAGAGGACGCCACAAACGGCACCGAGGAAGAGCCGGAACACTCCATTGAGAAACCGGAGCAATCAATGGCGTCGGAAGTGGTCAAATCCGGCAACGAAGACGTGAGTTTACACACCATCCATCCCACATTTAGAAACCCCCCCCCAAATTCATACTAACCCCTCCATGCCCCCTCCAGCCCGACACCTCGCACTCAGCCTACACACAGTTCCGCAACAAGCGCCTGTGCGAGAGATGGCTCGACAACCTATTCATGGTCCTCTACGAAGACCTCCGCATATACACCATCTGGCGCACTGAGATGGCCCAGTACCGGCAACAGGCCATCGAGTATAAGAAGTCCGCGACGGAGTGGGAAATTCTCGGCGAGTTAGCTGAGCGCCTGCATCACTTCGACGAGGGCATTGAAGCCTATCAGCACTGCCTGACCATCCGTTTCTCCCCCAAAGCCATGCGGGGTATTCTCAAGTTGTACGAGAAGAAGAATGACACGAGAGGAATGCTAGGCGCCTTGATCCGTCTTATCGCTTGGCAGTATCGCTGGTACTCCGAGGTATGTCCCGTCCCCCTTTCCTCCTCCCGTCTCAGGAATTCTGGAAAGTAACACAATCTCACGCACCCAATGTAGTTCTCCCCCGACCTCCTCTACTTGATCCGCAAACTCATCGAAGATGAAGGTGCCGTCAAGGTTCGCAGTATAGTCCAAGCGACTAATCTTCCCCAACCCGTCCTCGACCTCACCCACCAATACTGCCAATTGTGTGCTACATTCCGCAGCAGTGGCAGTGACGGCTAGATCCCTGCCCACGGACAAAGAAACCCACCTTTGCGACCTTCCCTACTCGGGTAGTGAGTGAGTGGTTTTCTCTCTCCCCCTTTTCAGATAGAGATAGAGCTCGGAAGAAGTAGGGGGTGGTGAAGGCGAGGGAAATGTAGAGGGGGTAGGGACTGAGTCTGGAGACGAAAGTCACTTTTATAGTTTGACGCGTTTGCTACCTACCTATCTACCTACCTACTTTTTCTTACGCGTTCCTCTTCCTTCTCAGTTACTTTCCCGCTTGTCAAGGGTCCTGTTTCTATCGATTCATGTCCCGGGCCCCTTTTATTTTTCTCTTTTTTCATTTCCCTTTATACTTCCTTCATGTGATTTTATTCCTTTTTCTTTTTTTTTTTTATTTAGGTGCTTCTCTTGCCTTATCCGAGCTTTATCATTAATACCCTGATCGAAGTTGATGCTCTTGAGCAAGGAGCTGTGTCCCTCTGTACTCTCCTGATAGGTTAATTCGGCTGCCTGGTGGCTTCTCCGCCAATGGCTTGTACAATTTGTGCAAGCTTTTGGAGTCATTACTCATAGCTATGTTTATCTGATGATTCTGGTACCTTACGTATAGTTGTTGTGGAACGAGCGGGGGCGGTTGCAGCTACGTATAGATCGGATACATGAGGTAATAGCAATAAATTCGTCCTAGCATAGGATATGGAGAAATATCTCTTTATATCCCGGTGAATACATGTAAGATATTATCCATGGGGGATGGCAACCCTAAAAGCCCAACGAAAACTGCCTCGTCATCATAACGCCATGCCGGAAGGTCTTTACTCATCCTCCTCTGTAAGAGCATCGGCATCGGATTCCTTAGGAATCTTGCCACCCTTGGCTTTGGCGGCCGCGGCAGCAGGTGCGCTGCTCTTGGCCGTGTCGTCGGGGGCTTCTTCATCGTCCTCCTCATCCTCAAGCTCTTCTTCATCTTCTTCATCGCCGGCGACTCCATTCTCGCCTTCGCCATTTTCTTTCGCATCTTCCTCCTCCTCTTCCTCGGGGGCGGGGGCTGTCTTTAGCTTCTTGGAGGCAGGAGGGGCTAGTAATAGCAAGGGAATACTTGTTAGCGCATGTGATAGTATGAGAGCTAGGAGCTATGCTCACCTTGCTCCTCAGGCTCTTCTTCCTCTTCGCCCTCTTCCTCTTCGAATTCTTCCTCCTCGCTACCTTCCTCTTCTTCTTCACCACTCTCGGCTACTTCAGAGTCCTCATATCTGTCGAAACACCACGTCAGTTATGGGGTTTCAGAGTGGTGAGAAGGAAGTCATGATAATTCAGGTCATAATTGCAAGTAGGAATGATGCGAAGAATCGCAAAAATAAATCTCGCTGAATGGTGCATAATGATGTGAACGTAGAGTAAGGTGGAAACAGAAGCGATGATCCTGGGGGTGAAAGAGAAGAGAGACGAGAAAGAATGCGCTACGATTTGCGCGCATCATGTTCAGAGGACATGCAGTAGATCACTTACTCTTCTTCCTCTTCGCTCTCGTCGCTAGGGAGCGCTTGAAGCTCCTCCTCTTCCTCGGCTTCCTGCTTTCTCTTGCGGGTCGACATGGCTTAGGGCGCGTTGGACGGGTAGGAATATAGATTAAGGATGTGCTTATGAGAGAGAGCAGTACGCCAGGTCAATGGCGCAAGTATACAGGGAGCAGGAGAATCCCAGGCCAGGAGGCGCGATGAAGGGGCGATAAGAGTAAGAGGGGAGGGAACAGATATGGAACGGAGAGGAGGGAGAAGGATGGAGGAAGAGAGGGAGGGAAGAGGGAGAAATTAAAGGGCAGAGGGCAGGGCAGGGCAGGGCAAGGCAGGGAAGGGAAGGGTAGGTAGGGACAGCGTCCTCTCAGCAGGTGAGGGAAGGGGGAGGGACGGAATGAGCGAGCATTACTTCAGCGGATGGAGAGTCAGCAGTGCCCCAAACATGGGCACACGGCACTGCGACAGAAAAGCGCGCAGTGGCAGTCGAAGGGACCGCGCTGGGGAGCTAAACAGAAGAAGAAACGAGAGCTGGAGTTGCGCGGGCGCTCGTTCCTGTCGCTGCGGGCCGTCGACATAAGCAGCCATCCGCCGTGGAGGTAGCATTCGCCGAGGGAGTACACGACCATCCATGATGATGATGACGATGAGGCCTTCCTCCCGGCTCGCCCGTCGGTCTTCAGCTCACCATGGGTGGAAACAGCCCCGGAAGAAGACGATCCCTTGGGTCTGGGGCGGAGTCGACCCATCCGTGACGATTGCCATCATGGTGATGATGGATGCCGGGTTGCAGGGCAGCAGAACCCAACCGGTCGGGAAAAGTCCACGGGTCAGAAAGGTGGGAGAGAATAGTTGGTTCATCGAGAGAGATGGAGACTCAGAAGGAGAGGGAGGATGAAGAAGAAGACAGATCAGGGAAGGGGTTTGGAAACGAAAGGGAGGCAGGTATGGTAAAGTTGGTCACCGCGGTACGGGGACAATGTATTTGTGACATTGTGTACACTACTACCTACTCTCTAGTCTCTACAGGGAAAGTACAGTATGTATCGTGCCTGGCTGGGTGGGGAAGGTCACGCACAGACACTCTGGGGGAACTGCTGAAATGCTGAGGATGTTTCTGACAGGTACGGCCCCCGAATCCCCCGACTCTGTGCCCGGAAGCCGTGGGCGCAGTGGAAATAACTTGATAACACCCATCATAATCATGATGTCAGGAATAATAATCCTACCAGTCTCAACATAGTATTATTTATTATTATTATTACTGACTGATGGGGCTAAACGCAGTTCAAGAGCACGGACCAAGGTTTCCCTCACAGCGGCAATTGGCCTCGCACCAGTGCAACTCTGCAACTCTGCAACTCTGCACCTCTGCAACTGGCATGGAATTACCCGATGGTCCGCTTCGTTGCCGGTCCCGGTCACGGCCACGGAGCTTGTTCAGTCCAACATGTGCAAGCGTCGATTGTCAATTTAGCAGCCTAAATAACCCTGGATTATCCGATTTCTCCGCTGCGACCATCGCCCTCACTGAGGAGGCCATACAAAGTCCTTCCAAGGCTGTCCATGTGTCCTCTTCGCCAAATCCACCAGTCTCCCACTTCCATAACTGCTGGTCCGGATTCATCAACTCATCATCATTCCCAATTCCCGCCCCGGTGTGATTAATCTTATTCTCCCCCATCAAGAAACGCAGGAAACGGGCCGGATCTTTCGATTCCTTCGATGTGGTCTCCTCTTTATACTGCCGGAGGTCGATCTCCGTCACCTGAACCTGCCCAGCACCGGCATCTCCCATTAGCGATGCAATCTCCGAGATGGACCGCGTATCCCCCGCAATATGGGCTGTCTCCGGGATCTTCTCCTTGGGCAAACCAGCCAATGAGGCAACTGCTTTCCCGACATCCCCGAGCGAGGTAAATGACACGAGCGATTGGGAAGATCCCACACTCTCATACTTCCCATTCTTCGTGTCAAACCCAAACCAGGGCCCAATACTGTCTTCTAGAAACAGTCCACAGAACACACGACATACTTTGATACCGGGGATAAGCTGCTGGGCCAGAGTAATGTGTTTCTTTTTCTGATCCCACTCCAAGTGCGGGAAGTCGTGGATGTAGTGGTCCACCCCAAACTCGGATGGGAAGTATAATTCTACTTGGGTCTGCGGTAGAGCGCGGAGGAGCTTCTCTTTGAATGCGTGGCCGGATGCTCCCACAGTATTCACGAGAATGTGGATGCCGTTGAGCGCATCGACGAGATTGTCCTCATCATACTGTCGCACCGTGAGCTTGACATTTGTAGCTGGGTCTGCGATCTCTGGTGGTCCGCCTTGCCGCGAGAGGAAGACGATTTCCGAAAAATGATTGCTGAAACGGGAGGAGAGGAACGCTGATGCGACGTGCTTTCCGAGATGGCCGGTGGCCCCTGCAATGGCAACTACTGGCCGTCTGGTAGTTGATGCCATTCTGGCTATGTTAGTGAGAAGTGAGTAGAGTAATATTCGTCACTTAAACCTCCAAGTCACACCTGACAGGAGCCGGATTTGCTCGAACTTTAATACCTTTCACCCGGGTCGCTCGGATCCCAGGCCCTTGTTATATCGATGAGCTGATGATGTTTGCATTCTTCTCGTCTTTAACCAATATAGCTCGAATCTTCCTCGCTGGTGGGGTACTGGATGCATGCATACCACTTGGATATCCCAGACAAACGGAACAAACTGCCATGAGATGGCCTCATTGGTTGATATTGACGTAATTGGGCTGTTTGCTCGGAAGGCAAACAGTTCAAACATGCCATGATGCGATGCTCTGGGGAGCATTGACTCCACCTTGACAGCTTTCATCATGTAGATATGGTCCAGATCCTCCGTCTTCACCCACGCAGTCACCGAGACAAGCAAGTTACGGCAACCAGTGACAATTTCTGTCCGCATCAATGATCCCCCGAAGATACATACTATTAACCCGAATCACTTCGCAGAGAGAAATTGGCTCCTGAGCTTCTTGCATCTATTAGTAGTTACTGACCCGAAACTAGCAGTAGAATAAAAGGTGTGGACTAGCGGCATTTCCGCCAAAGACTACTATAGTCATAGCCCAGTGAGCTTTCCAGTATTCAGTTCACCATTTATATAGTAGACACTATGTCACATCTGGTCAACCATGGAACGCTTCCCTCTTGCCCATTTCTACGTTGAATAGAGATTTTAGGCATCTGCTTTTCTCTTGCATGACATAATACTCTGTAATGAAGGGTAACAGACTGAGTATTGACTGCTCCGAGATAATTTTGTAGCTGCTCTCTCATGCCTGAAAGTTATCCGAATCTATCTTGGTACACGATTCATGAAATTGTCATCATTCATAGTTTGGAATAACATATCCCGTTTTCGAGTCTGCAGTCACGGAGATATGCCCAGGGCATTAGATAGCGGAGTGGTCCAACCTGTGTCGATATGGAGTGAAGGGCGCAATCATGAGATTGAAGGGGTCGTTATTCAAGCATACTTTGACCCCATTATTTGGCAGAAAGATGTGTGAACGTGTCATGTGTTTAATTTGTACCGACTAGACTTTTGCACAGCCCAGTCACATAATCGAAGTTGGTTAAGGGCAGTAGCAGAGCCCAAGAAAACCAGAAGTGTAAGTTGTGGTTTTGCTAACCCGACCATATCGTGTCCAGGGACCGCTCAAGATAAACCTCGTTGTTTCGGGAATGTTGCTTCCTGGGTTGATTCGGCAGTCAGGCGACCATCGATAGTTGTTAAGCATGTAACTAAGCACTGACTGCCAGTCATGTGTTCATGATTCATTCGGAAGCTCGTGGTGAAACTGTGCATGCTCTTGGTGCGACTTTGAGTGTAACAGCCCTGCTGCAGCCAGTCGTTAATGGACTCCTTTGTGCCATAGCCAATCTACTGAGGAGTCCCAGGTGGTCTTTGTTGAGAACTTGAGTGAAGGCACCTCACACATACATCGAAGGAAACTGCCTCATCCCATAGCTGATCTATCCGTTTCATGTCGTGTCAAGGAGTGTCTCGCGAGGTCCCGTCTAGCCCTGCTCTATAGGGAGTTCATGTAGCAATCACCGAGGAAACGATTGGCTGGCTTCCTGTCTTTCTCCACCCACCCCCCTCCCTGTCGACACACAATTCGGAGTCGATTCTAAGAACAAGCGCATCTTCGATGGGAGTCGGGTCGGCCGAACTATAAGATGCAAGTGTTGGAACACTGGGATACAACTAGGAACGTATGCCCACGCGGATACTGCAATGGCCAAAACATAGCGTCGCACCCCGACGTTGTGGTATACGTGCTGTTTTTGAAGTTGTAGCCAACGCCGCCTTGAACACAGGATATCTGAAGGCAATATTCATCGCGACGACGCCGTTCTCATACCAAACAGGGTGCTAGCGTCCTGAAAACCAGAACAAACGCAGGTCCGCCGCAGAAATGACACAGATGGACAGATGTCCTCGGACATCATAGTCCACCTCTGGCAGGAATACTCGGTCAAGAATGAGTTGAGCCCTGGTGACTCGAGAATCGCTTCTTCGGGGTTCATCGTCGATGATGCGCTGCTCTGAGCCTCCAGAGCTATCATTATAAGGATAGTTGAGCATGTTCTCTGTATCCCCCCAGTATGCCCTCATCAAGGGCCATAGCTGGGAGCTTATCTAGAGATCTCATAAGCATGCTGCTCCGGTATCTCCAATCCAACTGTTTTGGCGTCAGAGTCTTCCATAGCTTCACATGTAGGAAAGTGTCCTTACGCTCTGACACCCCACCCATATCAGGCCCCTTGTCTTCCTTCCTCCACAGGTTGCTCGGCATTCATGCATACTCCTGCTTGAGCTCCCCTTTCAAATATGCCTTGCACAGCCATGCGTCAATTCTTCTTTATCATGTTTCTTAGTTGTTGTTGTCTCTGTTACGTGTCCGCTAGGCTAGTCACTGACAGTATACTGTGTCCTCTCTCTGAACGTGTGTAAGTAGCCGATGCGCCAGTATATTCACACAGTATACTAGTGCGCCCTCTCCCCATTGTACCCAATCCTATGTAGTTGATGCATGTGGTATGGTAGACGGAGTCTTAACGAGAATTCACCCTAAGGGGTGAGGTGTCAGTTAGCGTTGAAAGCTCCACAAAGAGAGAAACTGACCGCAATGAGACCATTGTATAGCCAGCACGAGGGCTCGTTAGTAATGTACCTCTGATAGCAAAACCCCTCCATCATGACGAGTCGCTTTTTCCCTTCCCGAAACCCTTGATGGAAGTACCAAGGTGCGGGACAATTGCCATAGTGGTGTCATAGAACGTCGGCGGACCTGACCGTGAAGCGCAGGGAAGGATCATCGGCAGCCTCCTACGTGTAGGAGGGAGTTGACATGAATGATTGGATCCTACCTGCATGATTGGGAGGTGACGAGGCCGTAGAACACATATAAATACTCCCTTGATCCCCTGGGTCAGGTGTAGCTGGAGACAAGCAATTGGATTAATTAGTAGTCATCTTCCTGAGCTATTTACACATACACCAGTGAGCCCAGCTGATATAGCTATCCAGTAAATAGTATTCTTTTTACAAACCTGCGACAGAGACAGAGTCGAGCCCCTGATCGTGTTCCTCGTCTGTCTGACGTGGGTCGAACAACGGGTGTATATGCTGGGATGTATATATCGACGCTGTCAGGCTGGGGTAAGTCGTGGCCTATTGCGTTTAGAAAAGTGAATGGAGTTGATGATATTGACAATCTGGTGATGAATATCACATCAATTTGAAAGCGACAGTAATATATTAAGAAGAATCAGGGGTTATATATATATATATATATATATAACATCTTCTTTCCTGTCGCTCTACAAAGAGCAACATTTATAACAGCCTGCAAGTTACATAGATCAACAAAGGGAGGAGCATGTGGATGACATTTAATGAAAGTTGACGATACTGGTAGTGGGGTAGATGAAGATGAAGAGAATGAGAGGCGGGAGGGGCATATATGAAGAGATTCAAGGCGCACAACACGTGCCTAAATCACAGGACTCTCACGTATGCTCACCTGTTTGATTATCACAAGGAAGAGAGGAAGGATCAGGCACGATTAACCACAGGGCTCCTTGACAAGACAGGTGGAGACTAAGTGGACTAGTGTACGCAGCACTCGCATGTTCATAGTGTGTTTCCAGTAACGATCCTGATATCTTCAGTCTGGAAAGGGAGTCTTATGGAAGCGCCTTTTGCTACCGCGGCGCCCTTTCTTTCCTAGCATGAGATGGGGTGCGGGAGTCCGTGCGCGAGGCGGCAGAATGAATCCGGTACCTAGGCGGAAAGTGCCAACGGTGTCCCTTCCAGATTTGCCAAGCCCCGGCCCCCTCCTTTTCCTTTCGCTCGCCAGATGAGTTCTTCTTCACCTTCTCCCTCCCATATCAGCATCTTCATTATCCCGTAAAGGAAGTATTTGCTCTTTGCCGTTCTCGCCGCCTGTCCTGCCATTCCTGTGTTTTCATAGGACTCTCCGATTTCACTTGTTGACTTCGGATTGGGCACGTGCTCGTGACCAGACCGCAAGAGCTTTTACTTTACCACTTTACATCAACTTCTTGTTCATCATTTCTAATCTCACACTTTACACGAGTCAGGGCTGCTCAACTTTGTTCTAAAGCCCGGGTGGGAGGGCTACTCGATTCATCGAGGGTTTCCTTTTTTGAACCCAGCGAATGCTGCAATAACACAATGACCACCACATCACCCAACCCGCCCTTGGTCTTGAAGAAGGCAGTTTTTGTATCTACACACGATCGAGAAGGTCTTTGTTCTGCGCGCCTTCGTATCGCCTATGATAACAATGCTAATCAAGGATCCATTTCCCTTATGATTAAGGCGGATCTCGCTAATATGAGCGGCAGATTGCAGCTGCTGACGTTTAATGTTCCTCCAGCATCAGTCGAAAAATGTGCATTAGCCCGGATAAGCAACGACAGCCTCTGTTCATCACATTGGATTGGCATGCTCCCAGCGTCTGTCACAAGTGTTTCGGACGTGTCAACACTGAGTCTGACACTCAGGACGACCGGCATTGTTCTTTGTCCATCTGGGATGGAGACTATAAGCCCAACCGATCCAAACGACCCGAATTTTTGCGCATTTGCAAAGATCTGTAAATCCAAATCTCTACATCTACACTTCTCTACACGACAATTTGTGAAAGACGAACTTGATCAGCTGGAGAGATTCTCCTTTGCCCTGCAAAAAAGAAGTCTTCAGGCAGAGACCTTCAACCACGCTCGCCAGGGCGTGGTCAAGAGAGATTGGCGTGCCTTTGGTCTGTCACTCGATCCACCCCCATATTCTAAGGAGCTCGTGTCCGATCAGGCGGAGCAAGTGGATCCACCCCTATATCGTGAGGAATTCGGGTCCGAGCAGTTGGTTGAAAAACGGTGCAGAGGTATCTTGTCATCTCATCGTCCTAGCACTTTGACCTTCGATGGCTCGTTAATAGTGTCTAGACCAGTGGCCGATGCCACCTGACGATGAAAGACGAAAAAGACTGCGCCTTCTATCCCCACCACTGCTAGGCTCTCCCACCGAAGTAAATACGCCGAGTACTCTCTCACTGTCACCGGCCTCAATCCGCCCAACTTACTTTACTCATTATTCTTCCCCTGGCCGCACAGACCGTAACAGACTTGCGCGTCTTGAACATGAGCTCCGTGGTGTTTCCGATGACTTGATCTGCAAATTGTTAATCCGTATAGGACGCCAACATCTCTTGGCCATACCAGGAGAGGTAGACAGTGATCTGCCATTTGAGTCTGAGAAAGTCAGTTTTACTAATGTCGAGCTGATTGAACGCCGCCTCGAACGATATGTCGATGTGATGATTGAGCGCCGCCTTAAATCACGTGTTGTCGACGAGATTGTCGATGGTGCTGTGAGCGAATGTCGTGATCAGATCTTCGACGAATACAAAACGAACGAAGCCGAGTTTCGCGAGCAGGTCGACGATGGTAACTCCGAGGTACGCATTACGACCAATGAATGTATGAAGGAAATGAAAGAACAAGCGCAAAAGTACATGCATGAAATAGAAGAACAAGCTCAACAGTGCATGAATGATATCGAGAATCGGGGAATCGAGGCTGAGATGGCCGTGGAGGACAAGGTCGCAAAGTTCAAGCGCTGGTTCAATGCTTCTGCCCAACCCTTACTTGATAGCAAGTCAAACCCTAGCCATGAGCTGCATACTCATGCCAGACGCAGTTCCATTTAGTTTTAGTACTAGACCCTTACCTTTTATGTGAGTTGAAATGCCAGTTGATCATGTTATAAATTGATATGAGTGCTGCTGTATACCTCTCCTACGCTATACGACTATGACTTCAGTGGCTCGACTCTCGCATCGGGGTACTGGACGTAGATCATTGTGCTAGAAACTCGAAACTAGCCATGCTAGGGTCCAGTAGATTCTCGTCTAATCCAAATCCATACGTGCCAACCATGTCATAGATCAGATCCGGAGGTGGGAATCCCTGAGCCATAGCATTGGCACCACCAGGAACATCACTACTCCCTGGTCGGTCGACTGTCCCAGATGTTGCAACAGAAGGTCCACCCGCCTGCCATGCGTCCCAAGAGTCGAAGCGCTCTAACATCTTGCCAAGGCCCCGAGCTATATGCCTCGTCAGATGCCTTTCCCCTGCGGAGACACAGTTGAGTAGTTCAATCACCCTCTCCACCAGACGTCGTACCTGGCGGCCGTCGAGGCTGAGGTAGGCAGAATTCCAGTTCACTGCGACTTTGAGAAGGAACACGGCGGAGAATGTGACCATTGTGTGAGTGAAGATTGGCACTCCGACGATGGCATCACGAATATCTGGCTCCTCCAACACCATATTCAAGCAAGCCATAGCGGATGAGATGGCAATGTTAGCCGACTCTTTGCGGTCCATAGAGAACACGGGGGTGTTTGAAGGCGACAGGGCTCGTAGGGATAGGGAATTGAGTTGGAACTTTGCGAAATGGTAGTGGAGTACAACGCCTTTCGAGGGATATGTACGCACATAGGGGCTGTCAGCTACATTTCAATAGGCACCAATGTTAGATCCACGGTAAATCTCCATGATAATGCCAACGTTGTGGGTGTATACTTACCAGATCGCGGTTGCCACAGAAGCCGCCACTGGTCTATGGCTACATTATAGACCCGCAATTGTCCAAAGTGTTCTTCTGTGAGAGCCTGTTCGGTGTCACTGCCAAATGTTCGATATGCTTCAGTCAGAATCATGAACAAGGCCACTTGCGCTAATAGTCGGATGTCTCCGGGTACTACCAGGGGTGACTGGAGAAATGACTCGTAATTTTTGATTGCTGCATCCTCATGGATGACGGGTGGCCGGCCGTAGGCGATGCTAAAATGGTGATCACACACATACAGAAGATACCATAGCTGAGCGCGCTCGTATTGATCGTTATGGCCACGCATCATTTTTTGATAGCTTTGGTGGAGACCCAATTCTGTGGCGATACGAACAGCATGCCCAGATAGCTTCCAACTCAGTTCCGATAACCAGAAGGCTCCGACACAGAGAGCGCGGATATCGTCGAGGGTGTGTGCCCGTGTTAAAGACATGCTCGACACAAGAGACACGTATTCACCGTAACAACGGTTCAGTGTCTCGGTCCGATTCGGTATATGAAGCGCAGCGACTGTTAGGACAGCTGCGGATAGTAACGTCGATGCTCGACGGACCGAGGTGAGATCACGATGCACTAAGACAATCCCTCCCCAGAGAAGCTGGTTCATTGTCCTGCTAAAATAAGCAAAAAGCTCTTCGGCCTCATGGAGCGAAATCAGTCCTCTAGATATGAAGTCCTCCTCCAGAAGGGTCAGCTTGGGTTGTTCTATTGGGTTATTTCGCAGGTTGCGAAGCTTGGTGACTTCATAAAGACTGCGCATTGGTGCTGGCACCAATTCTCGGTCTTGTAGATCTGGTTCCTGGGAAGGCTCTCGTGTTACATCCATGACAATCCCCGGCTCGCTGGGTTTGACATCCGATGGGGATGTCTCAGATGAGAGACGGCGCTCGGACTGGGATGCGACTGGACTGGGCCCACTCTGGATGTCTCCAGTGATGTATGTCGAGAGATCCGGTAGACCTCCGTGCTGTAAAAGATGCGAGACAGCTGCTTGAAGCTGCTGTATGGTAGCCGATGCTTGTGATTTCCACCTGAAACGATGGGATAGTCGGGATCAGCCCTCGCCATCCATATTGTATTTGGATAAGGATAAATAAGAACCCACATCACATCGTCGTCGACGAACTTCTGCGAAAAATCGTTGATTACACATTTGATCCCGCTGCGGATGCACTTGGTGCAGCTCGTCTCGCCTTTCTTGAATTCGCAGCGTATCTTATGACGCTTACATTCTGCACCTGCGTGTCTTGAAGGTCAGAATCCATATCCGCCGTTGTCTGAGCCTCGGTTGTGGTTCGGCCTGGGAGTACTTACAGGCACGGGCCTTGGAAATTTTGGGCGGCGCAGGCCGTCCATCGAGGACAAGCGAAGGGCGGCGTTCATGTGGCCGCGGTGACTCCAGGTCGGCATCATATGAAGAACGCTTCATGATTATTCGGTCATTGACTAGGCTCCGATCGGGGATGCTCCGGTATCATGCAGCCAATATGAGACGGCGGTGGTGGGGACGACCCAAGTCAGATGGATCAATGTCAACCTAGCCAAGTGATACTGCCTGCTTGCCAGCGACCAATTTTCGGCGGAGCAGACAATAGCCGCTCCTAGGGAGGCAGAGATGCAAGGAAAGAAAACTCGGCGATGATGGAAAGGTGGGAGGGACATAATTGGGAACACGCGATGCGGGAGAACCCCGCTTCGTTTGGCGCCGCTTGAGTTCCAGGCCAGGACATGCCAGGACATGCCATGACCGGCTGGCAATCCTCTCCTCGCTTCTATTCATCCAGCGCGTCATTCAGTTTAACCGGCTCTGCACCCAAGATTTCTCTGTTGGGATGAATAGTTTCATAGCGTGAGGACGTTGTATTGATATCCTCTCTCCAGACTGCGCAGGCCTTACAGGCACGGGATCCGGGGAAACGCTGCGGGGCACCGCCAGATCCACGGTTGAATTGCCCCCGACCGTCACAACCCCCCCCCTTCGGTCGGCATGGCTGCCTGGGTACTCTGCACGTCTCTCTACTTCCCTCTCCAGAGACTTCCGGGGGCAAACGCTATCCACATCTAAAAGCAGGCTGCGGAGCGCTTGAGCATTCAAATCGGCTTGGATTCATCTCCATTTTTCAAGAACAAATTATCCAAACTCCATGTCTGAGCTCGTCTGCTGGCAGTTCCTGACCGACAACGTCATGGACCAGAGCTTGGGACCGGGACAAGTCCGGCTGCGGAGCACGAGTTATCTGAGCCTCGGAGTTAATGCGAGGTCGTCCCACAACCAGCACAGCAAGCTGGTCGCTTTACTGATACCTGCTTAATAGGGCCACTGACGAACATCTTGCCAATCTCAAAAATTCCCAAACTTCTCAATTGACTCGCCAAAATGCACATTCTCATCACAGGGGCTGCGGGGTTCATCGGCCAGCTTCTGGCGAAAGAGCTCCTAAACGACTCGTCATACATCGTCACCCTCGCCGATATCAATGAACCTCCCATTCCAAAAGGCGTCGCATACCCTCAGAATGCACGACCCGTGACAGCGGATCTGCTGAAAGGCGCGGATGCAGTCGTAGACAAGTCTCTCGACGCCGTCTACGCATTCCACGGCATCATGTCGTCTGGGTCAGAAGCCAACTTTGATCTAGGTATGAGCGTCAACGTGGATGCCACACGGAACTTGCTCGAGGCTCTCCGCAGAACCTGTCCCGGCGTGCGGGTGGTCTATTCATCAAGCCAGGCTGTCTACGGCCAGCCACTACCCGAAGTGGTAAACGATAGCGTCATCCCTACCCCACAGTCGTCCTACGGGGCCGAGAAAATCATCTGCGAGACACTCATCAATGAATACACCAGGCGTGGCTTCGTCACCGGTTTTGTCCTTCGATTCCCTACCATTTCTGTCCGTCCAGGACGTCCGACGGCTGCTGCTTCGTCTTTTCTCTCTGGAATGATCCGCGAGCCGCTGGATGGCAAGGAGTGTATCATTCCGCTGGAGGACCGGTCATTCAAATCATGGTTATGCTCGCCTAAGACACTTGTTCACAATCTTATTCATACGCTGTCGTTGCCGGCAGATGCATTGCCTCCTCATATCCGGCAGATTAACGTGCCTGGCATCTGTGTCACAATCCAGGACATGATGGATGCTTTAGAAAAGGTGGCAGGGAATGACAAGCTTGCGTTTTTGAAAGAGGAGGAGGACCCAACCCTCAGGCCAATCCTGGATTCATGGCCCACACGCTTCGATAACTCCCAGGCTATTTCGCTCGGATTTAAACGTGACTCTTCGTTTGAGCAAGCAGTTCGGGATTACCAGTTGGATATGATGCAGCAATAAGCACCTCAGTCGGACTCTGCTGGCTTATATCCAGGATCCCTTGACTCGGAGAATAGAACGTTTCGATAGACCTTGCGCACTTCAAGGCTCGTAGAAGATTTCCGTAACTTCATTGACATCATATCATATTGCTATTACCATAGATTCAAACTCCCATCCTGTTTCCTAGTAACATGAACAATTGATCACAAACACCTGGATTTCCACTTCTTTCTCCCTTTAATACCATCATACTGCCTAAATCGACATACTATTTCCAAACCTGAAAATACCTTAGCAAGCACATCCACAACAAAATCATAAGCTCTCCCAAACCTGTCCATCAATCGCGACCAGCCGATTAAACAACTGATTCCTTGTCTTCATCGCCGTAAGTTGATAACTCTGTTCCGGCAGGGCCCCAGTAAGCACCAGACCATCAACCACCTCCTTACTCCCCACAGCCCACCCAGTGACCAGTTTCCCTTTCCACCCGAGTCCTCCAATCTTTCTCATCTCCCGGATATCAGTCACGGGCATCTTAAACAACACGGTCCCCTTCGGGCGGTGTTCCAGACTTGGCCGGTCGAGTTGCACAGTTTGATCTGTCGTGAAGTACAGAAGAGGCGGGTGCTGGGTTTGATCGAGGACCACAACGCCGCGCTTGCCTTTGTATCGGCCGTCGTATTGGATGGGGCCGGAGGGTAGTGTGATTTGGCCCTTTCTGCGCAGCACGCCCACTCGGCCTTTGGCGCGTTTGGAGCCGGCGGCGGCGCGGGCCCGGTCAACGGCCAGTTTGCTTTCGATGCCTGTTGCTGTAGTTCCGCGGAAGAAACCGATCATGCGGTTCATGAAGCCCTTTTTGTGGGGTTCTGGTTGCGTTTGCGTTTCGTGTTCTTCGACGAGTTGAGGTGACGGGGCGATGGCTTGGTTGACTTCCTCTTGGGTGGCATCGATGTTGATGTCCTTGTCTTCGATTGGGGCCGGGTGGTACGGGGTTTGGTGGAGTGAGTGGGATGGAGGTGGTGGTAGGGGGGCACCGTTTGCTTCGCCGATGCGGAGAAGGGTTAGGGTGAGTTGTGCGTTGGTGGGGATTCCTTTCAAAAGAGAGCTGAGGGGGGTGGTCAGCGGTGAAGGGGAGATTAGGTGGTATTGTATGAGGGTCTCACTTTTGCAGTTCGAGGAGTTTTTCCCATCGGGGGTATTCTTTGTTCAAGTATTGCACGGCACGTCTGATAATTGGGTCTCCAAAGAATGCGAACCCAACTCCAAACGTGGTCATCTTGACGAAGACGTAACTGGAGGTGATGAGTGAAACCAGGAAGGCAGCAGAGAGCACAGCTGTCAGGCGTATGTAAGGCGTCACAATTGAGAAAGGTGGAGTTGGTGACAAGGCACTATCATGGGAAGGTTAGAGCTGTAGATACTGGCTTTCATCGCTAGGATGGTATACGTACTTTCCAAGCCTCTCCCATGTATCAATAATATCACTTAGGACGCGCATTGATTTATTAGCCGCGTTGTAGACGGTATCTTTCATAGGTTGCCTGGTTTTGTCATGGGCCTCATCTGTGGCTTCTCCATGAGCAGCTGTCTGTGCATCTGCGGCACTGGTAGCCATCTCCATCGCATCTGGTACAGAGGACTCGATAGGAGCATCCTCTGGTGTTCCCTGATCGTGTTTGCCAGCAACGCTACCCACAGCAACACTGGCAACGCTCGCTATCAGGTTACTAGCCTCTTGTTCAGCTGCCTCACCCTTCATATTCTCGGGTGCTCCGGTAACACTGTCATGAGATCCTAATACGCCAGCCTTTGGCTTTTGCACGCCACCTGTATCCTTGTCCACTAATGCTATGGGAGCAGGAGGGAACAATGAGGCCCTGGACTCGGGGCTTATGACCAAGATGATAAGGAGGCTGAAGAAGGTAGGGGCGAGAAGATCCACGGCCCATGCAACGAAGTACACCTATAATCATACGCCAGTCAATCGAGTCAAAACTCATAGATTTCCCGGATATGTAACCTACAGCACAGAATGCTGAAGTCCGCTGTTGCTCCCTCCATGAACGTATCCTGGCAATATGTTTGACAAACGCAGTTAATGACACAACAATGGTCGTGTAGAATCGTTCAAGGGTCGCGCGCAGTTTGTCAGGGGAGAATTGCTCATCTTCTGCCCGGTTGAGGTCCAGTCGTTGCAAGGGAGGTTCTGGCACTGCTTTCACATAATAGATTTGCTGCGATATATTAGATACTTCGACGACGAGTACCAGAACAGGTAGATGCTATACCTTGTTGAAACGTCGAAGAAGCATCCAAAGATCTTCATTCGAGAGTCCAGACACGAGCTTCTCATCGATCTCCTCTGGAGGCTGATCCCACCCCACGTCTGTGATGGCGTCGGTATCACCAGCCTTTTGTGCCAGCCCCTTTTCATCCTGGTCTACTTTCGAGAGGACATGACTGTCTGTTGGACCACTGATCTCGGTGGTGGTGCGATCCGCCGCGATGATATCATTGCCACTGGTCTTCGAACTATACGGAACTGCTTCATGATGGGTCGGATCCCTTCGTGACATGTTGATCAAGATGCGAGGCTTAACGCATATATTACAAACAGATTATGGGCATAGAGATGGAGAGTGAGAAAAGGACGCATTTTGAAGGTCGCTCGAAGACCGGGGGATGCCATACGTCATTCTGGTGTCGTCACGAACCGGATCGACTGAAAGGCTGGAACCTCAGGGCCACCAATGTTCCTGCGTCCCACTTATCTATTATTACACACTATGTACTACATAGTATGTAGTACGATCGCGATCTTCTTCTGTATCAATCATAGTACTATGTATGTCCTTCGGTCTCTAATCTACAGATCCTCCGGACCCACGTCGCCTGCCATCGTGCGTGCAAACGCTCCGGTGTCCGAAAGTCATTCGTGGGGGCATCGAAGAGGCCCACCGCATTCCTACCGTGTACCGCCGTCTTCCGCCGCCAACTGGCCTCGCCCCTAGTACCGCCACTGAATGCGCCACACCAGCCACATCAGAAATACTGCCTAAATAGGAAATACGCGTCAGGTCCCGTCCCGAAGCCGCGTGCCAGACCAAGTAGATGCCGACAGAACTTCCCCTCCTATCTCTCGCTGTCAAGGAAAGCAGGTCCCAATACAGCATTTCCTACCTTGACATCATCACCTTTTTCCTGACTATGCTCAAGGAAATAACCTCGTAACCATGAGCGAAACGTGTGCGAATCCCCTACTGCTGGAGTGGATCAAAGAATGGCTAGACCAGGCTCGAGAGCGGAACAGCAAAGGTGCCATAGTGTCAGTATACTCAGATCGTCCCTTTTGGCAAGCAACGCACGTCCTAATCCCCTGGCAGGTACAAAAAAGCCTATGATTCAATGAAAGCTTGTCCCTTAGTCTTCCAGCACCCGTCGGAAGCTCAGCAATTAAATGGACTTGGTCCCAAACTATGCGATCGGCTGACTGAGAAGCTTAAAGCTTACTGTGAGGAAAATGGTCTTCCAATGCCCGAACGTCATCAGAAGTGTGAGTACTACTATTCTCGTCGTGTCTGAGCAGATTCTGAAAACCGTAGCGGCAAGCAGCAAAAGGCCATCAGGCGAAGGCACTACGGAAAGCCAGCCAGCAAAGAAGCCTCGAAAGGCCAAGCCCTACGTTCCTAGTCTACGATCTGGGCCATATGCATTAATCCTGGCCCTGGCAACGCTCGACGAGGACTCTTCTCAGGGTCTAACCAAGACACAACTGATTGAGATAGCACAACCAAACTGTGATAGTTCGTTCACAGCCCCTAGTGACACATCTAAGTTTCACACTGCTTGGAGCTCTATGAAAACACTGCTACAAAAAGAATTTGTGTATGATTTCGGGCGCCCGTTGAAGAAATACGCGCTCACAGAGGAGGGCTGGGAGGTTGCAAAGAGGATGAAAAAGGTTGCCTCATCTTCAGACCAAGGCACTTTGACATTTGGAAGCCAACCCGTAAGATATGATTACTTACATTCTGTTCCGATGGTATCTAACGTGTGCAGGGCCCGAGTGCAAGCAATGCTAGTGTTTCTCAGTCCCAACTCAATGCTAGTGGTAACAGCACCGCTGTACCAGGACCTCTCCATCAGGAAGTACTTGATAATGATGCACCTCAGATCCATCGTAATATACAAGGTGGAGAACAAGTCGATGATGGCACAGTCACCCCCATTACCATCCCACCTGACAGCTTCACAGTCCAGCTGGTTCTGGATGTCCGTGAAGTCCGGTCATCCAAAGACAGAGACTACATTGCCAATGAACTACACAAGAAAGGAGTCTCTCTCGATGTGCGCGCACTGGAACTAGGCGACGCCATGTGGGTTGCCAAATTCCATAACCCAACCTTCCTCTCCCAGTACGGCGAGGAAGGCGACGAAATAATGCTAGACTGGATCGTTGAGCGGAAAAGACTCGACGACCTCATCAGCTCTATGAAAGACGGGAGATTCCACGAGCAAAAGTTCCGTCTTCGCCGCTCAGGAGTGAAAAATGTCATCTACCTCATCGAGGAATTCACCGTCACTCTAGACGCCAACAGCGTCATGGCAGTCAAGTACAACGAAATGGTAGCCTCCGCTATTGCCTCGACGCAGGTCGTCAACGGCTATTTCGTCAAAAGGACCAAGAACCTCGACGATACAATCCACTACCTAGCCCGAATGACCTTCCTACTACGCAGAATGTTCAACCCCTCTCCCGGTGAAATCCCCTCCAACACACTCAGTCTCATCCCTAGCCGCCAGCTATCCTCCTCCCAATCATACCTCAACGCCCTCGAACGCCTCCGAGCAGAGAAACCCTCAGTCACATACGCCGTCACCTTCCCCACCTTCTCCACTCTAACCTCCAAATCCGACGTCCTAATCCTGCGTGACGTATTCCTCAAAATGCTCATGTGCATCCGAGGCGTGACGGGCGAAAAAGCCATCGAGATCCAACGACGCTGGCAGACCCCGCAGGCATTCATCCGAGCCTATGAAGAACTCGATCCCAAAGCACGGGAGAATATGGTTTCAGATCGAATGCAAACACTCGTTGGCCGGAAGAAGGTTGCCAAGGTTCTGAGCAAGAAGATCGCAGAGGTATGGGGTGAGGATGGTTAGTCGTCTGGATTGTTTAATATCTACGCTCATAAGTGATCTGAGCAGAAGAGTAAAAGGCACTTGAACCCATCAACATATGTAGTGGATTTGTTGCGTTACATGAATGTTTGTTGTCGAGCAACTAAGGACTATATAATTTCCATTAAGAAAGGACTGATACGCCACTTAGGTTTATAGTTATCTTGGATGCAGGATAAAAAGCACTAAGTGGCGTGTAGATGCTTTTTACAGATCCTGGTCGTACATTCTGCGGAAGTCCTGTCATCTGGTCAGGTTCCTATCTCCCGCGACCTCTCGTCGTCTCCTTCATGGAGGTTTAAAATCAAAAGCAGTCTATCCCAATCCTACCAGATGATGAAACTCATCTGTCCTTAGGTTCAGATATACCTACATATCTCATGCATTCTGAACTAGCTATATATATATATATCTGAAGGGTGAGTTCGTTCACCGAGACCTACATTCAAGCATGAAAATATACTATACAACCATCTCAAAATAACACTATATGGATAAACAATCCCATTCATCATCATCGTCATCATCAAGACGATCCAATTTCCGTTGGAGTTATGCTAAATGTCCATGTTAAAGAACATACATCGAAATATAGATATATAAAAGCACCCGAAAGTCCATTTCCCAGCGAATCCTCGGATCGAATTACCAAATATCCCAGATGAAGAAACAGAGCATAGCAAATCCATGACGGACATGATTGCCTAGTTTGGCAAACGGAACAACTTTCGCATCGTCCTCCTATCGATTCCCAACGCAAGACTGCTGCAAACAACCGAAATGCTGCTCAGAGCCATTGCCAATGCAGCCCAGACGGGGCTAAGTCTCCAGTGTGTATTGACCGTAATAAGCGCATCGCCCACCATTTCATGCTTGTGGCCACTAACGATGGGATAAAAGACCCCGGCAGCGACAGGCACCAGGCAGCAATTGTACACCAACGCCCAACCGAAGTTCAACTTTACGCGATTGAAGACGCGACGGCTAAGTAAGACGAGCTGCAGGATTGTGTCGAGTTCGGAGTTTAGGAGAATAAAACTGGCGGAGTTCATGGCCACATCAGACCCGGAAGCCATGGCGATGCTCACATCTGCTGCTGCAAGGGCGGGAGAGTCGTTCACGCCGTCCCCGACAAAGGCGACGATGGACCGGGTCCCATTTTCGCTCCGCTGACTTTCAGCCTCGGAATCTGTTCGGGGGGTGAGATTGCCGTCTTGAACTTTACGGACAAAATCTGCCTTTCCTCCTGGCATCACGTTCGCCATGACGTTGGATCGGGGGATGCCCACCATGTCTGCGACGGCGTGTGCAGTTGTCTGGTTGTCGCCTGTGCACATGAACACGCTGACTTTGCGCTTCTGGAGCTTCGAGATCACCTCTACAGCATCAGGCCGGATAGAATCAGAGATTGCAAAAACAATTGCAGTTGAAAAGGAAGGGCTGTCCGTGGCGCTGACGTCCATTGGGCGGAGCGACAAGATTGCAGTGGACTTGCCAGCAGCCTGGTACTTCAAGAGAACCTTGGAAAGATGGCCGTCATCGTCACCGGAGGTTGCCAGGCTTTGCAAAAGGCGCTGATTGCCAATAGCAGCTTCATATTGAACTGTACTCTCGGATTTCTCGGTGGTTTTTTCCACTGTCACGGTGAACACTCCTTTCATCCCTTGACCGGATATTTCTTCAATGTCTGCACCTGTAACCGGGACCGAGGGCTTCTCTCGGCAGAATGTAGAGATGGCCCGAGCGATTGGGTGATTACTACTTTCCTCGAGCTTCCGGGCCAGAGTCCAGGCCACCTGCATCATGCGGGGGTCCGTAGTGATGGTTTCATGGTCGGATACCTGCAGACTGCCGCCCTCCGTGAGAGTCCCCGTCTTGTCGAACACAATGGCGTCAAGGCGGCTTGCTTCTTGGAAGGCCTCCCCTCCTCCTTTGACCAAGATGCCCTGTTTAGCAGCCAACCCACCCCCGACGAAAAGTGCGGTTGGCGCGGCGAGTGCCAAACCACAGGGACAGGCCACAACAAACACCGCGATCGCAAACTCTAGGCTCCAGAACGTCCATCCACCGCGTGCAATGTCAAGGTAATCCTGGGGCAGCGTTCCTGAAAGCCCGAGAGAGAGCCAGATGACGAACGTCAGAATTGCAACCAGGGTGATAATCGGAACAAAGTGGGAAGTGAGCAAGTCCGCGACTCTCTCGAGAGGCGCACGTCTGCTCTGACCTTCTCGCACAACAGAGATGATTTGATCCAACATTGAAGATCCCCCAATTGCAGACACCTTGACCTCGACAGGCTGTCCCACATTCACAGACCCCGTAAAGACTTGATCACCCGCGGATTTGCTGACTGGTTTAGATTCTCCCGTCAACGAGCTTTCATCGAATTGATAGGATCCGGTTCCAACGACAACACCATCCGCCGGGGGCGATGCACCGTGAGGTATGCTGACGACGTCGCCGATCTCTAGCAGGTCGATATTGATCCGCTCATACCCATCGTCCGCGGGCCTGTCGTCGTCTCCAGATGGGTCTGCATTGCTTGCGCCGACTCTCAACAAAGCCTCTGTCGGCCGCAGCTTTCCAAGAGATGCGACCGCATCGCCAGTCTTCGCCTTGCTGTACGCTTCCATGAACCTGCCAGCAAGAATGAACATGGTGAGGAATACGACAGTGTCGAAGTAAGTTGAGCTGTGTGTGTTGGAGGTTGATCCCATGGCTGCATCCATGATCAGAACAGCCAAAGATGAGACATAGGCAACCGTGGTTCCGGCGGAGATGAGAAGATTCATGCTGCCAAAGCGATAAAACCTGCGCAGAAGCGGTGCACGACTTCCGGGACGCCACAGGGAATAAACCTCTTTCATCGCCCGCACGTGGAAGATATCAGCGCCGTAGAACATGACTGGCGTAGTCATGATGAAAAGGGCCCATTCAAGGCGCGAGGCATCACCAGCCCACATGGGTTCTTCCAAATACTTGCGGGTTTTGTTCCCTGACGGCACCAGACTCATGAACACGATGCCAAGGAGAAAAGTGGGAATTGCCACGATGAGAACGAAGAGAAATCGGGTAAGCAGTCGACGTCTTTCGTGGCGCTGCATAGCCCGTGATCGATCCTCAATGCTCGGGGGACGATAAACAGTGGCGGTGAATAGGTCGTGAGCTGTATTGATTGTTTGAAGGATCTTTCTCACCGTGAGAGATGGCGGCTTGGGCGTATAAGTAACCGCCAAAATTGGATTCTTAACGGACAGACTGCCATCAACTGTCACGTCGGGGAGTCCATCCAAAGCCCGGAAAACCTTTTCGGGGCAGTGATGACAGAACATACCATCCACATGGATGGACACGGTTCTCTCTTCGACGGTCGCATCATCACCATCATCATCCGTTAGCAGGGGAAGCACACTATTGACTGAAGCATCGTAGCCTAAGTCTTCAATCTTTTCCACAATATCATCAACGTGTTCACGCCCCTCGAACTGGACTCTTCCACTGTGGGTCAAGAGGTTGACTGAGACTTCAGTGACAAAGGTTAGCTCCTCAAGCCCTCGAGTGACAGCCCCTGAACACGAGCCACAAGTCATGCCCCCGATGGAAATCTCAGCAACGAAGGTCGAGGAGGGGATTTCCTTGCGCGGAGAGGGCACCTTGACCTTATTGACTTCATCAAGTGATGCTTCGAAACCGATATCCTCGATCTGCTCAACGACCTTTTCTATGTTGGACTGAGGGCCGGCGAAGACCACTGCGGCGCTGTTGGTGAGAAGATTGACGGTAATATCCTCGATGAAGTCCAATTGTTTGACTTCGTTCGTGATGCTGTTCGCACACGATGCGCAGCTCATCCCGCCAATGCTTATACGAGCATTGAACTTTTCATCTTCGGGCTGTGACCCCACGGATGTGACGCTCTTTGCGGGCCCTTGCGGTACTAAACTTTGGAATTCCGATTCGGATGGGGAGGGTTTGCCGTCGGTTCGAAGGCCACTGTATCGATCTTGAGGTTGGCGATAAGCACCATCTGCTATGTCCTCGCCAGCCGTAAGCCTGTCCAACTCCTCTTTCCTGCAGGCGTCACAGTTCTCGACATGTCTGCTTCCCGATATGGGATTGGAACTCGAGTTGGGTTGAGTGGTGAACCGTACCGAGTCGCGGGGCAACCATGAAGTCGTATCAAGCTCGGATATCACCGATCCTCTGGGCTCATAGGTTGTGACGTGGTGAACATCAAAAGCAGCTTCAACCAAAGCTGTGGCTAGGTGTGATGGATCCGCTTCGGCATGGTGAACGACGCGTACTTCGTGTGTGAGAACTGAGACGTCGATATCTTTCACTCCACCAAGGTCTGATAGAACCTCATTGATGTATGCGACGCAAGAGGAACAGTGAATATTGCTGACAAGGAATATGCTTCTCAGAAGTCTCGACTCCTGGCCGGCAGAAGCTCGAGATGCTGGGTCTGCCGTCGCCAACATTGTCATTGGCGAAAAGAGAGGTGCAGTCACTGCTAGAGATGATCCGAAAGACTATCTAGAAGGAGATGATGTCGACGGCAGGTTGGGCCAGTTGATATAAGGACCACTGCGCTTTATCCTGAAGTGTGATGCCCCACGAAGACAAGACGGTTTATGCAACACGCCAGCCTAGTATGATAGCTCGGGAGATTGCTACCCAGCAAGTACGGCGAAAAAAAAAAAAAAAAAAAAAGTGCAAGGTCGAGGGGTAAGTTATTGCCTTTGCTGTCTGAGATTAAGTACTGCTAACTGGCAGCGGCGCCTATATATGCAGATCGCGATTGCTCAACTTGCAGGTAAGGGATGGGGAAGGGCAAAGTCTATATGTAGGCAAAGAAAGGAAAACAGAAGAAGAGAGAGAAAGAAAAATCGGGATCATGGTTGATATCAGTTCTGATTATTCAATGGGACCGGACAAGTTGCGCGTTTTGTGCGTAAAGGTACTTAATGAAGCTCTGGCCCGCGCACAAATGGCGCATTCCACCCACATCCACCCAACGAGATGATGCAAGTCATCTGTACCGATGCCCCTGGCTCCAGCAAACTTGCCATGGCTCATGTGATGATCTCACTCTGACCTTGGAGCATTTGTCAGAATGCGCTATCTTCCCCGATGAGTGTGCCTGTTAAGGGAAGCCTGATAGGTCCTCAAAGCGGTGGCCATGGAATTATTATTGATGTGGCAAAAAGCTCTAACAGATGCTAGCGGAACTTTGAGTCATGGTTCCAGATAAGCTAAATGCTATGTGGATTGTAGTATTAGGGGGGGGGGGAAATTATCTCCTAGATTAGATTTGGCTGATCCGGGCTTTTCCAGGCTCCGACACATAATCCTGTTCTTCATGTTATTCTTCATAATTGATGGGCCTAGCTTGGGAAAGTAAAATCTGCTAGTAGTAGACGGCCGCAAACGGAAATATAATACTCGCGACAAGGATTGCTACATAGAACCGAGTCAAGTGGGAAAACACTTGCAGGAAGATGTCTTCGAGAAGGGCATAAAAAAAAAAAAAAGAGCACACCATTTAAGCAAATGGTTTCAGGTGCCAGATTCCATCAGTTGCACTGTCTGCAATGCGTGGAGGTGGCTAGTGATGATGGATCGGGGAAGATCCTTGCGGGGGAGTCGAACGAGGGACAGCGAAGAAGCGATGAAGCGCCGAGAAGGTGAAAGAAACTGAACGGACCCGAGACCCGGCGAGTGACACGTGACCCGCCCACTGGACCACCGCGACGGGCGCGTCATATTTTTCACGTCGGTGATGCGTCGCGCCCACCTCCACGACTCTTCCTCTTTCATCTCTACTACTCACTATACCTCTTCTTTGATTCTTTGATTCTTTGATTCTTCGATCCTTTGATTGTGCTTGTACTTGGACTTGGTTCTCAAAGTGAATAACTGGGTTTGGCTCACCCTCCCTAGTCCCCTCCTCTGTCTCTCCTTGGTCTCTTTGGATCCCCGCGGGGAATGACACTCGTGCAGCCTGTTCTCGTTGTGCCTTGTTCATCTCCCTCTCCCACCCATCCACCCTCCACCCTGTCTGTCTGGCTCCTTACTGCCCATACATCCCTACGATTGGACCACGCTGCAACCAGGATCATAACGTGGGGCTCCATAGGCATACCATTTCAATAAAACTTGTTGATTGATTGTTCCCTTTTCTTATTCTTATTGGTCCAACTCCCCTCTATCGCTCGTGAACAATATCCGACCCCCCTCCCCACCGGCAGGGCCATCCCCGTCATATTCACCATGTCTGTCCCTAGACCTGGGATGCGTCCTCCGATGCCTCCGAGGGCTGGCCCAAGGGCACCCATGGGAAGATTAGCCAGTCTTAAATCACCCAACCCAACTCCAATCAGACGTCCTCAGCCAATCTCTCGGCCTCAGCCAGCTAGGCCGACCACCCATCCCAAGACCACCACTTGCCCTAACCCCGGCTGTCCTGCCCCTCATATCGTCGAGGATGACGGACACAAGGTCTGTTCTGGGTGTGGTACGGTCATCAGTGAAGCAAACATTGTCTCCGAGGTCACTTTCGGGGAATCTTCGTCTGGTGCTGCAGTCGTTCAGGGTACCTTTGTCGGAGAAGATCAGTCTCATGTCCGCAGCTATGGCCCCGGCTTCCAGCGTGGAGGGGCTGAAAGCCGTGAGATCACCGAACAGAACGGAAATCGGTACATCAACCAGCTGTCTCGTGCTCTTACCATCCCTGAGAGTGCCATGAAGGCTGCCGGCCAAGTGTTTAAACTCGCGGTCGGACTAAACTTCATTCAAGGTCGAAGGACTAAGACTGTCGCCGCAGTGTGTCTGTACATTGCCTGCCGTCGACAGGATGGTAACACCGTCATGCTGATCGATTTCGCCGATGTTCTTATGATCAACGTGTTCAAGCTGGGCCGAACCTACAAAGCACTGCTGGATGAGTTGCGCCTAGGCGGCAATGTTTTCCTGATGAATCCGATTGACCCCGAGAGTTTGATCTACAGGTTTGCTAAGCAGCTCGAATTCGGGTCAGCTACCATGCAGGTGGCTAGCGAGGCGGTGCGTATCGTGCAGCGAATGAATCGCGATTGGATGACGACGGGCCGTCGTCCCGCTGGTATTTGTGGTGCCGCCTTGATCCTTGCAGCCCGGATGAACAACTTCCGTCGCACCGTTCGAGAGGTTGTCTACGTCGTCAAAGTCACCGAGATTACGATCAGCCAGCGTCTTAATGAATTCAGCTCGACAGAGAGTGGCGAACTCACGGTAGACCAGTTCCGTTCCGTGCAACTGGAGAATGCACACGATCCACCTTCCTTTGCCAGAGCTAGGGAGGGCAGGAAGCCGTCTCGATCTTTCAAGAGGAGGCCCACCGAAACGGCTGCCGAGATCGAAGGAGATATACAGGAGGCACTGCAACCTAGGCGTGTTGACTCAGATGGCTTTGCTATTCCTAATCTTCCTATTGATCCGGCGTTGATAGCGGCTAGCAGCGGTCAACGCCGCCAATCGACTGCTTCTAACACAAGCGAAGCCACATCGGAGCCTGGGGAAGACGTCGCCAAGCCAGGTCGAAATAAGGGTCCGAAGCGGCCTCCACTTCCCGCTCCTTCACCTGACCAGATTGCATCGGAAGAGGCATTGGAAAATGAGATGACCGCCCTCTTATCTAAAGGCTCAAACATGATTGAGACTGGGGTCAGTCCGCCAAGGAAGGTCGTATCGGATAACACGGAAATCGATGCTACCGAGTTCGAGTTGGACCCCGAGGTGTCTAACTGCCTGCTGTCTCCCGCCGAGGTCGACATCAAGGAACGGATCTGGGTGCATGAGAACAAAGACTACCTTCGCGCACAACAAGAGAAAGCGCTAAAGCGGGCTCTGGCAGAAGCTGATGCACGTCCTGGCGCCGACGGCCGTGTGCATAAACCGCGTAAACGCCGCCGAGGTAGACTGGGAGACGTTGCCTATCTTGAGGGTGAAGGTGAAGACGGAGACGGCCGGAGCACTCGCGCCTCGACTCCTGCTGAGGCCACTCGTCGGATGTTGGAGAGAAGGGGTTTCAGTAAGAAGATCAATTACCGTCTCTTGGAGTCCCTGTTCGGTGAAGAGGGGGCCGACGAGGCCTCCAAGTCCAAGGAAGAAAGCTTGAGTCGAAGTCAGAGTCGCAGCCAAAGTGTTGTCTCTCGACGCAGTGCCAGCATCGAACCAGAAGCGGCCTCGAGAGGTGCGGGTGCGGGGCTTGCAGCTTCCTCGACCACCAGCCAGCCCGTCGGAGGTCCTGTGTCTTCTGCAGCTCCAGTGCGTGGCTCTACGGAGCATGTTGCTCAGGCCGGCGCTCCGGCAGATCAAGCTGGAAAAGTGGGCCAGAATGGAGAGGTCCTTGGCCCTGCTGATGGGGCAAAGAACGGGTGTTCGGATGGCGAGCAGGAGGATGATTACGAGGAGGAGGACGACATGGAGGATGATCCCGATGGGGTTGACGCGGCATTTGCAGGAAACTACGGGGACTACTATGACGAGGGAAGCGACTATGGGAGTGACTGAAGTTGAGATGCTCGCACTACAGGGCTTTTTTTGGGGGGGGGGGGGGGGGGGAGGAGGGTTCCACAGCAAGGCATGTACATAGAGTCCGGCGCCAAGTCGGCGGGAATTTGATACCCAGTCATTCCAGGCTTAATCTTTAAAGGCAACTAACGGCGGCTGATCCCTCTTTGTCCGTTCCTTCCCTTCGGGGCCATCATCACGTGTGGCCGTGACGAGCATCGCAACCAACCCAAGTAGTAGAATCCAACCGAAAACCGGAAACCTTCCCGCCAACACAGAACCACCTCATCCAGCTCCTTCCTCGTCCCTTTCTTTCATCATCATTATCATCATCACTCCTCCATCTCGCTCGGTGCTCTCGAGTCTTACTTCCTGTCTGGGCCCCGCTTCTGAAAAGAACCCAGGCCTTGCAGAAACCTAATTTCAGACCCTCCACACTACCCTCGTCACCATGACCCTCACCAGCATGTTATCGACCCAGAATGCTAGTAGTTGTCGCGCTATTAATAGCTGCTTTAGCTGCCTGGTCTTTGCACCTCGCAACCTCGGTATTATCAAGGCAAGGGGTGTCTCCTGCTGGGGTTCAATGTTGCAAGTTCGTATTCTCGGTCGAGAGAAGCCTCCTGATAAAGTGAGGCCCTTAGGCAGAAGATGGTCGAAGCACAAAAACTCACTCTTTCAACATCCGTAAAAGTTACCATGCGTCGACGCGGCATATGAGTCATGACATGGCCTTCGGTGATATATCTGCCCTGGAAATGATACTCCCGAGTCTTTCCGGCCCTGTACCTGTCGGAAGTCTACCATCCGCAGTCCCTGAGGAATGTACAAGGTGCGCAGGTCGTATCGTTGAATGCTAGCATTGCGTCGTCTGACTCGCTGGACCGTGTTGTAGGTCCTGCACTCCATCCTATTGCGGCATTTCCCGAAACCTGGTATGGAGGATCCTGCGTCGATCTACAACGGGTTACTAGGGCTTCAGATATCGGATGGGGATAGCTAATCATGAGGGGATCATCCTGACTGTTGTGCTTCCTGTGCACCAGCTCGGTGTGCCACGGGTCCACAGCAGTCTTGACCCCCTTATTCTCGCCGTCGGTGACAAAGTTCGGAGTGGTTCTGCTATATAAATACTTCCAGTATACGGTCGAGTCGAGGTTTGGTTCTTGTTGCTCATCCTCGCTCTGCTACAGCTGCTGCGAATATGGTCAAGTTCAGCATGTACGGACGAGGGCTCAGCCTTCGGCTGGCCATCATGTTCACCTGCCAAGCGGCATTTATTTTATTCGGTACGATCTCTGGCGAAAGCGTCTGAAGTGCAGTATATGTTGACCCTCCGTCTTGTCGTGGGCAGGCTACAATCAGGCTAATTTCTCCGGGATCACCAACAACCCGGATTTTCTTGAGATCGTCCATAATCCCAGCACGGCTGTCATGGGGATCTTGGTGTCTATATACAATCTGGGCTGTCTTCTCGGCACAGTGGTCTCCTTCCTGACTAGCGACAAATTAGGTTTTCGAAGGTCCATGTGGCTTTCGATGTGTATAATCATAGTAAGTGTCGCTATGGTGGCTGCAATGTTCATGCAATGCTAATGGCGTTCTTTTGCAGATTGGGGCTACGGTCCAGACATGCTCCTACTCCAAAGTACAGTTTCTCGTGTCCCGGTTCGTCACTGGCGTCGGAGTTGGCGTCATGACAACAATCGTGCCCGTGTACCAATCAGAATTATGCGATGCACGGAGGCGAGGAATGTACGTCTGCGCTCAACCTCTTGCCGTCGGGGTAGGCATTACCATCTCCTACTGGTTCGACTACGGAATGAGCTATGTCGACGGCCCTATCAACTGGAGGCTTCCCCTAGCCTGCCAGATGATCTTCGCAATTATTGTTATCATACAAATTCTTGGGTAAGCTCAGACTGGACGCATAACTAAAGTTGAGGGCAGCTCATCTGACGGCGGTGGATAGACTTCCGGAAAGTCCTCGATGGTTGTGCCGCCAGCATAGAAAACAGGAGGCCTTGCAAGTCCTATGTGATTTCTATGACCGGCCATTGGACGATCCCAAGGTGATTCAGGAAGCAGAGAGCATTTTCAGGGCCATCGAAAATAGCCAGGCAGAGTACAAGTGGTCTGAAATCATCAAGAAAGATGACATTCATACCGGCCGACGAATTTTACTGTCCTACGGGTTGCAGTTCATGAATCAGATGGGAGGTCCTGGTTTGATTGTCGTATGTAGGGCCTGATTCTTTGATAGTTTTCAAGCTGACTCTGTGCTCCAGACATATGTCACGACAGGTAATAACCACATGATCATTAGTTCATGTGCGGTCCGATCAATGGCTGATAAAATACAACACTAGTCCTAGAGGATAACGTGGGCCTAGATGCCAAGCTGAGTTTATTGCTCGGTGGAGTGATCCAAGTGATGTTTGTCTTGGGTACACAGGAATTCTGGCCACCCCATCAGGGCTACAGGACGCTGATCATGCTACCCCAGGAGCCTTCTATCCCATCTTTTTCTGCGATCGACTAGGACGGCGTAGCCCAATGATGTGGGGATCCTTCGGTCAATTCGTCTGCATGCTGATGATCTCCATTCTTCTGTCCTTCAAAGGTAAGTCCAAGTTCAGTCTATGGCTGGGGCCAGAGTCAGGAATTGCTCTAAGACCTAACAGGGACGACTTTGGAAAAGTCCGCCGCCACGGCCTCGGTGGCGTTCTTCTTTTTGTTCATGCTCATCTACGGGGCCACCATTAACTGCATACCATGGGTGTATGGTCCAGAGTTACTTCCTCAACATGTTCGGACAAAAGGGTAGGGCCAGGGCACTCATTTATCCACTCCATTCCAAGAGGTGGCGGGCTAACATCTCCCCCTACCCAATTAGGCAAGCCATCGGAATTTCGGCTAACTGGCTCTGGAGTTTCTTCGTGGCCATGATATCTCCGACTCTGATCCGAGAGCTGGCATGGAAAGGCTACCTCATCTTCACCTGTTTTAACCTCATCTTTGTCCCTGTGAGTCGAGCGGGTAACATTCCGCGCCCCGCCTGCCTGCTGACGGGACTTTTGCGGTTTAGATCTTGTATTTTTACTATCCTGAGACGGCGAACCTCAGTCTCGAGGAGATTGATTCCTTGTTCACGGATAACAAGGGCCCGGCGGTCCCTGAAGATGATAAGGGATTCACCTGGGTGGAGGTCAGAGCCATGAACTAGGTGAGGACCTGAAACGCAGCCAAGGCTGGTAGGCGCAACCATTGTGTTGGATAGACCATCTTTTTCCTCGGAGAAAGCATCGCAGCAGTAAGGCGGATATAGTCGTTGATAGATTAAGAGTAGATGTGAAAGTGGGGATCAATAGGGATGCTGGAGGTGTTTGTGTTAGGGTGCGGAGGGAGGTTAAACTCAAGACCCGGTATGGCTAAGTCTGCATATGGAAAGGCTGGCAGGCTGCCCTGACCGCCACTTTGTACGGAGTAGATACTTCCCCTCCTTGTCTTTGCTTTCCCTCACACCCAGTAACATAAAAAATATTTCTTTCCATTCTTTTTATCATTGTCTGACGATATGTGTGAAAATGGCAGATATATATCAACAACCAGAAAAGAGACGGGTGAATGAAAAGCGAAAACAAAACACATGTGACCCAGCCGGCCACATGACCGTCCCATCCATCCGAACCATCCCACCACCTTTTGCGCCAGAAAAAAAAAAAAAAGAATCCAAAGAGAAAAGGAAAATCCACAAACATATGTCAGTCCCGGTTAATTACGATGGCGTAGCGATATGACACAGACAACACCAGGAATGAGAAGAGAGAAAGGAAAATGTTTTGACTGCCGAAATATATGAGAGGGTGCGAGTTCGGTGAGTCGAAAGTCGCTTCCGCTGTGTCGCTCAAGTGAGTTCGTTCATCGTTTTTGCGATGTGTTTAGTTGAAGATGCCTTTCTGCTGCTGTTCATGATGCTGCCGATGGCTTACGCGTCAATCTCCATCCCCGTCCCCATTCCTACGCTGTTGTTCAATCCCATGCCGATTCCGAGGTTCATCGGCTGGGCACAGAGGGTCTGCAGAAGCGGGAGGCCTGATTCAACTGGGTTCGCTCCCAGTATGTTCTGGGCTCCCATCGGTGCCATGCCGTTGTGAAGCGGTCTGTCGGCGGCATTCAGGATCTGGGTGCCCTCAAAGACAATGGGAGATGAACGGAGGTTCATGAGGCACCTTTCCCAGGTTGAGCCCACGAGCTGTGCTTGGGTGAGGTCATCGTTGAAGAGAAAGAAGGCGGATGCGTTCGCCATTCCCACCGGCGTTGTTGGCCGCGCCGTGACGAGATAGGCATTCAATGCCCGATTCTTCAGGAGGATCTGTGAATCGCCCAGATACGCCGCGAACTGTCGATCAATATACTTCTTCCAGCCGCGCACCGCAGCGGCCATGTCCGAATCATCAGTTGCGATCCGCTGCCAGCTAATTCCGAGGAGACGGGTGGCGTCGTCGACAGCAGGTTCTTCGGAGCGGGTACCCACGTTGAGGGTCCGGCGGTTGTCGTCTTGTTGTTCGGTCGAGTGCAGTCTTCGCTGGATGGAGGAGAGAGTGATGTCGTCCAAACTGGGAGCTGATGGATCCAAGCGCTGGGATTTACGACCCGAGGATGATGGGTTGTCGGCACGACGGGACGAGATCGGTGCAGCAGTGGTGACATTTTCGACGTTTTCTTCGTACCATGTGCCGGTTTGGCTTTCGGCCGAGATGGCCATCTTGGTGCGCGGGTTCAGAAGCACCATGCCTTCGCCGTAGATGGGCTCTTCTACCTCCTGCTTTCGGGTTGATGGAGCAGGAGCGGATACCAAGGACATCGGGGTGTTGTTTCCGTTGATGGCTTCTTCGAAGGAGGAATCGTCTCGCGACCTCTTGCGAGATGGTTTGGATGGGAAAAGGTTGTTGGTGGCGGAGAAGAAAGACCTCGACTCTGTATCGGTGAACTTCGGCTGGCGAGGGAATTGAACAAAAGCATGGTCCTGACGAGGGGATAGGACCATCGCCGGGCCATCGGAGAGACTGTTCAGCAGCATTGGGCACATGGTGACTGAGGGTGACTGGCGGCCGAATGGAGCGACTACGAGGATGGAAAAGATCCGACCTGTTCTGTCTGTCCAGTGAGCTAAAAACTATACGCGTGAGCAACCTGTGGATCTCGCGATCCAAGCTGTACCACAATGGCACAGCACCGAGAAGAGGACGAAAGGTGCGTCGCGAAAGGTCGTGGAGGCAGGGAGGACAGGAGGGGAAAATAGAAGGACACGAGACAGGGCTATATATATCAGCTGAGGGTGATGGTGGTGGTATGGTGATGGCGATTGGAGATGAAGAGACGAGATGAGAAGATGGAACGATGGAGATGGATGGGAGAGGGAGAGCTGAAGGGTAGAAGAAAGGAAGGAAGGAGAGAGAAGGAGGGACGGATGGGAGACACGAGGAAGGAAGGAGATGCGCAGCCGGCAAGTGAGAAGCGAACCACGGGTGAATCGGCTAGACGTGGAGGAGAAGAGTGGAAAAAAGAGGAGACAAGGAAGAGACAAGCGGACGCGTGAGAAGAAGGGGAAAGAAGGAGAAGAAGAAGAAGCTGCTGACGGATGCGGACGAGTGATGGCCGTCGCAGGTCTCGGAGCTTCTTGGGATGCGCCTGCGATTCCATTGCGGAGAGCAGGATTTGCCTGCCTCGTTACCACCCATTACCCCAAATACTCCCGTCTCGCCGCCTCTTCGGCGCCTGCCATACCATACCTGACCGTATGAGCTGACAGCCCCACCGGCCTCCGATCGACCCGCAAGGACTCTGCCATTATTGGTCGATGGGCAATCTTCCCGGGCAACGATGCGGTGGGGGCCCCCAGCAGTGCCGGCGGTGATTGGTTCATCCTGCAAGCCCTGTCCGCGCGTCAGCCCTCACAGGAGCCCCTGCCGTCGCCAGAACGAAGGTCATTGGCCGATCCATTGAGCACAAGCCCGGGGCTTTCGATGAGCCTTGATTGGCTCGAGGCTAAGGTCCGCATGGACTGCTGACTGATCACCGACCAGGGCAGGCAGGCTTGGCCGGCTCAGCCAAGGAAGCTAGCCAGAACTTTACCCGGATGGGCAAGGCTAGGCCATCCTGGGCTCAACCTGGAATCCGCCTCCAACAGGAATCGATCACGCGTAAACATGGAAACGGACGTAATTCTATTGGGTCGAACAGGTTACACTCATCACGTAGTAAAAAGATCCTATAGTAACAGTAGAAGGGGAGGAAATCCAAGGGGAATCAAACGAGCAAAGGAAAGGGCGAAAGCGACATCCGACACCAAAATCTCCTGCTAGTTTCACACGTCACAGATGTTCATCGAGCCAAACCGTTTGCCATGCAAAAAAGACCCCCCTCTAGAGCCGGGACACCATGGCAATCGAGAAAGACCGATGTTGGAGAAATGAAGAAGAGGAAACTGTCGGACTCAAGATCCAAGTCGTATCAACCATGGCCTCTGGGCACAGCTGCATTACCTGCATGTGGCCGGCCCAGACGCACCCCGCATCCCAATTCGTGAAGAACTACCCCAGTGAGAAACATTATCTTTATAGCAATATATGGCCATACATATCCAAGTATGGACTGAAAAAGCGAGCGTGAGGGTGAGTAGAACTTTTGACCAGGGGACTTTCCTGTCCCCATACTCTCAACACACGAGCATCAGCCACCTGACTCTCTGACTCACTTCGCACCAGCCTGCCTAATGGCACTATCATTGGGAAATCTGTAGAAAGCTCTTAAACCTTTCCAGCAGTAGCTCCGCCAAGCATTCCCTTGACGCTAGCAACAGACTCGGGGGCGTAGCTAGGGGCCATGGATCCCATGAGAAGGAAGAGAATGAGGACAACGGCCCCAAACACAATGAACTTGCGTTGCGCGGGGTGGTTGACGCCATACTCGGCCCAAGCGCGGTTGGCCTGGCCAGTGTACTCCTTGATCTTGTCACCGCCAAGCTTGTAGTAAACGAGACCGACGAGAGCAACAGAGTAGCCGAAGAACTGAGTAAGGGTGACGGGAGTCTGCCAGATCATCATGGAGGCGATGACCAGAAGGATATCCTTGAGAACACCGCAGAGGGTCATGACGAGGGAAGAAGTCTTGCCGATCTGTACATGGACGTCAGTAATCAGTGATCCGTCTATAAATGGCAATCCGGAGAGGAAGATCCATACCAAGAATACAACAGAGACGTTAAGGAGGAAAGCAACAACGGCATTGGCCAGCAATGTCCACACACCAACGTTGTAGACGTGGTTCATAGTGAGGTTCGGAACCTCGAGGAACAGGGCAGTGACACCGTTCATGACAGCACAGACAGGGGCGAAGTAGTAAAGGGAGACAAGAGGGTCCATCTTGTACTCGGCAGAGCTAAGAAGGCGCTGGACCATGACCAGGCGAGTGGCCTCAAAGACGATACCACCGAGCTGGAAGAGAAATCCGGTGAAGACGAACCGGATCTCACCGAAAGAGGCGATGATGACACCAAGAACAATAATGCTCACATTCATGAGCACCTTGAGGTTGACAGGAGCCATACCCATGCCCCAAGTGGCGAACAGGACAGCAACCGGGGTTGTAGCCTGAGAACAGGTCAGCAAGCAATGACACCCACGCTGGATTGTTCAACTGACCTTAAGCATCTGGATGAAGGCAACACTCAGATACAGATAAGTCACGTTACCGCAAATCAAGCTCAGACTGAAGAACAGACCGATCGGGACAATTGCACGGAGGTACACCCGGCCAGTCATCTTCACGGTTTTCCGTCCGTCGAGCAGAGTTGTGGTGCGGGCAAGAAGCTGGGTCATGAAGGTCGCGAATGCCAGATGCCATGTTGTAAGAATAATAGCTAAAGAAACATTAGAGCTGTAAGATGGGCACGCAAGAGATTGAAGAACATACGGAAGCCTAGAAGGTAGAGAGAATGCGATTAGTTATGTGGTCGATTGATCAAAATTTATAAGTAGAAACGACTTACGGAACTGAGCATAATCGAGGATATGCTTGTTGAACAGAATGACGCTGGAGCTCAAGGTAATCCAGACACTGGTCTTGTCTTAGTACTTTGTTCTCACTTGCCAGGTCCATGCTAGCGATCCAGGGCGACTCACCCGACATAGACAGCAGGGTGAAATGCTGCCTTGGGGGGCTCCGTCTTATCGACGGCGGGATTGACGGTGGGCAGGGTAGGCTCCGGACGAGAGACCTCTCCAGAGGTCCTCACTTTTTCGCCTTCGGACATTGTGAAGGTGCGAGTCTGATCCGATAAAAAGCGTTGGAAGTCGAAAGGGCGCGGCCGCAGAAGGCTGCTTTGTCCGAACTTGGCGGAGGCCAGGGGTGAAGGTTATCAAGAAGCGGCGGGAGAAAAAAAGGATAGGTGGTGGTAGCGAAGGTGGGATGGTCAAGAAGCCTGAATGAGGGGAAACGAGTGAGACAAGAGTTGGACGGAGAAAACGACGGTAAGGGAGAGACTGAGAAGAGAAAGGTGTGGAATTGAAGGGCCAAGGTGGACGAGGAGGGGAGAGGGAGAGGGAGAGGGAGAGAGAAGGATGAGAGTCCGTCGAGGTGATTTTCTCTCGGGTACGGAGTAAGCAGCAGGGTTTCGGGCAGGAGGACGTACGGCTTGTTTTGTTGGATCGCAGACGCAGAAGCGTGAACGCGGCACGGGAAGAACGGTCAGAGTAAGATTATTTAGGGGGGGCAACAAGAGCAGGAGACGAGCAGCGACTGGAGACTTGGGACTCGGGAGAGACTGAGAGGGACCGAGTGAGGGACCGGCGACAAGATGGTGGCCCGGGGCGCGATATGTCGTTCGTTGGATGGTTGGCAAGCTTAGGGTACTTAGTCTTGACCGTCAACTTACATACTGCACTAGGCCTTAGTTAGTCTCCTCTGGACCCGGTCTTGAACTCCCCCAAAGTTTAGCGGCTGGCATGCATTTTACTCACTTACGGCCGACTTCCACAGACCACGACACAATGGATGGATGGGGGGGAAGGGAAAGTGGGTGGTGGGGGAGGGAGGAATGAACCGGAACCAGAGTCAGGACGATGATTCCATCGCCTTGCCTATCACCCTCGCCTGCCTTGCCTATTTAATTACTACGGTGTACGTACATTAAATCTGACTGTCTATCTACTCCGTGCTCAACTGTATAATGACCGTTCTTTTCTCTCCTTTCGATTTATTTTTAATGTCTATGACTTGATCCCCTACATCCGTAACTGAAGAATATAATTAGATGCCATTCTTACCACATCCAGTCGGCTATCTACCCCATGGCCACCACAGTTGAAACACCACCAGTGGTTCTGACGGGCGGTTTCGTGTTCTAGGCTGGGAGACAAGCCCATGTCGGTGGAGGCCGAGTGGAGCGACGAGGGGCGAGAAAAAATAGCGGGCTGGGTCCCGGCATATTAAAATATTAAATGCTGATAGTCTTAGATCGAGACCAGAAGTTCCCCCCCCCTCCCCCATGGTTAGGTACCGTATTGGTAATCACCATACGCTGATGGTGCTTTCACTTGCTTGCAGACACCAGTGGTGCAGTATGGGTACCGTACTCCGTATAGACACACGTAAGAATGATTATCGTCTCCTCTACTCCCCTCCCCTCCCCGTGTTAGGGATTCCGAGGACTTCTTCGGTTCTTCTTATCATCGACGGTCAGAGGGTGTTTTTTACTGCAAACGTCATGAGGATATACTTCCGACCGTTCCCATCGTCATTGACCAGAACCCGTTTCATCATACTAGTATGTATGCTCGGACCTCGCCTTGATTGCGTAGGATATATTAATCTAAGGATATTGTTGTCTTGTTATTCCAATCTGCAGGTGGATTGCCATCCTTGAAACCATCTATCGGTGCAGCCGTGGGGCGAGGCGACTCAAGTGTTCATCACTCTCGTGGCGACTGCTAGCGAGCGCCGGTGGTTGGTGTCAATCTCCAGGTCCCCACCGCCGGGCAGCCAGTCGTAGATAGTCAATGGTCGTTGCCCCTTTTCCGTCTGCTCTGGATAGTGAATATTATTATTATTATTATGGAGCCCCGAACGACCTTCCTTGGTCGGCAACGCCTTCTCTTTTTTCGCCCATTGCCTTCTTTTTCTTTTTCTTTTTTGGAGGGGGGAAATGGCCAATCGCATATTGTAGCCCAAAAAGCCGATAGGGCGTCCAGAGTTCATGCTTTGATAGTACCATAGGTAGATCGTAGGATGTCCAGTAGATAAGTGCTCCATTCAGACCCTTTTCCCCCCGAGACTGCTCCGAGTTGATCGAATTGTGTCAGATAAGAAAGCAAGACGCTGATTGAGGGAGAGGGGGGAACGGACACATCAACCGCGACTGCAACAATCAGTGTTGATCAAAATTAACGCCGGCTTGTTTGGTGCAGGATGCATTACGCAAGCAGCCCGCTAGCCAAGCACTGTCTTACCCGCCTTCAGCGGCCACTTGTCCATAGCGCCGCCGCAAAGGTCCCTTGCCGGTGGAGAATGCGGCGATCTGATGGCTGAGAGCCTGACGCCATCACCATGGTTCAATGGCGTTCAGAGGAAATGGTACGACGGAGCCGTCCTGCGGTTGCCCGTTCCCTCAGGGACTCTTCCCAGACCCACGAGGGTCCGGATAGTTCTGTCGTATGGAGTCCCGTTCGGATGAGGCCCATCTTTCGGGACGAGATCACAATGGGAATTGTTGGTTCGATAATGTTCGGTGGTTGGCGTTTCTCAATCTGCCACGGATTGGGGTTCCGTCAAGGCAATCGAGCGTCCAAGCAAAGTTCTTACCATCACTACTGATTGATTGCGCGTCTGTCAGAATTAAGGGCGTTGGCAACAGGGCCAAATCCAAAGTACAGGGGGCGAAAAATGAAGCTTTTGTTAGTGCCTTTGGTCCCTTAGGCCCTGGGTGGGTGAGAACTCCATCGGCTTGCATCTCGGATCCCAGACAGGTTAAACTGATAACCGTTGTAAGCGCTTTCTGGAAAAAGATCCTCTCTGTCCTGCCGTTCTGAGAAGGGCAATCGGTGGAACCAGTCAAGCGTTGCCCGGCTCATGGGTTCACTGCCCGGCCCAAAATCAACCCTGACGTGACAAGAGGGTCGAATAGGGGATGATCCTGTTGCCGATGCTCGCCGTCGACGTCCCCCTTGGCCAGTCAGATCACGTCGATGGTGTACTTGGTCGTAGGTAGTACCCGACAGGCTTTTGTCCTGCCCGGGTGTACGTACACCACGGATATACAGCACCTAGATTGGTTGCTAGCTGCCCTTCAGGATGGAGGTTGGATGATGATCTGACCATCAGTCGCAGGGGACGATGCACCTCCAGAATACTCCGTGCTCCCATACCATATTGAGATTTCGTGGCCTTGAGCTGGGAATCTCAATATGACTAACTGCAAGCCATATATCGTATAGACCCCGTGATTCCCCAATCGATAGGATATTGATAGGCATCTATCTAGTATACTGTACTACTGTACTACTGTATCACTGTAACTACATAGAACCCTCGTGGGGTGCACAAGATGCGTGGCCGACTTGCATTACTGTTTTAGGAAGTTGCCAACCGTCACTCCGCCAGGATGGAGTTGGATGGAGTTGAATGGACGATGGAGTACTCCGTATGGAGTATGGGAGTAGTATAGGCTGGGACTATCTAGATACGGAGTACGGAGAAGGGACTCTTAGCCAAGTGGGAGCAATGCGCATGCATTCCACCGTACCTACTCCGTACCTATCTAGCCCCTGGCAGGCCGGTGCCTGCCGAGAAATCGCCATCGATCCCGTATCGCGGTATTCTTAGAGCTTTGACACTTGGACTCTTAGGGAGATGCTGCATTCAGATGTGATGATAAGCAGTGAATCGGGACCAATCGTACTATCGGACCCTACGGAAAATTGATTGATGCGTATTTAAAGTCTGGCTGGGTGCAGTTGGATCATCGGTTACTATTCTTAAATGTCTACGGAGTATGCATACGTAAATAGGCCTGGATTGCCTGGCTGGGATGCAACAAAAACTAATAAAGAAAAAGAAAAGAAAAAGCAGCAAACGCGCAGATGGCGCAAGGAAAGGCGTACAGTGGTACACAGTAGTAGTATCAATAATATGTACTGTGTAGGTAGTAGTGGGCAGGCCAGGATGAATCGGGCCTGCCGACCCATGCGTTCTCCAGGCGTTTAAGATGAGGGATGATTTGGATTGATTGGGGTTGGAAATTAGCTTTGTCCCCTTTGCCCCTTTTCCAAGGCTCCGCGACTGGGGCGGCGCCGACACGAATTAATATTAATATTAAGATGGATTTGTCCTAGTGGCCTTTTTTTGGGGAATTCCGAGAATCCGATTGATTGATCTGTTAGGGCCCAAACTTGAAACCGACTCCCAGCGCCCCCCACCGCTTTGCTTGTCACGTTTCGCCTTCCCGACCGACGGCCACTGATACACCTATACCTTTCGGCCTCTCCCGTGCTCTCCTCCTCCCTTTCTCGCCTTCTTCCTCTTCATCAACCCCTCCCCTCCTCTCCCTCTTATAATACTGCAGTCTCCTGCAGCTTCACGGCTTGTCTTCTATGCTTAGCCTCGCCCGCAGGACTTTGAACCGCGTCCCCAGCTTTCAGGATATTCTACAAGGCAGGATGACCCACCCCGATATGTAAGGAGTGCCCCCTCCCCCGACAAGCTTCCTTCTCGACCAACTGCCCGTGAAGCATCTACTGACTGCTGCCTCTGTGCTTGTCTTCAGCTCCGTCGACGTTCTCGTCATTGGTGCCGGCCCTACTGGTCTTGGTGCCGCGAAGCGTCTCAACCAGATCGTACGAATTGCACGCCTACCGCTTACAATGCTTCGAATACTAATTGCTGGGTGTAGGATGGCCCCTCTTGGTTGATCGTTGACAGCAACGAGACCCCCGGTGGTCTTGCTTCCACCGATGTCACTCCCGAAGGCTTCGTATGTTCATCCTGGCAGCGCACGAATTGGCAGACAATGACTGACGGCAATTGCAGCTCTTCGACGTTGGTGGTCACGTTATCTTCTCTCACTACAAGTACTTCGATGACTGCATCAACGAGGCCCTCCCCAAGGACGACGACTGGTACACCCACCAGCGTATCTCCTACGTTCGCTGCCAGGAACAATGGGTTCCCTACCCCTTCCAGAACAACATCTCTATGCTTCCCAAGCATGAGCAGGTCAGGTGTATCGACGGCCTGATCGACGCTGCTCTCGAGGCTCGCGTCGCCAACACCAAGCCCCAGAACTTCGACGAGTGGATCGTGCGCCAGATGGGTGTTGGTATCGCTGATCTTTTCATGAGACCCTACAACTTCAAGGTTTGGGCTGTGCCTACGACCAAGGTAGGTTATCGAAATCATGAGCCCTGTGACAAGAGTCCCGAGGTGCTGATACTTGCGGGTTTCTAGATGCAATGTGCTTGGCTGGGTGAGCGTGTTGCTGCCCCCAACGTCAAGGCTGTGACGACCAATGTCATTCTCAACAAGACCGCTGGTAACTGGGGTCCCAACGCTACTTTCCGTTTCCCCGCCCACGGCGGTACTGGTGGTATCTGGATCGCCGTCGCAGACACTCTCCCCAAGGAGAAGACCCGCTTCGGTGAGAAGGGTAAGGTTGTCAAGGTCAATGCCAACAACAAGACCGTTACCTTGGGTGATGGTACCACCGTCGGCTACCAGAAGCTGGTCTCCACCATGGCCGTCGACTACCTTGCTGAGCAGATCGGCGACCAGGAGCTCGTTGGCCTCACCAAGGAGCTCTTCTACTCTTCCACTCACGTCATCGGTATCGGTATCCGTGGTGAACGCCCCGAGAGAATCGGTGACAAGTGCTGGGTAAGTTATCTGCATTTGACCAGAAGCAAGATGGAATTTGGACTAACTCTGTCGCCTTCAGCTATACTTCCCCGAGGACAACTGCCCCTTCTACCGTGCCACTATCTTCTCCAACTACTCCCCCTACAACCAGCCCGAGGGCTCCAAGAAGCTGCCCACTCTGCAGCTCGCGGATGGCTCCAAGCCCCAGAGCACCGAGGCGCAGGAGGGTCCTTACTGGTCCATCATGTTGGAGGTTTCCGAGTCTTCGATGAAGCCTGTCAACTACGAGACTCTGCTGGCTGAGTCTATCCAGGGTCTCGTCAACACTGAGATGCTGAAGCCCACCGATGAGATCGTGTCCACCTACCACCGTCGCTTCGACCACGGTTACCCCACCCCGTCTCTGGAGCGTGAGGGCGCTCTTACCAAGATCCTGCCCAAGCTTCAGGAGAAGGACATCTGGACCCGTGGCCGCTTCGGTAGCTGGCGCTACGAGGTTGGTAACCAGGACCACTCGTTCATGCTCGGTGTTGAGGCTGTGGACAACATTGTCAACGGCGCTGTCGAGCTGACTCTCAACTACCCCGACTTCGTCAACGGCCGACAGAACACCGAGCGGCGTCTGGTTGACGGCGCCCAGGCTTTCTCCAAGAACAAGGCGCAGTAAAGGTTGCAGCATTTAGAGAACTTACATGGGTTTTAATTTTTTGAATGATTCCAGGGGGCAAAAGATTTTATAGATCTGATTACGATCAACGGGAGCCACTTTGCTTTTTTCTTCTTGTTCTATCTACTTAACCTATTTACCCACTTTTTGAAAGCGATGTATGGCAGATGTGTTTGCTGGCCCATTTTGTGATGCGTATCATCAACTTCTTTCTACACCTTTACTCTTTTACATGAGACCATCTTAGACATGAATAGATGTTGCTATTTCAACCCCCGTTTCCGATATATGGTAGAAGCTCTCCCACAGTCCTTTCTGTACTGATCCTGCTCTACGATGCCAGTATGACCATCCAGTGTAGATCCCTCCTGGCAGATGAAACATGTGCCAAGTGAGAGAAGTCTAGCTCAGCTTATATCGCGTGCACTCTGCAGGCTGTTTCTATTTCCGCCTCACTCCTAGCTCGTCATGGAAATGTGATCTATAATGAATGGCAGCTAGGTCATGTCTCAAGCCCGTAGATCCATCCCATGAGCAGCCTCCGTCGAAACCCGACCACTCATGTCGCCCACTGGCCCGGCCCTTTCCTTTTCTGTCTCTCGCTAACCGCGCAGTGCTTACTCCATAGTACACGTCGTACGGAGCATGCAGGCCTGCAGGTAGTATCCATTTTAAATTTCTCACGGCTCCCAACAAACCCACTTGATCTCGTAAGGCTGAGTGAGGGACGGATGGGGGCGGCGCATCGGGACTTTTTTTTTTTTTTGTTACTACGTAATGAGGGGCCCAGCGAGTGGTGCGCAGTAGTCTTCAGTACTATGTAGCATGAACTGTTAGGTTGGATGGAAATACTACTAATAGATTTTCATATTTTAGTAGTTGGCCAAGAACAGTGAAGAGATATATCATGGTCCCTAGTAGTACTAGATCGATAAGAACCATCTACATTATGAAGAACGTCAATCGTCTGTCTAGACAGACAACCGGATGATTCATCAATATTTAAAAGGATATGGAACTGCCTACTCACTATCTACTAGATATCCCGTACTGTGTATGTGTAGGTCTGTGTATACAACTGCCTACTTAGGCAAGAGACAAGCTCGCCCCGTACCGTACCAAACCAAACATACGGTTTCCACTTGCCAGCCACTCAGGCAGGGCGGGCCCCCCGAAACGGCTAAGCGCGGGGGGGGGGGGGGGGGCGGGCGCCGCCAGTCAGGGGGCACCAAAAGGGACTAGCGGGCTGGAGCAGGCCGCGTAAGTGATGGAGACCTGGAGTCGTGCAGAACCCGCCGGCGCGGGAGGAACTTAAAAATAGATGGATAGCCAGCCAGCCAGCTGGTCATCATGGATGGCGATCAACTGGGTCGGAATGACGATGACGATGGCGATAGATAGACATGGGCGATGGTGATGGCCTTGTTTCAAATAAAGGGGCCATGATGATGGTGACATGGTTTAATATTCACATATTGTGTAGTATCTATGTGGTGTAATTCATGATTAATACTCCGTACATAGTTCGGTCATGACCGCCGGCGGCATTGTAACCTTGTCATCGACTCGATCGGTTTCAGCCTTATCGAACCGTCGAGCTGCATCTACTATGCTAAGTAAGTCCCAGGAAACTTGGGCCCGGAGAATTCGGCAGTTGGGATTCGACCGTTCTACAGTCTACACTCTTACCTACAGTCGAGAAGATAGTCGACAGCTGATACTGAGAGGGATGACGAATAACCTCACGCGATCCCCACGGTCATTGGATGTGGCCACCACTCCGCCCCCCAGGCTTGACGTCCCCCTCCACGCAACTGGCTGAGGCAATGGCTGAGCCCTGCATATTGTACGAAACCCATCGAGGCTGACACCTCACAGGAATGGATCCTTAAGCAGTCAAATTATAATTAGAGGTTCGGTCTTCTCGGTACGGGTCAAAATCTCCGCGGCAGCAAGGAGGTCAACGTATCATCACCCATCCAGTCCTTCCCTCACTGCCTTCTCTGCTGAGTGGCGATGAAATCACCGAGTGCCTGTGCATTCAGACGCCCCCCACTGCGGATGACATGCTTCTATCCCCCTGTTGTCATTCACAGTCTTCCTCCACCAAACACGCCATCGAAATTGGCAACGGTCCGCCTAGACCCTCGGGAACCCCAGAATCGATCCGATGTCCTCGAACCCATCCTCAGTGTTGTCGTGGACTTCATCCAACATGAAGTTGATGTAGGTTTGGAAATCTCTGGCCTCCACTAGCCGCGGGTGGACCGACGCTCGGTTCTATCCAGATGTTAGCGGTGGCCAGCGCAGGAGGCTACATGAGAGCATACGTACATCGCCATGTGGACCTGCCATTCTTCCTATACCACCTTGCACCGGTGGGTTTACAGACGGTATAGAAGCAACTGCATTGGCTCTACTGGCGTTCTGACCCCTCTGGACGTACGCCATCTGGGGTATATCTCGAAGCAGCCCTGAAATGGTGGGCGCCTCCCGCGCTGTGGGCCTTCTCCGAGTCTCGTTCCCACGATAAAGATTACGTTGGTGGAATCTCTGTGGCTGACGAAGAGCATTAGACCTACAACTCTCTATTGCCTTTCAGGGATCTGCACCTACCTCCGTCGGGGCATTTCGCGGGCCATTGAAAGCCTGATAGGGGACTGCTCCTTCATAGATTTGCGCAGGTAGTAGACGAACAGGTTCAGTCTGTGTACCACGCGAAATCACCTCTCCAGAAGACTTGCTCCCGTTAGTTCAGTCATCTAATGCACAATTTCAGGTAGCTGGGTCCATACCCTTCGAGTGGGATTAATCTCATCTGCTTCGGTGGACCTTGGTCTAGCACCATCCTGCAAATGAGTGGCGGCAGCTGCTGAAAGTCTCCCAACGTCTGTGCCTGAGCCTTCAACAGGGCCATGATGGTGAACAGTAGCAGACCCCAGCGAAGAGGGACTGGTCCGCTGGCCGCGTGTCTTTTTGGCCAACTTATTCGCACCACCAGCCATTTCGACTAGCTCCAGCGTTGCCTTGGTATTCAGGAATGTGCGCGAAGAAATCCTAACTGATAGTGTGTCTTGCGCAATGGGACTGATACATGTGGACCATAAACGGATCTCCAGATCGAGGTTCGAACTGAGTCCTAGATGCTGTGTTTTCGTACTAGAGTACGCCTGTCTCAGATTCTCTAAAAATAGCTGGGTTAGATCCCGTTGTTGGCGAGAGCCAAGAGTTGTGTCTGGAACTCACCTGCTGCGTGCCTCTCTTCATGTACTTGTGAGGTGCCTATTATAAGCAGAGGGCTGGTGGTGAGTCCGGAGCCTATAAGAAGTGCTTCCCGATTCGGTTCTAGGGCGTGAAGGTGAAGTGGGCGGGGAATCAAGTGATGGGGCGAAACACTGAGATCCTTCCCCACGTTCTTCCAGAAAAAGTCCTCTGGCAGTTTCGATAATACGTTCGCTGTGATGAAAGGCTGGCCTGCCAGTGAATGACGCTGCGGCCATTCAACGCCCCGCTCTTCCGACAATCGGCTGACTGGCTGACTGCTACACTCCTTCCAGGAGGTCTGATCATTCCTGGTCGCCCACTGACTCTCATAGAATGTCTTTGCGTTCGTGCCTGATGCAATTGCGCTTGATGCCAACCTGGACCCTTGGGTGCCTAATGAGCCGGTGGTTCCAGTGGCTCGGACCTGACCTTGCACCACGACGGGCAATGAAATCACCGGCTCATTGAACAGTGACGATGCGCCAGAGGGGCTACCTTCTCTATCTTGGCCAGCTTGCGAGGAACCTTGACTGGGAAAACCCGGGCCGGAGCTGCAGAACGAGCCTGGCGAAGAGAGATTGAACGGGGTGAACAAGTCCGAACCTATGAAGGCTAGATCATCATCGCTATAGTTGTCCTGGTCCAGAACTTGACGATGCCACTCGGCCATGTTTGCATGGCGAAGAAGCAGCCTTTCCAGATGGTACCGGAGATCCTCGTCTCCCAGAGCGATGCGTGTAGGCCTATATCTAATCATGGTAAGTGGTGGAGGGCTTACTCGTTTGGCTATATCTGGAATGAATGGACGAGCCGCTGGGGTAAACAGCTATATCGGTATTTCCTTTCTTGAGAGATGCAAGCAGCTATCGATGTTTGTTACGAGCGAACCACTATGGCTGGTGGGAATGAATCCGGTGGATTGACGGAGGGCATCCACGAGCACCGTAGAAAGGGCAAGTGCGACGGATGATAGACGTGATTAAGAGATCCCCAGTACTTGTATGGGTATAATACTACTCCTAGTCCTCCCCAATTACTTTATTACAATTACCGAAAAGATCGACGAATCGAAATGGGGAGGATGGAGGATGTATAGAAGGCGCCGGGATAACGGGCAACAATGGGATTGTGTATAGCGGCATTATTGGGCCAAGGCAGCAACAGTAGGCCGAGCATTGTCCAAGGGACAGGGCTCTTGAGGGAATTTGGATCTACATCTCCAGGGAATCAATCGGATGGCTGTGGCTAGGATGATCCATCGACCAGGCTGCATTGCTTGGACTGCAGGATAATTATAACCCGATTTGATAATAACAATTAGTATATAATACATACTATGATCATTGGGGTCATTGGGGATGACACGACTAGTTCTTATGTCGCAGTCAGAGTCATGAAAGGATAAAGATAAAATTAGAATCTCGGTGGGCAGACCGAATCTCATTCCTGAGGCTGCCACTGAACTGCAGCTGTTGAACTTCGAATCTTCCGCTTTCCCTTTTTCCTTCTTCTTCCTCTCTCTCTCTCTCTCTCTCTCTCTCTCTCGGTCTCACACGACTTACCACTACTACTTACCACCACCACCACTACCACCGGTTCCCCTTTATCCCTTTTCCTATTCTTCCTCCTCGACTCTCCTTTTCCCCTCCTATCTGTCTCCCTTTTCTATCCGCATTTTCTCCGTCATTTCTTCATCGAGATTGTCCGCCTGTTCCCTTTCCCTGTTCCGCGTTGTTGGGTCTGTTTCAGCGTCCCCCTTCGACTCCGCCTTCGTTTGTGTTAGGCTGTACCATGCATCATCCGCTGCTCCTCCGACCGCCGCCATAGTCCGTCGGCAACGCACCCCTCTCCCTCTCCCTCTCCCTCTCTTTCTCTCGGTTCATCCCATCGGCCAAGCTCCTTTTCTTCCCACCTATCTCACCACCCTCTCGTTCGTTTTCTCCTCCTTCTCCGTTCCCCTTCTCAACCGTCTGCCTGGTGCCACGGTGGTGACTTGCCAGGTCACCAGCTGCGAGCCATTCCTTCGACCTTCCCCCCTCCCCCCCCCAAATCTCGCCCTCCTCACCATCTTCCGCCCGCAAACCCCCTTTGAAACCCAACCTTCCCCCCATTCCGGCCCTGAAGGTCCGGTCACTTCCCAAACCTACTGCTGCCCATCATGGATGGGGATCTCAGCCTTTCCCAGTCCTTGGGGGGGCTACGCATCGCAAACCCTGATGATTCGTCCCTACATTCGTCGGAGGATCCAACAACTCCCGCCGCGGGTGCTGCAGACGTAGCAGATTCCGACCTGGTGCGCGAACAGACGGTCTCCGAACGGCCAGGCAGTGCCCTATCTACAACTCCTCCTAGACCCTCCGGTCTCCCCTCACATACCGATCTTCAAGACACCCTTACCTCCGGATCGGTCGAGCCCGCATCCAAGCCGCGAGACAATCGAAGTTCCATCTACAATCCATACTCGGACCTGCCGCAGCAACCGAATCCGCAGTACACTCCTTACGCGTCCCAACAACCACACCCTACTCCCCAACCCTCACGGCCTATGTCGTCCTTTTACGCGAATGGATCCACGTCGACACTTGCAGCCGCCCGGGAGGGTTCCTATCGTATTCGTACCGATTCCGCCGCCTCGTCCGCCTCCGAAACCCAAGCACGTGCGGAATCTCGCGGTGGTTCCGCGGCCTTCCAGGCCGGGGTTCCCGTACGCGACAACAATCACAATGATCGGTCGTATAGAACGGCGCAATTGCCACCAACAAACGGACAGATGCTCATGCGTCAGTCTTCTCGGGCTCACGCGCGGGGTGGGGGGGCATCACAGATTGGAGGATCTCCGTATGCTATGGAGAATGGTCCCAGTTCCAGCAGTGAGGACTGGCATGACCGCGGTGCAGCGGTCGCGGTAAGGCAAGAAATCGATGCCAACGGAAAGCCGGTCGCGCGATACATCAAAAAGGGGGTCCGGGATTTTTCATTTGCTCACACGCTTGGCGAAGGCTCCTACAGTACCGTCGTGCTGGGGACCGACCGGCAAACTCTGAAGGAATATGCCATCAAAATTCTAGACAAGCGACACATCATCAAGGAAAAGAAGGTGAAATACGTGAACATCGAGAAGGACACGCTCAACCGGCTTACCGAACACCCCGGCATTGTCCGACTTTATTACACGTTTCAGGATGAACGTTCGTTGTATTTTGTGCTGGATCTCTGCAAGGGAGGCGAGTTGTTGGGTGTGTTGAAGCGCATGACCACCTTTGATGAAGAGTGCACACGGTTTTACGGTGCCCAGATCTTAGACACGATAGACTACATGCATAGACGCGGCGTCATTCATCGGGATCTCAAGCCGGAAAACGTCCTTCTCGACAGCCAGATGCATATCAAAATCACTGATTTCGGGACGGCGAAGATCCTCAAGAGTCAACGGAAACCTCAAAACTCCAGCGGGATGCCGCCGCTCGACTCAACCGAAATTCCGGAGGAAGAACGTGCCAGCTCGTTTGTTGGCACGGCGGAATATGTGAGCCCGGAGCTCCTGACAGATAAGAACGCCTGCAAGGCAAGTGACCTTTGGGCATTTGGCTGCATCATCTTTCAGCTTCTAGCTGGCCGCCCCCCTTTCAAGGCTGGAAACGAGTACCAGACGTTCCAGAAAATCGTTGGGCTCGAATATGAGTTCCCGGCTAGCTTTCCTGCCGTGGCTCGTGATCTTGTCGAGCGGCTCTTGGTTTTGGATCCAGCCCGTCGGTTGCCGATCGAGCATATTAAGAACCATGAGTTTTTCCAGGGCATCGCATGGGGTCCGGACTTGTGGAAGCGCAAGGCGCCTCGTCTCAAATCGTATGTTGCACCCCCTCGTGAGCCCATCAAGCTAAACGGTGGCGGAGGTAGCGGTGAGGGCTATCCTTCGAGCATCAATCCGGCTGCTCCAGGCACCAATGCCAGCTCGCGTGTAGTGCCTCGACTGGTGACCGAATTGCCAGCTCCGACCCAACTGGACATCGAATGGTCCCCGGTACTGACCAAGAACAACGAGCGGATTTTGAAGTTAGGCAACCTAGTAGTCCTATCATCCCCGGCAGCCCACAGCCCCGTCTCCAGGCATGGAGGCGAGATTGAAGCCCCCCGAAAATTCTCCCGCTTTTTTGGGGGCAGCACGACGAAAAAGCGGCAGCGCTTGGTGATGGTCACCTCGTCCGGCCGAATCATAATGGCAGCGGCTGGAGGAGACGAAAAGAAGGCAAAGCTGGAGCTTTCCCTCCTGGCGCCGGGCACGTCATATCGGACCTCGACGGACGCGAAGGGATTCTCCTGCTGGATTGTGGATACGGTACGAGATTGTTTCTAATTCGATTGGGTGAATAGCTCCTAACCTTCAGGCATCTAGCGCGACAAACACTATGTTTTCGAAGACCCCAAGCCTTCCTCCGGCAACGTAGGGACGTCCGCTTTGTCGGTCCAGGAGTGGATCGATAACCTAGACCGAGCCCGGGAAATGGCTCTCTTCCACCAGGGGAATGGCTCGTATTCCGATGATGCCTTTCGGGACCTATCGTCGGGGTTGTCAAGCCACGCCAACACGCTGGATCGAAGCTCCGAGTTGCAGAACGAAAGTGCCCCCACGGGACGAGCCACTCTTGTCAAGCACCAAAACACCGACACCGAGTCGGTGAAAGGAAAGAAGCGCTTCAGCAGGCGTCATTCCAAGAACGGTCTGGCTGCGGTGTTCTAAGCGCATCGCATTCGCCTTCTCCCACCCCACTCACCTCCGTCCCTCGTCCTATTCTCCCGCTCCCCGGACTCTCATCCCCCAGTCCGGAACATTGTCCGCTGCGCAGGGTCGCAAACAAAATCTCTTCTTTGTACTTGGAACATATCTCGTCCCCGTATTTTGCTCGATATCCCTGAGAGTTTCCTGCGTGTGTGATTGGCGATATTTTTCTACCATACCTGCTGCTGGCAGGTCTTGCTTTGGACTATTATTTATGCTATTATTATTATCACCGGGATCCAGTCATGAACTTCAGCCGGCGACTTGTTTGTTTCCTTTGTACCTTGGCATCTCTTGTACGAACTTTTCCTTTGTGACGTGGCTTGCTTGTTGCTTTGGCCTTGCATCTTCGCAATGATGAGCGTGTTTCTGTTGAGATTGCTGCATTTAGATGGGAAGGAGTATGCATATATCCCTCATCTGGCTTTTCATTTACCTGTCCTTCTCCTTTTCCACTTCTTTTCAATCTACTCCTCTTTCTATTGTCCCTTCTTATTCTCTTGCGATATATATCCTTCCCGTGCTTGCCATAAAATGGTCTGGGTGTTGCCCAGATCTCCTCCATGTCTGGGACAGAGCGCGGTACAGTACATTCTTATTCTTTCGAAAGCCGGGCATACCTTTCACCATCGCCACCTTCCTTGCTACTGGGGATTTTGTGTTTGCTATATTATATCATTCGGGCTCTTATATTGAGCGTCTTGGGAGTTGAATTCGATTACCCCATTTTGTGTTTTGACTCTTTCCCTCTCTTTCCCTGCGTTTCTTTTCTCCGCTTCCCCCGATCCCATTCCCAATACAGTCATGTTCCTGTCAAATAGCTTTCCTTTCCCTTTCCACGGTATCTCATAGGTGTATTCCAGGGGGAAAAAAGAAAATTCTACTATCTATTCATCAGGCTCATTACTTCGTGCTGCCTGTCTGCCTGAAAGGTTTCCCAATCCAAATCACTGATTTGTATACTGTAGTAGTCATGTGATCGTCACTCCTGGAACTGATGTATAAATACCTCCAGTCACGTCCAAAAATAACCGAAAAAGAGAAAAAGGCCATGATTTCTAGGAAACCCAAGCTGCAACTAGAATGTTAATCGGGCTATTGGAAGGAGGATAGAGAGCACTGTACATTAATCATTATCTATAAAATATATGTAACTGGGATGAATTATATGTCCGTCGGAAAAAAGGGATAGTCTCTATATGAATAACCAGTCGATCCGGGATTCGTCCAACTCTTGGATCCAATCGAACTCATCTTCGTCATCGTTATCGTCATCATTATCATAAGTTTGGTCACAATTGGTGTTGCTAAACTGGGAATGTGAGTCCCAGGACCGACGTCCCTCGTTGGAATGGGCCATGCTTTTCTCTGCCTTCTTCTGATCCTTTTTCTGCCACATCACGCTCAATACCCAGGCCGCGTTACGGACATTCACGCTGGTGATGTCATAGTATAAGGCGCGCAGCTTGTCCAGGAGGAATGGCCGCTGGGAGGGGTCTCGGCATTCCGCGCCCGCGATGAAAGTGGGCCAGATAAGACATTTGAAGTGGGGGTCTGCAATGGGGATGAGAGCAATTTGGCGGATGGTCAGATCGGCAACCATGGCGTGGTCAGAGGTGAGACCAAAGTGGTTGGGGATGGTTGCGGCGCCGGGGCGCGGACGGGAGAGGACGCGACTTGCGTAGAGGTAGACAGCGCCTTTGTAGACGGCTGCGAGGGCAGTGCGCATAGAGAGATCCGCGAGGTACCAGCAGCTCTGCATGGATTCGGCCCAGGCAGCGGGGTCGAAGGCTTGAATGTGTTGGAGGAGAGCGCCCGGAGATTGGAGCGGATTAGAGTTTTTGGGAAGGAAGGCTGAGGAGAAGATCATGGTAGGTTGGGTGTTTGGATCGACGTCCGGGTCAAAATAGAGTCCCGCGTGGATGAGGAAGATGACTTCGAGGAGATAAGCCGGGCAGCCGACCCAGGAGGTTTCTTCGAGCCGTTTGAGCATGGCGGGGCCCATGCTGGAGGTGTAGAAGGGTTTGGTGAGGGACCCGGGGCGAGCGAGGGTAGATCCCATGAGTTGGATGCTGTGGAGGTGGGGATGAGTATGAACAGTTGCATGGGGAATGGGACTTGGCTTACATGAGAAAGCCGTCGACGGCGAAATCTTCCAGCCATTTGATAATGTGTTGAGCCGGGTTGAAGGTACTTAGTTCTTGTCGACCTTTTAGGAGCTTTTTGGCCCCCTCTAGGTGGTATTTCCAAGCCCCATCTCCTGATTCGATAGCATCCATGAGAGCCAGAACCATGATCGCCGCGAGAGTTCGGTTGTCGTTGCGCAAAACGAGGTCCTGGATATCGCTCGACAGTTGTTGTAGTGCGCGCTGTTTAAGCCCGAGGAAGTGCTCATATGCCTTGGACGTCGGGCGCCGAGACATGGAACTGATCACGGCCTTCTCAACCTGTTCTGAGGACATGGATGGACCAGCTGGAGATGAACCTTCCGACAGCCATGGGGCCAGCGAGAAGTCACCGCTGGCTAGGATCGCGGAATGCAAGGCGCCGGTGGCAGCGAGGACGTGGGAGAGGAGCGGAGAGTCGGCAACCAGGGGAATAAGATCGCGGAACGGGTTCCGGGCATCGGAGTAGAGTGTAAGGTAGTTGGCGAGGTTCTGGTTGACTTGGGCATGGTTAGACAGGGGTGAACATCGAGGGAAAAGCTGGCAACCTACAATGGACGATGTAGTATCTCGACAGCTGACTCAGGTCCTTGAACAACGGATCGACCATGCCCCAAGGAGCGGGGACTGATGCAGCTCTTTGCAGGGTACCCTGATTGTCATAATCCTCCGGATGTGGGGAATCCAGGACACTCTGGATGCCCGATACGTTTGGGGGAACACACAGGCTGATGTCGATGGACAGATCGGGGCCGAGCTGACTGGGCGAATCGGCAGCCGACGGCGGCGACGCATTGCTGGAGACGGAGCTCGAGTCGTCACGCCTGCTGTCTGGAGCCCGCATAACATCGTTAAAGCTGCGGCCCATCATCTTGCCCCGACTAGCCACGCCCCCCTTCACCCACACGAGGGGTTTCTGATACCCCAGACATTCCTTCCCCGCATCGCGGCACTTGCGGCAAGTTGGGAGACCGTTGTCGCAGATGATGCGGCGGCGGCGACAGGTATAGCAGCCCTTCGACATAACTCGGGCACTCTCACTGTTCTGGCGGGTGGGAGAATCGCAATCCGATGCAGGCAGCTCGAGGCGAGTATCCAAGCATGACACTCGCCATCATTGGGGATTGTTACGACACGGCCAGTGTGGAGAGAGAGAGCTTCATCCAGCACGGGGGAGACCAGCTCAATCCGAGGCGCTTGATGCTACACACTGAACGAAGAGCACGGCGGCTCGACAGGAGGAACGAAGAGAAGAAAGGGTGCAAAGAGGGAAGGAAGAGAAAGAGGAGAGAGAATGTTCCAGTTGAAACTGGGCCGCGAATGGAGGATCAGACAAACAAAGCTCGGGGATTGGCGGGGTGCCGCTGACTCAGCATTATGAGGCCCGCTAACGGGATGGGGCTAGCGCGGTACCTCTCCGTACGGGACGGGGTGGATGCCTCAAATACGGGGCCGGAAGCGATCGGTTGGATGGAGTCGAGATAAGAAAGCCATGGAGAGGGCAATGGGTTGGCTGAAAATCCGAATGAAGAAGATATGAAAGAAGACGGACTCAGGGCATGAGAAATCGAAGGGGCGGAAGTCATCCGACAGAGAGCAGCTGAATCAAGGTTCCGCTGCAGGCAGCCAATCAGGGCGGGTGGTGCGAGGCTCGCAATTGACTCTCTTCGTCTTCTTTCCTTTCAATCCAGCAGTCCTCGTCTTGTCTTGTCTCTGTGGCATCCGAGTTCTGGGCTGCTCTGGTGGATCTTGCTGTGGTTGTTCTCTTACTGAGTCGCTGCACGCAGCCTCTTGCACCAGAGTTACTAAGAGTGAAACCATGTTCTTTGACGCTGTGTTTATTTATCGGCTGTAACCTCTCCGTCGGTATCGCCTTCTTGGCTGCATTCTTGTCGCATTCGGTCGACCGTCTCTTGGGCTTCTGCTCTGCTTTCTTGTCCTTTCTAGACTCCTTCTTCGCTTCTTCGCTTCTTCGCCTGGTGGCCCGTGTTGTTATCGCCCGCGGGGATCAACAGCCGGGAATCCGCCGCCACTCGCAATCCTCTGCGAAACCATCCGCCTGGCCGTTTTCGCGGGCCAGACATTCCTCTCTGGCCGTGTCGACGAATTCCGATCGGGGCGCGTATTGCTGGATTTGAATGACGGCCCGTACACTGCAGCACTCGTTGGCATCTGGTCACCGCGCATTTCCCCTGAGGACCATGTCCCCCAAGTCTCCCACCACTACGGTCACTTCCATCGACATGGTTTCCCAAGCTCAGGTCCTTGATCGCTCCATGCCGCCCCAGAGCGCCGCCTCCTCCGTGTCGCGCCACTCTCACTCCAGCCGGCGACACCGTCCTAGTCGCTCCCACCATGGGGGTCTTACCCACCAGCCCCAGAACGATTTTCCCATCTTCACGCACACGGGCGATGTCGAGATTGTGATCCGCGCAGGGGGGCAGGAGCACCGCTACCTCCTTCATCGGCTGATATTGGCGCAATGCTCCGGGTTCTTCGAGGCCAGCACCCGCGAGGAGTGGTCGCGACAAGCTGTCCCGCGGCCACCGAACCTGGACACGGGGGTCCTGTCGAGAATCAGTGAAGACACCTCTTCGCTGTCGAACGGGTCCACTCTCGCCCAGTCGGAGAGCGGAGGATCTGCTTGGTCGGTCGAGAAAAGACGGTGGAGGTACGAACTGGACTGGGTGAACAAGGCGGAGGACGAGGAGCCAATTCTGGTGCAGAAGGTTGGTGCTACTTGTATCTGAGACATTGTGGGGTTGCTACTGGAGATGCTGATCGTTGAGTCTATTTGCAGCCACCAAGCTTTTCCAGCGCCTTTGGGTACGATGCAGGACAATACCCTCCATCCGTGACCAAACCATCAAACACGCAAACGGGCTTTGTCCGGTCGATGGCCAACCTGGCCGGGATGCAGTCGGTGGTGAACCTACCACATCGAGCCAGCATGGCCAACCCCCCGACGGATCCCATCATTCGCGACTATGATAACTTGTTCCGCCTGTTCTACAATTACCCGCCCACGATCAACACTGTCAATATTGCGACGGCCTACACGGAGTGCAGGGCCCTTCTCAACCTGGCCGATATGTACGACGCGCTGCCTGTGACCGGTCCCCGCGTTGACCACCATCTCCTGGGCTTTGGCTCTCGATTGTTCAAGCAAATCGCCAAGTACCCCCCAAGCTACCTCAAACTGGGTTTCCTTGCACGCAGTCGAGTCATTTTCTCCGAGGCTCTGATTCACGTGGTGGGACAATGGCCGGCTGCACTGCCGCACTTGCGCAACGGGCCGTACTCGCCGCTCCCAAATTCCGTGCTGGACATCATTGAGGATAAGGTGGAGGACCTAGAGGACCTGAAAGCGCGTATTGATTCAAAGCTCCTGCGGCTCACCCTGACGACCTCACGTGGCGAGCGTGTCAGCCCAACGAACGCCTACCTGGACTGGCTGGCTGTTTCCCTCTTCCGGCAATGGCTCGTCGATAGCACGACACCTCCGCCGACTCCCATCCTTAAAAATAGTTCGAATGCGCATGCCAGCACCAGCAACCACAACAGTCGCGGCTCGCAGTCGACCAGCCACCGACCAACAGACTCTAGCTCCAAGCCCGCCACCACGGCACCACCCTGGTCCCCAGCGCGCGTCTACCGTCTAATCGGCTCCTCCTCCAGCCAAGCCTACCTATCGCACGAGGACCTCAAACGATTCCTCAAGGTACACCCGACGCCGTCATCGGAATCGCTGTACACACGGGAAGTCCTAAAACGGTTCGAGCGCAAGATGGACGAGATCAAGCGGCTGGCCCGCGAAATCGTCAAACCACTCATGCGCAACTTCCTCGAACTGGACCTCAAGGGCAGCGAATACAGCGAAGGCGGGCTACCCTATTTAACCTGCACCAAAGTCGAAGACGGGGATATCCCCTGGGAGTGATCCTCCGCAAATAAAAAGAGAAAAAGAAAGGAAAGTAACGACATCCCACCACCACCACCCCCATCACCATTACTTTACGCATTATGCCCCATCGATACCCTGGTAGTTACGGTTCACGGTTTCCGAGATACCTTACGATTTGATCATTGAATTCCCCGTTTCCCGTTATATGCTACGTCTATTGCATGTCCCGTTTTATGACTGTCTGAATTACGCTCTGTTTCTTATTTTTTTTTACCCCCCCATTTCTGGTCCGGGTTTTGTTACCGATACGATATGAGATGAATGTGTCCACGATGTCATGAGAATCTTTCTCTTTCCACCTTCCCCTCCATCTGCCCGCCTCTTTTTGATTACCCATCCTATGAACAAGTCAATAGTCAGGCCAGTAAGTAGTTAGCTAGATGAATGAATAAATATGTAATAGCGTGCATACGTCTTACTATGGGATGATTAACTCAATAAGTAGGTCGGGGTTGGTTTCATGATTTTATAAGGTACGCGGTGTTGGTGAGGTAGAGTGTAGGCAGGGAGTAGAATACAGTCATTCAATCAACATACTAGTCATACATCCATCTATACACATTCAGAGGAGATTAGTTCTTCCCAATAACCTCCATTCCGCCCATCCAGTTTCTCAACACCTCCGGCACCACCACGACGCCGCGTTCCGCATCCCATCCATTCTCCAGGATAGCAGCCAGCACGCGTGGAACGGCCATGGCCGTGCCGTTCACGGTATGCGGGAACCGGGACTCCTTGATCGGACCGCCGCGAACGCGGGTCCCCAGGCGTCGACTCTGGTAGTCTGTGCAGATGGACGCGGAAGTGACCTCGCCCCAGCCGGATTCGAGTTCCGGGACGCCGTTGTTGTCCGCGGCGCGCAGTCGCGACGGGAAGAGGACTTCGATATCGCGCTTGCGGCTGGCGCTGGCGCCTAGGTCGGTGGAGGGCATTTCCAGCACGCGGCAAGGGAGGTTCAGGGAGGTGAGGATCTCTGTTTGGATGGATAGAAGCTCCGTGAAGAGGTCGTCGGAAGTGGCACCGCCCTTGCCGGTGTCGGGGAGGTTATCTGACCAGGCGAACATCTCGACCTTGGTGAACTCGTGCACCCGGTAAAGGCCCTTGGTGTCGACACCACGGGAGCCCGCCTCGGCACGGTAGCAGCGGCTGGGTCCCACCAGACGCAGGGGCAGCTTGGTGGCGGAAATGTCGCGGCCGGCGTGCATGGCAGCGAGGGGGATTTCGGCGGTAGCGGCGAGGGAGCGCTGCGGTTTGGATTTGTCTTTCTCGGTCTGCTCAATGGCCCAGATCTGTTGCTCATTGTGCTGGTCGCGAGGTTGGAAGCCGCAGGCTTCGGCGACATAGGAGTAGACGAGGGAAGGAGGGGAGACGGGCTTCCAGCCGTGACGGTGGGCGACGCTGAGGGCGTACTGGACCAGGGCTTGCTCTAGCAGGGCTCCCTCGTTGGTGAGGAAGTACCAGCCCCAGCCGGTGGTGATGGCGGAGCTGGTAAAGTCGAGGAGACCCAGATTGGTGCCAATGGTGACGTGGGAGCGGCCAGGGTCGGGGCGAGTCACCCATTCTGGAGGTGATTGGGGGTCGAAGTTGATGTAGTTGATCAGGGTTGGGTCGGCGCCGATGGGGGTGTGGGTGGAGGAAAGGTTAGGGAGAGACAGGGCCAGGCGGTGGATCTCGTCAGCGCAGGTGGACTTGCGAGTGGACATGGTGTTGGATTCATCTTTCAGACGGGTTGCTTCGGCGCGGAGGGAGGCCAGGTCTTCGCTGGGTTCGGAGCCATTGTTGGCGGTACTGGCGATTTTTCCAATAGCCCTTTCCAATTCCTTGATGCGCGATCGCGGAGTTTTGAGATCTTGGTCGAGTCGCCGGGCTTCTTCGGACAGCTGCTGGATCTTAAGGGGGTATTGAGCATGGGCGGGATAGTTGCGGTCGACGCAGTTCTGCGAGTAGAGCTCGGGGTTTTGGCGGATGTGCTTGACGTCGGGGGTGGGTTTGGGGGCGGTCGCGGGTCGGATGGTGTCTGGTCGGCGAGCCGACGAGGAGAACGGCCGACGGCCGAACAGCCTGCAATTGAGGCAGACGTAGGGGGGTCGAGGGGGAGCCATTGGAGAGGGGGAGGAGAGAAGATGAGATGATGAAGCAAAAGAATGCAAAGCCGAAGTTGAACAAGCTCCGCGGCCGCCTTTCCCGATTGGGCAGTCACCAATGGAGCCACTTTAGATTCAGTACAGCAATACATTTGATACTGTCAGTTACATTCAGTTGCAATCATCATAGAAATTGTGGTTATGCTCAATTCAGTGTGCTTTGCTTAGATACACATCGGTGCACTCAATAAGTACTACTACCTCAATATGTTAACCGTGCCTGTCATGAAATTCTTCCCAACTACGTAAAGAGCCTGGAAACCAAGCCGTCGCATCTCGATCATAATCATAATCATTCCACATCTCACAGCCCCAGCTTATGCTTCTTAATCCTGGCCCCCACTCCCACCACAACCAACGCCGCTGCCACCAGCACTCCCCACAACGGAATTGCCAGCACGTTCAGGTTATACGTCGTCTGCGTTGCTGCCGCCACCGTCGCCAGCTCCAGGAGCAGTAGCACATAGCCGGATTTGCGGTGGTATTTGTAAAGGCTCTTTCCGCGGTCCACACTGCCCAGGACCTGAACGGGGACGAGGTACTGCACGACTCCACCCAGCGCCTGAAGGATAATAATGATGTAGGTGATGAGGCCCAGCACGCCGTGCGGGGAGGTGAAGCGAGCATGATCACCCTTGTTGATCTCGATGATGATGAAGGCGGTGATGAAGGCGAGCAGGCTGATGGTTTGGATGACGTAATGGATGATGGTTCCCAGACGCTTTTGGTGCGGGGTAGTGGTGGGTTGCAGGATGAGGGCTGCTTGGACTTGGAGGAGGAGCGCAGCAGAGTTGAGGAGCTGGAGGGTTAGTTGGGGATGATGGTGGTGGTGAGGATGATGGTTAGTGTTGGTGACTTACTGGATGGGAGGAGAAGAAAATCAACGGATGCGTTAAGATACCGGTCCAGACGAGGATGGCGAGCTGAGGAAGTCAGTTGTTTGAAACCAAATGGAAGAGATGGGTGATGTTCTCACCATCCAGATTCCGACCTGGGCAGCGCTGGCCGTGCCTATGGAGATGTTAGCTGATAAGCATCATCATCATCACCACCACTACCACCGATAAGCTCACCTGTAAAGAGGTTTTGATAAATGGCAGCACTCTCTTTCTGGGGCACATTGCCCGGGGTTGCGAGCAGAGGGGCATCCTCGCGCTCCTGGATGGTGTCAGGATGTTCCTGGGGAATGCCTGTGACGGAAGCCATGGCCTCTCAAATCGATGTGGAGGAGGATCAGCACGATCGTTCCCCATCGGCTCGAGCGCGATAGCAGCCAGTCTTATATGGGACGTGGGAATGACGAATTCGGGGCCGCTGATTGTTCATCAAGTGGGGAATACACAAAGGGCCAATCGGGAGGGGGCAATTGTAATGCTTATGCAGTGGATTCCATGGATCCAATGTGATGATATTGATAAGCATCCTCAAACCCCGAAGTCCGATACATCTCTTCGCATCGTCATGTTTCTTTCCACACTGAGGATATATCCGGAGTTCAGACAAAGGCATAGATTTTCAGAATAAACAGGGTGTCTGTGATGATATTTCCGAGGAAGAAATCGCCAGTGGCTTCACCGATCGCCTTTACGCTTATGACCGGAGCGCTTTTGTGGAGAATAAAGGTACAGGCTGGATATGCACTACAACTACGACACATGTATTAGCAAGTCCCACCAAGTAGTTTATGCATCTCAGATTAGATAGAGATATGATCCCTCCAGTCCCTAGAGTGTTAGACATGAACAATCTCATCGTATCAAGCTGCCCGTATATCCGGACCAATCCCGACAATCATCAACCAGGAATATCCTCAATGCCACGGCATCTTCACCACCGTCGTTTCCTCCCCCGACCCCGGCTGACCCACCACCACCTCCGCCCCCAGGTTCGTTGGATCCAACCGCATGACAATGTTGAACAGCGTACAAACCCGTGCGATCTGCTGGCGCGTCATATCCTCCTGGGCGCAGACCGACTGCGGGGCATTGTACATATCCGAGAAGACCCTTTCTCTAAGCACCCGAGGTATAATGCAGTCTTCTTCCAACATTTCACTGTCAATCAATTCGCGAGACAACTGGCGAGCACGGACCAGACGAACAGGCGACCCCGACAACCACGGCGGCTCATAAACGAACCGATTTTCCAGGAAGTGGTTGGTGTGTGTCACCATACCATATTCATCCGGTTGGAGATACACATTCCCCAAAGGTGAGAGCTCCAGGCCCAGCGAGCTCGTACTGTCCGCAATCAAAATATGCTGGCTCGATCCCACCCCACCCAGGGACTCTAGTTTCCGCACCGCCTCGGCAACTGACCTGCTCTCCAGACATAGCCGAAGAGCAACATGGATGGGCAGTTTCAAGCTGATGCAAGGATGCGCGCGGATGGCGTTGAGACAGGTACCGACACACGCGCTGTTGAAGCCGATTTTGCCCACGATTCCGGCCTGTCCCATCAACTAGTGATTCCTCGAACCTGGCATGGAGACTCACCTCGGCGACCATGTAAATGGTGGGTTTCCCGGCTTGTTCGATCTCCATGAATGCAAGGTTCTTTTGTACCAGCGGTGTAAAGTCCCAGTTTTGGGCTAGAATCCGGGCATTCTCGCTTCTCTTCCACGAGAGACTCGTACATCCGTCCGTGAACTTGCCGAATGTGATCTCGCTCCGACAGTTCAAGGCCACGATGTCAAGAAGCTCAACACCTGCACCGTCTGCAATACCCTGCATTTCCTCATGGAGATGAGGCGTGGCTCGCTCTATGGTGGCGCGGAATTGCTCCGCCTCGCGACGGACTGCATCCCAGGACATGTTGCAGTTGACGCGGAACATCTCGCTGTAGATGGAGATCTGGCTGTTGATTTGAGGCTGGAGGTGTTGGCCATGGCCGAAGCCAATCTATGGATGCGTTAGTGGATGAAGAGCACAGACAGCAGAGGGATATCCACTTCTCGTGGAGTGCCAGAAAGCACCAGCTTAGGCGGTTCCTCCAGCTTGAAATGCATCGTTAAGGCAATGTAGTCTCAGGAATATTGCAAGATGTGAAACTCCGAGCCAAGAAGACAGCCAAGTGCCTTCTTATCAATACCCCTCCTGCGGGTGAGTTCCGCTACTTACCTATCAAAGTGATAGCTGATAGGTAGTAGATTGCGGGGAAACCTCCACCCTGATAGCAGATGTTCATAGTATCCATCACCCGGTGCCTGGCCGTGCCCTATCTCATCCCCTCCCATCCTCTTAAGCTCTATACAACCCACACGCTGACCTTCCACCAAACGACTCAAACGACTCAAACAACTCACGCACAGCCTCACTCATCCCATTCACCTCCTATGACTATCCCCATGAACGTCGCCGACTAAGCTGCATAACCATGCACTCAATTTTGCCGTGTTTGACACACAATGAATCAAATGTTCAAAATGAATGTTCCACGCTTTCTCCCACATAGACTTTTACTTCTTCCACCTCTTCTACCAATCACACAATAACACTTACCTAATTACTTCGAAACGAACCTCCAAATCATACCGTCCCAAGCCTCAGAAGACAGATGAAGAACAGGATCGAGATCCCAAACAACCAAGATGACACACCCTAATTATGAGATCCAGGGTTTCCTCACTACTTTACATATCCTCCGGCACCGTCACACCACCTCCGATGGCCTTACCCGCCGCCCCTCCGGCACTGACTGGATGATATTCACTCGTACCATGCACCGACTCCTGGTTCTGCGTGGCTTGATTGGTCCAAATGATCAGCTGCCCTCCGACCCGTGGGAGCTGTATATGATAGAGTATGCTCCTAGGTATCTAGTGAGAGAGGTGGAAAGGGAGGCGGAGAGAGAGGAGCAATTGGAGGTGCAAACGGATGTGCAAATGGAGGAGCAGAGAGAGGGAGGAGCCGTGGCGAGAGCTGCGTGTTTCCCGGTTTCCATTCTGAGAACTCAGGGGAGAGTCAATGGGGTCGCGAATAGGACTAGACATCGGGTGAGGTTTGCGGATGAGGAGGAGGAGGAAGGGGAGGGCGAGGGGAGGAGAGAGAGCGAGGAAGGGAGAGGGTGAGGGGGGAGACGGGCAGCTCGAGAAGGAGAAGTCCCAGAGGAGTCTCTTAGGTATGTCTTTTCTTTCTTTTATTCTTTTCTTTTTTTCTATCTCTCTCTTGATTGAGGCGGGTAGATTGGTGGGTTGGAAGGGAAGGAAGGAGAGAAGAGGAGTGGATGAGCGATGACTAACTGATTGATAGAGAGTGACACGTTACCATTATTTGCTGTCGGGCATCTTATGAATGAATGAAATGCTGGATTGCATGCGTGCTAGTGAGTACATCATTATCGCTCAACCCTACTTGAGTATATGCTTGTTGTGTGCACAGCCCTAACGGTCATATCACTAGTCACTTGATCCTTGACCGGTTCAGCCTGATCTTTGATCAATATTTGATGGCTTTTCGAAGACTGGATTCTATGCGACTGGATGCAGGTGGTGTCTTTGTTATTTGAGGTCTGCAATTAGGATAGGTGGTTATTACTCTACGTGAGCAGAAGGTGATATCACCGGCGTTGGTTGGTTGAGGAGTCGATTTCGGAGAGCTCGGGGGTTGGTTTGATGCTAGTTCTTTTCATCTTATTTTCCTTCGCATTTACTTTACTCTGATGGGGACGAGAAAGGCTCGTTGATTCTCAATATCTGTCATCAAGTGGTCAATTCTAATATCTTATCTATGGAGGAGTTGAAGGATATCTATCTGTACACAATTTGCAAATACAGAATAAAACAAATATCCAAATCTAATAAAAGCAGACATTGCACGTACGATCAACATCTTAGCTTAATTCCCACAATACAAATCCCTCACTCGCCCTATTTACTGAACGTCTCAATCGCCGTCGTATCCACACCAATCGTGATATACCCAATCATCCCCTAGTCAGATCCTCACCATCCACAGGCACAACAGACACAATCGGGCTATACCCGCCCTCTGAATCCTGAGAGAAATACCAGTCTTCTGCATTTGTGGTACGGTTAATCTCCGTATGAGAAACATAAGGCTCGAAGCCCGTGATCCTCTGCTCAATCTCCTCATCAAAGTAAATCTGGCCGGTACTGACAGTATCACTGGCGACAATGGTACCGTTTTCCCGGACGGACCAATCGGTATGCACCTGTACGTGGATATGGATGGCACGTTCAGCATAGAACCCTGGGGCATGTTAGTAGCAAAATGTGGCTCTAGAGAGTCAATGATGTAATGTCTTACCGGGAAAGATGGTCTTCATCTCCATGACTCCGTTCTCATTGGTAGGCCACATTCCCCGCAGCCAGGTGGTATTATCTGTGTGCAGGTCGGTGGCACCCGAATCATAGTTGGTTATGTTCAGCTCTGATAAGAGTTCCTCGAATGGGGTGTTTGGGGACAGATGAGTAAACGAGGAGTAAGAACCGGTTGCGTTGCAGTGCCAGAAATCGAGGAGGGCATTGGGTAAAGGCTCGCAGGTAGCCATGTCTAGGACCCCGACGTCGAGCCAGAGGGGTACACCCACTTGGTCCTCTGTCATGTCCTGACGCAATTTCTGGGAGCGCGGCCAGACATACGGACCACGGGTCACCTCCGGGGTGAGAACGCAGGTGTCGTTCTGGATGGTCTCGTAGTAGGGCGCCTCGGTGGTGATCTCGAATGTTGAATTGTGGCCAGATCCCTCCCGGCGTTTTTGCATCGCTCTTTTGGCCATTCGACGTCGGTTGAAGCTCGCAACATGCTCAGCACATCGCTTGGCCATGTCGCTGCGGCGCTGGATTTCTGCGCGAGGTAGGATAACGTGCGGGCCGGGGTGGGCAATTGCTGTGCTCGCAGCTAGAGCAGTGATAAGGAGCTTGGAGTAGAACATCTCTGACAGGGAGGCTGAACATCGATGGTTCGTTGTGTTATTGAGGTTGAGGGGGGGGAACCACAGGCGACTTTATATGTCTCTTGAGAGCCTTGATAAACTGGATTTGATCCAGTCTGAATACCCTGATTGTCATCTTAGTCGACTTCCTTGGCTGCCAATTTGTGGGCCAATCTATCCATTGGACAGAGCACGTCTTGCTTGGCAGCTCAGAGTTCTCTGATCCGTCTGGTCCAGATTTCTTTGCCGTCTGAATGGACGCATCGTCTAATCCTTGGCATATCTCGAGAGATAGATAAGTAACGAGCAATACTTGCAGCCCTCCTACTCTCGTCCTGATTTGTAAGTAAGGGTATCTCATATATCTCATTCTGTCTTGGGGAAGTTTCACTATCCTTGCAGTGAGCAAACAGCGAGTCTTAGCTTGAGGCATTATGCAACGGCTTGAAATTCCGGCAGGCGCTTCACCTTGGAGAAGTGTGATAGATTGCATAAGCTATCGGACTGGGTCAGTAGCCAGGCTGCCGAATAAAAGGCTGAAGCTTACTGGAGAATGGAATGCCCCGAAATGATCGGCGCTGCTCCAAATCCCCGATCACTGTCTAGTGATAGTGGAGCATCGCGACTCCCGCTGATTCAGCATCGCTTCTCTGGGGTCAAGTGAAGTGCCAATCATGGGGAGGAATGGCAAGGGTACCGCAGAGACGACTGGTATACGAAATATTGGATGGGTGCCTAATGGAAGGATTGCCCTTCGCATGGAGAGCAGAGATGGTAGATACGGCAATCTTGCTAACGGAGTACTTGGACTGCAGGAAGATGCTCCCTGCGATGCAGTCCCTTGGATGAAGGGCATGGACGGCGTATTCTGTAGCAGGGAGCACACCAAGAAATGAGTGTTGCCTTTTGTGCAGATCTGATCCATAAAAACATGCCTTGGAGAAGAGGCCCCATTCGTTACGCGGATTAGGAACAGACAGTGCTCGTTTGGGGAATCTCACATGGATTCTGGTCACACAGTGGCTTCTCCATTACCAGAAAGAAGACGTCATGTCAATTTTGATTAAATGTGCCCAACGCCATCACTCACATCATCAAAATCTTCAACCCCTGCACCAACCGCCGGAAGACTAGGAGAACGCCAATCGGGAAGATAAGTATCCAATCTTTCGTCGTAATCATCATTCTCAGAATCATCACTAGGCCCAAACTCTACATCCAGAGTGGCTCCCTTTGACTGCAAGAACTCTACCATATCCTCCATACTCTTGCGCTTCGCCACCAGCAGGGCCGAGTGACCCGACTCGTCAGCCCTGACCCCGTTCTCCAGCAGAAATTGAACCATCGACATGTCTGCCCGCTGGACCGCCAGCTTCAACGAGCGCGAGTGAAACTTAGCTCCATGTTGAAGTAACATCTGGATGATATCACGTCTACTACTCGCGACAGCCTGATACAGCGGCGAGTAGCAATATCGATCAGGATCCGCCCCTCGTTCCAACAAAAGCTTGACAAGAGCTGCACGGCCACACTGAACGGCCTGACACAGCGGCGGATAGTCTACGCAAATCACCTTCGTGCATCGGCGGGGTTCCGGGTAGTGGTTGACACGACGAAGGCCCCGGTAGAAGTTTGCCTGCGCCCCCCAGTCCAGAAGAAGTTTCACTATGTTCTTGTGACCAGTTTGTATGGCTGCGATCAGAGCCGACTGGATGGTGTTTATATCTGTCGTGGTATACTTGGCCGCACGCAGGGGGTGGGTTATGATATCAGTCACGAAAGGTATTTCGATATCTTCACTCTTCACTGATACGTCTGACCAAACGGTGTCGCTTTCGGACCCGGAATCCAGAACAACTTTATCTTGGATGGCCTGCTTGCGCCGTTGCGAGCATGGGAGCTTGCGCGATTTTCCCACGGCAGACTTGAGTCCGTCCAACAGCTTGCGGACCATATATTCATTCCCGTGTTTTGCGGCGAATGGCAGGGCTGACGCGTGGAAGTATCGGCTATTGTATTGGTAGAGAAAGTCTCTTAAGATATGGTAGAACTGACGGTTGGTGCATACAAGTGCATAGACGTCCCGTTGATGGCGCAGGTAGGACGCGATGATGAGAAGAACCTCGGGTGGTAGATGGGTGAGGGGCATTGTGAAGGTTGACCAAAGTAGCGAGGGAAGTTGAGCTGAGATGGATGGATGTCTGTTGGAAGAGGGAAGAGGGAAGAGGAAGACGGGGTACAAGTGGCTCTTTCTGCCTGGGGGGCCTTGGGAACCAGGCCCCACTCTTCCTTGGGGCCTGACAGCGATGGCAATACTGCTGCAAACTATGCTTACTATGCGGAGTAGATACTAAACACTGCCTTCTTCTCACTCACTCACTCACTCAGCCGGAATCAATGGCAACAAAAAATACGAGTCCCTGTTCCCCCCCGTATGGATTACATGGGTCCCCTTATTCCGCAACCTCGGCCGTACATCATTCGAACGAAGATGTTCCTTGAGATGCACCCCCGATACAGTCAGCCGCAACTCCTCGCCCGGGTTACAGATCATGCCATATGGCCAGAAAGCAATATCCAAGGGAACAACCTCCCCCGATTGCAGCAGCAACTCCCGTTGATGCGTATGTACGGGATGGAAGAGACTTGACTTGTCTTCGTCCAACTCCCGGTGACTCGCGCGGAGACAGCCCATCGGGCCGGGGTCGAAGTAGGTCTCGCAGTCTTTGGGATCAGCCGAGTGTCGACGGATGAGTTCTTGCTGCTCTTGGATGGGGTTGTCTTGGAGTCGTCCGACATCGACTAATTGGCTTTCAAGGACTTGGTTGGTGGTGGGGTTGTACTTGGCTAGGGTCGCAAAAATATCCATGTCATCCGAGCCTTGGGCTTCCGTCCACAGGCGGAGTTTGATGTAGCCGGTGAATTCCACAGGGGCAAGGACGGGCATCCGGAACTGGACCTGACCGGTTTGGGCGTCGTAGGAGATGGTGCTGGGCGCGCTTGCGGGGCTTTCCTGCATGGTAAGGGTAGTCGAATCGAGGAAGAGTTTCAATGGCAACTGTCGTTTCAGAGGGAATTGGCGCTCTGGTCGATAGATAACATCGGTGCCTCCGGGGTTGTGAATGCTCATTCGAACTGTCGGGGTGTAATTCCAACCGTTGTTTATTCCCTTCAAGTAAAAGTCGTAGAAGCGCCGCAGGTCCAGTACGCTTTCCTCGTTGTAGTAGTCTGGACATGGAACAGTGCTATTAGTACAGAATGATATATGGCGAATGGGAGAATCAGAGAACCTACCAGGCCACTCATGGGAGTTGTGAATCCGCAGCCACTTCTCTTCACTCCCCAGTTCCTGCCATGCAGTAAAGGTGCCATTGACATGCAAGGCATTGGTCCAAGTTGAGACCATGTACACCGGACATTTGACCTGGGTCACATCTGGCCGGTACTGTTTCCAAAATGCATTCTTGAGGGGGTACTTGTAGCACATGGCATTGTAGTCAATCGCCTTGCTGCCTGTCGCAGAGGCAATGTCTCCACGCATGGTTCCGTCCACAAACCCGGGGTTCGGAATTCCTGTCGAGTCTCGCATTTAGCACCTGAGATTGGAATTGGATAAAGAAAGGAAAGCCATGCCTACCTCCCCGACGAACTTGATCTTCATATAAATCGCACATGCCCTCCCAGGGCGCCAAACAAGCAAGGTGAGGGGGGTTCTCTGCGCCAGTGTAATACTGGGTCATGGTCAAGTAACTATTCCCCGTCATGGAGATCTTCCCATTGCACCATGGCTGGGCCGCTAGGAATTCGATCATGTCGTAGTTGTCCTGGCCTTCCTTTTGACATGGCATCGTAACCACCTCCCCCTGTGATTCCCACACTCCCCGACAGTCTATACTAATGTTAGCAGTCATAATCCGGCAGGGGCTATGTTGGTCTCACCCGAGTGCACAATGGCATAGCCATGATAACACCAATAGCCCGGATCTGGCCCTTCAAATTTCTCCAACCCAGACGTCGCGATTCTAGGACATCCGAAGCGCCAGGGCCACTGGTTAAAATGCCACAAGTTGGGACCCCCGTCTTTACCAAATGGTCCTGCGGCCAAAATCGCAGGGACTGTGCCCAAGGGAGCATTGGCGGGTCGGTAAATGTCAATGTAGAGAACTGTCCCATCCCGCGTGGTGACTGGCACATGTTTTTCCAGTCGAATGTCGGAGAGGAGGGGTCTGTGGCCTTCTACACGAACAGTCCCTGATTTGAGAATGGTGACAGAGGGGGTAGGCGGGGTGTAGTGATGCTGCTCGGAGATGGCATTGGTTGGGATATAGACGACATCGTCCTGGCCGGTCATTTTGATAATAGGAGCAGACAAAGAAAATGAATTCAATGCTGAGAACAATCAAGCGATCTAGTCCCAGATCCCATCTTATATACCCTTGTCGAGTCGAACTGCGCATGTTGATTCTCCACGGAAACCCTACGGAAACCCCACGGGGAATGGAAAAGGGCTGCGAAACTCCACGGATATTCCGGACTAGGATTACTCCGCCTGGCTATTGACTTTAACGGTATGGCATAGATCAAATTTACAGAAATCATATCTCTAGAGCGGCTCAGGCTTGAGGTTATGCACCCCTGCCAGAATGATTGGAATGGCTAACCTGACTTTCTTTTCAGGCAGCCAGGTTCATGTATATAGCTAAGTATTCAAAGCGTGCTATCCCAGCATTTCTTTCCTATTCTTCATCGATAAAATAGGCGGACCTTACTGTAAAAGCCATGCCCGACTTACGCGTAGGTACATACCTGGTACGATCAAAAATAAGAGAAGACTAAAGGAAGGCATCAAAGAGCAGAAGATAAGGAAGCGTTCCGGTCTCAAAAGTGATCTGATAGCTGACTATAAGACTCTACCTATGTTGAACAACAACTCAGACAAAAGGTAGGATAATCCGGCTCGGATACTGGGGTCCGAAATGAACTTTGTGCAGACCTTGGTTCAAGCCGTTCTTTGCACTGCCAACCAACGGTTGAAAGGCGGCGATGGTTGGGTTTCCTCCCAGCACATGCACCTCCAATGCTTCTCCGGCTTCAAAAATCAATCCCCATGGCCCACAACCCGATTTCAAGTCCCACAACCTGTCCTCGGGGAGTGGGAAGCTGTCGTTCATGGGGATGGAACGGGTACTGTGGATGAATCGACCGGGACGGCTCGATTTCGCGATGAGAGGCACGCAGCATGCCAACCGGACCGGGATACAAGATTAGATCGCTCTTGTCTTTGTCTTGAATCTCATCGGTGGCCCGGACAGGGGCCCGAGACCAGGGGATGTTCAACGCTACCAGCTTTTTGCCCTGCCTGTCAAGTTTGCGGATAATGACGAAGACATCCATATCGTCCTCATCATCACAAGACATATATATGACGGCTTTTGGGAGACCAATAAGTCTGGCATCCTTCTCAAACACAAATCGAAAGGCAGAACTCTGCATTGTGGTTGAATCGTAAGAGGAAATGCCTTCATCAGTCGATAATTCCGGTTGTAGCTGTCCATGAGGTGCGAAGAAGAATTCTCGATAATCCGTACTTGGTAGAGGAAAGTCGTCAACAACCAAATTGTACTCGGGGTCTCCCTCGCCGAATGTCAAAGCGGTAACTCGCACACGTGGAGTTCCCTCCCAGCCATTGTCAATGTCCTTAAGGAATCGGTCAAAGAAGCGCTGCAGCTCGCTTGTGGAGTTCTCCTCCACCCAGAGATCATACCACTCCTGCCATGGTCCAAGTCGGAACCATTTATTCTCAGATGCAATCTCGAGCCAGCCCCGAATCGAGCCCATTACGTGCACGTTACTCGAGTAGCTCCCAGTAAGGTAAGTAGGAATATTGATCTTACTCAAGTCAGGTCGCTTATCATCCCAGTAAGCATTGCGTAACCCTTTACTCCGCCTGTACATCTCCTTGAAGTCCTCCATCCCGTGGTATCCCTGGATGAAAACGCTGGAGATATAGTCGAAGAAGTCGCCATGCCACATGCCACCCCGCCCGAACTGTTCCCGGAAGAGATCCGAACATGCTTCCCATGGGGCAATGGCTCGTAGTGAAGGAGGCTGCTGCATAGCGACAAAATATTGAGTGATCGCCAGGTGGGAATTGCCCTGCATTCCCACGGCACCATTGCACCAATCCATTTTGGCCAGAGCCTCAACCACATCATACCCATCTTCTCCTTCTTGAGTGCCCATAATCACAACTGGGCCGTCCGAATCCCCAGTCCCACGCGTGTCAGCACTGATGATTGCGTAGCCGCGAGGGATCCATTCAGCGGGATCAAGACCCTCGAATTTTTCTAGTCCGGAAAGATGGTCATCCGGAACTCCGACATTCCAAGGTGTCATCGAGTTCAGCATGCATATGCCGCTAAACTTCTTCCCAAAGGGGCTGAAGCCAAGGAGGGCTGGAACCCGGTTTAACGGACCAGTGTTAGGAGACCGGTAGATGTCGCAGTAGAGACGGGCACCGTCACGGACAATAATCTCAACATCGTGCTCTACTAGGATATCACACGGCAGGGGACGAGATCGATATCTATTCCATCCTTTCGGCAGGATCTCCCTCTCTCCTTTTTTGAAACCTTGATAGTTATTGTGACCGAGTCGGGGTGGGTCGATAGGCTTAGTGGCAATGAAAACCGGAGGAGGCATCTTGGAAAAGATAACGGACAACCAAGAGGGGTTCGAGAAAAAAGGTAAATTGGATTTCGATGACCTTATAAAACCAGTATATGTGATTCCGAGTACTTTGGTGTCAACTGAAAGATGCTCCGATATAAATATCAAGCCCAGTGTGGAAATTCCGTGGACGGACCCCACCCGGGGTCAACCTCCGTGGAAAATGTGAGGACCCCGGGCTAGTCGAGGTGAGGATCATTGGCCGTTACGGCCATTTACATTGATTCCACTGTCTCGTGCACCGGCCATAGCTGCATGTACTCCAGAGGATCCGAGCTGCTGCTTAGCCCAAAAAAGTCTACAAACCGGAAATCGAAATCGGGATGCATCTCCTGTCCCTGTGTCTCCGATCCATACGAATCCCCAGAATCTGCGTGCGCTAATCGGGTAGGGGTGAAGGGGTTGACATGTTGAGGCGCATGTCGCCTCTGAGCGATGGCAATCGCGTTCAACATGGACCCCAGCAGTTTATCAAAAGACTAAATGGCGACGTGGTTATCGCTCGCTTTTGAGAAGCAGTGCCGCAGTGTATTGAGAAGGGCAACATCCGAATCCGAAGTCCATTGCCGCGGATTCCTCATCACCCCGATATACAAAGTGAACAAAACGTTCAGAAGATAGGGTATTGTGGACCTTTCCACCATAGTCAATTAAGAGTTCTGGCTCGGGACCGACAGACCAATGGCACGTACCTGATAACAGGCCAACTATAAGGAGAACTGGCGAGATCGTTGACGATTCGGGCAAGGGCACGAGCCGAGTTCAGACAGACTACATCCGCCGCGACCAATCTCGGTTGGCTTTGTTGGAGTGGTTGCAGCGGGGCCATGTCGAATAATGCTGCACGATGGATAACCAGCATCGCATTGTAGTACATGCAATGCAGGAGAACACATCCCATGGATTTTGTTTGCGAGTGTACGCCAGCCAGCTGGTCGTCGAACCGCAGCGCTTGGGGAAGGTTTTCCTTCCACGTCAACAGCATTTCATCCAGGGCCCCTATTTCTTCGACCAGTGCAGTATCCTCACCTTCTGTCACTGATTTGCAGAAGAGTTGAGTGATTATCGTGGACTGTAACTGGCACAGGCGTATCAACTGGCCAAAAAATGCTTCATCTTCAGGTGAGACAAGGTCCGATACTGGTGTCGGTGGCATATCGCCCGGCGGGTCAACATCGCACTCGATATCGTTGATCGCAGATGGCCGGCCTACCTCAAATGAGAGCTTTCTATGCCAACTAGGATTAGTGGGTATCGGCGGATGGGTCTTTCTTATATAGGAGCAACACACTTGTCCAGACAATAGCATACCCACCAGATACTGGCCCGGAGATGGTATTCCTTCTCGACAAATCCCCTCTCGTAGGGCTGTTTATGCGCGGAAATTCCCCGGTGTAAGCCCAATGACTGGGCAATTCGCACCGCTGTCCCGACAGCAATAATGGCCTGTCCATCCTTATTGCAGTTTATCAATTCCAGTGCCTTTCCGTCGGGTTAGCTTGTGGCTGGCTGTTTCAAATGGTGAAGAGTCCAGCGTACCATCAGCAAGAGGACTTGGACACTCTGGAGATATGGTGTAGACACAACACGATTATATAACTCCCAGGCAAGACGGAAAAGGTCAGTAGGAGCAGTTGACATCATGCTTCCTCGCGCACCTAGAGCCAGCACCATGTAGTAACAACACACAAATGCTGCGTCGGTTGACTGTTTAGTGAGGTAAAAAGCTTCATATTCTGCCAGGAACTGACTTCGTGACAGTATTGGAAAAAGACAATTGACAGATGTGAAGTACGCTTGTGTTGTTCAGCATCGAGGACATTGCAATGTAGAGCTGCTAGGACTTACCGTAGACATAGGGATCAGCGATAGACTTCTCGACGATGGGGCAGTATGCAGCAGCGGGCATAGGTATGTCTTCGGCAAAGCTCATCAGGGGACAGAAAAACCTCATGACTCGAATGCGAATGTCCTCATCCTGGAAGAGCTCCTCAGCAGATTTGGCCAAGACCTGGGTCGAGATCTTGCCCGTATACTTGGAGCGCTGCGGTGCCGGGGCGGACTCAATGGTCACCACTCCTTGCAGGTTGTGATTGGAGAGGCCAAAAACGAGTGGGGACGTCACCAACGGAGTGGTGGCAGGATCCTGAGGACTTCTCGGGGATTGCTGCGGCGCGAGGGGCTGGTTCACGATGGCCGGTGAGGCTTGCGATGTAGAACAGTCATCGCGAGCAACGCTATTTATAGCGAATGGCATCGAGTGATTCGACAACGGCTCTGTCACTGGGGTGACCAGATGGCTGAGATTCTGCGCATACTCGGGCGAGTCTACCGGGGGCCTCTGAAACACAGAGCCGTCAGACCTGGTGGTTTTGCAGTCCACGTTGTATGTTTCGCAATTCCGACATCGCCCTCGTCTATCATCGCAGCGGATCTAACATCCGGGGGTCAGCAAAGTTGAGATTGCGGGCGAGGAAGGTAATAATGGCTTTGTGAAACAATACCTTTCGATGCCAGCAGCTATCACACTGGAAAAGCTATCAATATAAGCAGGAATGAGGCTAAGGGGACCACCTACTGCTTTGGGCCTTTGTCTGCGGGTCGGTGGCATGATTTCGATAGCTGGGGGGAGTAGGAACAGTCAATGGGCGCTGGTTGATCGAAGAGGCATCAACATCAGCATTAGCATCAGCGACTCTCCCTCGGGGGTCGGGGAAGCCACGTGACGGGCGGCAGGAAGAGGACGGCGTAGGACGGAGGCAATCATTCATCTTAGAGCACTACTAGAGATCCTTACTATTACCCCAAATCCAATGGACTAGTCGATCAGCCACCATCAACTTCCGGCAGATGATGATTGGCGATGCTTTCCACGGAACTTCCACCCCAGTCAGCCTTCCCCATGGGAAACGGCTAAACTTTGGGGTTCGGTTCTTGCTGAAGATCCGTCAGACGGTGGGATACCCCTGGTGCTGTGCTTCAGCATATCATGGGCATTGATTTCGCACACAATACTATGCATCTTCGAGATTGTAGCATCTATATAAGCGTGCACTAGGAAACTTACAAGCCATCCGCAAGTCATTCCTGTCCTCCGTTTCTCATTGCTAGTTGTTTTTCTACTCATCTTATTCCAAAGTACAAAGAAAATGGACACCCAAGTCCCCGCTGCCCTGAACAATACCCATCCGCAATGGTGGAAAGACCCGGGCCTTCGCAAATTGAACTTGCTACTCGCCGGTTGTATGCTGGGGAGCGTTGGGTTCGGCTACGATGCATCGTTAATCAATGGGCTCCTCTCCAACAGTCGATGGTTTTCGGAGTTGGGCTTGAAAGGGTCTACCATGGAAGGCATTATGACTGCAGCTCAGTCATTTGGCGCCATCGCCGCTCTCATGCCAGCCGCCTACCTCTCCGATCTCATCGGCCGACGGCAAACTATCCTCATATCCAATATTGCCATCATAGCAGCTGCCATCGGGCAATCGTTCTCTCACACTGTCTCCGCATTCCTGGGGACTCGTTTGGTGATTGGGTTCTTCGAGATCTGTGTCCTCGTCTCAACCAATGCTCTGGTGTCTGAACTCAGCCATCCTCGTCAGCGAGCCCAGGTTACCGCACTCGGCAACACATTCTTCTATATTGGAGGCATAACCGCCGCCTGGACCAGCTTTGGGTCTTACTTCATAACTTCATCGTGGACCTGGCGGCTTCCGGTTCTAATGCAATGCTGCTGGCCTGTGGGTCAAAACATAGTTGTTGCTTTCATGCCCGAATCCCCACGCTGGTACCTTACTCAAGGCTGCCATGCGAAGGCAAAGGAGATATTTATCAAGTATCATGCAAACGGGGTGCTCAATGACGAATTAGCGGAGATCGAATACCGCAAAGCCGAGATCTCAGTGGAAGCTGAAGAGCAAGGGGCATCCTACAATTGGCTGGCACTCTTTTCGAATATCGGCAACATCAAGCGCTCGATATTGACGATTTTCCTGGGGCTCAGTTCTCAGTGGGTGGGGAATGGAATCGTCAGTTACTACCTCTCCCCAATCCTGGAAGCCGTCGGCGTCGGGAGTGCCAGCCAGCAGTTGGCAATCAATGGCGGTTTGCAGATATTCAACTGGGTCATGGCTATCCCAGGAGCTTTACTGGCAGAACGACTGGGCCGGGTACGACTTCTGCTGATATCTGCATGTGGAATGCTGATCTTCATGGTTCTCGTAACCGCCTCTTCCGCCGTGTATGAGGCCGATGGCAATAAGCGTGCTGGTCAGGCAGTGATTGCCTTCCTCTTCTGCTTCTTTGGCTCCTATGATCTGGGCTACACCCCGATTCCACCCCTCTATGTGACAGAAATTGCCTCCACTCACCTGCGCGCCAAATACATCAGCTTATACTGGATGAGTACGGCAGTCGCCCTATGCTTCAACCAGTTTGTCAACCCCATTGCGTTTGATGCCATTCACTGGCATTACTATATTGTCTATATTGGTGTGTTGTGTCCGGTGATTGTAGTACTCGTGTTTCATGCACCAGAGACCAAAGGCCGGACCCTAGAGGAAGTGGCTTGGATCTTCGACCGGGGAATCGCGGACTCCCGGGTTCGTGGCAACGGAGATGCTGGTGCTGATGCCGATCCTAAGCCGGAGGTGGTGGTGGAACAGAGGGAATATGCGTGAATGTCAAACTTTCTGTTCTTATCGTGGTCACTCGGTGTACGACGACATACTTGAATTAGGCCTGTCTGGTAAATGTTATGGGTCCGTGAAGACATTATGACATCAAAAGATCTTTGTATCCTTCAGGCAGGTGTCCTGATCGGTTTAGAAAATGAATATGCGATACATTCTGTCTTGTTTTCCTGACTTCACAAATTACACCAAGCCATATTTCGTTAGAACAGGTTCACGGCTGATAGACAGTCACGTAAGCCCACGCCGCTACTTCCTCTGTATCTACGCACTCGTAGCCATTTTTGCTAGGCATCATAAACTCCTCATCCTCTTCCTCATGATCATCTTGATCATCCTGTTCCTTCCCAATAGGCATTCCAACGATACTGCACGAAATACCGTATTGAAAAAAGGCACGGACATCCCCACCGGCAGGATTGGCTCCACTTTCCGCTCCAGGATTCTCCGTGGAACTTTGGGGTCATCCGGAGCGGTCCACTTTCTCCGTGGAATTGAGGGAAGAGGTGGGATTGGTATCCGCTGAACAAGCATGGCGAGAAGGGTAGGGACGTTGATTCAAGCTGACTGGCAAACCGGGTTTCTTCTAAGTCTATGGGTAAAGAATCGGTTCCTGTCCATGGCAGATAAATAAAGCCTGCCCGACGGGGCCAGCGGACAATCTCTCTTTTGCTCAACAATACCATTCCAGTGGTCTACTACACAGCAGGTTGATAATAGCTTTCAGCGCTTTCATAATGGCCTCGGTCAGCACTCTAAACACTTCTGAGTCCATTAACAGTGGCTATCTGAAAACCAGCCACAGCCTCCGGCATGACTACGATGACACTCAGGTTGGTGGCCAGAGTGATGTCTTGAGCAAGCAGGCAGCTCAGAAGACCGCCTTTGGTGACTGGCGCGATGACTTTTTCAAGAAGGGATACACGGTGGTTAAAGGTGCCATTCCACGCGAACGGGCCAATGCGTACAGAGAGAAAGCGCTGGATTGGTTCCAGAAGTTCCCATTCGGATTCGATATCAGCGATAAGTCGACCTGGAAGGCAGAAAACCTGCCCGTGATGATGAACGGTGGCATGGTCCTGAACTACTGTGCCGCCCATGAGAAATGGGTTTGGGAGGCTCGCTCGTACGTGCATCATACACCCTACTTTAGCTTTATGAAGACAAGACTCTAACTAGAGACGGCTCTATCAGTGAGCAAGGCGTTATCGAACCCTTTGCCAAGCTCTGGGGTACCAACGAGCTTCTAGTCTTGTTTGATGCAGTAAACATCACTCTTCCTGGACGCACAGATCTGAAATGGAAGTCGTGGCCCCATGTTGATCAGTCCCCCACTCGGAAGGGTCTTGCCTGCGCTCAAGGCATCATCAACCTCTCGCAGGCTGGTCCCTTGGATGGTGGTCTTCAGTTGCTCCAGGGCAGCTCAGAGCTCTTTGATCAGTTCTTAAAGGAGCACCCGCCACAGCCTAAGGCGGCCGATGCACCTGGTCAGTTCGACTGGTTCGGTTTCACTTTGGACGATGTGAGATGGTTCGAGGACCATGGCTGCAAACTTATCAAGATCGATGCTGAGCCGGGCGATCTGATCATTTGGGACTCTCGAACTGTGCATTATGCTTCTCTACCGCAGAGCGAGACCATTCGTACCATTATTTATGCCACCTATACCCCGGCCAAGCTTGCCACCCCTGACGATTTGGCGAAGAAGGTCGCATTGTTTCACAAGTACGAAGGGACTACACATTGGCCTCATTGTAATATATTCGGGCAAGGCAAGGCAATGAGAGGAGACGAGATGTGCCATGGTGAAAGAGACGAGCCTCTGGAGAAGCCGGTACTGACTGATACTGTTTTGAGGCTGGCTGGAGTTCAGCCTTACTGAGCCATTAGCTGCCCTCTTTATTCTCCTTTTGTGAGCATATCACCCAGGATTATGTAGAGTTTAATGATATAGTGGAAATTGCGGCCTGCAGTAGTATCTCAAGAACCTTTTCAGTCGTAGTCAGTAGTCTCGGGTGCCCAATGGAGGTCGGGCAAGTGAAGTAGAGGGCCGATCATGTGCCCGGCGAGGCTCCTTCCATTCTGGGATCTTTTGCCCGGTCTTCCTTGTGGTGCTTCCACCTTCTCTCTCTCTCTCTCTCTCTCTCCTCTCATCCCATCAACACTACTCATTAGAATTCCGCCCGAGCTTGGAGAAAGGCGATGCTTTGCTGGTTCAGAGAACTCGCTTCGATTGGAAAATGTCGCGCAGGACCGCTAATGATTGCTTTTTGCTAAACCCCCTAGGTCGAAGCCACCCACCACGTCTCATCGCCTCGAACCCCTAAAAGGTCCGCATCACTATGTTGCCCAGTGCCTTATCTCCGAAGGCAACCTCGAGAAGAGCCCCACAGCAACAGGAGCACTGTGAGGTGCAAGCTCCTCTGGTGGGGATATCGACATGTGCGTGGTACAAGCAGCTCGGGCCACCACAAACTCTACCACAAACACATAGCGGTGTAACCGCAGCAAAGCCATTGTTGATAATCTAATCCAGTCAATGCAGTAATTTGTGACACCCTGTCATCATCACGATGTAAACCCCTTATCCCTGAAAGGCAAGAACTGCCCCCCATGGCGAACATTGCTGTCGTGCATTCGACATAGTTGAGGGCTGGACTAGAATCCTATGTCCAGAGTGGCTCAGGCTTAACAAGGGCTGCTAATGAGCGCCTGGGTTTTGGAGAGGGCCAATTTCTTCTACATGGACTGACCTTTGCATGTTTCATTGCCTGCCGCCCAAGGGTGCGACCAGCTGTAGTGACGATCGGACAGTTATCGGTAGTCGCAATGCTTATGATGCATGGCATGGACTTGAAACCAGCAGTGCACAGCTTCACGAGCCTATTGTAAACACTTTTGCTCCATACGATTCCTTGCTCTGTCGGGTGTCATGCAATAGCAATAAGGGAGTTAAAATGGCAATGCCCTCATGTTCATCGATGCGGATTCTCAAACTTGCTAACGTGAACTGTTCGGGTTAGTGACGGGCGAATATTCGGCAAAGTGACCACGCTTCCTCGATGCTATGACAGACAGCTATGCACCGGAGTCGATGGCAGCTGGAAAATCAGATGCATGTTATCGAGTCTGCAGTGTCTGTATGACGGCAGCCATGGCCGCATTATTCGAAATGAATGACAGTTAGAGTTTACAACTGGTTCTACTTCTTCCTCTGGAAGCCCTGCTTCCGGCTTTCATTTGTGTCACAATCAATATATGCTCTACCGCCCGAGTCGCCCCATTACTACGCCAGGCGCGGGAAAATAGAGCCGAACCTGTTTCTTGGGCTCTGTGCAATGAATGGCAGCACCGAAAATTGCATTCCATTCCCCAAATCTCATATCCGTCAAGTAGGGCCAACCTCCCTTTTAGTCTACCACATTGTGAAAACAAGGTTCTTCTCTCTTTGACCTCGAAGCTTATCTGTCCTTTTGTTACGGTCTTTCCATGAGAACTACAAGCCAAGAATGCTATTGATGCGTGCAACCCTTCTTTCGACCGAGTGGTTCTTGGCCATCGATCAATGGGGTGACGTTAAATTCGTGGGATATACTGGGGCCGTGAGGGCTCAATGCAACGAAGTAGTTGAGCAGGTCTCGGCACGACAGCAGTGCATGCTGTCTACCTTACATCCATGGCCGGTGGTTTAATTCACCGGTTCTGGAGAGAAGTCAGTCCTCTCATGCCTTGCCAGCATACTTACTGCCTTGTGCTCCTACAAGCACATCCCGGTCATTTTATTGAGCAGGCGACCAGACCAGTGTAGCAGCGTTGCTGGCCATTTTCTCTTTACGTCTACTGATGCGACATTTGTCGCCGTGTTGGGCGCCGCTATGCATATTGTGTATGGACTTGAGTTGCTGCTGCTGCTGCCTCATAATGCCACAAAGCCCGTCCAGGCATGTGGAATCTCCGATGGAATTCAAGAGTCCGGCCGTATACAGCTGCGCTCGGTCCCAAGTGGCGTCAGGGAATGAGTCTAGGCAACCAGAAAGCAAAAAGTAGGTTGCAGAGTCCGATTCCGCTAGGGGATTTCGAGTATGCGAGTATTGTTCAGATTGCTGGGGCAGGCATCTTACGAGCCGAGTCCACCATTCCAGCACCGATTGACGGGATAGCTTCGACTTAGAGTTCTCCTCTGGGCATAGCTTCTTCAGTAACACCACAGCTCTGATCTCACCTTGTGTATTCGACAAGCACTTTCGGAGCCTCTGCCATATCTTGAACCTAACCACCATGGTTACTATCACATATGCTACATGGTGAGCTACATGGTGAAGTCACATGTCGCGATCAAGCTTGTGTGGACGTGACGTTCATCTTCTCAATTGCTGCATGAATCGACTTGGGCAAGTGTCAAGGATCCGCCACCGCGCATCATGATGAAACGAGCAAGAGTTACGTTCATGATCACCAACTGGGCCAAAAATAGCAGGTTCCCTGAATTCTGGATTTCTTATACTTTAGAAGCAATTGCACTACACCAGAAAGGAGCCCGTTGACTGTTCTGGTCCGCATGATCACAGACACGGATGGAGGCATGAACCATGCATCTAAATGCAGGGAAAGGAAAAGCCGGCCTCTTAGGCCCACCCGGGCCAACGGCGTCTAGCGATTCGAGTAGTTTTGGCCGCCTCGTTTCGACAGGCCGATCAGTTGTTGGGCCCAAGAAGTATGCTTCCGCCTTAATTTCCAACGGGGAGTACTTAGAGATTTCACATCACTGCAGAGATCATGTATTCATTCTTTTTCCCCATCCGGATCTGGTGGCTAGCATTCCTACAGAGCGTCGCACAACAACGCATCCAGCGGCTACATGCATATTTCTCGGAACGAGCCACGAATCGGGGATTATTAGGGAAAATCAAGAAATCCGACAGCCCCTAAAGACGTCAAAGAGGTTGCCTTCCAAGACGCGCAGATCCCAGGGAAAACCCCTGCGCCCCCGTTTGTGACAGCCGTAGGCCCTTGACAGAGTTGGAAATACCTCTCACGGTGAAGGGGCAAAAGGAGCCAAAGTGGATCGACCCGGCCTGATCATCTTATCCGCAAAGGAGCGGGTTGGTTAGGGCTTTGCCTCTCAGGGGCGAGCATCATCTCCCTCTTGGGGCCCCTTTTGGCGTCCTTGCTTGAGTGTTACAAACGAGTCGCATGGCCTCGGATACGGTCGCGGCACGGTCAACTGCCAGTAGACTTCATGTGTGTTTGCAGTTCACTACATATGCAAGAACCACATCAGCAACAGGGTCTGAGAATTTCCGTCGCCAGTGCGAGCCTGGGCCGTCTCCAGTACCGCGATACTCACCGACCTGAGAAGACCGACAGAGGGACCAGGTAAAATTAGCACGAGAGGGGGAAAAAGAAACAAGAAGGTTCTGCAGGGCTTAGGCATCCCACTCTCTAGACCGACTCTGGTTGCGCCAGTGTCATCCAGAGGGTTCCACAATCCGTCCCAAAGGAGAACAAACGAAGCCCTCGCTCACCAGGGGATTGGCTTGCAGCCATCATCACGAGATAGCCGACACAAACGGACCGGACACAGATGGGCAAAACCACACATACGGTGAGAAATTTATAGAAACATTGGACCACCGGCCGTTGTATTCTGTTCCGCGGCGTCATTGGCAACAGGTGCATCTGATAGCATCGCCGGTATCACCTTGGTGGCTGTGACTGAATCCCCTGGGAAGGGCTGCAACGGGGGGCGATAAATTAAGATAAAGACCGGCACGCCTCAGCCTTCACCAAAGAATCGCTCTGCACTTCTTGTTTCCTCTGCTGTCTTTCTCCTATCTCCTCGAGGAATCTTATGAACACGATCTCTTACAATTCCCTTTGGACTTCGTTGGGATCTCGTCTGACGAAGTTCTCACTCGCTCCCTGACTCAGACCTGGAACCCTACCCACAAGCTACGCACTCTATAGCTGCTGCGAGGGACCCGCTGCACACTGAGCCACCATGCCACCGAAACTCAGTCACCAAGTCGCTCTGCCTGAAGCGCGCGGGCTCAAGTATGACGAAACCGATATGGCGCTCTTTCACGCCAAGCTCTCCTACCATTCCACGATCGAAGAACGCATGGCGTCGAAAGACCCCAATCTGGCGTCCATCTCAGAGCATCAAGCGCGAATCTTGAGGCGCTGGGAGATGCTGAAACACTCGGAAAAAGAGATGGCGGACAAAGGCAAGAGCCTGTCGCCGGCCGAAAGAAATCAGCTGGCGCAGTACGAATGGCGATACAAGCGATTGGAAGAGTTAGTCACCAAGAGCACGGGTTAGGATAGAGGGGGACTCATGGCATCATCATTATCATCATCATCACCAAGATGAAAATCATTGGGTGACAGCATCACTGGCGTTTTTTTGATTTAGATCTAGATTCACGCAGCGCATGATTGTCGTTTCGAGGCACCCAGGACAGGGGGAACTTGACCGGCGGAAAAGTGGTCTTTTGTGGTTTTCTTCTTGCTCTTCCGGGTGTGTGGGACTTAATACTTCTTTCTCTTGATCTCCGTTGTTCATCTCATCTCTTGTCGGGTTTATTGACCCTTTGCCGTCCCTGTCGAGCCCTGTACGTACCCAGAACCTCGAATCGAACAAGCTCACGTACCCATGTCCGCAATCTAGCCGGCGTAGCACCGAGTCAACATGGGACGATCCCCTAAGCCCCAAGACGTCAGGCATGTAACCTCGCCGGTCTAGCAGACGCTGCAACGGTAACTTGCGCACAAATCACCACGGAACCGTGGCCGTAGCCGTAGCCGTAGCCATAGCCGTGGCGGTGTCGGTCCCTCGAACCGCCTGATGTCCTACATTGGGCACGCGACACGCTTTTCTCTCACACCGACCCTGCAACCAACCAACCACTGGTGCCTGTCCCTCTTGTTGCTCCGTTCATGCATGCCGAGGAAGGCTTGTGAAAGGTGACCTCTGCATCGAACAATGCCAGATTGGGTATTGTTGTTGTTCCCGACAGCGTGGTTGGTGAGTCATGTTTTGCAGCCAGCCGGCCGGTTGGTGGGGACACAAAGACTGGTCGGGTAAACGTGAACCTTTTGGGATTGGGGTCGTGTGTGCTTTTGTGTCTGTGTCTCTGGGCCTGGGATCTGGGGGGTCGGAAGAGGGCGATGATGTTCGGAGGTCTCCGAACCGGAACCAAACCAACCCAAATTCATGGGTGGAGACGCGGTTTCGGGATTGGGAAGGGAGAGAACGGAGTATGGGGATGAGTGAGTTAGTGTGTGGGTGATGAGGGGTGAGGGGTGAGGGGTCGGGTGGTGGCAGTTGAGGATCGTGAGATGAGGTGAGAGTATAAGATGATAGTGATCGTTAGAAGGAATAGTTGATGACAGATACCTAAAGAGATAAAGAGAGATGGAGAATGAGCAAAGAGCGAAGCAAGAAGAAGAATGGATGGGTGAATGAAAGATGGAAGGGAAGAATGAATGGATGGATGGGGCCAACCAGCGGGATGAAGCGATAAGATCGAGTAATCGGCGGGGCGAGTGCTTATCAGCTTGTTTTTCCTGCTTTGCTTCCTTACTTAAACCCTCGTCAGTCCTCTTCTTCACTTCAACCCAATTTCTCTCCTTCCTCCTCCTACTCATTAATATAATCAAAAAGAAACCCTATCATAACCTATCTCAATTGAATCAATTCAATTCAATTCAATTCAAATCATCCCTTCCACCACCGCAACTATGTCCGAAGAAGAAAGCTACATCCCCGCCTCCCTAATCGACCCCACCTTCGCACACACCACCAACCTCGCCTCCAACGCCCTCAACAGCTCCATCCTCTCCTGCAGCAACGAATACTTCGCCGCCGCCTCCAACCTCCTCACCCCGACCCCTCCCATCAACCGCCCAGGCGTCTTCATCCACACCGGCGCCTGGTACGACGGATGGGAAACCCGTCGCCACAACCCCGCTCCCTACGACTGGGTCGTGATCAAGCTCGGCGTCAGCAGCGCCTCCATCCAGGGCGTTGAAATCGACACCGGTTTCTTCACCGGCAACTACGGCGAAAAGGCTTCTTTGCAGGCTACCTACGCTGCGCCGGGAACCCCGGACTCGGTGGTCGCAGACGAGGGGTATGAAGGGTGGGAGACGATTCTTCCCCCCGTGGCGTGTGGGCCGGCGCAGAGGCGCGCGTGGAATGTAGCGGAGGAGAAGGTTGCGGGTCCGTATACGCATGTGCGCTTGTTGATGTTTCCGGATGGTGGGTTTGGGAGAGTGAGGGTTTATGGGACTGCGATTCCGCCGCCGCCGCCGCCGGCGGTTGGAGTAGAGGGGGAATCGGTGGGAGAGGAGGAGTTAAGTTCGGCGCTGGTGGGTGCGGTGGCGCTGGGTGCATCGGATCAGCATTATACGCCGTGTTCGAATTTGTTGTTGCCTGGAAGAGGCAAGGATATGGGGGATGGGTGGGAGACGGCCAGGTCGAGGGTGCAGGGACATGTGGATTGGGCGATTGTGAAGTTGGGGTTGGAGGGAGAGGTCAGTCGGGTGGTGGTGGATACGAAGGATTTCAGGGGCAATTTCCCTAGGGCTGTGAGGGTGCATGGGTTGGTGAAGGGGAGTGTTGCGGAGGGAGAGGTGCCTGGGCAGGATCATCCGGGGTGGGTGGAGGTGGTCAAGGGTGATCAGCCGTGTCAGGCAGATACGGAGCATGTGTTTGAGGGGGCAGATGTGGTGGCTGGCTCCAGGACGTTCACTCATGTCAAGTTGACGCTGGTACCTGATGGAGGTGTCAAGCGGTTCCGGATCTTTGGCAGACGCAGTGTTGCGTAAAGGGGTGGTGGGTTATTATTATGTAGCTCTGGTGATGTTTGTACACGGATTAAATGGATCAATGACTGAACTCTTTATATAACGAAATTCTTGCACGGCACATACAAGGCATCAAAACACTCCAAACGCCGGCCGGGTATTCATCCCCTTGGAGGCTCAAGGGAGATGGGAAACACGGTATCACACCAAACACACAGCAAGTTCAAACGGACCAGGGGACAGGACAGGGATGATGTCGATGAGATATCATCAAAGCAAGAAACGCATGGTCTTAAATACACACTGTACGGCGTTAGGGGGGCAACGCAAGAGGGAGTGAGGGGTGGAATAGGGAATTAGAGATGAGGCAGGCACACAGCGGAGTACAGAGGGCAATGAAGGGGTAACCAAAATGGAGAGCCCGAGAAGAGGGGATATTGGAACAGCAAAGAACAAGAATCTCGGGGGGGATCCATCTTGCAGACGGTAACTGCAGCCTCAACTGCTGGTATCATCAATCATATGCTTCATCATCATCGCTTAGAACAAATACGGACGGGAACAAGTCCATCCCGTCGGGTGCTTTTCATGGGTATAACGGGGCTACTGATGGTAGGAAATCGCTCAGAACATGCAGGGTATCGCGGTCGGGCCAGGGCCGAAGTGCTCGTGGTGACTCTATGAATGGCAAAAAGTCTAGTTTTCCATGGGCTGCCGTTGCAGTTGCTTCTCTTCGTCGGGCGTCAGCGCGATCACCTGGCCGTCGATATTAGGCGACAGCGAGTGGCTTCTGGGGGTCCCAGCCTCGGTGCTCACACTTCCTCGGTCCCGATTCACCAGCCGCGTCCGCGTATACGCTGGCACCGGTGCAAGGTATTGGTCGAGCATCTCACTCAGGATCGTAGATCGAACCGGTTTGGGCAGGTAGTTGTTCATTCCGGCATCAAGACACTTCTCCCGATCCCCCTCGATGGCGCTTGCCGTCATGGCGATGACCAACACCTCGTTAACATTGGGATCGGGGTCTTTGCGGATTTCGCGAGTGGCATTGTAGCCGTCGAGGGTCGGCATTTGCACATCCATCAAAACCACATGGAACGGGTTGCCTTCGCGGGACCGCGCTCGGAGGGCTTCCACGGCCTGCTGCCCATCACTGTACGCTTCGCAGTGAAGATTGAGACCGGTTACAAACTTGACGGCGATCTTCTGGTTGATTGGGTTATCTTCCGCAATACAGATGCGAATCTGATCTCGAGGAACCATGGTCAGGTCTCGAGCGACAGGGGCTGGGGCCTTGTTCTCCGCCCGACTGGCGAGCTTGGCCGCCTTGGCCGCTTTGGCGGCAGCGTCCTTGACCTTATTGAATGCCAAGTGGAACGTCACCGTGGTGCCAACGCCCGAGGTGGAATCGAGCCAAATGGCTCCGCCTAGGACATCTTCGATGATGGCCTTGCAGATGCTCAGCCCAAGTCCACTGCCGCCATAGGACCGCGCCGTCGAGTTATCCGCCTGTGAGAATGGTCGGAAGAGCCGTGACTTTTGTTCCTCCGAGATTCCGATGCCCGTGTCAGTTACCGAGCATTCCAGACGGACACGGCCCTTGCCTTCCCGGGAAACCTTCGCTGTCACGGTCACCGATCCCTTGGGGGTGAACTTATAACTGTTGCTGAGAAGGTTCATGAAGATCTGATGCAGGCGAACAGGATCTCCGAGGACTACCAGATCGGGTGGGACTTTATCCAGGTCTTCAATTGTCTCCAACCCACGATCCCGATGTGTGTACCGCAGCGCACGAACGACCTCCGAAATGGTCTCCCGAATGTTGAGAGGGACAGTCGAAATCTTCATCTTGCCTGCCTCCAGCTTGGAGAAGTCTAAAATGTCGTTGATCAGAGTGAGCAACGTGTCCGCACAAACACGAATTGATTCCACGTATTCGTCCTGCTCTCGGTCCAACTTCGTGCCCTTGAGGAGTTCGGACAGGCCAATGACACCGTTCATCGGTGTGCGTAGATCGTGAGATATATTAGCCAGGAAGATGGATTTGGCCTTGGCCGCATCTTCTTTCAGCTTCACATTGTGCTTCGCTTCCGCCTCAGCCACTTTAGCCTTCTGCTCCGCGTCGCGAGCCTGGGCGAGTGCGCGCTTCTGAGCCTCAACCATGGAGGCATTGGTAGCGCTGACTTTGCGAACTTCCCGGAAAAGCAACGCATTGGAAAGCGAGATACCAATCTGGTTGCACAACAAGTGAAGGACCACAACATTCCGTTGGGTGAAAGAATTCGGCTTGCCTTCAATGTGGATGACTCCCAGGAGATGCTCTGCCTGCATGATTGGCAATGCGATCACTGACCGCCCAAGGGGATATCTGGCTTGGTATCCTTCGTTGACGTTCGAAAAGCGCTCGTCCTCGAGCACGTTGTGAACCAGGACTTCTTCTCTGGTGCGCATGACGTAGTGAGAAATCTGATGCGCCATCTTATCCTCAATCTCGGAGAAGGGGAGACCATCAACAAAGGATTTCTGTCCTTTCTCCAAATCCCCGGCCGCAGCAACTGTAAAGTGGTTGTCGAAGTTGGTTGCTATCACCGCTGAGTCCGACCCATTGCAGGATTCCAAGACAATTTCGATCATTTTGGTCAGAAGTTTGTCTATCTGAAGCTCAGATGACATCACTTGGCTAGACTCAAGTATGCTTGACAAATCGATGATGTCTGCTTCGCATTAGACAGACCATTGAGAGGGAGGAAAGGTAAATGGGACACTGTAGCTTACCGAGGCCAACGCCAGAGATGTCCAACGACCGTTCGCCGGTGGTGACACCATTCTGCTCTATCCAACGCTGTTTTCTATCGTCTTCATCCATGTTTTGAGCCACACCCATGTCCATGTGCTCTTGCCCGGTATTGCGATTAATTCCGAGAAGTGAGTCCACGGTTTGACAGCCGGCGTCCACATTTCTCGAGGATGTCGCGGTTTTCAAGAGCCACTCGTGTTTCTCAGTCAGCTGCGCTGCCTTGCCCACGGCGCTTATCGCGGCCCATGCGGCAATTGCGTCTTGCATGACAGAACGCGCCGCCCTTTTCGCACCACGCCGGATCAAAAACTCTCCTATTTGAAAGTTAAAATAGAGCAGGGTGTGGGGGGGGCAATCACAAAGAAAGTGCGGGATAGGAAAAGCAAAGATGGGGGAGCGGTGTGCATACCATGCAGTTCAAGAGCAAGCGCTTCCTCCAAGGGCCACCCATGAATCTGGCAGTGATCGATTGCAGCCTGGTCGGTTTAGCTTCATCCCCAGTACATCAAGGGCCATCAACACAACTTACTTCGAACGCTTGAATGGCCGAGGTATGGTCATTCCGGACCTCGCAGATTAACGCCTCCAAGATCAACGACCACATTCCGTAATTGGCATCGCAAGCACTTCGCGCGAAATCCACCTCTGCTTTATACTTCAAAACCGTCTGCAAGCTTCCATCGAGATACCCGCGAGCAGGATATTCATTGTGGAGAGTTAGAAGTGAAAGGGCAAGATAGAAATAGACTACGTATGAAACGCGAGCAGACCACAGCCTAGGCATAGTCTCCATCATCTGCATGCCCAACTCGATAGCTCTGGAATGGTGTCCATAAGCAAACAGCGGGATCATGGCAAGGCCCCAGTAAATGTCTCGCGGGCGGTCGGCATTACTAGCATTGTTGTCAAGGAAAGCAATGTACTCATTCGTATGATGATGCTCGTCGGACATGATAGTGTCAGCAGAGCGACAAGCAGTTTTTCCTTGCAGAGCACGCGCAACTTGTCTGTGAGCGATTCTGGTTAGCAACGAATTACTACTTTCCCTTCTAAAAATGGAGTCTTACCTGACTGCAAGAAGGCTGGCTCCTCCTCGAGTATCATTTACCCAGTCGGGGATATCTTCCGGGCTTTCGTTGCAAAACGCCTCTACCTGAGCCATATCATGGCCCAGATAGAGTCTGGTCATCGCCATTGAGGAGAGACTGATTAAGGTAATATACGGATCGCCCATCGAAAATGATGTTTCCACGGAAGTCTCAAGAGCAGGAAGCGTGGATGACAGCGAAACCCGCAAATGGCCCACATAAAGATTATGGACAATCGAGCCCCGACTTTGAGTCCACTGCTCGGGACACCGCTCAAGTAGAGTAAGTGCATAATCACTCAACTTCACGGCAAGCTCCAGATCCCGGAAGCGGCTAAAGGAAATCATCGCCAGGTGCGAAAATCCTATGGAAATCTGTACAAAGCCGCCTCTGAAAAGATGAAGATTCATCATCTCGATAGCCATCCGGTAGAACGTTAGAGCATCGTCCCAGTACGTAACAGCCATTGCCTCGGCCATGACTTCTCCGATAGTTATCATGTCGACATCCTTGCTGACCGGCTTACGGACAATTGCCTCCAAGTCCGCTTGTTCAAGATACGCGCGAAGATTCCGGTAGGCAGCATCGCATTCATCATAAGTCGTCGGCTCTCGAAGATGTACACCAAGCTCTTCCAGGCACGTCAGAAGTGAGTCCATCGAACGGAGATGGTTACCCATCTGGGCATAAATCTTAGCCTTGACGATCCAGGCTCTTGATTTGCATACGGCGCTCTTGCCTTGTTCAAAAACCTTGTCCAGGAGATCCAAGGCTTCGGTATTATGACCTTGAGACCATGACATTTCAGCGGTGGCAATGTGCAAGCGCAAAGTCTCGCGGTAATAGACATCGGTATTGTTGTCATCCCAAGGGTCATCTTGAAGGAACGTGATGCAATGGCGGAAATACCAGAGCGCCGTAGGTCGCGCACCCGATTGCGCAGCAGTTTGGGCCGCGTCCCATAGAATCTTTCTGTATTCAAGTCGTTCTACAACGCGAGACTTGATGATTCGGGACGCCAAAGCCACGTGACGTGCCATCGCGTAGCGACTACGCCCATCGTGATAGTACTTCATCATCGCTTGAGATATGATAAAATGCATCTTCTCCACATTTCGCCCCTCGGTTAACGAGAGGGCTGCTTGCGAAAACCGATCATTGGCAAACCTACAAGTAGTACTTTGGTTAATCGCATGCAAGCTGGGCAGGGACAAGGAGCACATACCTGAACTCATCATCGGTCTTCCCGGGAATAATTAGATTTGCTTGCACGAGATATTGAAGACCAACAACCATATCGGCTTCAGTCTGCCGGATTAGATTGGCATTTTGTGGGCAGGTGAGGTCTACAGCCTCGTCGTCCTCGCTAGAATATAAAAACTCGCTGGTGAGGAGCTTTTGTACCAAAGAGAACGCAAATGGACTTCCCAACAACGCGCCCCAGACCATGATGGACCTGGCTGCTGCCGGGATCTCTTGAAGACGTCTCGCAATGAACCCCAGCCCAAGCCCCTCACCGTACCTGGGAGCCACAAATTCGGTGAAGATCCGATCAAGGTCAAACTCCCACACGGAATTCTTCCATGAATACCAGATACAATTCTTGCTGTAGCACGTCTCGAGCATCATCCGCACGAAGAACGGGTTGCCCATGCTTTTCTCCTGTATAACAGCTGCAAGCGGTGTTAACATCGGATTGGGTTCCTGGTGCATCGTAGCTGCCACAACTTGCATGATCTCCTCCTCGCCAAGAGGCTTGAGTACGACTCGGGTCACACTGGGATTCTCGGATTCGAAAAGCGACTTGATAGTGTTCGACTCGAGCTCTGATTTCCGGCTTGTGAGTATCAACACACAGGGCAGTTTTGCTTTGACGATATTCATGATCAATTCAAGGGTCTCATCATCAGCATAGTGCAAGTCGTCCACACATGCGCATATCAACCTATACTGGGAAAGAGTCCGCAGTATCTCCAAGAACGTCTCCATCAACCGCATGTTCTTCAACGCTGCATTGGACAGAAAGAAGTCCACGGAACTTTGGCCTTGGTCGAGGCGAGGGAGGGCAACGCGCTTGGATGGTTCACCTTTCGTAGAAACTTCCTTAAAAATATGTTGGGCTGCCGAGAGTCTGGGCGAAATTTGTCTGTCATTTCCTCCGGAGGACATGAGCTGCTCGGGGAGTTCCAGAACACGGTGTAATGTCGGCCACATTGGTCTCAATGCGATGCGAATGTTATTGTGGTATTCAGTCGTCACATCACGTTCCGAAAAGATCTGGCGGAGAAGGCTGGCCAGGATCTTTGCAAAGGGTTCAAAGGGAATCCGCCTGGCGCGGTCCAGACGCGCTATACCAATATATCCTAGTTTACGGATCGCAGGCTGAACACGGTTCAGGAGGTCTGTCTTTCCAATGCCAGCTGAACCGCTTATGGTAATTACTTCGCATTTTCCGATACGGCGAAGCTTGTGTGCAGCCTTGGGTCTGTTTACCGATGCAATAGACTCCCCATGACTCTGTGTGCTTGTGCCCGTTGAAGGGTGCCCATCTCGGTCTGTAGCCTCCCAGGATGCGCGTGACTCCACAGGGCTCTTGGGCTTTCCCGACGAGTCTCCCGGTTTGGGGGTAGAAGGAGAGGAGTCCGTGCTGTGCAGAGATTCGTGCGTCGATACACGTCCCAAATTATAGGGGCCGCCGTTGGAGGCTGCCCTAGAGGCAAGATTGAAGGAGCCTGACTCACTCGAGCCGGATGCAATCTCAAAGCTATCGACACGACCGTCAGACACAGAAGAGTTGGAACCAATCCCGCTGGAAGTTTGCGCAGCTGCCCTCGCATACGCAGCTTGCTGGCGCCTATGGACCTTCTCAACCACACTGGTAATCCTGTCATATTCCTCTCGCCGCCCAAACATTCGAGATGGGAGCGTAAAAAAGGACGATACGTCACGCTGAGCAATCTGAAAGTCCTTCAATGCCTCGCTATCGCCATCTCCAAGTAACTGGGAAATTTGTGCCAGATCGCGCTTGACAGAAGATATGGTATGGTAGCGTTCACTGACTGCCTTTTGTGTCATCTTCTGGATTACAGCCGACACTGCGTCGGGGACGTCCATTCTCTTTGCTGAAATTGGTGGTAGTTTCTTTCCTAGGACATTCTGAACGACTTCAACCGGGTCACTTCCTGTAAACGCTGGTTTTCCCACCAACATCGTCCAGAAAAGCACACCCAGTGCATAAATGTCAGTTCGACTATCCGGTTCTGTGGGCATTCTCCCCGTCTGTTCCGGAGCAATGAATTGCAGCTTGTTTTTGACACCAAGCTCTCTTGAAAGGGATGACCAGCCCTCGCTCAGTATGTTGTCAAAAGACCTAGCGCCATTTCCCGTGTTGGTAAGTTTCACGGCCCCTGCCTCTCGATTGAAATGAAAGGCATCTCCGCGAATTTCGCCATGGACTGTCTTGAGACCGTAGTGCAAGAGTTCCAAGCAATCACATGCGCCGATTGCGAAATCCATAAACACTGACAAAGACACTTGTTCGCCAGGAGTCGGCTCGTTGCTATCATTCCTGCCACCCACTGCAAACCAGGCAGGTCCAAAGGCAACCATTTCTCGCAGCATGTTCGGGCCCGGTGATTCGAAGATAGCCACGAGAAGAGGTCCGGCGTCACCTGGGTCCGACGACAGGCGGATAAGGTCTATAGGGCGTATTGTATGGTTGCAGTCTGGGTCCGAGGTCTGCACAATAGACCTTAGCATATGAAACTCGCGCTCAAGTCTCACAACGTGAGACGAGACTCGGGCCACCACTGGGATCCATATTGACTCGTGATCGATGCGGGAAAGAGACAGCTCGCTACTGGATTCGCTCAGGCTACTCCTCCAGTGATGTCGAAATGGGGGGCGGGACTCGGTTCGCGGGGAATTGCGAGCCAGGCTAGATGGACCCGATGAGGTCGCGGCCGGTGTCGAAACGTCAGACTCGGCGGCATGTCGGAGACCAAAAACATGCCAGTGATTATATGTGGAATGAAACGGTTCGACAGACTGGTCCCATGTGTATCCGGGCAAATGTGCCAACCGCTCGAAAAGGCGTGCCGGCGGGAGTGGCAGGTCGTCCCCCAGGATATGGCTGTCCTCCATCTCCACCAACTATCGCGATATCCTGAATAGTCGGCCCCTCAGTTGACGGCCATAGATATTTCGTCCGTAGTGGGTAGTCGCAATCTTAGTCGGATAAGCTGTTTGAACAGGGGAGGGGGGGGGGGGGGTCATAAAGACGAAAACGGTTCAATCGCCAAGCAGGGTGGAGAGGGCGAGGCGCTGCCCCCTCTCGAAACTCGAAAGATTCAGGGAATTCGTCGAGGGTCGAGGATGCGACGGGTGGCACGGTCGGGGATGGGGGGAGAGGATCAGATGCTTTTCTGCGAGTTCAGCGTGTCAGGACACAGCTGCCAGCATCCCCACCAGTCAAGGTGAACGCGATCGCAAGCGAGCAACTGATCTGCTTGATCCAGGCAAGAACTCTGGTTGGGTTGGGGTCTGGAGGCCTGAGGCTGTAGATTTCCTGAATAAGCCGCGCCTTAGTCAGCTGCCATTGGGCATCACGAGGGAGGAAGCGGGAGATCAGCCGTCGTGCTTTGGTGCAAACTGCAAACTGTGAGGCTGGCCTGCACGAGCGCGCCCGTGAGGTGAATCTGCCACCTGAACTCTATCCGGTATCGCCCTCGTCTGCTCAGAAATCCAGCGTGCTGGGGTAGGTTCGCAGATTTTGTTTGACCGCTCGGTATACAAGTACACGTGATAGGTTGCTCTCTACGGAGTACGGAGAGAGGGGAAAAGTCTACCGCACCGGGCTGGTTCCGAGACCTGGAGCAGAAAATCCTAACGGTATGTAGGGGGATATGCCCCAGCAAGTGAACCAAGCAACAGATTACATGGCGTTGATATTTTTAAATCATGGGCGAAATATCCGGAGTCAAAATCCAAATTGCTCCGGCCTAGGCTGCATCCTGTTCCTGAATTAGTAGTCTCGGGGGGGCTTGCCAAGCACTGACTTAACAGCATCAACCGAGGAAACGCCTGTACGCCGAAACATTAAGGTAACCTCCCTCGTGTATCAACAACTATCTATTATCTGGAGGTGGGGGTGGGGGTGTGACAATGCCATCATTGCCATAATAACTCAGGGGAAAATTGATTGCATCGCCACCTCCCCTTACTTGACAACCTAAATGCCGTATTCGACCGGGCGAATGAGCGACTAGTCAAATCCAAGGGTCAGTATCTAAATAGTCCGAGAAATGGGTACACTTTTCATCCAAGCTTGGGCATGACCACTGGTAGAAAAAGGGCTGACAGCTGAGCCGGGAAAGCTAGTCGGAAGTGCTGGCTTCAACCAGCCCATGCCATGAATATGGTTGATTTGATGGGAATGTTTTTTTCCCTTCTCAATGGCAAGAAGGCCCTAAATTGGTGGCCATGAAGTTGGCGAAACTAAAGTGTCTTAGGTTCGTTTAGAAATATTCTAGAAAAATCAGTGCGGGACAAGGATAACTTTGTCCTCTTGACCCCTTAAAAAGATATATACATCCCTCTAGCATCCTTAATCACTCCTAGTTCCTCGACTTGTCTCATGAAACGCGCAACTCTTTCTATCCACACAAAAACAATCCATCGTATTTATCCAGGGTAATGCCCCCTGTTTGGATACTAAGCGAATAAATACCGTGGTGTCAAAATATCGGAAGGGGTTGCATGGTATCCGCTTATCCCAAGATGCGGTGTGCGCTATCCACTGAGGCCCTTTCTTTAGCTCGACAGTAAGGAAATACGGCAGCTGATCACCTATCTACCTGGAACAAGTGCCTCGAGCATGTTACATATCCATCGTTTTTGTCATTTTGGTTGGTCCTCTACATTGCGTGGATTGAGTATCCCAAATCTCCGGACATAGCAAATTGGGCACATGTGGATCACGCGTCATGACAGTGATACTACACACGCGCTCCTTAGACTGACTTCTAACTTATCACATTTTACCTCTGTAGAATAGATCCCGGTCTCCTGCAAGACCAAATAGGACGTCCTGATATCCCCTGAGCTCATAAGATTTATGGATGACTTCATGTTATCTTAACTAGGGAGGTCACCTTAGAGGATAAAGCTAAAAGATTTGCACAAATATAATATCAAGGTCCGAGTATGACACTCGGTAAATGGTCATGGTAAGAGGCAAGCAGAAGATAGATATACAAAGTATCGACCAAGAGAGACTGCCGGAATGTGGACATTATAGGCTGTATGATGCTGATGGAAAGCTCACCAGTCAAATAGAGAAACATGCTGGTCTGATCATTGGGTCTCTTGTCAGCTGGTCTGAGAAAATGGAATCCTGAAAAAACTTGGGACAAATAGACGCCATTATGGATGTAAGTAGGAGCATGTCTGTCTCTCCAGATTCACATAAGAATGACAGTACCTGAGGCTATTACGCGTTCGGGCTAGCCCAAATATTGCGGGTCCTGCTGGTGACACCGTGACTGACATTGACAGCGAGCAGCAATAATGAGGGTGACAATAGTACCTACTAGTAGGTAATGCTGCAGAGGCCAGGCCACAGGTATCAAGGGCTTCCCTCCTCATTATATCACCTTAGTCCCCGAGGCTATGGTCAATGACTTCCTCTTACCTGTAGATACGGAAGATCAAGATTTTCACCCATGCTAGCCTAAGCCCATGTAACGATCTCGCTCGAAAACTTCCACGAGCCCTACGATTCAAGACTGCCCAAGGAATGTTTTATAGTCAAGAAATTATAAATTGGGATTTAGATAGCACATTTCAACTCCATGGACTCAGATGTTCTCACATAGAGGTAGTCTGGTCTAGGAGATGGACCATTCCTAAACAATTTTACTGATATGCTGGTCGCTCTCCACTAGTTAACAGTACTGATAGTGCTTGACAGTGATGATCTGAAACAGGATAGATATGTCTCCACAGCATGACTAATTTACATATTTCTAATCAACTAGGTACCATGGATGCGCGACCTTCCGTATCTTGTGACCTATCTATCTTTTATGCTAGACAGCGTAATGCAAGGAAGGGCACCATGAAGCCCTTTCAACGAGAATCAGATCACTACCCTAACTGAGCATCTATGATAAACCATGAAATTGGAAATTGAAATATAACAGACTGATAGAAGAGGGGTAGACTGCATTTAAGAAAGAAAAGAATAATATATTATGAGCCTATATTATGGCGCAAGGTGCGGGAGCCGCTACGGCCGAATGTAAATTGTAAAGTGCCCGGCGGAGAGAATAGACTCTTGGAAATATACATACAGGGTGCGTCTCAAGCCGGCTAGAACTCGTAAATAACAATATATCTGTTTTAAAGGAGCACTCTATTGTTTTATCACCTTTTGTCACCTGAAACTTATAGGGAGGTAGTACTTTGTAAGTACTTTGCAGGCTGGTTCTGTGGTGGCATGTCAGGCGGCGTGTCTTACCAGTTGCCACAGTACAGAAGCCAACAAATTCATTAATGGGTACGGAGTAGTAGTGATGAGAAGGGGTATTTAAAGACCAAGTGACTTCTCCCGAATCAAATAACAGTATGGATGGACATGAATGTTCTCGCTCCAATCACTGTCAATTATCCACCCGGAATATGTATGGGGTACAGGATTGCAGAGCTAATGTGAAATGGTACCTAGTCAGGCTCCGTACCCATGGTTTCTACCCGTAGACAGAACGCCCGATGTCGTCATCTGCTGCGCGCAGGACCGCCTATCATCACCATGATCGTAAGGGGTGTCCATAAATAGGTCCCTAACGGCGAACACTCCCATGCTTCGACAGTTCATACGTCTTGACTCCGACCGAGCCGTCGAACAGTTCAGTTCCAGTTACTCCGTATGGGGGTTGTTATTCGCTCTGTCTATATTTGGATTTATTTCGTTTATTATCCATGTCGAGCTATACGGAGTATGGCGTCGGCTTATGGACGGTATGTACTTATCTCCCTTCTGCTCCTAGGTGATAACGGAGTAGATAACTCTTGGATGGTGACGGAGAAAAGACATCTGTGCGTGGTGTTTATTTGGAACCCGTGGTTTTTCCGCCCTGCGGTGCAGCCTTTCCCAGCTATACTGGGTTAGGACTAGCTTAGCAATAAGGCAATAAGTGGCCCGGCTACGGAGTATTCAACCTTCTGGACATTATTGCTTGACACTCTATCTACATTTACAGTGACATAGTGGACATTCAGCTATGCACAATGCGCCATACTACATTTAATATATATGGGATGACAGGCAAACCCGCCTCCTCCCAGCCCGGAAAGAAACACCATTTCTTGGTTTACTGGGTGTTGCTGGGACCGACAAGAGCCGAAGGGTATGGAGCAAGCGCCTCTTCTGCTTTACAACTCCGCATTAAAGGTGGGGTTGAAGTATCTATGATTAATTTCTTTTTGATTCGGACCTCTTCGAATTGACACAAAGCATTAGCCTTTCGGGTAAGTGTAGAATCCACCACCGGTGCCGATAAGTGGTGTACCCCCCCTTGAATGGGAAAAGGAGGCAGAAAGCACCCGGAGAGTGAGTGAATAGGTAGCCTCACCAACTCATCTCATCGGAATGCGTCTAGGTACGAGGTCTTAGACATAGTAGACCTTGAAACCGGGGAACTGGACGAGATGGAAACCGCGCTACGTCATCTGGGGAGGCGGGATTGCATCCTTGCATAGCTGGATGGGGCGTTGACTCCGACCAGGCGGGTGTGAGGCTGAGAGACCTGTTGAGCTGAATTGAAGAGATCTTAATGGCCCGTCAGATGTCCCCTAATGTCACTGACAGCCCTGTGGGTAAACCCATCTCAGCAAACCGGTGGTGGTGGCGCGCGATGAGGTTGAGGATGCCCTGGCACTAGTCTACATCCAGGGCCATCAGGTGATATCGGGGCACCCTTTTGGGAACCCCCAGAATTGTGCCGGCAATCCGCAGGGGTGTGGCGGTATCACAAACTCAAGTGGACTCCCCTTCCACCTCACGACTCAGGTTCCGTACTGCTGTATTTCCTTTTCGTGGTTCCCAGATTCAGTAGTAACGGTTAGTGCCGGTAGGCCAGTCAATCGGGTTGGTAGATTTTGGTAGATTAGTGGTTGGTAGGCTCCCCCCTCTCGAGGATTTCCCTCTGATGAAATTCGGGTGACAGTGACCGTGACTGACTGACTTGGAATCCGCCAGCCAGCCAGTAGTCAGTAAGTAGTCAGTAAGTAGTCTGTCTGTCGCTCTGTCGCTCTGTCGCTCGCTCCCTTCCAGGCTCCCCCATCCATTCATCCATCCATCCCTCCATCCCTCCATCTTCCTCTCGGACGGTGACCATATTATTGCGCACCCTCATAGCGGACTATTCTACTTCCCTTCCGGCCTTTCCAATTTTGCTCATCCTTTCCCTCTCTCATCTTCTCGCGCACACTCTCATTTATTGTCTGACGATTTCTTTGCCCGCCAGGCTAACCAGACCTTGTCCCTCTCTTCTCGTCCATCCTCGTTCCCTCCGACGCCCTTTTTGCCTTCCCCTCTACCCCTCCTTTTCACCCTTATCCCCAGGCCGGGCAACATCTTCGCTAAGTAGGTTACCGCGGGTTTGGCCAACACGACCCCCCCAGGGCTTGCCTACGTCATAGGCTGGACACCCCCGGAGACGGACCATTTCCACCCTTCACCACAAATCGTCGATCTGCTGGGTCAGTAGCAGAACCTGCTCCAGTGCTTCTAGGAAAGGTCAGATCAGTCGAACCTTCCTTCTCACAGTCCCGTTCCTCACCACCACCTGCACCAACTACTACTGCCCACTGCTTGCCTTTGCTCCTCTTCCTCCGTCCTCTTCCAGCACTACCGCTATACACCGCTTTAGTCACCCTCCCCTCGAACAACCTTTTTCCCTACCTAAATCCTTTTTCCCTTTTACCCATTCTTCCCTCCCTCCCTTTTGATATCCCCTCCCCACCGAATAGTCTATCTCTCGAGGCCGTTTAATATCACCTGGTTCTTTTTTTTTTCTCTTGCGGGTTTTTTCTCTGTGCTCACACCCCCTTTGGACATTTCCTGGGGTCTTTATTTTTTATTTTTTTTTATTTTTTTTTCTTTACCTGAGCGAAATCGCCCCTTTTTATTACTTTCTTGTCTTTTGTAATTTTTCCTTACCTTTTTTTATCATACACACAACCTTCGCTTCAACCACCACGTCTCCCCCTCACTCTCTCGCCCTTCCCCTTTCTTTGCGTCGCTCGTCATCTTTGCCCTTGCCCTGTCGATTACGATATTCATCTGATTGCGGACCAGTCTGTCCGAGAGATGAGTGCCCCGGTTGGCTCCTGCGGAGTTGGATTCACCCAGGAGAATTGATTGTCTGACCGGCGGTGGAGGGAGTATAGGATGGGGGAAGTTCGCAGCATGAGGACACCTCCGCTTCCATCGCCGGCCGAGGCCCCTTCGCCTGTCGCCGCACCTCATTCCCACCGTCGAGGCTCCTCCCATTCAACTGGCTTTCTTCCTGTTCATACTGCTGGATTCTCAATCGATGAAGACGCGATCGCGGAGAATAACACGTGGAATGCTAACTCTCATTCTTCTCCTATACCGCTCGAACAGACTACGAACGCATGCCATATATCAACGCCTGCGAAGAAAGACAATCCCGAAGTAGGGAAGTACCCAGAGGACCAGGGTCGAAGTTTGCAAACCCTTAAAGAGCTTCGGAGGCAGATGGAAGAGTTGCTCGTCTATCAACAGATGCAACAATCACAGAATCAGAGCTCATCGGCTAGTCGCGAAGCCCCGTCGTCGCAAACGGAACCCGTCTCTTCAAATTCCCCTGGATCAACAAGAAAGAGGCCTCTCAATGTATCGTTCCAGAAAGTCACCTCGTCCACGGGAGCGATGCCTTCCGCATCATTCTCCGATTCTACCGGATCTGGCGGCACCATCAGGGCCATGGATTCTACTCCCGAAAACCTCACCGGACAGACCCCGTCCTATCCGTTTCCACGAATGCAAACGCAACCTACGGCTAAGCCGTCGCAAAATTCTACGCTCAACCGCAGCTCGTTCAAGTTGACACTGCCGTCTGAGAAGCTTAAGATTCACATGGCGCCATCGCAAGTCGGGGAGGAACAACAGCTGACAGGGCTAGACACACCGCACTTGCAGAGGTTTTTTCTACCACCGCAGTCCAAGAGCGTGATTGAAGACCCAAACTATCCCAGTCCCAATCTTTATGACCTCACCTTGCAATTAAATGCAGATCCGGGCCTAGACGCATGGTGGGGGAATGTTATCCATATTTTGCAGGCGCATTATGGGGCTGAGAGAGTGTCCCTTGCTGTACCTGGCGATGCGACTGACCTCGAAAACGTTCCATGGGGGCAGAAAGCGGTTTTTGATCGGAACATCGAGCCGGAGTCGCAGGCACGGCATCTGCACGATGAGACGACTACACCCCGCGATAATAATTCGAAGGAGAAGGAGGATCTGGAGAAGAAGAAGATGAAGAAGGAATCATTCATTGCAGAAGCACTTGCCAATGGATCAAGCGCTTCGAAATCTCCAAAGCGACCGCCGCTTTTGTCACGGCACTCCTTCGCCGGGTTTGGCAAGGAGAGGAAGCATCCCAACATCCAGGATTCCGACGCGCAGCACCTGCGGAGTCTCAAAACTCCGTCCAAACCCGAGGTTAAACGCACATCTACCCTTCCCGAGAACCCCACCGCTGCGGAAACGGAGCCGGTGCCTACGCAGGACACTCCCCGACAAGCCGTTTTTCCGATACCCAGGCCTCTAGAGGTCGAAGCAGATCCGCTGATCAAACGAACTGGGGTGGTTAAGCTATTTGGACGCACTGAACCCGTGGTTTTGACCCGAGAATATTCTCAAGGGTTGGCAAGCGATCAGACTCCCTGTGAAACGCCCGAAGACAAGATCCAGGTTACGCCGACCGCAGAACCTTGCAATAACCAGCCACCATACGACGTTCGCTCCAGATCAACGTCTAACCCCCCTGCGCTGGGCTTACAAGCACAGCGCTCGATGGAATTTTTCGACGAATACGAGCAAATACCCCCATCGCCTTGGTCGCAATCTCCAGCTCCCTCCCCAGCGCCTCGTGCTCATGCAGAGCAGAACCCCTTCTTTGTGAGTCACGCTGTCGACGAAGAGGCATTTGCGAAGCACCCTCCGCCTCATGACTACTCAAATCTACAGCCCTTAGAAGCCATCGGTGTCGACATGGCAAAATCAGTGGTCCATATCCCGCTTCTGCATGCTGGCCGTTCCAAACAAACATCACCCTCTACCTTACGATTTCCCGTTGCCGTGATTTCGATTCTTTCTTCAATAATGCCCTATCCCTCGAATCTGAGAAAGTCTCTGGCCTATCTCATGCCCCACCTGACGACCTCGTTCTGTTTGGCTCAGCAATACAGTCAGCTTGAGCGTCAAGTCACCTCTCGACTAGAGGTTCCCCGCTACGGGCATCTTCTCGGCCTTGGTGGAACCTTCTCGGATGAGAGTAGTGAGCTGGAGCTCGTCGCTGGTCTCAGCGGCCATGTTAATTACACAATAGCAGATGACGGGTCTCTTTCGGCCCGTGCCAGTCTTTCTAGTCCCGAAGAGAGATCGAGTTCAGCTAAGCTCAGCCCTTCAATATCTGGGCTTGGCACGCCTGGATTTGACTTGAGCAATATTGGGGCCGGGACAACTATCAACCCCAATGAATCACCAGGGCTGGCTGCAAGGATTGGTAATGATGGTGTGGACAGCTACTTCAATGTTCAGTCGAAACAGTTTCGAGAGGCGATCGCCCAGCGAATGATACTGTCGAAGGCGAAACAAAGCGTTGCAGCCTCAAATCCCACGTCCCCTGGCAAGCTTCTTGGGAAAGTCCCGACGGAGGAGGAGCTCGCACCACAGGCTCAAAGCCCGGCAACAATATCACCATCACAGGAAATCAAGGCGCCACCAGTAATTTCACCCACGCAGACCTCTTCTCGTCATCCGTCCACGAACTCTTTCTATGCCCAATTGCAACGCGAGCTCCCACGCCCGTTCACCGATACTGTGGCACAGCTCATGTTGAACTCGGTTCCCCTACATCTGTTCCTTGCGAAGCCCCAGAGTGGCGAGGTGATCTGGACAAACTCAAAATTCGATGCTTTCAGGAGGAGTCAACCCCAGGAGCAGAAGTTGAGGGACCCTTGGCAGAATATTCATAGTAGCGAGCGGGAACATGTCTCTCAGGAATGGGCAAATGCTTTGCGTACAGGGTCTCAATTTACTGAACGAGTGCGCGTCAAGCGTTTCAATGATGAGTCGGCATATCGCTGGTTCATCTTCCGGGCAAATCCGCTACTGTCGTCTACAGGGGAGGTGTTGTACTGGATCGGATCTTTCCTTGATATCCACGAGCAGCATATCGCTGAGCTGAAAGCGGCGCAGGAGAGAGAGAAGTTCGCCACCGATGCTAAGTACCGAGCATTTTCCAATTCCATCCCGCAAATAGTTTTCGAGGCTACCGAATACAGGGGTCTTATTTTTGTGAACGAGCAATGGCATCTGTACACTGGACAGAAGCTTGAAGATGCGCTGAACTTCGGCTTTGCAAAGCATGTTCATCACGATGATCTAGAGAAGTGCGGCCTACTGTCTGTCTACCTCCATGAAGCTCAGAAGAATGGGGCCGGCCTTGACTCGGGTGAGATAGCGACGGAAACGACAACAGCCAAGACATCCCAGGACAAGCATTTGGGTCATGGAGTTACGCCCGCCCTGGAAGAGCTGGTCAAACGCGGCGTTGCTTCGGTCCAAAGAGACGAAAATGGACGTGTCTTCTACTCGACCGAGCTCAGACTACGCTCCAAAGGTGGAGATTTCCGTTGGCACCTTGTTCGTCTGGTCTGTGTCGAGACCAGCAGCTTTGGCAGTGGAGAAGCGTCGTGGTACGGGACTTGTACCGATATCAACGACCGCAAGAATCTCGAGCGGGAACTGAATAAGGCCATGCAACAACTGAACAATCAAATGGAGTCGAAGACTAAATTCTTCAGCAATATGTCGCATGAGATCCGGACCCCACTGAACGGTATCCTTGGCACCATTCCCTTCATTCTCGATACCCAGCTGGACACCGACCAAAGGAGGATGCTCGATACAATTCAAAATAGCTCAACAAATCTGCGCGAACTGGTCGACAACATCCTCGATGTCTCTAGGGTGGAAGCTGGCAAAATGTCGCTCGTTAACTCGTGGTTCCATGTACGCTCTGTGATCGAAGATGTTATCGACACCGTTTCATCCAGGGCTATTGACAAGGGCCTAGAGATTAACTATCTGATGGATGTGGATGTTCCGCCAATGGTGATAGGAGATAGGTTTCGAATCCGACAGGTCCTCATAAACCTTGTTGGCAACGCGGTCAAGTTCACCGCGCAAGGGGAGATTCACATATGTTGCTCCATTTACCACGATGCTTCGGCACATATCAAGAAATCAGAGCTCTTGCTCAACTTTGATGTTGTGGATACTGGTAAAGGCTTCAGTGCAAGGGATGCTGAACGCTTGATGCAACGATTCAGTCAGCTTGGGCAAAATGGATCGCAGCAGCATGCGGGTAGTGGTCTCGGACTGTTCCTGTCCAAACAGCTGGTTGAAATGCATGGCGGTAAATTAACCCCGAGCAGCAAAGAAGGCCAAGGCGCAAAGTTCTCGTTCCATGTCAAAGTCGACGCCCCTCCGCCACCAACTCCTGACGAAACCCGGACTATTCGACAGTCACAGAGTGCCTCTGAGACGCTTGGAGCGCAACCAAAACTTAGCTCATTGCAGAAGTTGCTTTTCTCAAAAGATCCGCTGAACAATAAGGGCCCAGACCAATTCGAACTGTCGTCGGCTCTCGAATCATCCCTCGCGAAAGCCCATGCCCACGCAGATCCCTCCTCACGTTTCTCGACGAACAACCTCTCTGAGCGATCCTCACTTTCCTCTGCCCTTCCGACTCCCGATCTCAGTACGGTAGATCCTCTTGCCAAAATCGACAGCTCTGCTCCGGGCGAAGGAGACACCGTGACTCCCGTAGGTGGCGATAATCCACGCCCAGCAACTGAGTCGTCTTCACAGCTGCAGGAACCCCCTGCCTCGATTAAGTCAACGGCTTTGGATGGTGTAACTGATGCAAAGCAACTACCAAGCTCGTTCTCCATCCTTATTCTGTGCCCCATGGATAACACCCGCAAAGCCATCAAGCAACATATTGAGCAGGTTGTGCCCCTCGAGGTTCCGTTCTCTATTACCTCGACCCCTGATGTTGAAGACTGGAGAGACCACGTGAGTGATGAGTCTGTTTCAAAACTCACTCACTTGGTTCTCAATCTGCCGAGTGTGGACGATGTTTTAGATGTGATTCAATATGTCTCAGAGAGTGATCCAGCCACTGCCCCGACTCTCGTCATTATATCCGATCTCTATCAGAAACGACAAGTCAATTCAAAGATCAAGGAGCTGGCTGCCAGTGGCAGGCGTGTATATACGGTGCCAAAGCCGGTTAAGCCCTCTGCCTTTTCCGCCATCTTCGACCCTGACAATCGACGCGACTTGAGTAAGGATAGAAACCAAGACATGGCGAGGGAGATCAACAACAACTTCAAGACAATGTCCAAGATGGTCAAAGAGGTTATTGGGAACAAAGGTTATAGGATATTACTCGTTGAAGATGACGAAACGAATCGCATGGTGCGTTGATATTCACCATTCCTTTTCATTCCCATTTGAACTCTGTTCTGACAGCTTCTAGGTGATGCTGAAGTACCTTGACAAAATCAAAGTCATGGCAGAAACGGCTACGAATGGCCAAGAGTGCACGGAGATGGTTTTCTCAAAGGAGCCCGGATACTATTCCCTCATTATAGTAAGTGCCAAATTCCTATGCTAGCCGATATCTTGTCACTCACGCCCTCAATAGTGTGACATCCAGATGCCCGTTAAGAATGGCTACGATACGTGTCGCGAGATTCGTGGATGGGAGTTGAAAAACCATTACCCTCAAATCCCGATCATGGCGCTCTCAGCCAACGCAATGACGGATCAAATTGAGGACGCTGCGCGCGCCGGTTTCAACGACTATGTCACCAAACCTATTAAGCACAACGAACTAGGAAAAATGATGATGGGGCTTCTCGATCCCAACCGACCTTTGCTTCTCCTTCGCGACCGTCTCAGGGCCGACAGTGAGGATCATCACCGCGAATGATAAGGCCATGCGCCTGTTCTTTTGTGGCTACTCATTAAACGGCCAACGGGCGTTCTTCGGGTTCTTCATACCATAATCTCCGGAATCATTGCAGGGGTAACACGTCGTTGCGACCCTTCCGTGTCATGATGTACCTGTTACACATTCAGTATTGTTTTTCTCGATCTTGGGATGGGGTCTTTTTTTTGGATTGGCACGAGCCATCGGATGGAAAGGCGCCTCTGGATGGTTTCAAGTTTTCGCTTTTTGCTTTCTGAGTCTCCCTATGTCTTCGCCCGCATCCCCTTTTCCGGTTGTGGAACTCCTACTATGCATCTGCATTCGGCACTCAAAGTTTGATTGATACCTTTCAGCATCACGGGGCCGGAATCTCAGGCTTGTTGTTCTTTGGACCTTCGACCTCGTTTATGGCGTCAGTTCTCGGATTTGTTGAGCAGTTCTCGATCGTCTTCTTCCTGTGAAGCCTTGCACCCTCAGGCGGCTTTCCCCGATACCAGCTTATGAGCACGACATTTAACTTCTGGAATTGTATTTGCAGATAACAGAGCGTTCTTATTCCCTCGCTGTTCCTTTGGTTTTTGTGTCTTGGTCCTTTCCTTCCTCCCCACCTTCTCCCCATTCATTTTTCTCCTGAGTAGATTATCGATTCTTTATACCTTAGTGAGTGATATACCCTAGCCGGGCTAGTTTATAATACCTGTTTGCATTTCGGGGAATCGTGAATCGGCTTGGTGGGTTGATACCAGGGCTTGCATTTCTTCCCAATTCAGTGTGGGACGGAGTTGTTTCTTTTCCTTTCTTGTTTGCTTTTCTTGTGCTGATGGTCATGTCATTATCGAAAGATATCCACTGAATCACATCTTTGTTTTTCTTCTGGGGTGGTTGGCTGTGAACGATGAATAGTGACCCACGAGCACGGCAGTAGATATTCCCTTCCGCTTCCGACCGGAGGTAATTACGGTATCTTCATCGAGGTGCGATGGTTGATGAGAGGGTTCGATGCTTCATTGGCTCGACCGCCAAGGGAAACCACAAGACGGGACGGACCTACTTAGCGGGCCCGGCAGTGGGAACTGGAACCGTTTCGTAACGTACGTATGGGGTTGAATCTCCCTTCTTGTTCCTGCCTCGAATACCGACACTGCCCCCTACCACATGCTCGGCTGTTGCCCATAGTTCGACTGGTCAGGTGAACCAGCAATATCCAGACACCCTATATCCAGACACCCTAGTAGTACCCCTTCCTTCCAAGACTCGGTCGTTGACCGTGTGGCAGGTCCCTACGGCCTCCTATAGAAACTCCGAAGGGCGGATTGTGTCTTCCCACCTCTCCTTGCCTATCCCGTGTAACCTCGTTTTTTGGGGGGTTCAGCTGACGGATGATAACTGGCTGCTCGTTTGCTTTGAGGCGATGTAGTGAATCGAATGGCATAGGTCACAGACAGCAAACTTTTATGGTTTCTGCTTGGCTCGGGAATGTGTCTTAAGGTGATGTAGGCGTTGTTCTTAGCCCACATCTCTTTACTCTATCATGGGACCTGTAGGAATCTATCTGGCATCTCCAGCATCCGGGGAGACTGAATGATTGTCAGATATCTATCGAATGACTGCCCATGGAATTTGGCTCTTGGTTTCCTTTCCAAGCCCAATTTCTGATCGGACGGTCGTCCACATCGAGCCTGAACACTTGCGTTGGCCGGAAACCATCCGCTTAACCCCCTAAGTGGCTGTATGCGTATCAGTCAGTCATCCAGACAGACTTGTGCGGAATGCGGAGGGCACACGATAGGAAAAGAAAAGAAAAGTGACGAGGGAGGGCAGCGGAATGACCCAGAGGAAGACAAAGTCGACACTGGATGATGCAAAGATACCATAGGTTGCACAGCCCAGTGAAGTAAAGAGACAACAGACCAGTTTTGGAGTGGTGATCGCTGGTACGTGGATGACGTTAGGATTCCGTCGCGGCTGGAATCCGCCGACCAAGAGATCGGGCGTCCTACTATAGTAAGTAAGTCAGGCAGGTGCCTCGATGATCGCGAGGTAGGCTAATCAAGTAGACTGGGCAGCAGCCCCCAGCTTTTGGATGGTGCATGTCGTTGGACGAAGCCAGCCAACCCTGTTGGTAGCACCCAACCCACTATATTCTGGAAAAGGCGTAGAGAAGAGAAGGGGAGAGGGACCCAATGACTGACAGGGCCGGAGGGACTTGTACACACGACGTTTGCCGTAGTCAGCATCATGATGGTCAACTGGAGCAAGTCGGGGCCAACTGAAGGCGAGTGCTGATGTGGCGGTGAGGGAAGACGCGAGCAAACGGACGAAAGGCGAATGAATGGCCTCGCAACCCCACATTCGCTGCAGCCCCTTCATCTTTCCATCCGCCGTGCATCCGCCGTCGTTGGGTTGATGCCAACGGAGGATCTTTTAGTCCTCCACCCCGGAGACATTCCCTCGCCCATCGTAGACCTGACACGGACCCCATCTGCATTGATTGTTGGGCCCTATGGGTGCTGCGCTGCGGGGACCGCCGTCTCACGATCCAAGCGGCCATGACCCAGCCTGCATCCAAGCCATATGATCCCAGCCTTAACCCAATGGAGCCCATGCAGCAAAGACAAATGTCAAGCAGCCGGTTGCATAAGCCTAGAGGCGCCGGTGCCGGGCCAGACGGTGCAGGCTGATTCGAGCCGCGGTAGTCACAGTGAATGCACCTTATCGCTTTTCGTCAAGTAACTCCACGAAACCCAAAGATTATCGGGAAATGAAATGAAAAATCAAAATGTAGCCAAACCAGCCCGATTGAAAGCTTGTGCGAGACCGTCTGCTTTCGCGTTGGGCCTCTGTGTTACCCGGTAGCCCGGTCGGGCTGATGGGCAAGTAGAGAAAGAAGGCTCTTTCCCCTGGGCGTAATTGACCCGCGGATCTCTTGAGCCTGGTTGTGCTCAGGCATGCTTGGGTGATTGGGAGAAAAGGTAGATGGCACGGTCAATCTTGTAAGGCAACAACCTCGAAATGGCGTGAGGCAGCAAAGGTTGTAAAGTGATGACCGTGCCCACTTAGGACGATCGAGGCATCGAATTCTCACTGGTCGTGACGGTCTGTCGGTGGATGTCACCGTGTATCCGGTGTAGATGCTGAGTGGTGTCCGATCACCCAAGCCAGCAACCCAGCCGGACATGGGGAGGCATGCATTGTGTGCCTTCGATCAACCTGTCAGCGTCATTGATGGCGTTTCACCTTCATTCTCATTCTCATTTTCGCGCCCTTCTCATGCCCTCTGCCTGGCCTCCCCTGTACCTTGTCTTCATCGTCGGTTTTGAATTTGGGTTCCAAGGCTGTGGCTGCCGTTCGCGGGAAAGCCATTGAAGACCGTCTGCAGGAAACCACCATCGTCAAGGCTCCGGAGGAAGGAGAAGGAAGAGAGCCATGAGGTCTTTGTGACCTGCCAGCAGCCAGGCCATCGAGCTGCTGTCATCCAGGCCCACTCGGCCCCGTTCGCCGTCGAATTTTTCACGTTGGCGGCGTCTAGAGCGCTTGTCCCTGTTGGTTGAAGTTCCGTGTCCCGAATCTCACCCATTGACTCCAGACATTTCCATAAGGAAGCATAACACACAGCCGCCGATAAGCGGATATGGAAGCACTCGCAGGATCCGAATACTCGGATCGCTCACCTTTCGCACGTCATATATTTGGCACCAGCACAGAACCCTGTCTGTTACACGGTTTCTTTTCCTTTTCAAGGGCCAATTTTTGCCCTGCCGTGCCACTTGAGCGATCCTAGGCTGCTGGGCCGGGATAGCATGAGGTAAGGCCAACTCCGATCCTTTGCACGCCGTCTGTGCCTCTTTTCGTCTTTTTCTTTTTCTTTTTCTTTTTCTTTTTCTTTTTCTTTTTCTTTTTCTTTTTCTTTTTTCTTTCTTTTCTTTTTTTTTCGATTTTGGTTTTCCCACCCCAATTAAATCCCGGCATATGCAGAGATGTCCAACGCCAACCCATGATCCTCAATTCCGCTCTCTTTTAACTATCGGAGATCCTGTGGTTCTGTCAGCCCCCATCCTCATCATCGCGAGTTGAAGTGCCTTGCATGCGGTTTTTGCTTCGCAGCAACCCATGCTCAGTTCAACCTAACAAGAGAGAAATACTAACCTAACCGATATCTTTCTTGACAGTTGGCCTTCGGCTCATTGTTTCTCATTCTCACCAAAATGAGCCGTTTTCAAAAACGAGGAAGGCACGCCTGAAAACCAGACCCTTGGCCGCGGAAGACAGCAACGAGCAACGGTATGTTGATCTAGATTAGCAAACGCAACGGCGAGATATTCTATAAGAGCCATCGGCTGGGTGTCCCATGATTCGGCGGTTCCGTAGTCACGCAACTCTTATCACTGTCAGTCGTCCTCCTGTTGAATGGGCCTTCTGCCTCGAACTGCAGCACACAAGCTTTCCCAGCCACCCAGCCACCTGATATTGACGAACACCGGTGGCCACGAGATTCAATGAACAGAGGAGCGAGTGAAGCAGCACAGCCAATGAAGAATAAACAATGAGCTCCTCCTCCAAGCTCAAAGGGAGGGTAAAAAAGAATTAAAGTACCAATAGCCCATAGACGAGATCCCAAGGCAGAGGAAATACATGTAACTCCGCACATCCCCCAAAGAGCAGATTTGGAAGCGTACAAGCTGGCTCGTTGTCCTCGAAGCCCCCCTTTATATCTTTGATGACTTTTTAGCCCATTGCAACCCAAGAGGGGAAACTGAACCTGAGACAGACTGGATGCCCGACAAATTGCCACGGAGCGCGGGTTGGGGTCTGAGTGGAGGAGGTATGGGACGGGCTGGACCAGTCTCCGGCCATTCATAAATCTCCCCTGAATTTTCGTCTTCCCAGCCAGAGCGGGGTCAATTCGGAGAAAGGAGCGAATTGGCGGCGAGAGACTGAGGGACGGGCGGAATTGGGGGGTTGGGATTGGAGAGCAATGGAGGAGATGGGAGGGCGAGGGTCAAAGGGGGGGTGGGAAAGAAGCCTTCCGGAATGGCCCAATGCCCAATGGATCAATCGCCCATCCCATCACCCCCTCCCGGGGGAGGTTACCGTCCTCGTCATGGAACTTCCCGCCGGATGGAAGACTCTCCGGTGAGGGCTATATAAACCCTCATCTTGTCCTCGTCTTCTTCTTCTCCTTCTTTCTCTTCTATCTCATCAAGTCCTGTTGCCGACTTGACGTCAAGTCTTTCCTCGTGACCCTGCCTCTATCGTCATCTCATATATCATTTCCCATCAGGGTGCTGGTCTTTATTCTGCTTTGCAGCTTGACAAGTCTTGTCTTCTTCCCCCTTCTGTTTACTTTGTTCTGGACGCTGCTGCGAACCCAGAAGCCCGACGCATCATCATGACGACCCATCAGTACCAGTCCCCTTCTCTTCCCATCAATGTCCCGTCCAAGGCGCCAGCTCCCGCCAGCCTCTATCCCGTCAGCAGGGTGTCCGGATCTCCTCCAGACATCTCCGACACCAGCACAACTGCAGGAAGCCGCACTTCTGCAGGTTTCAGTTACGGCTCCGGCAGCATTGGTGGCGACTATGAATCGAGCTCTGTCTCGTATTCTGGTGTGGATGTTGTCGACATTTTGAATGACCGCATGCAGGATGTTTTCGATCCCACCCCATTGGACAAGGGATTGGCGATGCAGGCCCAAACGTGAGCTGCCCTATTGCCAAATCGGGGGATTTGGTTCCCTCCGTTGGTCGAACTTATTCGGTCTTCCGCCTGTAACTTGAATAGCGAGGATATCAAGCTGATGATTTCTTACACCAGCTCCGGTCAATTGAATGCCAAACAACGGGAGCTTTTGGAATTGCAAGCCCTCGCTCAACGTCGTCTAAAGGGTGTTCGTGCCACTTTTAACGATGGTATCAAGGTTGCTCGTGAGACCAAGCGTGACTTGGAATGGACCCAGAAGCGTGTGAAGTGAGTCCTCAATCCCGTTCCCGAGACATACCCCTGCGTCACACATGACGATTGTCAATGGACTCCGCTCCGCTGACGGGTCGCACGTGTGTCCGCCGCGCTCCGCTGTCGACATGATTCTTGGCAATGCAGTTGCAGCAGCAGATGCGCCAGGAGGTCTGACGCATCCAGACTTAAAAATGCTAACAGGTCGCAAAATTCTAGTGCTTTGAAGACAAAAGCTGAGAAAGCTTTTCCCGATGAGTATAGACGATCGGCCAAGAAATACACCTTGGACGACTAAATTTAGCCAGTGGCCTTCTTGGTCTTTGGCTCTGTTTGTTTCAATTTTGTTCACGATTTGGGAGGTACACATCTGACAAAGATGATGACAGCTTTTGGTTGGGGAAAATTGGTTTTCGGGGTTCGGTTCAGGCGTGCTTTCTTGATAGGCGATTTGGACTTTTTGCGATATCTTGCGACTGTTGGGATTTTGGGATGGTACACCTCTTTGCTTTTTTCTCGGGCGCAGTCTTTCTTCATAGACGCGTCTCATCTAAATAATGCATCAATTCCGGTGGAATACACTGTTTAATCTCTGAAATTTGGTGATCTGAATCATCGATAACAGCTGCAGCACTTGTCGTGGTGGGCGAGGTCATGGTTATCGAAGCCAGATCCACGTGCAAAGAACGCCCACCATGCATCAGGCTAGAACAGGTGGATTCAAGGCGAGATTCGCAAACAAGCTTGTGACGAGCAGGGTCTAGATCATGTGCCAACCCCGAATCACACTTGATCACCCTTGGCGGGATGGACTTGTGGGGGGAGCGTGGCACGGTCCCCTGAGGTATCCTGCGGTGCATTCCAGTGAAACCGGAACATGAGCAACATTCCTGGCAACAGATTCTATACAGCACGGATTTCTTCGGACATGAAACAACTGTATTCAGGTATTTGTGCGTGCTGAACCTGGATCATATCACATTTCCTGACCCATATCCTCTGACTCCGAACCACCCCGCATTAGATGAGCGGAGCTGAACTGATGACCCCACTCCGCCAGCGGGCATGTCTGCACCGCCTGTTCCGCTCCACCCTCTAGTTCAGGATGCGTTGGTTGCCGCTTTTGTGCGGGCAATGGCCGTCCTGCCACGGTCAGGGGTTGCGGCTATTGGGTGTTGGGTTGCTTGCACCACACGGTGCATGAGCTTATTCGGAGTTAGCCCACTCTAGAGGCTTTCGTTGAGACTGTCTCAGGAGTCAAATATGCAGTGGAGCTAGCAGTGCACAAACTGTAGTCAGCAAGGATCAATCCAGGCATAAGGGTGGGGTGAAAGGTCACCATTTGGACAGAGAGATTAGGAGTGAGTTAGCTCGAGGTAACTTACTGACACATAGACCTGACTCAGACTCTGTCTCAAACCATACTTCTAATCGCCCGTGGAATAATGATAGGTAGTCACTCAGGGACCTGGAAGGGTCATAAAATCACCAGCACACGAGTACATTCCTGACTAGGTGAAGGAAAGACTGGAGAAAAAAGGAAGTCCTACCGGAAAACAGGTAGATTGAATAGTTCGATTTGTGGTTGCTGGATTTCAAGCCTAGGATGAAGTGACAAAGAGACATGGGTAAAGGAAGGATAAGATTTGACACGGAAGTACGTACCCTAGCTGCGGCCCCCTGAAACATCAATCCGCGACAAAGGAGTTGATCCATCACCAGATCAAACAGTGTCGTCATAGCTCTTCATCGAGGATTGGGGAATTGGATGGAACGTATTGTAGAAATAGTCATTTTTACAGTGTCAAATTGCAGCTGGTTGCTTCCATGATAAATTCCTTCTTAGTTCATACATTTTATATTTTCCACGGGGAAGGGGTTCCAGATGAGGAAGTTGCAGGAGTTCAAACGGTGGTGGTTGGTACAATCTGTTCATGGGGTTGCATGTTCAGGGGCCACAGAGTCGAGGTACTACATTTAGTTTTGGACTACCTGACGATTTATTTGTCCACGAATCTCGATGACGTCGCATTTGGATTTTTACAGTTTCGAGAACAAGTCTTCCCATTCGGCTTGATCATAATGTTTCCGTACGAATTTGGTGCATCGGGATTGAGTAGTTACAATCACTGCTCATCTGTCTACTTCGTTTGCCTAGCACATACAAAGTCCTGCCTTGATATGAGAAATAGCCATTTTTAGGGGGCTTTGAATCATCAGTGTCCACCAACCAATATCTACTTCGCTAGTGTGTGCTGTTAATCCACATAGCGAATTGCTGTGTACAATCTTCATGGTACATCATCCAATCACCACAGAGGACGAAGCACATGTAAGCCACACAGTCACCTTTAAAATATTCAGATTCGAAGCCCCACCTTCAATAATTCTCGCCGTGCGATCGAGGTCTATATCAATACCCATATAAGCACTGTACCGATGCAATGGTCATATCCAACGAAGAGAAGGGCATAAGACTCACCACCAATGTTTATGGGAGATAGTCAGCACCGGTTTCAAACCTTTCCACGGGTCTTCGACGAAGTTTGGCCGGAAATAAATTGTAAGCTTGTTGGAAGTCTTGATCCCGAGGGACCATTTGGACAGGACATCCCTGCGGACTTTGCACCCGTTCGGGGCCGTGTAAACAATGATGTCCTGACGTGGCCTCTGACGGTTCTCTAAGCCTTTGGTCTTGTTGCTATGCTCCCCGGCTTTAGATGCCATTTTAGAGACTGGGCTCGTCATAGACCGATTGCTGGTGCTCACAGTCGGCTTTGCGTAGTGATCTAGACGAAGAGAAAAAAGGTCAGATTTTGTTTTATGAACTACTACAGAAAGACGTGTTACTCACTGTTCGATGTGACGATCTTAACAGGCTCCTGAGGACAAAGCTTTGCGCCTGCGGAAGTTGCAGGAGATGCGGGAGATGCTGGAGATGACGGACTGCCAGGCTGGTTGCTATTGACTCTGGCATTCGTAGGAGAAACAGTCGCGTCAGATTGATTCTCCTTGCTCACTGCCATGGTCGGGGTTTCGTTCACGGTCCTTCCATGCGAAGCCTGAGACTTCCATTCCTCGTAGACAGACGAGGATCGAACCTTAGAGCGTCGGGGGCTCGGGCCTTGAAGTTGGCTGGGCACCGTCTGGTACTGGGGCAATCGGTTCATGGGAGGATTAGGCTTGGGAAGGGTGTAATCCTTCAGGGTTTCTGGAGCCCATTCTTGCAACAACTCATACTCCCGCTGCGACAACTCTCGTTTTAGTATCTGCTTGGGGGAAATAGTACAGGCCGACATTGCGATCAACAAATGCTGTCGTAAACTTGAGGGAATAAATGATTTGAAGGGGTGTGTTGAAATGAGAGTGGGAGATGAGAGACCGATGAGATGAAGAGCAGCGACAGAGAAGTGTTATCGGCGCGGGAAGGTGGTATTCGTAGGCCAAGTGAAGGAACACGGGGGATTCCCTCATGGAACAGGAGTTTTCCTGCCACCACCACTTTATTGAATACTAGAACCCAATTATCAAAGAACTTGCCGGGTTGGCAGAACCAGCGGCATATCCAGTACATAATCATATGATTGTCATAATTAACACCTGTTGTAGCAGTATACAAGTGAATAACCAACGTAACAATGATATCGGAGAGTCCACAACTCGCTACGCAAAAGTACGCTCCTCCTCGATAGCCCTGTTGATGACACGCACAAAGCGTCCAACTTTATCCGTATCCTGCTTGGCTGTCTCAATACCCAGAAGAACCTTTTTCACACCCACCCCAATGGATCGGTCGTCCGAAATACCCCCAATGCTCGCCAGCACCTGTCCGACTTCCTGTTCGTCGAATGCGCCAGACTGCTCCAGAATGTGTTTCAACTCGTCATATGTCATAACATTCGGTACCATAATGTCAGCATTGAAGGAATTGTATACATCCAGCTGCTTCAGCACGGCTCGCTCCGTCGAAGTTGCTAGAATCAAAAGTCGCCGACCCTTGTTCGGCTGCTTCTTCAAGAAGACCATCAAGGTCTGCAAAATCGTATTGCTGAAGCGAGGCCCGATAGGAACCCACTCAATGAGTCTCTCGATGTTATCAACAACGACAACACTTGTACGACTCTTGTATGCATCATCAAAGATCTTGCTGATATGCTGGACCTTGGCCATCTCGCTGAAACCAACCATATCCTCGGGGCTGATCAGTTTGATGAATGGGAAGCCAGAATCGATGGCAATCCGAGCTGCGAGGGCAGTCTTGCCACTTGCGGGGGGGCCATGGAGCAGTACTGAGAACAGGGGCGAGGATTCAGCATTGCTGACTTGTTTTACAAACAATTCTCCCTCCTTTAGAATTTCATTAATGACGGGCGAAAAGTGCATGATGCCATATTGGATACGGCTTGAAAGCTCTTCTTCAGAAACACCAAATGCGGGTTTGACCTCATCAAGCGCATGGTGGAAATCAGACCGGTTGACCTTCATGTTCACGACATCGTCACTGATGCTGGCCATCGTTCCGACCTTGATATGCCGGGAGAATGCAAAGGAAGATGCGGACTTGACAAGACCAGCAATTTCAGCACCAGAGAAGTTCTTAGTCATTAGAGCCAGCTCGGGTAGGTCAACATCATCGTCCATGACGTTGTTATCCCGCATTTTCTGGGTGTGGATCTTGAGGATCTGGGCTCGACCCGACTCGTCAGGAAGAGAGATCTCCATATGAACTTCGAGACGACCAGGACGCAACAGTGCTTCGTCAATCATGTCCTTTCTATTGGTCATACCAATGAGCAGAATGTTGTTCAGCTGATCAACACCATCAAGTTTCGAGAGCAATTGGTTCACCACGCTATCACCGACACCAGTACCACCACCCGCTCCACTGCCACGCTGCTTACAGACAGCATCCAGTTCATCAAAGATGATAATGTGGAGGCCGCTTTCTTCGCCCTTCTCCTTGTACTCCTTTTCGGCATCTGCAAATAGTTTTCGGATGTTCTCTTCGGATTGACCAACGTACTTGTTTAGTACTTCCGGTCCGTTGATGACCTTAGGTTCCCTGGCATTCAACATCTTTCCGATTTGTCGAGCAATCAATGTTTTACCCGTTCCCGGAGGACCGTATAGCAGGATGCCCTTGACGTGTTGCAGTCCGAGCTTTTCCACCAGTCCTGGAGGGAAAATACGAGAGGCAAACGCACGACGGAATATGGTGCTAAATTCCGAATCAAGACCACCGATCCCCATATTCTCGAACTTGAAATCAGGTTGGATGATAGAGTTGGCTGCTGGCCGGCGGTTCGAAGGCTTCATGTTGATACCGGTACGAGCATCCTTGAAGAAGTTAATCTGAGAGTGCCTAGTAAGGATACCTCTCGCCGCAGGATCCGTCTCGACACTTCCTCTGTTAGGATCAGGTGTCTCAGAAGACAGGTCAACTCTCTGGACGGTTTTGACCGTCAATAGAAGAGGAATACTCCGATGGTCCATGAGGATCTTCTGACCGGGAGCAAAAATTTGGTTTTCGAAGTTCTGTGTTTATCAGATGCTGCACATTTCTTGACGGAAGACAAAAAGCCCTACCTTGATCACAGCACTTCCCAACTCATCTTGATCGTAGGGAGTCTCGACTCTCTTTTTCCCCGCAAATCCCACCTCGATATCTGTAGAACCGACGTATGCCTCTCCGCCCTGACTGAAGGGGTCGTAAATCTGGACCTTGACGGTGTCCGTGAAAGCGACACCGGCCCATGTTCGCTGGGGATCCGACATGCTGATGTGGCCCGGAGGGAACCCGTCGAGCGGACGTGCGGAGAAGACATAGAGGTCGTTGATAAGAAGTAGGAGATCGTGTCCATCGCGGGAGGGTGGGAAATCCTGGGTGGAAACGGCAACCCTGCGCACAGTTAGAGTCGACAATCAAGAAAGCTCTCGCATCCTGACATACAAGTTTCCGAATGTATAAACATTATCCGGACTCTTCGCAGGGCGCAGCGTCCATGCTCGGCCTGAGCTTACAGGCTTCTCGCCGACCGGATTCCTTGGAGGCATTTGCGGGGGTCTTCCCATAGACTGCGGCGGAGTTCCGTATCCTCCGGGACTAAGTACCCAGTGAATCAGCCACCCTATCCTTATAGTTCGCGAGGGTGAGGTTCATATTCATACCTTGCACCCGACCTAGGTGGGTAAGGAGGTTGTCCCTGGCTTGGGGTGGAATAACCGTCACCTCGAGAGGGGCGAGAGCCGAAAGGATTAGGCACAGAAGGATAGTTGTTGCGGTTGAACATCTTCAATCGAAGGAGCGTAGGCGTGTAAGACGCAGATTATAAGGATATGCAGTCAATTCCGAGCCGAAAGGCAAATGCGGGTTGAGCGTGGGGGAGGGCGAGGCGATGCGATGCGATGCTATGCTGCCGGCAGCTGTTGCGTTAAGCAAGTGATCAGACGACCCAATAATTACTAGTACTAGATAGTATATGAGCAAGAACGCAATAGCTGATGGCAGGAAGTTGGCCGAAGAGGCGAGAATAAGGAGAGTGAGAAGAAGTGGCGGCTTTGAGAGTTGGTTGGGTTGGGTTGGGTTGGGGGGGAGCTCCGTTCGCGACACATGGACGCAAGTGAGGCTTAGGCAAGGTACCCTGACTTAGCTTGCCCCATCGATCGGCCCGCCCCCCTCCGTCAGTCCGTCCTCACCGATGACGCTACCCTCGAGCACCTGTTATCCTGGAAGCTTGACGTGTCTAGTCCTGCCAGGGAATTTGTTGTTCAAGATGCCTCTGTCAGTCAAAACTCCCGTTCCTGTTCTGCCATGCTTGAATACTTACAAATCGTCTCGTCCGCAGTCACCTCCTCGGCAAGAAGTCATGGAATGTCTACAACACAGGGAACATCGAGCGCGTTCGGCGCGACGAAGCCCAGGCAAAAGCCCGAGAGGAGGAAGAGGAACGTCGTATGCAGGAAGTTGATGCTGATCGAAGGATTCAAATACTCCGCGGCGAACGGCCTTCGACGCCACCTCCGCCGCCCTCAGCACCATCCGCCTCCCAACCAGACCGGAAAGCCTACACCGATGATACAGGACGATCGCGGAAAAGAAGACGCCTAGCAGGGGAAAATGACACCGACAGGGACATCAGGGTTGCGCGGGAAAACGCACAGTCAGCACTGGTTAGGCGGGAACAACAAGCCCCCGCACGTTCGAGTGATGCGCCACTTCACGATAGTACTGGCCACATTGATCTGTTTCCTTCAGAGGCGAAGCACAAGCCCGTAGAGAAGAATGCAGAAGCAGAGAAAGAAGCGGCAGAAAAGCGGCGAGGCTACGAAGATCAATACACGATGCGATTCTCCAACGCGGCGGGTTATCGACAACCCGTGGGCCAAGCCCCGTGGTATTCGTCTTCGCAGCGTGAGGGTATAGATCTTGAATCTGCGTTAAGCAAGGATGTCTGGGGAAATGAGGATCCCCTGAGGAGGGAGAGGGAGAAAGCTCGCATGAACGTCAATGACCCGCTCGCGGCCATGAGAAAAGGTGTTCGCCAGCTGAAGGCGGTTGAACAGGAAAGAAAACGGTGGAATGACGAACGGAATCGAGAGTTGGAAGCTCTGAAAATGACCGAAAAGCGCCGGTCTTCTCACCGCAGCAGGAGATCGCCGTCTAAGGACAGCCTCCAGGACTTCAGGCTTGATTCTTTCCCAGATAAACACCGGGACGCTCAGGATCGGAGATCTCATCGGCATCATCGACCTCGCAGAGATAGAAATCGAGATCGTTCGCATCGACGAAACTCTCATTCTGGTTCACGCTCCCAGCGCTCTCACCATGATCGTCACACCCGACGTGAGGATACCGGACGCCATGATGAAGAACCCAGACCGAGACATAAGTGATCATTACTTGTACTCAGTGGCACTGCTCGGCTGGTTACCGTTTATGAAAGCCCGCCCTGGGCATATGATACGAACTAAAACTACCCAAGGTATGGTTATGCTTCTAGTTTTGGATTGAAGTGGGTAATGACCCTGAGGTGTGTGAAGAACACTATAAATATATATGCTCACTGCAGTCCCCACTTCTGGGCACCCTTTTCAGTTTCCTGCGCTTCCCATTCGATGGTAATATCCAAGGAGCGTGATTTCTCCGACTTTTTCTGATAACCGACCTTTCCAGTGATAGTCTGTCCCTTCTTCAAGGGCACACCTCTCTTCTTCTCGCGGTCAACGAGAAGGACAGCCTGTTGCCAGTGCGTCTCGGTGCCATAGGGCCCCGTGGTGAAGGCGACAATGCCCTTCTTCTGCATTTCGGAAGGAATGGCATCGTCTGCAATGGGGGACTCCCTCGAGGGCATGAAGAAAATGTCGAACCAGACGGTCCAACCATCCAGCGAGTCAATGTCTTCATTGAGCGTGACCTGAAATTCTTTCAGGAATGACAGCTCATCGACGGTGATGGTGTGTAGAGGAAGGGGAAGGAAGACGGCAGAATCGCCAGGAATCGATGACGGCGGCACGGTACGGACCAAAGCCTCATCGTATATACCCGTGAGCATGCTGCTCATATTGAAGCCGTAAACACTCTTCCAGAATGAGATGTGGTTGGAGATGAACTCAGAGTCGGCGAAAGGCGCAATACGGAGCGTAGCGTGCGATGGGACCATGAGTCCTCCCGGGGCGAGATACCGATCCCGTGCGTAGATGACCGAATCGAACATGGCCTCAAACAAAAGGCCATAGCCCATCCATTCAGAAATGATGATGTCAACCTGCTGGACAGGCAGGGTAACTTCCTCAATCTTACCGCGGACGCACCTAGAAATTCAAATGTCAGTTACTCAATCCGTTGATATCGAAGATACTGCGGGCATACGTTATAACATCACCGAAGCCATTCTCATAGATGATTTCCTTGGCCCTATCGATAATGTTGGAATTATCGACCGAGATGACCTTTTTCGCACCAGCCTTGGCACAGAACATGGACAGAATTCCAGTTCCGCAACCAACATCAAGGACGACCTTATCCTTGAACACATGCTTGTTCTCGTACACGAAGTCACGATAGGCGTCAGTGCGGATGGCATCCTTGAGCATGGACTCGTGAATTGCTAGAGAGGCAGCGCGTTAGTAAAAGAGACCAACACCCAGAGGGTCAAGGAAGCCATACCGTTGTAGGCATAGGACGTGAAGTAGTCCGCGTCTGCTTCTTCAATCTTGCTAGCGGCCTTTTGTGCCGACAGAACGCTTGGGGAAGTACCAAGCTTCTCATCCTCCTTGGCTAATTGTTCTTCCATCGACTTCTGTACGGCCTCTCTGTACTCAGAGAACTGGGTTTGAAGGCGTTCCAAGTCCTCCTGGAGCTCGATGACACGTCTCTCAGCATCGGTACCGCCAGCCGTTTCGGGCGTCTCGTCTTCAATGTCATCCAGACTGTAGAGAAGAGCATCGTCCTCCAATACAGGCTTCAGATAAACTTCATCGTCGAACTTGTCCGCGGAAGAAACGTCGGGAGACATGTTTCCCTCCTTCACCTGAGTCCGGACGTAGTTGACCAATTTAATAGTTCCCAGGAAATCCAAGTCTGATAGCAGAACGCAAATTGATATGTGTTAGCCATGGTATAAATCGTGGTATCATCCAATAGAGATCGTCCGGGCCTGAGCAGCGGATGAAATATCAAATGCTAAATCCAATACAATTGACTACACACCGAGCTCCTTTTGAATCCTCCGCAGGTCAAAATTGTACTTTTCTTTGGTCTCCTTCAGCATTACCCGCACGTCGGAGTAGACTTTGTCGGAGAACAAGCCAACGACAGGCTGGGTCTCGTCATCGGGTTCAACGTCTTCCCAGCCTTCCTCATTGCTAACTTCCGAATCGTCGGAAGATATGGAGCGTGCATCGTTGTCGATGGGCAGACGCTCCGAGGGGAGGGCGGAAGCAGACATGGTGCGGCTGCGGGGAAACAAAACCAACTGAAGCGGTTTCTCATGGGATGAATGGGGCCGGGTTCGGTTTTCTAAATCTCGACCGAACGGGGCAGATTCGACGGTGCCGTCAGTATTATGATCAACGCGAAACGAAGACGTCCAGTCCGATAGCTACCGAGAATCAGGTACAGAGAGGGACGTGAGGAGGGGTTGAGGTCGAGAATCCCGCCGGAAAAAAGTTAAAAAATGGAAAAAATAGAAAAACTCGGAAAAGGCAGCCCCGCCGGCAGGAGGATTTGGCGACTTTGTTTATCCACCTGACGGGCCCAGAACTGCGATACGCTACGCAGATAACCGCCTGAGGCCAGCGGCTTCCCCGCCAACAGCGTCACCGCTTCCCTCCAAGGAGATCGGACCAGACGGCTCTCGCTCGCTCGCTCGCCCGTCAAACTACTACCCTCGGAGATCGTGGTTGCTGCCACTGAGAGTCTGTGGAATTCGGTATGTCGGGGTTGCTATCCGTTGCATGTCTCTTGTGCTAATCTGCCGCCTTGATATATAAAGACTCAACATCACGCCGCCTTCATACGTTATTTGGGTTCCGTTGCCGATCCAAACAGCCATGGCTTTCTTCTTCAACCGCGGCCGATCACGCCAGCCGTCTGATATTGCCCGATCAATCAAGGAGCTCTTGGTGAGACTTCGGGAATCACCAACAACTGCCAAGGTCGGTCCCTTCGCTCTGCCTTGTTCACGTTCACTGCGCCCGATAAGCAACCCGAAAACAAAGAACCGCCCACTGAATCGGAACCCCTATAGGTTGAGGATGAATTAGCAAAACAACTATCTCAGATGAAACTGATCGTTCAGGGTACTCAAGGTATGTTTGACTCACACTTTCTCTCCAATCGCCCTGTTTGTGCAGCGCGGGTGCGAGAGCAGAGATACTTCCCGCATGGATTGACTGACGTGGGCTCTGTTGTAGAAATCGAGGTATCCCCTGAGCAAGTCCAAGCATTAGTACATGCCACCCTTCAAGAAGACTTGCTCTACGAACTAGCTCAAGGTCTCCATCGTCTCCCGTTCGAGGCCCGGAAGGACACGCAGACCATCTTCTCACATATCCTTCGATTCAAGCCCGTCAATGCAACACATGCCGACCCTCCCGTTATCTCATACATTGTCCATAAACGACCCGAAGTTATCATCGAACTGTGCAATGGTTATGAGCATAGTCAAAGTGCAATGCCATGCGGCACTATCTTGCGAGAAGCGTTAAAATTCGACGTTATTGCGGCGATCATTCTCTATGACCAGTCGGAAGAAGGGGAGCCCGCGATCCGACTTACAGAGGTCCAGCCTGGCGTGCCACAAGAAGGAAATGGTATATTCTGGAGGTTCTTTTACTGGATTGACCGAGGCAGCTTTGAACTGAGCGCAGATTCATTCACAACATTTAGGGTGAGAAACCCTGCTCACCTCTCGAACCGTACCGTTGGGTGATGCTAACAAACCCACAGGAGATCTTGACCCGCCACAAATCCATCGTGACTGGCTATCTAGCGACAAACTTCGATCGCTTCTTCTCCAAATTCAACGAAGTACTTGTACAGTCCAGTTCGTATGTCACTAAACGACAGAGCATCAAGCTTCTAGGAGAGATTCTGCTTGATCGGGCAAACTACAATGTGATGATGGCCTATGTTGAGAGTGGCGAAAACCTCAAGCTGTGCATGAAGTTGCTGCGGGATGACCGGAAGATGGTCCAGTACGAGGGATTCCACGTTTTCAAGGTATGTGGGCAGAGTTCAGCTTAACGGTTTGCAATTATGCATGCCTCTGACAATGAAAATAATTCAGGTGTTTGTTGCAAACCCGAACAAATCGGTACCGGTGCAGCGAATCCTGATCAACAATCGTGATCGGCTGTTGAAGTTCCTACCAAGGTTCCTGGAGGATCGGACAGACGATGATCAATTCACCGATGAGAAGAGTTTCCTAGTGCGTCAGATAGAACTCCTACCCAAGGAACCAATTGAACCAGCACGGTCCGCACGCGAAGGGTCTCGATCTGGTATCAACACAGCTGCGGTGGCCTGAGATCAAGGTGGTACGACCATTGGCTAGGGACGGACAATCATCGATTCTCATGAGCGATTATACTCTTCCCCCTGCTTTCTTTTGTGGACTAGGAATGGGCGGATCTGCGTGGAGGGGCCGTGTGCACTGGGTGTACGCTTGGCCTCTGGGTCTTGCATTGAAGGACAGCTGGATTCTGGCCTTCTCGGAGTTAACAGTGGGAGTCGATATCTAAGGGCAAATTAGGTTTGATATGAAACCTGGAAACCGGCGGAAGGAGAAGGGCACTCAGCGCAAGAGGATAAAGGAAAACCAAAAAAAGGGAACCAGTCCTTGCATGTAAGTAGACCGGATGTAGATAGGTAATCAGGGAAGTGGAGCAGAGCGTTTGAGGATATACTATATACACAGTGAGTTAAACCTGTTCTTGATTCTTCACCTCGGTCAAGGGGCGCTGCTCAGGACATCCTCCTACCTACCTATCTACTACCTAGTCACGACTCAATCGATACTAGTGACGTTGCCCGCTTTCCCCTTTTCCCAGCCAGTCCCCCTGATGTCACACCCTCCATCACAAAAAGAAAAGGGAATTTAAGGAAGAAAAAGATAAGAAGAAAAAAAGAAGGAAAAAAAGAGATCAGCCAAGAAATAAAAAAATGTATTGGAACGAACAGTATGTCTGTGTGTGCGCATCAGATCCATGCTGGGAGCCCCAATTTCCAGCCGGGGTGGTGTGTGCGCAACGAGGGGATCAACCGTCAATCCTCGCTGGCAAACCGTTAGGCACGGAATTTCTGCCAGGCCCACGATAGAGGAATGAAGAATGATGGGGCGCAATTCCACGAACTCGCGAATTGACGGGCGTCTGGGCGACGGAGGAGGTACTATTCTTGTCTGGCGACGCAAAGTTAACCGTGTAAAGATCCACTGCTGCGTGGCCCTTCCGAGGAATTAAATGATTAAATGATACTAAATTAATTCGATAGTGGATCGCAAGCCCCCTTCGCGATCCCTGCCTGGAGTTGGGTGAAGAAGAAAGAGCCAGCGTCGTAGGCGTCGTCGAGTTTTCTATTTACTAGTCAGTTGGTAGTTGGTTGGTACCTAGTAGGTACCTACTCCGTACCTAGTTCAGTCGTACCTACCAGGACGAGGAGAAATCTCCCTAATGCAACACGACGGGAGCTGAGATTCTTCTCCATTCCTCTCTCCCGCTCTCTTTCCTTCGTCCTCATTCTTATCAGCCAGATAACCTCATCGTGACCACATTCCTTAATCCCCATCTCCTCGAATTCCTTTGCAGCCAGCGACCAGAGCCCAAGTGCCGCGGTCCAGCCCTCTCTCCTCTCCGTTTCTCGCTCTCTCCCTCTCTCCCTCTCTCCTCTTCTCCCACCGTTGGGGGCGGCCATGGTTTGCTACGCAGGAGACCTCTTTCCCCCCGTGTCGTTCATTCTCCGTCGTGTGACCGTTTAATTTTTATCTTAATACTATTCCAAATCTTAATCAATCGCATCGAGAACCCCCTCGGCGCCAGATTCCCATCCCAGATCCGTTCCTTTGTCGCTCCAACTCTCCCCGCCTCTCCCTCCCTGTCCCTCCCTCCTTCGCTCGCTCCCTCCACACCCCCCCCTTGGTTGCATCTTGCACCACCGCATCGCCCGGAAGCCTCAAAAGGCCTTCTTTAATCAGCTGCAGCCCATACCCCCAAGTGAAGGCATAAGCCATGCCAGGATAATGGTGGAAACGCGTTCCGCTTCTATACCTGCCGCCATCATGTCCGACTCCGCCTCCACTATTCAAACCGTTCCCTACGACGAAACCATCGCTGCGACTGCTCCTGTGGCCGTCCGATCTGCCTCGTTCCCAGTTCCAGTTGATTGTGCTTCGTGCTCGGAGGGAAGATCACACAGCGCATCGTCCGGGGGTGCTTGGGATCAGTCAGGACCCGCGCTGTCGCAACAAAATACGAGATCGCTGCGGAATCGATTCATTGCCTTGCCAGAGGCCGGGGCCTCGACGGTGAGCTTGCGCTCGCTGCGCAATAGCATCCCTAGTATCATCGTCAATGACGCCGCCTCTCGCCCTGTTTCCCGTCCAGGTTCTCGGTGGTCGGAGCGCAGATGGGGTGGTCTGAGAAACAAGAAGTCGGGAGAGTTTGATCGGGATGAAGACGATACACCCCCTGTGCCTCCTATCCAGGCCCCATTCAACGGGATACCCCTGGATATTCCGAACTCCGCGCTCGATGGCCTCGGGACGCAATCCATGCGGTTCTCCAAGCGCGGGAGTCTCATCCAGGAGGAGTCGAAACGCCAACTACAACAGCAAATCCAACAGGAGGAGGCAAGACGACGAGAAGCGGGACAACGAACCCAGAACAGGGAGGACCAACAACAGCAGGTGCCCGCTGAGAGGGAAATGGCATCCCCTGATGTTGCCTCGGAGCAGAACAGCACAGAGCCGGAGAATATGGAGGCGCCCCCGAGGCGGTCAAAGCCTGCATCGACCCTGCGCGTCAGACACAGTGCCATTGCAAGCAGAGCCATCTCTGCGGACGAAGATATGCTGTCGCGACGGGTACGGCTCATGTATGAGAAGGGGGAAGAAAATGTGACGGACTCGGAGGTCGCAAAGTCAATGGCCATGGAAAATGGTGTGTTGTGGGAAGATGGCCCGACCAGCATGGAAACCTCTCGTCTCTCTGGACCCAGTATATCAGGTACCGATACAAAGAGTGTGGTGTCATCTCTCGGCCCAGACAATACCCCAGCCATCAAAAGAGAGGCCCACGAGCTGGCTGGCGGCATCGAGTATTGGCAGAATATCAAGGCCGGTGATGTAGATCGATACGGTTTCATCCGTTCACCGACGTCCAACTCCACCGAAGGCATCGACCCCAGTCCGATCCAGCGGGTTTCTACCAGCCTCCTTCTGGCTTCCGAGACACCTCGTCGAAAACATTCCATCCGCCCCCCATCGGCTATTGGGGGCAATCGCTCTTTTACAGGCCTTACAGGCCGGTCTCCAACGCGGAAGTTGTCGGAGCCTTCGATACGGCCAACTTCATCTCACAGCATGTATAGTTCGTTTATGATGCGACGGTCAACCTCACGGTTTCGTCGGGCGGCCAACCACCTGCCTCATAATCGTGATCGTCGCGTTAAGGATGAGGCGAGCGATATGCTCACTCACCCAACAGGTCCTGTAACCCCTGGCGAGAAACAGGATGCAGCTGCCGCCCGCGCGGCGAGGAAAAAAGAGTGGGAGAGAGAAGATAAATGGACCAAGATGGCTCGGCCGATAAGGAGCCCAGATGGCGGTGGCATGACGTTCGAGTTTGACACGACCAGCTCCAAGCTGATTGAACGGACATGGAAAGGCATCCCTGACCGATGGCGAGCAACCGCCTGGTACGCTTTTCTGAAAGCTAGCGCCAGACTTCACAGCAATAGCCCTTCTGAAGAGGAGCTTATCGAAGCGTTCAATGAGTATCAATTGATTTCGTCGCCAGATGATGTCCAGATCGACATTGACGTCCCGAGGACCATCACCAGCCACATCATGTTTCGCAGACGGTATCGCGGAGGCCAGCGGCTACTATTTCGCGTGCTCCACGCGATGTCCCTGTACTTCCCCGACACAGGATACGTCCAGGGCATGGCCGCCTTGGCTGCAACTCTTCTTGCCTACTACGACGAGGAACACGCATTCATTATGCTCGTCCGACTGTGGCAATTGCGTGGCCTGGAACGTCTCTACCAGTCGGGGTTTGCAGGCCTCATGGAGGCCCTAGGAGATTTTGAACGAGAGTGGTTGGAGAAAGGAGAGGTTGCTGCCAAGCTGGTAAGGAATCCGACTAACCATCCCCCTCTACTTTCTGTATACGGGAATCTAATAAGATCAGAACGAAATCGGGATTCCTCCCACAGCGTATGGCACCCGGTGGTACCTGACCTTGTTCAACTATTCCATCCCATTTCCCGCCCAGCTCCGCGTCTGGGACGTATTCATGCTCCTCGGCGATGCCGACGACCTCACGGTGCCCGGCTCCTCGGGCAAAGGGAGCAAGAAAGAGGCACCTACCAGTGCCTTCGGGAACGGGCTCGATGTCCTCCACGCGACTTCCGCCGCTTTAATCGATGGGATGCGCGACATCATCCTGGAATCCGATTTTGAGAATGCCATGAAGGTTCTCACCAGCTGGGTCCCCATCAAGGACGTAGAGCTATTCATGCGGGTCGCCAAAGCAGAGTGGAAAGTTCACCGTCGGAAGAAGTCGTCTTAGTGATTCGCTCTACTACACTACCGAAGCCTCAATGAAAGGCAACCACAAAAACATGGTGTGACATGATGATATACTCCACAGCGTGGACTTCATCCCCACCATCCATCATACCCAGATCCATATTCACTTCTATAATAAATCCTTACACTCGCCCACTAACCGCCAATATAATCTTCTCGGCTCTTTCAAACAGCCTATCTATTTGGCTTACGAAGGATATCCTTACGATTCAACCAGACGATTCTTCATGATTGAACAAAAGTCGTTTTGTTTGTGTCTTTCATTCTTATACTATTCTTCCACCTCTTTACTCGACTTACTCATCTATTTCATGGACGTGCTTTTCATTAACGGCTCTCACATCACGATATCACCATCTACTGATCGACATCAACTTTTCAGTCGACTATGAAAGAACCCCATACATATACAAACTCATCCACACCCTCACTTCAGCATTAATCCCTATTCTTAGGGCTTTCTTTCCCTCGTGGCCTCCAGACTCTCTATGCATCTAATATTAATTAGATGCAATAGCAGGAGCACCACCACTTGGAGCGAAAGAAGACCTCGGGCTTCGTTGCTCTTCTGCACAGTCCATCCGAACCCGACGCAGGAGTCCATACAGTGGCGATGGGTGGTTGACCATTAATTGACATGAGGATGTCCTGCCCTGTTTACTTCCATACATACGTTACTTACACTTGTCTGCTGATTATTATAATTACCGCGTCTACACCAACCAACCATCATTCACACCTTCACACCATTTCCTTGTTGTCTGCTGTCCTTTCCTCTTCTTTTCCTTTGGCTTGTTCTGTTATACTACGCCACGCCATACCATACCATACCACATTACCCTGCTGATGTCAACTTTACTTACCTATGTATTAGGTACCAACTACATACTTAATCCCTTGTTGGCTCTGATACCCATTCATTTCACGGCTGTTGATTTCTTCTCTTTGTCCCGTCTCGACTTACTTCCTGGTCTATCTTTCGTGCCGTGCCTATTTGTCTGTGTTATCTTCTCTTTTGGAATGTGGTAGACACATCCCATCCCATCCCATCCCATTTCGAGGACTGTTCATTCTATCAGTCTATTTATCTTCCCGTGACCTATGCAGCTAGCCCCTTGTCTACTAGATTCTCATCTGTAATAATACATAATTGCCCGGATAATAAACACCGTAGTTTGTATCAAATCACAGTCGAACTTTGGCAACACGTCGAATGTATCGACATGCTGGATGAAACTCCTCTGTATAATTTCACGTCCACTCTAGCAAGGCTAATCACGCACAGGGGTATCAATATCTATCCCAAGACTTTTCACCAGTCCCGTCAGCACAGCTGTAGGACGACGAAGCTCACAAATACACCAGATTCCTGGAAACCGCCGCGATCCAGTCGAGGGTTGACCTATGCGTGAATATGGTGTACGAAGAAGAAGAAACGAAAAGGACATGACGAGTACAAAGAGCAATGGTATCAGCTGGAAATCCAATTATGATTGGAGTAAAGAGAGAAAAGGCGGGAACGGGGAAGTAGAATGTGTGATAGCCTTTGCTGCGGCTGTCGCTCGGCTCTAGCTTTCCTCACGCAAGTTGTTGATGCGGAAGGGCAAGCAAGAGTGCAAGTCAAGACGTTACTTTCAATTGTTGACAAGCCTAGAATGGGAGATCAAGATAATGTTCAGCAAAGAGAGGAACAGATCTTAATCTCTCAAAGCAGAATCGGGCTCTTTGGGCTGCAATAAGGTTTTCGTTGCTGGAGAACATGCAGGACTAGTCCGAGGCTCGAAAACAGAGGTGCCGGTCTCGCCAAGTTGTACTCGCGATGTACGGGGTGAAGTGACACGGCCTGCAGACGTAGCTGTCTCTTCAGGTCGTTCCAGATCATCTTGTTCCTTCAAGCTCGCATAATCCGCAGTCTCGCGTTCTGGAGAATTGGCCGGGCTTGGTCTTCGACTGGTGCCCTCGCGTATTACCTCCCCTGCAGGAAAGTGGTACGAAGGCGATGCATCGCTCGGCCTTGGGAGAGCGCGATGAGAATGTGTCGGCGGTGTTGCTTGCTGGGGATGGTCTCCTGGAGCTGGCGACCCTTGCCGGGATGTCTGTGATGAGCTAGGGAAGAACTCAGGGATGCGAGACGATGGTAATGGCGCCGGGTGGTGTGGCCCGGGGGCCTTTCTCTTTCGTCCTGGAGAGTTATGAATTTCTAATCGACGGGGCTCCTGAACGGGCCCCGGGGACTCCTGTCGGGCTCTCCCCGGTGGCGCATTGCCTGGCGGTTGGGCTGGAGGAACCCAATGGTGGAAATACAGGGATGGTGGTGACTGGCGTGTTGAAGATTCCAACTTTCCTGGTAGCGGCTGAGTTGATGGGATCGACGACCCCGGGGCGTAGTGCAGGTTGCTCAGATTGATGGACGGCGGTGGTTGGAGTTGCGACTCCCTATGATTCATCCGGGGGATAGCTGGCACGGGAAAGCGTGGGTCGGCGGGGCCATTGCCTAGCGATGGCCGACCGAGCGGTTGCGGGGTAGGGGAGGCTCCAACGGCGTGCAACGGCTGGGACAGCAGCACTCCCGGAGGGGGCACTGTCGGATGGTGCGCCGGCGGGGCAACATACGGATTCGGAGGAACGGTGCGGGAGTCTTGACGAACATGTGTGGACCGGCGTTGGACATGGGGATGTGCGTGAGACAGAACAGGCATTTGGGGAGCCGAGCCGCGAGCTCCAGAGGCTTGAACCAGGAATTGTTGGGTGAGTTCCAAGATCGACGGAGGCAGACCGCCGGGACTGATGCCAGCAAAGATGAGCGGAATCATCTGGGGCGGAACCCCTGCCTGCAGTGAATCACGGAGCATGCTTTGCTCAACTCTCCGCTGTTCGAGCCGGAGAGTCTCTTGGCGTGTCTTTTCTTCTTCTTGCTTCCTCCGGTCCTCCTCGGCTTTGGCCTGGAGCCACTGTCGCATGGACTCATCTGAAGTCTGCCATTGGCCCGGGGGCGGCGGCAGTGGCTGATTCATAGGGCCCCTGGTCACATTGGCGAAGCCCACACTGGGCGGGGGCAAGGTCAGCGAGGCGGGAGGTGGCAGTCCGGAGCGCGAGGAGTCCATGGAGCGGTCCGTCGAGGGTCTCGAGGGTGCGGTGGCCGCCGGCAGGTCAGGCACGGGGGGCGGGGAAGACCGTGGGGTTGGAACGGACTGGCGGACGATTGAATACTCATGAGGACCTTTGACACCGTTCTGGGAGGGGGGCTTCAGCGTGAGCAGCATATTCTTTCTAAACAAGCTCAATTGAGCCGGGGGAGTGGAAGGAGCGGTCAAGAAGCCAAGGTCAATGAAAGGGAGTGAGAAACAGAAGTAGAATTAACAGCATGAACTAGAAGCGATAGGCAGAAAGATAAGATAGATCGCGATGGATCACCGCTCCACCGGGTCAAAACCAGATGATCGACAACCATATACATGAAGGAAACGGGAGCGATTGCGTCAGGACAGCCCAGGGGATATGGGGAGTAGAGGATCGATGCACGAAGGCATCTTCTTGGGGGGGGCGGAAGGAAGAGGAGGGAGACAAAAAGTGTAAGCAGTACTAGTAGCAGGTAGATGACGAGAGCCAGACCGGATCAGATCCGATCCGATAAGAGTGTTGCAGAGGGCAGTGGCTTAGATAGCAGGACAAGCTCTGCGAGATGGTGAAGAAAGAGAATCAAGTGGCAAGTGAGATCGAGAAGAAAGAGAGGACGAGAGAGAAAGAAAGAGAAAGAGAGAAGAAGGGCATCGCAATCGCCCAAACAGGGAAGCACCCAAACAGGAAGGACACACTTACCCAATCCAGAATGGTCCCCGCACGCTCGAATCGGATCGGGAAGCCACAGACGGGCGAGGAGGGCCTGAGGACGTAAGGCCGGGAAAGAGGTGCCTGGCGGTGCCTGAGGGCCAAGAAAGGCGAACGAACAGGAAGTAGAATGTAAATAAACTGTCCCGTCAGACACTATCGGCCACTGTCAGACAGCAGACCAGCAGAAACTAGTACTCCGTAATCAAATCAAATCAAATCAATCAATCCACCACCTATCGATCTGTCTATATAGATATTAGATACCGGTGCCTCCTCGATCGGAACTCCATGCGCCAAGTGGATTCCATTGCGTATCGGGGGCGTTGGTGATGACGACGAACGGGAGTCGCGACTCGTCATGCTTTGGATCCCACCACTGCCACCAGCGCCAACGGACCACTATCGAGTGCTCTTTTGGGCCGTCCCATTCCCAATGCGAGGGTCCCCTAATCTCCCACGTAATATCACTGCCCGTGATTCCTCCCCAATCGCTGGCCGGCCGGCCGTGGAGCGGGCCAGGGCCGTTCCTGAACGGCCTGGTCCAGGGCTTTCGCCTATCAAAGTCTAGATGCCGGGCTTCATTGGCCCGCCGTTTCATCTCCGTCTCGTCCCCCCTCCCGCCCTCTTCCAGTAACCCTAATGCCCATCACTATCTCCTCCACATTGTCGGCCGGCCCATCAGACCACCTCTGGCCCGGCTTATCTTACGCGCATCGATCGCTCCATCGGGCTCTTCTATCTCGTTGATTCGTGATGCTCCTTGGCCCCCGCGCTTAGCTACGTAACGTAACACAACTATCCATCGACTGGGCGCCAGATGGGAAATCCGTTTCGCTTCCAACATGCTCGGCAGATCAAAAAAAACCTATATACTAGAATGAAATCCCAGGGTATCCCGTTTCGCAAACCCCGTCACCGTCCTTCTGCCCCGGTCCCTCCGCCTAGCTATCGCGGTCGAACCGACTCAGCACTTCCGGAGGTACCGTCGGTATGTATTTGCGCGCGCGTTCTCGGTTGGTGCCGCCCCAACCCGCCCCATAACTAATCAGCATATCGGTGCTCGTGGGCAATGAGAACGGAAGCGTCAGAGACGGGTCCAGGAATACATTGTTACTCCGCTCATCCATCCAGGCTGAAGGGCCCGGTCGCGGAGACGTCACGCTCGAACCAGGGGATGCCACCGACGCCCGCGTGGAGGCCTCGGGGGAGGCGGCTGCCTCGGAAGCAATTGATGCGGGAGGGGTCTGTGGACGTCCATCCGTTGGACCTGCCTCCTGCGCCGTGGCCTTTTGCTTGGCCGCCTGGAGCTTCGCCTGCTCCCGAAACAGCAGCTCGGGATCACGTTGCAGGTCGATCAGGAATTTCATCGCCGGCTTAGTCAGACCCTTTTCCCCAACCTCGGGCCGATACGATTTGACCGCGTGCAAGAGTTGGGCTGGGGTTAATTGCTGCAGTTGTAGCAAGGTCGTGACGAGAGACTCAAAGTCATCCCCGAGCGACGAAAAGCACTGGAGCCACTGCAGGAGCTGAATCACCGGGGCGAGGTGCCGGCGCGCAGCTTCCATCGTGCTCTCTCCGGTGCTGCTTGTTGACCCGTTCTCGTAGTGTTCGGGTTGTCGGTTGTTGTTCCGGGCCCAATCCTCCAGGGTGGACACATTCATGCGGATTTGCATCGCCTTGGTCCGAGCCAGGTAGCGCTTGGTGGACATGATGCGGTTGAAGGTTTCAGCCCCGAGCCAATACAGGAGCTGGGAGATGATCTGCGTAGTGATGACGGAATGCACATCGTAGAGATCCAGGACAAAGAGAGTGGAGGAGAGGAGGGAGGTGATGTTGCGCGGTGAGACCTGTGCTCGCCGTCTTGGGGATGGGGGGCGGAAGCGCTTCTCCGCAGGCTCGGGGGCTTTGGCCTTGGATTTGGAACGGAACAGCTTCCACTCGTTCTGGAAGTGGACATCCTCCAGGCCAGGGATGGTTTCATGGTCCAGCATGGCCGCGTCGAGCACCTTGTTCATCCGACGCTCGGCATCGCGGATGATGAGGATAAATATTTCGTTGATCAATTCGGCCAGATGCAGCTGAAATTCTACAGTGGCTTCCACCAGCCCGCCATCTTTCTTCAGGTAATGTAGTAATAACGTGGCGTTCGACATCCAGAATGCGAGGATCGTCATATCCCACTGGTGGCGCTCAACGACATCATTGATCTTATCGGTGGCCGAAACGAGGAGCTTTGCAAGCAACTCGGGACTGGCGTGGTAATGAGCGTATCGAGCACTGAGGAAGAGCAGGTTGGCGGGGACGGGCTTTTGCGACGGTGATCGTTGCGGTGTCATGTTCGTGATGATGATGTTCAGGATCCGTTCTAGCTCGCTCTCCTGGAAGACAAACATCTGATCGTTCAGGCACCGATCCCAGACGAATTCTTGCTGCTCCTCTTCCAACTCGTCTTCATCCAATGACTATCATCGGAAACAAGCGTCACAATTAGCGTATTGACCTCGAACTCAGCGACGGCAACACTCACATCGAACTTCTCATCAAGCCCCAGGCTCGATAAATCCACTTCGAGGTTGATGGCGCTTTCCTCCATCATCATCCGCCGCTTCATCTCATTCTCTGCAATTTCCTCCTCAAAGCGACCGTGTCCGAATCCGGAGTCGTAAAAGTCGTCTTCAATAGCGCTCGGCCCGAAGTGATACCCATTCTCATGCAGATACTCGGAGATCTCGCTACCAGGTTGTGCAAAGTCAAATGCAGTTCCACCAGACGAGGACTTGATATCCGGAGACGCGCCGTGGTCGAGGAGGATCTTCGCGATTGTTTTATGTCTGTTCGTCATGGCCCACATCAACGCACTCCACTGATTCCGGTCCTGCTGGTCAATATGGGCGCCTGCGTCGAGGAGCGCTGAGACAACATCCTGGTGTCCCTATGCCGAGGGTCAGTTTCGCGCAATCCAAGCAGGAGGCCAGTTAGAACAGCACGTACAAAGCAGCTGGCATAGATCAAAGGTACCGTTCCCTCTTCATCCGGCATGTTCACATCCACGTACTCTCTCGCCTTGCCTTGCAGCAATTTCCGGACACGCTCCACATCGCCGTTGCTAGCCGCCATGTTCAAGCTGCGCTGTAGGATATCTTTTTTCTCCGGGTCTGATAGCTTCTCGTCCGTTGCGATGGCCTCCTCATTGGCACCAAGCGAGTCTACTTCCCGGTGGGCAGCTTGCGCAGCAAGCATCTCCATCAACCGGGCATCGCTGTCCTCCAACCGAGCGGTGGTCGTGGACTCGTTATCGTCGTCGGCAGCGGCGGCCAGCCCGCGCCCATAGTGGGCCTGTAGATTATGTTCTTCGTCATGCGAGTGATCGTCGAGGGCAAGGCTGAAGCTCAATGGTTTGGCGGCCACGGGGGTAGTGAGGAATTGGGATTGACCTGCGGAGTGGACACAAATCAGTGATCTGTTCTACTTCTCGTTATGTCCAACCCCCCACGGTTGCCTATCCCGTCTGGGGAGTATTCTCATGAAGCCCCAAGAAGCATGGTAACGTAGTCACTCCAACGACTTCCTATTGATGCGCGACAGACAACAGGAGGCAACGCACCTTGCCAAGCATCATACATCTCCATCTCGGGTTGAATGACGGGCACGGAACGACGGTCGTCTAAGGACTTGGGTAGATCATCGGGGAGCCCGGCGTGCATGGACTTGCGTGCGCTGCGGTCGGGCAGCTCGGGATCACTGCGGTCGAGTTCGTCCGACGCCCCGCGGGGGGATCCGGAGGCGTCCATGGCGGTGGGATTGCGATAAGGTCAGGAACCAACAAAGAAGGGAGGGGAGGGAGTCGGGCAAAGGAGCGCGGGCTCTCGCTCCATGGAGGAGAGTACGGGGGACACGGGGGAAGAGGGTGGCCTCTTTTCGATTTAGCGGGAATTCCCCTGAGTTGGGGGGATATATTAGAGAGAGAGAGACCGAGACCGAGAGAGGGATGGAGGGGAAGAGAGGGGGAAGAGAGAGGGGAGTAGGCAGAGGCAGAGAGGGAGGCCGAGAGAAAAGGCGGAACGTAAGACCAGACAGGCAGGTACTAATATCTAATGAGTGCGGCAGGAGATTGGGATGTTCCCGGCCGACGTTCGTTCCGTTCGTTCATGAAACTGGGCTCGCTCCACCCGGAAGATTCCAATGAGACACGCTCTGCAGCTGCCATGACATACATACACATAGTTACATACGTGTTGATTACGCCTTCGGTTTCAGGTTTCAGGTTTCATCATCACCACTCCGTGGGGTTGGAAGGAAACGCCCCTTTCACTGGGGCAAATTGATCGCGCTATCAATGCTTAGTACCTCCTCCGTCCTAAACATCGCTTCATAACCCCCCAAAATGCAATCCCAAAAAAAATACCCCCAATCCCAAAATGCCGCCCTCGCAGATAAATGCAATTCTAGTGTACATGGTAATGACATGCCTACCCCCCCTATTCATGGCCATAAAGGTGACTGTCGTCGTGGATATCTTGGTCGCTGGTAATCATAGACATTCAGGGTATGCTTGGGTATATTAGGTGCGTTGGTGAAAGGAATGAACAACTCCTCCATGCAAAGCTTTATGTTGTTGTTTTCTGTTTTTCTGTTTTTCTTGTTTCTCTCTTCCGAGTGTTTTAGAAGGCAGACTCGTGATACTTAGTCCAACTGCTTACTGCGCATCTGGACTTGCTCTTCCGAGAGCGATGCAATCCAGAGGCAGCGTTCGATGATGCCGGGCATGGGCTCAAACCGATACCTTGTGCTCGCATCGATGAGTCGGAGCAGGCTCTTGACTATCTTGGCAGTGGTCCGGTAGCGCTCAAAGTTGATCAGCGACTCCTCGCCCTGTGTCGTCACTCGCGCTGGTTTTTGTGCATTGTAGGTTAGGTCGTGGACATAGAGGCCTGGGAACTTCAAGTCAGCTTTCAGGTCTACATTAATAAGTATAAACGGGATAGCTTACCGACAAACGGAATGCAGCCGTCTTGCGCATTCGCCATTTCCATCTCAAGACGGAGTTCATTGAAATTGCGAATCGGCTGGATTAAAGATTCCATGTCCTTCAGCAGACGCTTGTCGGCAATTGGTACCAACGCCCACGTGGCCTGGAGGCGAGAGCAGTCAGTTGACGAGAGAGCAATCGCGATCTGAAGCATTGTGGCGTAGTTGCACATCCTCCTTGCGTGTGCTGCCGTGTGGATGAACTTTGCGATTGTGCGCGCTCGTTCGTGGATATCTTGGGTCAAAACAATTTCTGAGAGCACCCATCTCACCATCAAGTTAAAGCGCCCCACAACAAGGTCAATGCCTCTATGCTCGTCTTCCATGAGAAATTGCACCCAGCTTAGTGTGGAGGGTGATCCACTGCTCCATCGCATGTCAACAAGATCCTTCCAGTCCACTTCACTTAATGCAGCCATCTCCACCAATGTCAACTGCTGGGCAAGCACATGCGATTCACATGATAGAACAAATGGCACGTGTTCGGGATTGGCAGTCTTTAATGGCTCTGGGAGTCGGCGAGCGCTTTCCGACTGAGAAAGGACGTCTCCCGATAACTGCTGCATATTGATGGGACGGTCACTTGCTTGTTCCGTCATCTTGTTTCTTGGAGATGGGTCCGGGGTTAAGGGTTGGGCTTGGAAAAGCACCGGGTTTAAAGGCGTAGTGCAGGATGCCACGGATCGTGTGTTTTGTATAGTCATCGGAGGAGAAGGGGGGTGGGCAAGAGGATGAGGCGGAATGCCAAGCGACGAATCGCTCATATTCTGCGTATCTATCGAGAATCGTTGCTCTGCAGCCTCTTGTGAATCAATCATATCAACCGAAAGCTCGGATGACAATCCTGAAAGACGCCCTGCATGCTTCCTTGGACCAGAGGGATTGACGGGGAGCGTCGAGCCTCGTGGGATGCGCTTCATACTCTCGGTCTCCTTCACAATATCAATAGACGGATGGGACGATTCCATATCTGACATATCGCGACTCGCGAAACTCGGCCGAAAGCGAGAGGGTCCAGCTCTGTGAGATGTAGGACGGCTAGTCACAGGTTTCTTCATCGACTCGTCACTCAATCCCCGTTCTAGCAGTGGTATGGAGCTGTACGAGTCTTCCGATTCCGCAATCGAATCAGAGTATGGTCTTTGCGGAACAATACGCCCCTGAACTTGTGAGTAAGTCAGACCGTCACCAAAGAAGGTTTGGCGTCTCCTAGCGACCGCATCCAAGCTTGTGGGACTCTCGCGTCTTGCACCCGCATGACCTCGATGAAACCATTCCTCTTCATGGACCCCACTTGGCTCATAGCTTGAAAGTTGTTGTCCTGGCTCATCAGTAAAAGTTTCAGCACCAGCGCCCGATGTACCTTGCCATTTCCCTTCAAGTTTCAACAACGTCGACTCGACGCCTCCATCATCGTCATCTGGGATCTGTGCAAATTGCGCAATGGCAGCCTCGAAAGACCGCCGCAGGTTCTGCGACGAATGAGTTGTCAACAACGAAAGTCGCGGATTTGGAGGGATGAGACTCGTCTGAGGCCGTGAGTTAGGATCATCCACTCGGGTAATAGCCGTGTCGGCGCCAGAACTGCGGTAAGTAATATCAGATGCAAAGGACCCGGAATCTGGTCTAGATTGAGAGCCACCACCATTTCGCATCTGACGCAAGTCTCCACCAGGACGCCTGCGCAGTGTCGGCCCAGAGGGTCTATCCGAATGTTCCCGAGAGCACCGATGAGGCAAAGGAGGGACGGGCTCACTACCCATGGTGAGACGGTGCTTTGATATCCCACTCTGAAAGGAAGCATATTTCCGGAGGCGTAAAGAAGGGGATGTTCTCTTCCACAAAGTCGACCCGCGCTCAACAGAGTACGATCTGCGTGACGAGTCGGGATACCCGGAGGGGCGACGGAAATGAGAGGCCCGACTCGACGGCCCTGGGTCGGGATCGTCGTAGTAGATAGGTAACGAGTACTCGTCGGTCGCAAGGGTTGACCTCTGAAACGGCGCATACAAGGACGGGGCTCTCACTGTCACGGGGGAAGGTTCGACTTCCAAAAATCCAGGGGGTTGTTCAAGTCCTGCATTCGGTCCTCCGATGGCCCCCGACATAACAGGGATTCCCAGGCCGGTTCCGTCTACGATAACAATGGATTCGCTACCTGTAGTAACCTGGCTTCTTGCTCTCGCCGGTCCTGGTGCAGGATGAAAGTCCGCATGTCCATCATTCCTACCCGCCCGTTTCTGTGATTCAGGCGACTGGGAATCTGGTGTTGTATCGACTTGCTCAGCAACCGCAGCACGGTATTGCCTCAAAGCTTCGTCACAGAGCGTGTCAATCCTCATGGGCTTCTTCACCGCAGCCGCCGTCTTCTTACCCTTATAGGCATCCGATCCGAATGCAACGTTGGTTGGGAGAGCCGACGTCCTCCCCCGTTTCGAGGAATTTGCGTGTCCGTGCATAGCCCGTGAAAGACTGCCATGGCCGCCATGTCGACTGTTCAATACCCGACGAATCGAGCCAATAATCGTCTTGACACCAGAGGTTGAAGGTGCAGGTTTATGTATGCCGAACGTGGTGCTCCGACGGTCCGCAGCAATGTCCTTAGCTGATGATGGTAAAGGGGGCGATGGGGGAGCCATCATGATAGTGTATGACTCCGCTGGTGGATAGAGTTCTCCACGAATCAGACTACCGAGATCAAGCACCTCCTGCGCAGAAGCCGGGCCCTTTTGCTCAAGGTTGAAGACAGAGGGGGGCGCTCTGTCATCTCGAACAGAGTCCGAGAAGCTGCCACTACGCTTGTGAGCATGACCATGATATGGATAGCGGCGCGAAGAAAGGGGTGAAGGAGGGAAAGGGTCTCGTGAGGAAGTCGGGTTGAGAGGCATAAGGGGCACCGGATGGGGCGCCTTGCTGTGGACAAAGGACAAGGACAGACGCTTCGGAGATTTGGGCGGCAAGGAACAGGAGACTGGCTGGGCGCTCAGGTCACTCCCAGCTGAGATTGGCACACTCTTCACCGTGTTTGATGAATTATTCCGACTGTGTTGAACCACTGGACGGTACTGGTTGCCTGGAGCGCCAGCCTCCAGCCCGCTTTTGGTACGCACCAGGGTCAGTAGGCCATCGCCAGTCGCCGTCTCTAGCAAGCTATCCGTCTCCTGACCGCCGGGAATAATGGCAACATCCGGGCTCTGGAACGCATCTTGATGGTCTGTGACATCCCAATAAAGACAGCATTTCCCATACCAGCATCGCTTCAAGTCAATGAGGATTTTCAAATCACTCATGCCACCGCCCTGTCGAGACTTGACATCATCATACATGTTGTTGATTGTTTCACAAAAGTGAGCACGCAGGTCGTAGTCGGCAATAAAGTCGTCCACGAAATAGTTGAGAATCCAATGCCGCAGAGCTGCAAATGTCCGAATACGAATGATTCTTCCGTCATCCTGCAGGCGATTGATAGCCCACCGTAGTCGAGCGAGAAGAAGTGCGAGGAGCGTACCAGCGGAGATATAGGAGCGAAATGTCAAGAAGAAATCGGATACAAGCTCGTAGTCCATGAATGATGCGGAGGATATTTGTGCGACAATACGGGCCGGTGTAGCAGCGCTGATGTCTTTCGTGCCGGAAGCATAGCGCACCACCGATTCATTGTCCATTTCCGACACTAACGTCTCAAATATAGCTGGTTCGATTGGCTCTTTGGGTTCATAGAAGACAAGGTTCTCGCTGACTGCAGAGTTCCGGGGCAACTCGATGGCACCCGCTCCTGAAAACACCGAGCCAACGAAAGAGGGCCGTTCCGGGATTTGCAAATAAGCATCGGAGGCTAGGGTTCCAAACCAGTATTCCCTCGGGAGTCGTGAGGTGCGCAGGTTATCCGAGAATGAGGTTGTTGAATAGACAGAGCTGTGCAAAGCAGCGTCATTATCGAGGTGGTTGTGAGGCAGGTCCAATCTGTAATGAGGAATCGAAGCCTCCAATATGCGCGGCGACCGTTCATTTGCTGTTTTTGGGCGATTATCAGGGCGATCGATGAAGATACGGAGCTCCCCAGCGCGACCTGCACGCGACTCCGACCGCTGCTCTGAGATTGTAGAGAATGAATGCGCTTTACGAGGTCGATGGTGAGGTAGACCGTAATATTGAGAACGCACCGATTCCGTATTGACTGAGTCGCCATCTTCGCAGCTTTCTTCAGGGATGTAGTCCGGGCGTAGCTCAGAGAGCTGTGAATTTGACCATCTTGACGGCTCATCGCTCTCGGGACCATTGCGTCCGTGCGGAAGGTGTTCGTGTCTAGGTTGGCTGGGTGAGGGGACAGAAGGCGCCGGGAAGGGTTCTTTGATCGACGGGTTGCGAATTGGCCTGAATCATGGCAAGGGGTTAGCATTGTGCTCATGACACCTAGAGCCACCAAATATAGCAAGGTGCGGCCACTTTACCTGAGGAAGATCTTCCCGTTCTGGCCGACATTTCCCACAGTAAAGTGGTTCGGTTCTCTAGCTCCTACAACTGCATCACGCGGTGCTTGCGGGGGGTCAGGTCGCTGGAAGGAGCGCTTTCGCAGTATCTCGTGGCTGTCCTTTACCCGCAGAAAAGAAGTGGCCAGCCGCTCCCGGGTTGTTCTCGAACCAATGGTCGGGTTTTCCTTCATGTTTCTCCCGTGTGCAACCGTATTGGCGCGTCGTAGATCGGTTGTCGCATATTGGGTATCTGCGTTCTCTGATGCAGTCACCTTGGGTTTCGACTCGATCGGTGTTGAAAAAGTGCCCGTCTGCGGTTGACCTGGCTCACTTGCGAAACGGTCCAAGGATGTTGAGCTCCACGCCATAATGAGCGCCGATGTAAGTACGCAGCTACACGATCAGCAGCAAGTGCCTTTCGCAACAAGAACTTCCAAAAAGAATTTCCTTCCCGGGAGGGACAGAAAGCCTTCGTATTCACCAGCTTCGGCGAACTAGAAGGGGAGATGAGACAGGGACAGCCCACGCTGGGATCGCAATATGTGCTTGCGACACGACATGACCAGAGCCTGCACGAAGTGGTGGTGGTCCTTTATTGAGCGTGACGGTGATAAACGTCCGACATTGGAGAGAATGGGCAACAGTAGCACGAGACAATGTGACGATCGAGCCCAGGACGCTCGGAGCAGGGGGACAGGAGATTACGGAAGATAATAATAGAAGCGTGGTCGGGGCGAGAAGAACAGGCCTTGCTCAGGAGAATAAATGCCGAATGATAGGAGGGGGAAAGAATAGACCGAGAGCACGGGCGGTTGTAGTGATGATGGGGAACAAACAATAATAATAGATGTAGGCGATAAGTAAATATGCAGGAATAAGGCTGGCGGCGGCGATGATGATAATAATAGGTAATGAGCAAGGGAAAATAAAAGCAGCGCAACGAGTTGGAGAGAGGGAAGTGGAGAGCGCGGTGGAGAGCGCGAGAGAAGGAGACGCGCAGAAGAAGGGTTTGGCCGGGAGTTTTGGGATTAGCCCGGCCAGGCTGGGAAGGAACGAAGGACTACTAGTCAAGTCACTTGCCTTAGTCCCGGTCGGGTTCCAGCACGGCGGAACCATCAACTCAACTGCTGTCTGCTGCTGCGGCTGGAAGTGAAGCAGAAGATGGCGAACCATGGTTCCCAATTGGTCATAGTGGAGGGATGCCATTCCATGGCATGATGGGTGATTGGGGGGCTGGGGAGACAGAGAAGAGGGGATGGTTCCTATTTCCTCCTCCTAAATAGTCTTTACCAGTCAATCCGCTCGAGAAGAATTTAGCCTTCATCATCCCCTTCTCACTTTCCCTAGATACTACTAGTCGATTCTTCCAGTCAGCCAAATCTTTCGAGGAACATCAAAAGTCGGTCAGTTGGTGGTCGATCTACCTCAGATCGTGGGACCGCAACATCCACCGGGCTAGATTAGTCTCCTAAGGGGGTAAGGAGTTCAGTCGACGAATTCTCGGTGCGAGCCAGTCATGTCCACCTGGGACGGGCAAGCTCCTCCAGGCTGGATGTCATGCGATCGTGGTACTGAATGGCCCGGGTGGGCTCAATGGGACCAGCTAAAGTGAAGAGGGTAAGACTAATATCCCTCGACAATCTATCTATGTATATGATGATATACCTATCAATAATTATCCACATCATACGGTTATAGTTTTATCAGATATACCTGCTCCATCTCGACTATCTAACCCTACCTACAAATCTCTGGATCTTGCCCCGGATGATCTGACAAGATCTGCGAGCGAGGTAGTATCTATCTACTACTCTCCGTCGACTTCGAGACCAGCCGGTAATATAGGCTGGATTAAATGACATGGATCGGCAGCCGTGCAGGAACGGCGGCTTCGAGGCCGATACGAGGCAGTCGATCAGTCAGGTTGTCCAGGCCGAGGCAGCGATACATATACCCGCTCTGCACTCGACTGCCATGGATTTTGCTTCCTTCCTGCACCAATCAAGTTGGTAGTATGTACCTACACACATTACTACTACGTAGTAGCGTATCTAGGTACTCTGTTGTAGGTTAAGTACTCAACCAACCCCTAGCTGAGGCCTGTAACCTGACGTAGATGACATTGTCTATCACCCACCTAACTCAGGTACCCGGAATTATTTCTGGTTACATAAAAGGGGGTCGGGCACGCGACGCAGTATAAAAAGACAAAAAGGGTGAGAAAAAAGTGGATCGAGCGAAAGAAATGAGGTGCGATTTGATGGTCTTAAAAATTGGGAGCGTCGAATGAGGAGAGCGCATTGCCTGAAAAAAGCAAATGAAAGGTGGGCAGGGCAAGAAAAGGGGGGGCAGGGCGTCGAGGGATCACGATTGGATCGGACATGCAGTTGGGGGGGTACGTTGGCCGGGCCATTCGGGAGCCGTTAAGTGCCAATGGCCGCCTCGAGGGGGAACGCCCGGTGGGGGAAACTGCTGGGGCGCTCATCATGGATGGATGACAGCCGGGCTTGCCCTTTGAGGCATCTCACTGGCTGACCGTTGCGGCGGATCTCCGGCCGATCACTGGATTTTGTCAGGTTCACTTGTTACCTACTACTAGTATCTCTTTCTCTCTCTCCACGGCTGAACAGCAGCGGACAATAAATCCCACGGCCAACAGGAGGTAAGGTATCAAGCAATCAATCAATCACTTTACTTCAAAGTACACACAAGCTGACTCCGGATGCAACAAGATCAAGGTCCATCCGCATCCCGAAGCAAGGACCTCACTGCAAAAACTGTCTACCTAGATACTATTTAGTCTAGGGTGAACAAAGCAACCGGGAAGGTTTAATTCTCCTTGCTTTGCAGCTGACATCCCACCTTCAACTCAAAATTTCCCGCGCACTGCAGTCCCCACCTTGCAAAATACATAGTATCTCCCAGTGGGTAGTGAGTTGGAAGACAGCGTTCTAGTTTCTGCCAATCACCGCAGCACAACCCGAGACAATCAATACTTAATGCCATGCCAGACAGGGTAAAGATCCATAGGGCAAACCCCATTCTGTAGTCGTTGGGGCAGAGTCAATTGATACGTCGCACATCCCAACCCACATCCCGTCCGCTAGAGGAAAGTGAAGCTCTCTTCCCGGCGGCATGGTCGAATCGGGGCCAAGTCAACACCCGCCTAATCCAAGGCGGGTTGTGATTGGGATCCGGGGTGGAATCCATTATCCAAGACACTGGTAACATGGCCGAGTGCAAATCCTCCTAGAGCCCCTCACCTTGTCCAGAAGTTTATCTTGGCCCGGCCAGTCCATTTGCTCATTTGTGCTTTGCAGATGCCTGGTGCCTCTGTGCGTTCCGTAACGGGGACATCCTACAGGGTACTTTGGGTAGCAAACACCTTCCCCATGACGGCTCATGACTCATACAAATGCAGGTAGAGGCGGCTGTGAGACCCAGTCAGAATGCCTCGTCCGATTTTTCTCGTTCGCACACCCGCACAGTTTAGGCTGCACAAGGCAAGTGGAGCAGATGATCAGTCACAAGGGCCTCTTTCTGGCATCCTGGCCTTGTTTGGAAGGTGGTGCCGAATGCCAGTCTGAGAAGCGATAACATGGCGCTCTCTTGGCCCAGAGACACGACGACAATTGGCTAAGCATAGTAACCCCATAGTCTGTGGTATCTAACGAACCCTACACATATACAGAGTACACAAGACACAGAAATACCATGACGGCTCATTTATTGCAGATTATGTCTTCAAAGACTGCTTGTACTGTGCGGTGAGTATAACCCAGGAATCTCAGCTGAATCTACACCGACATGTCAACACGATGCATACGCATAGCAATTACCTAACACACTGCAATCCGTCATTATTGGCCAGATCTCAAGCGATATATCTATCCACGATGCCACAGCGCGCGCTTATTGGTGGTAAGCTAGAGAGTTTGGCATGATCAACACTTTTGGAGTGCCCGTGCCGATATCCAGATTATTTCTCTGCCTACGTAGTTCGGGTCGAGCCATTACACTGCAGATTTATGTGGATCAAGGCTTTTCTAGGCTATGGGAAATATATCCGGTGTCCGGCTACCACCCCCCTCATTGGTTTGTGATCCTAGATACACTTTCTCCAAATGACTCTCATATTCTGGAAAGTGGAACTCGATGTGTACACTTATGTCCGTTAGTCATAAACCACTGGAGAGTAAATCTCGTTCCATCCTTTGACAATTGTCAAGAAAGCTTTGTTGACATGGTACTACCTCCGCTCAAATCTGGTGCTAAGCTATCATCAAGCTAGACCTTCGACTCTATACAGACTCTGCTGCTTCAAGACAGCTCAACAACAAATTCAAATCTCCATAAACCCAAATATTCTCCATGATGAACAAACCTATTCCCCTATACTCCAAACAATAGAGCATAGCATATAGCCCTCAGAAAGTATTATACATGAGGTGATCTATTTCCTATCTTCTATTTTCTATTTCCTCTTCATCTTCCCCATATAAATAAACCGTCTATAACTTACACAAATATTGATCCCGCAGTTATGCATTCCGTTTCGGAACCTTTATCCTCTTGATGAATATATTCAGTACTACTACTATGCCCTATTTCTCTCTGTCATTCTGCTCTGTCGCGCTCAGTATACTATTTATCCTTAGATAAAGCTTGTATATTAGTAAGGACTAGGTCCTCAATAGAACCTATTTCCAAGTATCTGGTGCCTGGAGACAATATTCTGATGATGATGGTAATGATGTCATGATCCTACATGTTATGAGAATAGAATGATGTGATTAATATGGGGGGATGGGGGAAACAAGGGTAAGTAGGCTCAAAATATCTTCTATTCCAGAGAGGAAGGGGTAAAGCGTGACTGCAATCTCTCAACAGTTCGGTTCATGGTTACATGAGTCTTTATTGGGATACATGTGTTGCTTGTGCTTAGTTGGTCGAGTTATATGCAATCGGGGTTGTAGAGGATGAGATATATGGAGTAGGAAATATGATGAATGTTTCGGCAGACGATTCGGTGATTGATTAATGGGCAAAGTCTGGATAGCGTTACATATACTGATGGGAAAGGAATTCTGTGAGATAGAAAGACTTCAGCTCGTTACTTGAATGTGTGTGTAGGGGTGATAATTCATACCTAACATGGCATTTCAAGGTACCTATGCTAAGGATTCACAAAAACACGCGTCACTCGGACCAGTCTGGCTTTCGTACATTTTCGCGGTTCAATCGCATCCCATGATCTGAACATGCAGTCTCCAGTAAGACAAAATCTTCACAATTCGCGTGATCTACAGAATCATTTGAATATGTCACCAAATCCATCTCCAGCGTGATAGCCTCAAGATGCAGAACATGAATCTCTCGCTCGCAAATCATCTGAATTAGGTTAGAAACCAGTCGAGAGAATTTATCTCCGTCAATCTGGAAAATACTAAGATGTTCGAGAGACGATGGAAGCAAGTCGCCCAAGAATATGTCCTCATCAACGTTCCGCGGTTGCACTGGCATCATGAGGTTGTGGTGCGGAATAGCAAGGGTTTTGAGAACGCTGAATTCTTTGAAAGAACCAAAAGAAATGCGCTCGCAGTCAATGATATCCTCGTCATCAGCGAAACCTACTTCTCGCATGGTTGGATACCAAGGGGGAAAACACACTGTGAGATCCTCGAGCGACTGGCTGTATTGTAACAGAGACTTGCGGAGTTCTCGGGGTTCAAAAAGATTGTTCAGGACCATCTCGTAGGGATCCCAATGAGGATAACACCCGTATTGCATCTTAAAAGATCTAAGTGGGCCACAGGCTGCAAGCCAGTCGTCTATCACGCCAATGCCGACTACACCATCAATGGATAACTCGGTAACTGAATGGGTGGGGTTGGTGATGCAGGATGTATCAAGTGCGATATGGCTTGTATATACCAGAGGTTGGTTTTGCACGCCGGTAATTGTGATTTTCCGAACAGCTGGGAGATAGAAAAATGGCCTGACCAAGTTGATGTCAACATAGTACGTTGAAAAACCATTATACGGCACTTCCCTCGCTGCAAGGCTACCGATCTCCACTTCTCTTAAGAACGAAAACGGCGGAGACTCCTGGAAAGGTTTCCAGCGCTCTGCTGCCTTGTTGAGATACCTTTGAGCCAGGTCCGGCAGTCCATAAGATACAAATAATTCTCTCACATGGCTTAATCGAGTGAGGAGAACACCGACCCAAGCCTCATCGCTCAAGAGCAGGAGCTGCCATAACCAGTCTTTGGGATTATACCAATCCCCACATACCTCATTCAAGACGCTACTGAGTAGGCTAATGTCAATGTTGACATCTCCCTTCAGTAGCTCGACATGTCGTCGATCACCACGATGTATGTTTGTAGGGTCATCGGCCACGATTTTCAGGCAGCGGACAAAGCTCGCTAAATTCGGGCGTCGACAGATGTTTTGAATCAATGGAATGCCCACCTCACAAAAAACCCCCAAACCCTCCCGACGAAACATGCTTGAGAGATCCAGACGAGAGTATAGGAGTGGCAAGAACAGATGATAAAACTGTCTGCTGTATCCCACCAAGCTTCGTTTCGTTTTCAGGTCATCGACATGCTGTCCGATCATCAGGAGAAGCTCGTTGGGTAGGTGCCGTGGTGCTTCCATTGAGATGGTAGTGTGGGTGTTTGAAGTCTGAGGTTCTTGAGAGAAGAGCTAGTCGGAAAAGGGTGTAGAAAGTGGCATGTGTTTGCTCTGCTCTTGGACAGGCTCAATCTTGCTGCAACTGCGGTCGTTACAGGTGCAATCCAGGAGGCAGAATAGCAAACAGAGGTGGAAGATACGCGGTATGTGAACTTGTCGCTTGTATTCACACAAGAATTTCAAAGGTCGCCACTCACAAGCAGGTCACTTCCATTCTCATCACTTGGCCTACAAGGTCAGAGTCAATCCTCACTGCTTTATTCAAGGCATTCGACGTTCAGAAATGGGACTTACTCTGAAAGGTTCTGATGTCTGTCAGGACACTCCTACATGATCAGATGTGAATGGTTCACCGGCCTTTCCCATCATCTATATCTGCCATTCCGGCAACTGTAACCCAGATGGAATACTCACAAACTGAATTGATCTTGATAAGCTGAACCATCACATGGTCGTAATGACACATGGAGTGACAATACAAGCACCCACACAACCAGGACATTTAGATATGCTATTTCATTGATATTGCAATCATCATTGTCCTATTTCTATATTCGTAGTCAATTAAGTAGGTATATTACATGCGGCATGAGCTCCACCTAAACTCCGGTGATCAGATATGATTCACACCTTATTCGCCACCTCGTCTTGGACCCGACTTTATCCAATTTGCATCTTATAAGTAACCAAAGGCCTTCCCTAATCGCTGGTGTGTTTAATCCCGGGCCTTTTCAGCTACACAGAAGGGGACGTTTAGTTAAGTCCCCAGTAAGTGTAAATGCTCGCGTGTCGCTTAGCGGGCATTGCGCCTCGAGGTATTGTTGGATATGACCTTTCACTTTGAATGTAGGCAAAGATCTTTGTAGTTCACTGACGCTTTGGGAACGGATTGCTGTTGGAAGGTTCATCTGTGCATGTCGTCAGATACATATTAGTATGTCCATAACTTCAACTCCAAAATATGAGATAAGAATAATAGAAACCAGGCAGGAAAAGAAGAAAGGGGAGAAATTGAGAAAGGGGAGAGAAAAAGAAATAACGTACAAGGCATCAAGCACCAAAAATAATAAGCTGCAGAAAAAAATGATAATATGGCAAACGCGACATAACACGCTGCACAAAGTACGATCACGGAGCGTCTGTCCCTACTAGAACTATTACCGCTCAGGGTCTCCCAGTCATCGTTATCATTCTCATCAACGTCAACGTCATCGTCAAGATGCGCATGGCCTGCGTAGGACTGATATTTTTCAATGTCGGGAGGATTGTGATGGTTGGGACCTTCCGAGTGGGTGGTGTCTTCGCTGGAGTGAATGTTAGTGCCTATACTACTAATGTAGTTGGGTAGGGATTGTTGTATCCCTGCAGGCGATTAGTGGCTGCAGGTAAGCTGACTGACCTTGGCCTGTTCAGGGGTGGCGGGAGAATGCGGCCCTTCTGCATGCGACTCATCTCACCAACCACGTAGTCATAAAGCAGTCGGTCAGCTGGCGATAGAGTTTAGAGCCGTCGAATCCTGCGATGACTGGGGACATTTCTGACCTGTATGGACTTCATGGCGCCCCCTGTAAATCCGTAGCGATGCTGCGTTTCAGTCTAGTGATGAATGGCGTCGTCACATGTTGGGTAATGCTGAGTCAGCTGTTCATTGTATGCGGCATAATCAGATTATGCTTAAGGGGTCCGGACTCAGGAGTTGTTGGTGGTGGCGAGGGAGGAAATTCTGGTCGGTTGTTTACAGTCCTAAACACTGGCAATTATTAAGCTATAATACGGCTTTTGCCCGATATGTACTCCGTACGACTGGTGGTTTCTGCCCATGTTGAAGAGTCGCAGGCTTGTCCAACCGTGGGTCATGCTGCCACGAGAATTGCTACCAAACCGGTTTCCATGTGGTAATTGAACACTCCACTCCCTTGTCTTTGTTATTGGGGACGTTGCCTTATTCTCCGGGCAGCCGCACAGCTCGGTTGGAACCTAAAGGCAGTTTGGCTCATCTTGGACCATGGTTCGGCCACATGGTATAAAGCGCAAGTAGATAGCTGGCCAAGGCGATTGAAAAAGGGAAGTGTAGCCCATTGTATCACGCGTCAACCCGGACAGGGATTCTGAGCTCAGCACATATTTATCTCATCACGGGTGTTCTACAAGATGGTGACCCAAGTGTTCTGTAGGTCACCTCGTATCACGGAGAAACATCCATCTACGGATATAACGCCCAAGATGTACCTGCGAAAAAAAAAAACATGAAGATGGGGCACGAAGTTGATTAGATAGACAACAGAAATGAATTTCCTTTACTCACTATGATTCGTAATTAGGCCCCATTACTACTAGTAGATAGGTCCAGAACAAGTACTTGGTATCAACGGTAAGGTCCACCGCGGTGGTGCCTGCAAATACCGAGCTTGAATAAGGTGCCGATAGTCTGATGGAGACCAGCTTGGTGGCTTGATTTCTTCCTAGTTCTTGACATTTCGGTACTCGGTACGGAGTACTTAATAGGGTATTTTGGCTTGACAGCTTGACAGCAGCTTTGGCCAGGGACGGAGGCTTTCACATTTCAACATTGTCATTGTTATCCAGTATCCACCTTGGGAAAACGGCTAATTCCCGCTCGAGATTCGGTATGGGCGACCGATCGCCATTATAACAAGGTCAAGTCGCCTGGTCGAACTGGTCACCAAGCAGCTCCATTCGCCGCCCCTCAGTAGGCGGTAGGGCTATCTCATATAGGCGGGCTTCCGTACCTAGTTACCTATCAACTAGGTCTATGTGTTGTCGGTCAGCCAGTCAAATGGCATGCTGTGGTTTGTGCAAAGCATTAGTATCCCCATGCTGGATAGCATGTGATAAATCAATATGTTCATTGCCCGGAGTGAGGTTCGCTCCAAAAGTACCTATCCGTAGGTACGGGACAGGGATGGGATTAGCGATGGCAATCATCATTATTGGGTGCTTATGGAGTTCCCGATTGTCGACGAATGAAGATCGGCCGGCCAAGCATGACAGTCTTGGGGGGTGAACAGGGACTTCCATTGGTGGATTGGTCGCCATGTACGTCCTCTGGTAGGCAAGTATGGAGTAGTACCTACTGCCTTAGGTAGTAGTAGATACTTATCAGCATTGGGGTGTTTATTTTGGGAAGAAGCTCTTCCCTGTTTGGCCCCAGGCCGGCCGTTGGAAGAGGAGCGGCAGACCCCGGCCTGCCCCTCCCCGGAATAGAAACCACGCGGTATCCGGCGTTCAACCCTGACAAGTGAGCCATACCGCTGGGCAATTGGCCAATGGCATACGGCTGCCGATGCATGGATGAGGATACCATGCGTTGCCGTTACGGCGTATATTATTATTACGAAGTCGGGTGCTCTTAAGAGTTAAGACCCCTCAACCGGTGGAGTCCCTGATGTGGACGACATGGGCCTGAAAGGCAGAGAGAAAAGGGGTTCGAACTGCGAAGGATCATAGGCAAAGGCTTGTTCACCCGTGGCTGCACTGGCTGGCCATCCGCTTGAACCGCTTCACTTTAGGTCGGAACGATACCTACCTATAGCCATCGCATCTTACAAATTTGATTATCAGTGAGCGGGCCGGACTCACTCCTTAATACTGACATGAAGCACTTTCAGGTAGGCAACTGCACCCGTCAATAATTTGCCCTGGTCTATGCGCAGAGCCTTTTTTGGCAGCCATGCAAGGGGGTAGTGGTGCACCGTGACCAAGTCAATGGCATGGAAGGAGTTCAGTGCGTCCTGTCAGGATTCCGCTTTGGGTGTGGGGTCGATGGGCACTCGAAACTGGTGAAACAGGCTAAGAATCCCACAGAGGAAGAGGGGGTGAAGCACGTGGTTGGGGCACGCAACCAGTGGTATCTTGGCTGTATCGTACCGGCGTCGTATGGGTCCTGACTGTACCTGCGTATTACCTGAAGGTGGGATCATCCGCTCGTACCTTTTTTGGCCGTCATTGAGACTTTGCTCGGAGTAGATATCTTCCAGCATCTACTACCTATGTAGTAGATAGTAGATGATAGACACTAGATTATTATCAGATTTCGCCATAAATGAAGGTGGATAACTGACCCATGTCGTAGATCCCTTACAAAGCAAAGTCTAAGCGATGCTGAAAGCCTGTCAAAGGCCAAAACAAGTGAGCGATGGGCTAAGGTTGTTTGCCATTGTCAATTTAGTATCCTATTTGGATTTTGCTTCGACCTTCCAAGAGGCTCCTTTGGCCCTAATGAGGCTACTTATTGCCCGAACCATGGTACTTGTCCCGCGAACCATCGCGCGGGAAGAAACTACCTTGTCCGTATCAGGTAATATCTAACGATGCAGGTAGGTATACCTAGCCATGTAAGCCATGACTACTACTTCAGTAGCGAGCCCAGGATAGCCCAGCGACATTCATGGAGACAGGAACATTTTTAGAGGGCTGGAATGTGCATGCCCCTATTCGCAAGTCATATTCGTGAAGCCGAAAGTACGTACTGCTTCGGTTTCATCAGTTCGGGTTCGGAGGAAATCCCAATGGAGAAGGATTTTCACGTTCCATTCCGACATACTTCTCGAAGGAGATAAAGAATGCGACTCGGGGGGCGCTACATTACCATTCTGTCAGCCGCCTCTCAGCTCTCACGGGAGCCATCAGTTCAGTGGGTGGGTGCCTGGTTTGTAGGGATAGTGTCGGCGACCAGCATATGATAGATCTCGCGAGAAAAGCAATGAGGGTTCATGCGTGGATGTGTCTGCCAGGAATCCTCGCCACTCTGTTTACCTATCCGAATTCCCCCCCCCCCCCCCACTGATTGACGGGACGCCAGTTGACGGACTGCTGATTGATCATTGAAGCTACCCCTGCCTTAGTGGCCCGACGGCGGATTGATGGGCGGCCAGATGAGACCGGAAGCCCGGAAAAAGCGACTCGAGGGCCCCACCGGGCGCGTTCCCAGCTTGCAATATCTCTTTCCATGTTTCGACTCTCGAGGTCCTGACAGATCATGATATCGTGAAATAGAGTTTCGCATGGCATGGACTTAACCTAGGTTCGCATGTACCCGACGGTAAGGATCATGCTAGATTTTGACGATGGCCAAAGCCTGGATCGCGACTGAGGAATTGAAACAGAAGCAAGCATGCAACTATGACCCAATTATTAGACAACCATTGCAAGAGTATTCTTTTCCTATGCTTACTACTGTATATAGATTGTAGGCTGTACTCCGCCGATAGTTATGAATCCAAATCTCAGCCAAAAAACGTCAGCCGCACACTTCGCAATAACCACGGATGAGATTGAGCTTGGAAATGAGCCTGCGTCATCGATAAGGTTGTACAGAGTGAGCTAGGGCAGGACCGGATTCCCAGCTGTCTGTTACCTCTGCGTGTGATGGATCGCAAAGAATGGCGAAGATCTATCAGAATAATCCGAGGCACTAGTTTAACTCAATTTCCCGCATGTTTCTGGTCCCAGAGAGATGTACGTTCCAAGTCCCTATAGACCGACGGATTGCAGGGCCGAGAGTTCTGGCGTATCAATAACACCATCAATAGTTTCTTTGCTCTCCGTTTCAACTGGAGGTTGGTCGCAGTCCAATTTCTGATTGTAGGATTCGCAGGTATCACTCCGGCTTCGTACTCCGAAGTCCCTGATGCGAATACTCGTCGATCGGTGCATGCCAATGCATCCGATTCGCGCCTCGTGGCGTCGTTGTTCGCTTGCATGGCTTGGCAGCCGCAGAAGGGCACCGGTGGGAACCTGACCCAGGACTCTATTCGCCCTAGACGCGAAGGCATCACGGAGAAATGGCCGTGTAAGTAATCATGGTGAGCGATCAGGGAATTGGGGGCCTTAATGCAAAGCGACTGCGAGTCTTACAATCCTTCCGATCCTATTTTTACATCTTATTAATCCAGTTGAAAGGATCGTGGTCGGAAGCATGTACGGAGTAGTCGGGTAAGGTAACATGGCACGTGTTGCATTCGGCATCCAGATTGATTAACAAGTAGTATGTACGGAGTATGTAGTAACTAATTTCACGAGGGAGGAAGAAGGAAGGAAGGAAGGAAGGGCAGTAATAATAATAAATAATAATGATTATCCATAATGGTCCATGTGCCCGAGGTCAACGGGGAGGCCGGAGCTTGACTCAGTGACGGCAAGTCTGTATTGTACGCCGTCCAAACGGGGTATATACAGGGTAACGGCATCGGGTGTATCAGACTTTTGACGAATTCTTACTAGCCCCGCGGGCGGTAAAAAAGCACTGGACCTTATTCTCTCCGTTTTCCAATCGGCTCGAACCAGGCTAAGAGCGGACGAAGAATGAATGGGTTTTCCGAGGGTGGATCGGCGTCGCCTGGCCACCACCAGTGAGATCCCTTCCTAGTCCGTCTTGATGACCGAATCGGGAGGGAACTTGGGGGGGAAGAGGCCGGAGAGGAGCTCTCAGCCGGGATGCTATCACAGACTAAGTGGCACTAAGTTGCCAAGGGCTTACGGCTAAGGCCCTTAGCTAATGGCCCAGTGCTACACTGTGGACACCTCTGCTGCCGCCGGAAATCTTTCGCAGTTTCGCGGGCGTTGGTACGCCGGCGGTATTACGGGCCCCGGTGACAGGGCCACTCACAGCCCGGAGGGCCCCAGCAGGATGACTACGCCGAAGGGAGCTAAGCCGACTAGCACCTCAACTCTGCTGGCACCGTGGCCCACTCCGATCGGACGGGATTGAATATCGAACGAATTGCGCAACACCACCGCGACCAACATTCCCACCATTTACCTACTCCTCCTCCTCCTCCGCCGCCGCCGCCTGCGACTACTACCTACTAGTACTATAGACCTGCGACTCGCCCGGCTTCTTTCCCTCGTCCTGGTCTTCCGCTCTTTTGCCCGCCCGGTGTGATATGAGCAGACATGTACTGATCACTCATCTCTACTACTTCCCTCCTCCCATCCTCATCCTTCCCCTCACCTGAGCCTTTACTGTCAGCATCTTCGTCCACCACCACAAAAGGGGCGCTTCGACTCGGTGCCCATCTTACCTAGCCGGCCCTAGGATCCTCACATAATTCACTCAATTCAGCCAGTCGACGTGCTTCATTCATCAGGACCCTGAACTTGACGTCGTACGGCCTTCCAAGCCTCCAAAGATCCCGCTCCCGCGAACGACACGGTCCTGCTTGATACCTGAACCACTCAACTTGGCTCGTTGATTGCAAAGGTGGTCGTCGCATACCTTGGTTTGATTCGACCTCATACACTTTGCAGACGTCGGATCAGCTGCGCTGCGTTGCCAACTATCTTGGATATTGTTCGAAAACAATAGCGGGGGCTACTTTGCGACAGCCTTGTTGAGCATTTCTTGGACTTCCAGCTAGCACAGGCCATCTTGAATTTCTCGGAGAGGATACTGCGACGTACGTACAGTTATCAGACAACGTTCACCGGAACGTGGTTCAATTTGGCGGCATGTTCTAATTTGCGCCATTTGAGCGAACATAGTCAGATTCATTTACTTGGCCGTCGTGTTTGGTATTTCTTTCCTCCTGGGTAAGTTTCGCTTTTACTTTCTCTTGTTGTCTTCGTCACTCGAGTTGTCGCGTTTCTGGTCGACGTTTCACACATGTTTTGGAGTGTGCTCTCCGTATGGTTGCCTTCTCGGGTCTGAGCGCATCCCTGATTCAGCCATGGACTCTGCTTGTGTTGCGTTGACTTCGGGTTTTCTCGCCCACCGAGTTCAGAACTTACTGACCCCGCTGCAGATATCATCGAGTTTTGCACAGCGAACTTGACCACAGTATTCTTCAAAATGGGCTGCATGAGTTCAAAACCCGTTGACACAACGGATAAGGACGCCGTTCAACGAAGTGCCAGGATAGAGAAGGTTTTGAAGAATGATAAGAAAGTCATGGATCGGACAATTAAAATTCTTCTACTTGGTACGTATCTAAGAAGCACCTGGAGTCTTCACCTCTGAACCACGAAGAGTGCTCATGAGTTTCTCTCAATAGGTGCCGGAGAATCGGGCAAGTCAACAATTATTAAACAAATGCGAATCATTCACTCGGGCGGATTCCCCGAGGACGAACGTCGCCAGACACGGGCCGTGATCTATTCGAATCTTATTATTGCATTCAAAGTTCTGCTGGATATTATGCGCGCCGAGAGCATTGACTTTCAGCAAGAAAGGACTAAGGTATGATCACCTACAGCAATCGGTTATGAAAGGAGACAACGCCATTTGTGTACAGATGCTGACTGTATCATGTTATTTTTTCCATCAGCCGTTAGCCGACTTTATAGACAGTCTCGAGCCAGATGTAGCCTCAGATGAGGCATTCTCGGACCCAAAGGTTCGCGATGCTCTAAGAGACATGTGGGATGACACGGGTGTTCAGAAAGCTGTTGCTCGGGGCCATGAGTTTGCACTCCACGACAACTTGCATTAGTGAGTGCTGTGAACCTTCCATCCAGCCAATCAAACAAGCCGGCTAACCTTTCAGTTTCTTTAATTCGCTTGACCGAATATTTACTCCCGGGTGGCTTCCAGACAACCAGGACATGTTGCAGGCCCGTCTGCGGACAACCGGCATCACTGAAACCCTCTTTGAACTCGGCCAAATGAATTTCCGTATGATGGACGTGGGAGGGCAACGATCTGAGCGAAAGAAGTGGATTCACTGCTTCGAAGGCGTTCAATGTCTTTTATTTATGGTTGCCCTATCTGGTTACGACCAATGTCTCGTTGAGGACCAAAATGCCGTATGTGTTCCCATCTGCGTTACGCTCCTGGAAGCGCTCGTACTAACCACTTTTCCTTTTCCTTTGGGCAGAACCAAATGCATGAGGCAATGATGCTGTTTGAATCCTTAGTAAATGGCGAATGGTTCAAGCGCAAGCCGATTATTTTGTTCTTGAACAAGATCGACCTTTTTAAGGGAAAGCTGCACGTGTCGCCTGTGTCCAGCCATTTCCCTGATTATAATGGCTCAAACACGGATTTCGATGCCGCAGCCAGATACTTTGCAGACCGCTTCCGGGGCATCAACCGGATTCCTGACCGAGAGATCTATATTCATTACACAAACGCCACTGACACGACATTATTGAAGGCAACAATGGATTCAGTGCAAGACATGATTATCCAGAAGAATCTTCACACTCTCATACTATAAGGCAGTGATACTCGGAACGATTGAATTTTTACGAGGACGTTTTTTGCAGGCACGAGACATCGGCGATGCTACTTCCGCTCTTCTATGCACATCTAATCTTGCCAAGCGTCTAAAGCACGCTTGCTCTTTCCCCCCACCCCCCCCACCTCTATTCATTTAATTATATCCCCTTTCCTTCTCTGTACGTTTTTCTTGTTGCGTTATCTACGTCTGAGCTTCCCATTCTCTGAAAAGCTTATACGTCTTCTCCGGTTCAGCGACGGGTGCATTTCCTATATAATGCAGATTGATACCATATACCATGTGTTGCTTGCGTCCATGCCTGCGCCTTTTGCCGCATTTCACGAGCTCTTCTTCCATTCTTCCGAACTGGGCCCTTCTTTAACCCTTACGCCTTCCATGTACTTTTCCCCCCATCTTGTATGTTGGCATTCTCAGGCCCGTCCATGATATCTTTGATTCGTGCCAGGCTCGCAACTCTTTCATGAGCCTTGTATCTTCTATCTTCGGTCTTTCCAGACTCTTCAGTATATCACCATGTTTGTACGGTTTTGACTCCTTAGCGGGTGAAACAATGACAAGTTGAATTCCACATAGTGCTATAGTTGCAGCCTCGTACTTTGTGAATGCCGGTATGACTAGATTAGATTGATACTAGCACGGAGTACTCCGCATGGTGTAGAGAGTGCTGTGGAAGACGGCATCCCGGTCACCTGACGTAATTTTGTGCCTGAGGCAGTAAACCCTTACATAATCACCGAGTTCCGCATGATCGGCTCAACTTCGATTTCGCCTCTTTGTTCCCGACAACTTCGTCACCCCAGCTTCTGGGCTTTAAGACGTCGGAAAATGCTGTCGTCCTCACTGCGCCGGGCTGCATGGGCTCCCATCGGACCCATCGCCGGCATATCTCGTGCGTCTAGCCAAAGTATTACTACCTCCGCGAACGGCCTCATCGGCTCGTCACAACATGTGCGTCAACGCCGATACTCCTCCTCGTCTTCGAAGCCCAGCGATGGATCTAATAAAGCCGATTCTTCCTCTCAGACGCCTGCGAAGGGAGTGAACTCTGCAGAAAAGCGTGAGGGGAAGGCCTCCAGACGGCGGGGCAAGGATAGCAACGGCCGCAATGGCTCCAAGCAGCAGACGGCTTTTTCCCGACTCCCCAGCGTTCCCTCAACCCAGCATCTCCAGCCGCATGGTGAGTTGATACCACCCCATATGACCGCTCGAGCTACATCTAGCTACTTTGCTTGTACTTTGGACCAGGTTCGCGCTAATTTCTATTGATTTCGTCTAGACGTCCACGTCGCGTCGTTCTTTTCCATCCACCGACCCATCTCCGTCTCCACCACCGTTCCTCCGACCTCAACCCCCGAAGCGTTCGACGCCATTTTCACCGCAAAAAAGTCGGCTAAGCCCGAGGTGGACGATGTCATCTTCACGCTCTCCTCCGCTGTGAACTCCATGGAGAACTCCGCTCAGCAGCCCGGTGAGCAGGAGGGCTCTTTGCAGTACTTCGACATGGAAGGCAACCAGCTTGATGGCCTGAACCTTTCCGACCTGAAAGTCTCCGTCGAGGAACTTACGAAGCGCCTGCGTCCCTTCCACCCTCCTCCCCCGCCGATTCCCTTCGATGAGGCGAGAGACGCCGGTGCCTCCGAGTTCGAGGACCTTCCCCGCGAGACCTCCAGCTACTCCGCCGTCCTGACCATCCATGAGTCGACCCACGCCGACGGTCGCAAGACATACGAGGCTCACACTGGTCCTTTCGTCCCAGCCGACGAAATGGAAGCTCCCGGTGCTATCGGGGAGACCAAGGCCATTATCGATGTCCCCCGTAACTCCGGCACCACCTACATTGAGCGTCTGCGGAACAACCGGACCATGCACGCCATCAGCACCAAGAGACGGCGCAGATTGAAGATGAAGAAGCACAAGCTGAAGAAGCTGCGTAAGAGGACGAGGACCTTGAGACGGAAGCTCGAGAAGGCTTAATCCAGACCATTGCTATCGCTGCTTCTGCTACGCTACAATCCGAATAAACCTCCTTTGTTGTCATCTTCCCATCATTAATCTCATCCAATTGCTCTCCATGCCTCTGGTTCCCACAGAGAAGTCCTTCTAGACTTGCACACCTTCGCCTGTCGGATCTCAAGCTTGGTGTCTTTTTGTCCTGCATGTATGTGTGTGCTTGGTTGGCTGCTCCTGCCATATCGCATATATTTCCTTCAGGCGTCATCTCATTTTCCTTTTTCTCTTAAATATTTGAATATCCATCGCATTATCCCACTCCAATAGACAATACCATGTGTATGTATGTTGCCATCTTATTTGGCCTGCTTGTTCTTATGCAGGTGGAATATCCACAATGCATTTGCCTGAACGGGTAGAAAGGATACTACCATCAGTTTAACAAGTCAGCATTGCAAAGTGATCCTATGATCCAGCTAAAGGATCACATAAAGGAACAACTCCCATAAAGTACAAATTTCAAAGACCTTGAAACCATGCAATGTATCTACCACAGCTTTCCACCCTGTCCTAGTCTACACAGCTTGGCTAGCACATCAAATTATGTCTTGTCCTTTGTGATGTGGGTGGAAAAAGAGGAAGCACATGTAATCCAACAGGCTCTCTCTCTCTCCACCCCAGCAACCCACTTCTCCACATTCCCCAGCTATCCCCGGGCCAATGACGCAGATTGTCATTGTCGGCAAATCAAAAGAGAAAACATAAGTCAAAATAACCACATCACGTTAACACATGTTGAGCTTCCCGGGCTCTTTTCATCGTATCCGAGAACAATGCGCGATAGTCTCGTCGGGCAGGTGTTCACTTGGGCCATTTCGCGAGGAACGGAGAAAGTTTCAGTACTTGCAGCTAGCCTCGATGCCCGAGCGGGAGTTCATCAGAAGAGCAACGATGAGACCGTAGAGACCTGCGAGTACAGTTTATTAGAGGGCTTGATTCGATGGTTTCTCAGTAGGTATTGACTAACCCAGGACTTCAGCAAAAATGAGAATCAAAATCATTCCGACGTAGAGACGGGGCTGTTGAGCAGTTCCACGGACACCTGCATCACCAACGATACCAATGGCAAAACTAATAATCCAGAGTCAGTACGAAGCCCACCAGGGTTAAGGATGCTTCCTGAGAGTGAGACCTACCCAGCTGCCAAACCAGCCAAACCGACAGCGAGACCTGCTCCCAGCTGGATGAAACTAGTGTACAAGGGAACCTCCTGACGCAAATCGTTCGCAATCAAGACTGAAACAACCAGGCCGTAGATACCAATGATACCCGCCATGACAATGGGGACAATGTCTGTACTCAAAAGATTAGCAACATACGACGTACAGGTACATATGCGATAGCTTCGCCAGAGCTAAAGGATGTGCGGGGTGTTTAACGTACTCTTGACAATCAGGTCGGGTCTGAGGACGGCCATTCCGCAGACACCGACACCAGCCTTGGCGGTTCCATAGGCAGCTCCGAAGCAGGTGAAGACGATGGCCGAGGTGCAACCAAGGGCACCGAAGAAGGGCTATACAATATGTATATCAGCTATCTGAGTGGATATATCTGATCCAGGAAGAGATTCGCCGCTTCGTGTATCGGAGCCAAGCTACCCCAAGGGTCTCATGGAGCTCCAGTTGTGTCATCGGCAGGAGTGGGATCGCGAGTGACTTACCGCATAGACGGGGCTATCAAATCCAAAGGTTAGTTGTACTGATTATAGAGGCCCCCAAAACAGGATGCAGTCGAAAAACCAGAGGTCACAATGGTTGAAATGCTGAGAAAAGGAGTAGAGGTGGTGATTACGTACCAGAGTTCGGAGGCCATTTTGACAGATAAGGCGACCTCGCGGCTTTAGAAGATGGAGTAAAACTATAGAAACAGCCGAAAGGAAAAGTGGCAGGGCAGGGACAGGCCGCGTCGACAGCGATGTGATGATGTTAGGCTTGGGGAAGCGAAACGGAGATGGAGGCTTGAAGGCGAACACGCTGGAGGCTTCGGAGAGGCTGACCGACCACCTGCGCGGTCAGGTGACGTTTGGCTTGGCGCCGTCCCGTTGTCGGTCACCCGCTTCATGATAACGTCCCAACCGTGTTTCGTAGGGTCGACCAAGCCGGCAGGTGGCGTTTAAATATACAGGTTCATATTGATACATAGATTTCTATCATACATCGACTTCATTCCAGCACTACTGCCACTCGACATCCAGGGATATCAAACTTGGCACTGGATTCTTGCACACCGGAGGTCTCCGCTCCAGTTACGGGTTGCAAGTATGTAATAGCTTTCTCCGATAACGCCCCAAAATACTGAGAGACGACAACCAAGTCCTTCTGCGTGCGATCGGTAGCCTGAGCAACGGACTCAGAATCAGAGACAATGCCGAAATTGAATGAAATGCGCCCGTCTCCAGGTCGAGGGTTCGGAGAATGATTGGGTTCTACAGAGACAAAGAACTGGACATAGTCTCCCGGTCCTGCAGCTTGAGATAGAGTCGATAGACTATCCTCAAGCTGCGGCATGTCAAAAAATGCAGGCGGGGGTGGGGGTACGTCCGAGACAGGATGCGCCTCGTGAACAGTGAGGAGACCATCCAGGTCTGAGAGTCCGTCCCCTCCATCTGTGTCGATAAAAGTCGTTTCAGGGTCCAGCGATAGGAGGCCTTGTTTTTTGCCCCATCCACCTCCGCCACTCATGACCCGATGGAGTTTACCTCCTGTCCTAACAGCTCTGGCAAGACTCTCTTGAGGATTAATGTCCGTTTCCACCTGAAAGCCGTTTTCAGAGCTCTCAATCAAGGCCCAAACGGAAACCCTCCGATCAGCAATACCGTGTTCCTCAATGTAGCGTGGCAGCTCCTTTTCCAGTTCAGATGAAGCTGGCATCGGTTCAGTCGATTTTCCATCTGTATGCTTTGCTAATTGACGAAGAATATTTCCCATGCTTGATATGACTCTCCTTCTTTGACCAACGGGGTACAGCGGGAGGTTGAATGAGTCTCGGACTGAAGTTACCGCCGAGGTGACCTTACAGTTGGAAAGGTTGAACGATTTCTCCAAGGCATATACATGCGAAGGTGTGTAGACCCAGCGTGTTCCAAAAAGAGTGTTATCGTTTCCATTCACGAATATCGTGTTAGCTAGTCGCAATCCAATCTCATGGGTGGGTCTCTGCGATGATTTCTGGAGTGCAAAGACCAGACTAGATTCCGTAACTTCCATACTCCGAACTCGACGAGGCGCAGCGACCTTCCCCTGTATCTTTTCCGCTTTCACCAGCAGAAGCGATATTCCTTCTGATTCAGGCGTGTATATCCCGTCAAGCGCCTCTCCATATTGTACGCGATGATCGGGTAGCTTATCAACCACGGCGACAATGGCGTGGACAGGCTTCGCGGAATCAAGGTTCGTGGAGGGATAGAAACGGTTGATCCATTGTTCGAGAAACCCGTGAGAAGACGTATCCACCCAATGGGCGAAAGTGGGGGTGATAAGGAGGATGGGTACGTAGTTTGACGGGGTCAGGGACCCTGGGATAGGGGACAAGCTCGAAAGGATGTCATCTGGAGTCTCTCAAACACTTAGCCAACGCAAAATTCATGGGCATAGAATCAATACTCACAATTTCATCCGGGGTCCTTGTAAGCCAGGTATAAGCTAAAGGAAAATCTTTGATTCCTGTGCTTCTCTGCGTTGTGACTGTTCTTCGTTTTGGGAATTGTCGAGCCAACTTCGCCTGGGAATGACGACATCCGATTGTAGCCAGCCGTGCTGGCAAGGAGCGCGGGGCGAACCCGAGTATCACGGACATAGAAGCAGCATGGATACCGACAAGCGACGGTTGATAAATCTGACGACCCTTCCAACAATTGCTCGACACACAGGCTACCTTGTGGTGTCAAGATGCTGGAATCGAGATCGGGGAATGCGGAGACCGCGGGAGATTTTTTGGCGGTCACCGCCAAGGGTGGAGGATCTGGATCGGTCATCGATGATGGACAGCCTCCACCTCCACCTCCACCTCTTTCTTGCATTTCTAAAGCTCTAAGAATCCCCTCTTGATGTTGATTCCCTAGTCCAGCACCTACTCAAGCCACTGGCTCCTGACATCAGCTCTGTTAGTCAGGTTATCTTTTCTCGATCTTCTTGCGGGATGTGTCCTCACGTATCGCACACAACGATATGATTGACTGATCTCTAGATCGACAACTACCTACTCCGAACCACGGGTGCAATCGCTCATGTGGACCTTGCTGACGATTCGCAGCCCCTCACACAACAACAGTTCTTCTATGTATCATTCAGAGCTGCCTAACTCAATAGTACATGACCTCATCCTCACTCATTGTCCCCTTCTCCTGCAACTCCTTAGCGGTCACCTTAATCCTTTCCACCATCGCCTTCCTATACTCAGGTCCAAGAGGGGGAGCTGGCTTTGACATATCCGGTCGTAGCCAAGGCACTGGCTTGATACCCTTCGCCGCCTCACGCATCAACTGAATTCCTGCACCTTCATAACCACCACCCAAAACAATAGCTGCAACGCCGCGCGAGTGGTCCTTCGAACCCAGCTCGCTATCGAACGTAACATCCTCCTCACCTTGCAGAAGCGCTGGAATTTGAAATGCGCCCGATTCAAATTTCATGACGAAGTAGATCACTAGATTATAAAACGGGTGAGCACTTGGGTTCGATAGTGTCTAGCTATTAACTGGGACACAACCATGTGTGGCTATTAGGTAGACTCGCCTTCAAACTCCGGCTTGATGTTTGTAATAATTGTCTCTCCTATCTCCTCAGACTTACCACAGAGGATGACGGGGAGAAAGTCGGCCATGGTGTTGATGGATATACGGTTGTGGGGAGAGTTATCCCGTGAGAAGCGATCAGCTATGAGTAAGTCTTTAAGAAAGCCTGTAGAATAATAATATACGAGTAGGCGAGATCGGGGTTTTATGTTTCGTCAAGCTGAACGACTTGATTCAGATACATAGTAGCATGCCTTAAGCTGCTAAAGTATATTGACTCCTTTAGGTACATTCGCGCGCCCGGGCTTCGCCTGCATGGATATCAATTACCTGATTGGTTCGCTCATATCACTTGTCCCCAGTCTAAGAGAGGCGCAGCCGCAGGAATTCATAGTGTAATGGGAACCGCTATACGTATAAGTGCGACAGTAGAGTGTTGCACTAAATCCTCAGTCGAGCGTGGTCGATATAGTTGACGTACCAACCGAGGCCATACACTGCCCCTTACTCATCATCGTTCATGATAAATGATTTTGTTGTGTGTTGCTTGTTCAATATTAAGAATCAGTGTTTCAGGAATGCAGCATCTGCAAAAGTATCTGCCGCATGCTCATAGAAAGTTGGGTTACAGAACGCTGAATCTACTAGGCTATTCCCGGGATAAAACTCAGATCAACTCATGACGACTTCTAGAATACGAGCCTTATTGATCACAAAAACTCTTTCGCTTGTTGGCAGTTAACTACAGTGGATTAATGACTACCAATCCCTCTTCAATCTGTTAGATATACTTCCGACCTCCCTAACAAATAAGCGGTATGAGACACGTACTTATAATGATATACCATAAAAGTCGCACGTATAGTTACTTTTCACCTAAATCATACTGCAAATCCATGGGCTGCTGCAGACTGATAAAGACTCTGAAACGCAGGCCTAAGACCAGGCTCTTCGGAGCGGTCATGTCGATCCAAACGTAGTTCAATGTATAAAGGTAGATTAAGATCTTCTGACTCGAGGGGCCCTGTTCTTGTAAATATAGAAGAGGCTGAGTATGTGGCTGAAGGATATTCTGCTGCCTTGCGGGCAACTTGGCCGTCCAAATATAACCTTTCTGAAGCGTTTCTGTAGGACTGGCCGGCTTATCTCTGGCCTTGAACTTGAAGGAACAACATACATAGTATTTAATAGTAGTAGCTGGACCCACCATCACAGTGAGACAATACCTTCCCAGCCAGCTGGAAGGTGTGGGGTTGCAAGGATGCTCAGGCACTCAGATGGTACTAAGATAAGGCGGCTTAAGAAGGCTGCCGCGACTTTGGTGAAAGATTATCAACTCGTGAATCTGTACAGTTCACCTAGACAAATAATTGCTGCTTACATGTTGACTATACGCCTAAACACGGACTATTATAGGGTAGTAAGCGTCATCGCAGTATTATACATCGCAATGATGTATTTGCGACTGCGCAAATATCCGAAGTAATGAATACATGACGTTGAAAATCCGGTGGAAACGTGCCCAGGGCCAGCGATCATCTAAACTCGCGTGGGTGTTTGACGGACAGATGCGCGTCAAATGATATCACTTCGTGCTTCCAAGAAACAAGCCCACGCTACAGGTACTAAAGTAACCATGACACGGAACCGGCATTTGCCCAAACTTCGCTGGAAGCTACAGGCATCATGATTCGCGCAGGGTTAGCCGTAGGGCTGGATGGTCCACTACTAGAGCCATGCAGCACTCCGTCCCCGAAGCTTCCACGGAGTCATACCCCTATTCCGTTCAAGGGTGCTGCTCCGTGGGGGCCACCCCTAGTCCGATTATAGCATTAGGTATCGAGTACGATGTCCCACCTAGAAGAGTCCAGACGGCGCCGACGCTTTGGATATCTGCAGAAACAGCCTAGTCGAGATTGGCGTCGAGGGCGACCGGCGCTTCAACCAGGCAAGCCATACGGCGGAAGCGCCAAGCTCCATCCAGGCAACAGGATAACTACTATGACAAAGGAAGGAGTAAAAATCGAAGTCAAAAAGTGATAAAAAAAAAAGTGGGAGGATGGCGAGAAGGTTCCCCTTACTGGGTAGGTAGTGTGCACTGATGCACCGCCTGGTGACAACATGGTTGAAGACCAATTTTGTCGACCATCAGCCACTGGTCTGGGGAGGCACAACGTCGAGACGACGCAAAAGTCAACCGCCGAGATCTGCCCATCGGGTGCTCGGGGCCAATCAGTGCAACAGCCAAGGCATCAGCCACAGCTGGCAATGAAAGTATGACGTAGAGGCCATGGCCAAAGGGCGGAAAGGGATCATCCTCACTATCGTCGTCGTCCGCCCCGGTTAATTATAATTATCACTAGCAGCTATTAGTCTTTTTTCTATTACCTAAAGGCGTCTCCGTTGATTATCGGCGAGTCGAGGACGTGCTTTACGTAGGAGTGCTCGGCGGAGGGTAGCTACTTAATTTTGCCGCCCATCATTTAAAGAGCCCTGTGGTCCCGCTCCCTTCCTCTCCTGATTTTTTGTTGCTCACCTATACCACCTTCATCTTGTCATAAGCTACTCCGGCTACTACCTCTATCCTCATCAGTCTAGTCCTTTGAAGAGAATCCCATCTCCCACGACTCACAATGCCTTTCACTGCCTCGTAAGTCTCCGTCCCTCGACGTCATCGTCCAGCTGCCTACAGTTCAGTCGCGCGCATACCTCGTCCCCGATATGGCAGAGCTGTCCTGCGGTCGCTGGAAATCGAAGCTCCTGTGGATGAGGAAGGAAAGCAGGATGGGCTGGCTGACTTCGTTGGACTTATAGGGACATCTGCAAGATCATCTTTGCGATCATTCTGCCTCCACTGGGTGTCTTCCTCGAACGAGGATGCGGCGCTGACTTCCTGATCAACATCTGTTTGACAATTTTGGGTTGGCTTCCTGGTGTCATTCACGCCTTGTACGTGGTCCCTCTAGCGGTGGTTGCCCAGAAAATGGTTGCTAACTCTTGCGTTTAGCTACATAATTTTCAAATACTAGACCGCCCTTCGTCTTCCCTGCTACCGCCCGCTTCGGTTCAAAACCTGTCGACTAGGGAATCACCTCGTGCTACGATTGTAACCCACCAAATCGAACATTTGGAATCAAGCGGGTGGGGGCGATGTTGTCAGCATCTTAGTACCGTTCCGCGCACTCCCGACGAGTCTAGCCTAATGCGACCCCGCCGATAAGCACCGTCATTGGGTGGATGTCCAGCGTGCTCAGTGCGATGTACGGAGTACTGTGGTCTGGATTGTACCTTTTTTATCTTGTGGTCATTTCCTTTTGTTGCTGTCTCTTTTGTACTTCGCATGATACCAGCTCACTTTAATACTGGGCTTTGCTTTTTTTCCCCTCTCTTGTTGTTGGCACTAATCAGCTTAATGATTGATGACAATGTCAAATTTATTAATTCATTCCATTGCATTCCGGGTCCGAATTGTAACTGCTTGTGGCATAAGCAGACAGTAATCCGCAGAGTGGGTATGGGGAACTCCGCGTGCCGATCGGTTCCTCGAGTACGCGCAGTCAAGCTAAAGAGTCATGTGATACGTCTATCTACTAGAATATTACAAGGCTTCAACCTCTCCCTCCCGGGTCGCCACGTTTAATTGGACTCTCAGTATCCCAGCCTTGCTGATCCTTCAGCCGATCACCTCCAAAGGGTCTCTGGATCGACAGCAGTTTGAAGGCGCGCGGTTAAGCCAACAGGGTCGGTTTGATTGTTTGGGCCGTGAAGCCCCCAAATCAACTGACCTGACATCAGGCTCCTTCCCCATCTGCAGGTTCGGCGCCAACACGGCGCGTAATTTATCGCCATCATCCATCCAAAGTCCAATCAAACCAAGCAGCAATCCTCCTGAAGGACTGCGTCCGTTGGCTACGTGTAGTGCGTTTGGGACGACGTTGCCGTGTTTCACCCAGGCGCGTATAGGGGACTTGGTCTCTTCTTCCAGTCTCGAACCTTGATTCCATTAACTTGCAACCACTCAGCGCCATGACAAAACGTGGTTTGACGCCCACAATGGCAGTATGCGGCGGATCGGACTGGTCCCTGAAGTTCCCCCCTCTCCCCTTATCGCAGCCGCTTTGTCTTGAGTTTGATGCTTGCTTGCTTGCGACGGTTTGAAAGCATCAAACCTCTGAACACCCAGTGTTTTTTGCTCTCTTCTTGTTCTCACCCCATTAGGATGATATTCTACGATTGTCAATGACTCCAGGGGTAGGTCTTCCTCTGCAGTGTCACTGTTGATGTATGTAGGCTTGGATTGACTCTTAATCTTTATGCTGGTTGCGATTCATTGGCTTGCATTCTATCCGTTGGTGACAGTCTACTAACTGAGGAAAGATGTTTTCACAAGATGTTATCTTCTGCTGGACGGTCATTCACGATAGCACTGTCGATCTTCACATGCGTCGCCTACAGTTCTCAGACTACTCTTCCTACAGCATCTGCGACAGCGCTGTCTGCTTTGATTCCGACTTGTGCGGCGGACTGCGTCAAAGAGTTCATAATAACTAACTACCCGACGAATGCGTGCTCTGAGCGGGACCTCGATTGTCTCTGTCGGACAAATACGACCAGTGGTTATACACTTGGGGAAGGAGCGTTCCGTTGTAGCCTCTCTCTGTGTTCGATACAGACAGTATTCAACTCTGACCTGTACGATATCTGCGACTCGGTACCCGGAGCCTTGCCACGGACTCATGCTACGATCACTGCTACAGTAATGCCAACGGGAGCAACTCGCACACGAGAGGCTACGACAACGACAGAACCTACTATAACAACAAGGACAGCACCATCTAGTTCGAGCTCCGGATCCAGCTCCAACACCAATACTAAGCTCACGTCTAGCCCCAATGCGAACTCGGACTCGCCAACTTCCAACACCGAGCATGCTTCTGTTACTACTGCAACTTTTCGAAGCCCTTTGACGGTAACTTCCCAGAATCTTCCTACCAATACTGGGAACGCTACCAGTAGCGGCCAATCGGCATCTGCGAGTTCATCGGGCAGTATGCTGGAACCTGCTGCTGTAATTGGGGTTTCAGTTGCCTCTGGAATTTCTGGATTCTTCATCATTGGTGTCATAATATTTTTCTGTTGTAGGAAAATAAGGCGTCGGAACCAGCAGAGCAAAGACCAAATTTTTTTCGAAATCGGAGGCGTCATGTCTGAGCCTCCGGATTTTGCATTTCCGCCACGACGGCCGACTGGGCCCCGGCCCATGCCCAGCGCAACAGACAGGGACTCCGAGACCTCGAGACTGATAACTCCATTTGAACCGAGGGCCCAGACTCCCGCAGTTGTCGTTACTGGGCCGGGAAAATACCACAGTGATAGCCCAATGGGGATACATAGTGCCGACAGAATTGGTTTCGCGATATCTTCTAATTCTGAAGTCAAGGCCTCATTGAGTCAATCGTCCCCACGAACGCTCTCGGATTTACTCCCAGATAAGCCGTCATTTGGACTTTATCCAGAGCCATTGAGATGGAGTCGCCAAAAACAGCCGAGGCGGAACAGTCATGCTACTTTATTTGAAGAGGATGTGACAAGGCCCCGGAGCTTTCTAGGCGCTTCGTACCGAAATTTGAATCCAGCGGATCCATCTAGTCGATCTCAGGGAAGCCGGCCGTACCAACGGGTCCCTATGGCTGGGTTGCCTGCAAATCCTCGTGCGATGCTTCACGGCTTTGGAGAAAGCCAGGGTGGGAAACTTGCCATGAGAGGTCCGAACTACCGGAATATGACTGTCGATGCAGACACTGGCGAGAAGATTCAATCCTCTAGCCAAGCCGACACCTATAACGGTCTACTGTATCGCTCTCCTCTTTTAGATACCGGTGAGTATATCGATGGATCCCGGCAAGATCGCGATGCTGGTCATACGCGAGTTGTCGGACAGCCATCGTCTTACGCCGGTGCAAGTCATTCGTACCATGATGCAGAAGCGAAGAGCAACATGCTATACAGTCTAGACGACAAGTTCGAGGACATTGACATTGATGGCCATACTAGCAGAGTACATCGCGAATCGCGGCATTCGGGGAGCCTTCGGCCGCTCACGCCGGTGCGGGAAGTCAGGACGCCGATACACGATCCCCCCAGGTGGAACTGGGAATTCCCCTCAAGTGGCCATTTTGACCCTCCTCGGATGCCGTTTTCTGGGGCTGTCAGTGCCGGTCAGGAGATCATTTCCAGACCGCGGATTGTGCGACGGGACGACATCAAAAGGGTCCAAATCCGGCGAGGCAAGCCACATCCCGAGGATTCAAACGCACCTTATTCGCCTGATGACTACTGGCTGGGTCATAGTCCAGGATTCGACACAAAAGCTCAAGCATGCAGGCAGTCGACTGATTCTATTCGTTCCATCGGAAGCATGAAAAGCCACATGCCAAAGAGGAAGCCGTTGCCGGTGGGGCGGGATTTAACCCCGTCGCGCAGCGGCTCCGATCTGATACTGCGCGTGGATTGACGAGATGCACAAAATGTAATAGCTAGTGCTGCACTATCTCTTGATGTAGGAGTCCGAGAGTGAGGGTTTTCCTTGTCTTCGGGATGACTCAGTATATAAGACCGGGTGTATTCTTTTCTGTTGTATGATATAAATCATGTTCATGTTCATCTGGTGGTGAGAAGGCGGTCTTCTTTCCACGACGCCGCCCTTGTGTTGCCCTTCTTCTTTTTTCTTTTTTCTTTTTTTTGTTTTGTGGCTTGTATATATGCTTTTGATATGGATGGATATGGGTTAGAGGATGTGGGCGCTGGATAGGCTAAGGATCTTGTACGGTGACTATGGGCTCCCATCCTTGGCCCCACTCCCTGCCTGTCATCTGGAAGGCTCACTCTAGCTAATGCAAAGGAGCAAAGTCTATGAGGTATCCGATAACACCCTAGCTGAGAGTCAGATATGACCACGGTCATCTCCCAGAAAATCACGCAAGACAATGGAGAGTCTAATTCCCGGTATACCTTCCCCTAATTCGAGGGCGTGCACCACCCATGAGGCAATTACGGTTCCAAGTTTACCGCACGGGAATCCCATGTGAACTAGTCGAGGATGACACTGTTGGTACGCAATACCTGATACGTTACTCCGTACGGCCAGAGCCGGGCCGGTTCCGCCATGACGTCAGAGCGGTGATCAGCCCCTGGCGGATGACTGAGGCAGTGAGGCAGCACTATTACTACGTTCTACTATTATTACCTCAATTCGACTAGTGATGTAGTGATGTAACGTCCGCTCCGATGCTTCGCTTTGACTGTGGCTGACAGATCCATCGTCCAGGGGGGTGGACTAGGAATGTAGTATGTAGGTACGTGCATTCGGTAGTCCCCCACCCCCCCCTCCCTCGTCTCCCGACCTGTTATCGTCCGGGGTGCGGATAGTAGTATCGATGACAGATGCGTAGGATTACAATGCTGAACGTCATTGGTGGTGACCGGGGCTGGAATTCCGTGTATTGGGAAAAGTACGATGTAGTACGATGTAGTACGGAGCAGAAGTCGAGGGGTGGTATTGTAACGCACCCGTGGATGGTTGATGTCAACTTCGCTCCGCCCTCTGCTTCGCTCATCCTCATTGCTTCATTGCAACTCGCGCGGTCGCCATGAGATCAGTCCCCGCCCCCATTAATGACCCGAAAACAACCTAACCATCCTGTCCACCCAAACATGAGCTCTGGGTGGGTGGGCTTGACCCTGCTTTCCTGATTAATGGTTCGTAATGGTAAGTTGGATTCATCCTCATCCCCCCTCCTGCAGCCTCGGCGTCTTTAGACTGCCGACGCGGTTGGCGCCTTGACCGTTGGTAAGGGCGAATCACAGAGCCAGCCTCCTCCATCATCATCCTCCATTGTCCAGGGTGCACTGGCATGTATGGCTGACTGACTTCTACTAAGTCCTCAGGCATACCACTACTGATACACTACGACCGAAGACCGATCAACAAACTTTGATTGCAGTGGGGTTGGACAACCACCCTCGCAACCACTGCAGAATCAACATGGCCGGTCACCAGTAATATTGAAGCTTTTGTCAAGACGCGGTCGATGACGGCGCCACGGGCTGCATCGCCCAAGGGAGAACCACCCCCAGGCGTCTTCCACCGCTTGACTGTTCTGTCGTATATTAATGGCTCTGGTATCCCATTGTCATTCGAGAGTTGACCCTCTTTTCTGGCTCCTCCCACCCCACCTTGACCATCCTCTTTACGCCCCTCATCTGTGATCCATACTTCCCTGTTCCTTGCTGCACATCACCAACACCTTCCAGGAACTGCACAGGTGATTGTATAGTACCGTGTGTATAAGTACATCCTTGCGAGGGCACATTGGGAGCATTACTGGGATCCATTGATCATCTTGGTTCCCTTATTGTTTTCCTGGATTTCGCGTTGGAGACAATCTCCCCTGGGGATCCTCTTACGTAGTGGTCGATCGATCTTCTCAGCATTGGCCATTTCTTGTTCCGGCCGTTTCTTGTTCTTATCCTGGTCCCACAGAAGGCCCACATCTACTATCGCCACTCCGCCCGAATTCCATTGTCGCAATGACAACAACCGACGGCTTCGGTACCCCAAGGGTGCGTCGGCTGTCGAGCCTGGATGCCTGCCGGGCCGACCTATATGGCGGTCCTAATGTGGCCATCCCTCCTAAACATTTGATGGCTTCCACTTTATCCCATGAAACAGCCATTGAGATGGATATGGCCAAACAACACCTGGACGACGACGTTTCTTCCACGGAAGGCTCCCCCCGTGCTGCTTCCCCGGTTGCCGAGAAGCCTTTCACCACTGCTGATGATTTCGCCCTGGCCTTCGATATTGACGGCGTGCTTATCCGGGGAGGTCAGGCTATCCCTGAAGCTGGTGCTGCTCTCAAATATATTAATGGAGAGAATCCGTACGGGATCAAAGTGTATGTATCTGATCTCTTTTCGCTTGTCTTCACAGTCGTGCTCCTTCTTCCGTTCTTGGAAACGTGCTGACTGCTATTTCTCCAGCCCCTATATCTTTGTAACCAACGGTGGAGGCAAGACGGAGGAAGAACGATGCCTAGATCTCAGTCGACAGCTCGAACTAGATGTCTCCCCGGGCCAATTCATTTGTGGCCATACACCAATGCGCGAAATGGCAGAGAGGTACCACACGGTTCTTGTCGTCGGTGGTGAGGGTGAAAAATGCCGTGTTGTAGCCGAAGGCTATGGCTTCAAGGATGTCATCACCCCTGGAGATATCATCAAGACACGACACGACACTACACCGTTCCGGAAATTGACCGAAGAAGAACACAAGAACTCTCGAGTTCGAGACTTCGAACAGACGAGGATCGAGGCAATCTTTGTCTTTGCTGATAGTCGAGACTGGGCTGGCGACCAGCAGATTATCCTGGATTGTCTGATGTCGAAGGACGGGCGCCTGGGCACCCGGTCCGAGACCTTTGACGAGGGACCGCCCTTGTTCTTCTCCCACAACGACGTCGTCTGGTCCACCTCCCATGAACATTCACGAATCGGTATGGGGGCTCTCCGTGCGTCTCTGGAAGCGCTATACAAAGCCGTTACTGGCAAAGAGCTCACCACGATCGCCTTTGGCAAGCCCCAGCTGGGCACATATCAATTCGCTATGCGTCTCTTGCGACAATGGCGGAAGAACACCCATGGCATTAACAAGCCGCCCAGAACTGTATATTTTGTGGGCGATACCCCGGAGTCTGATATTAGGGGTACGAACGAGTTCAACGAAATCAGTGACGCCCACTGGTTCTCAATTCTGGTCAAGACGGGTGTGTACCAAGAGGGCACCATCCCTCGTTATCCACCCAAGAGGGTGTGCAACAATATTCTGGACGCGGTCAAGTTCGCCATCGACCGTGAAATGTCCAAAGGCGACAAGGAGTCGGCCATTATGGATGACGTCGATTCCGGTATTGACTCAGAAACGGCTCTGTGCAACTGAGTCTCCCGAGGCTGGCTGGTGATGATACACTGTTTTGTTCGTGAACACACCAGTAGATTTCTATCTTTTGCGTTAGCCTATACTCGTGTCGAAGGATCCCTTCACTTCGTCGACTATGCTATGAAGGGCTGGCAGATATATGATCTTTGCATTGTATTCACATTGTTCCAGTCAGGAATGTCGTTACAGACTGTGATAGAAAAGTCCAGATGCCTATAGCAACTGGAATATGATACCTTATTTGTTATACTAGAAATGAGATGGTTAATGACAGCATGAATCTAAACTCCAGGGTAACTTGTTCAAATTAGGACCCGTATCTCTTCTGATCGATACCATCAAGAGAAAATCCCCCATCAGTCTAACATTAGCAACCCAGTAAATCCAATCAACCCCCATCCAAACAAGTAGTAGCTCTTGGCATAGTAGTCGTACGGGCCGGGCGTACTGCAACTACTTCCAAAACCGATACCACACAGCCACCCCAATGGATCCAACCCACCGGCTCTATCCATCCACCAATCACCCACCCCCATAATCCTCCACACTTAATATAAGGTCGCCCCAATTCAACCGGATTCAATCCAAACCAATATAATCCAACTCAAAACACACAAAGCCCCTCATACCACACGGAACACCCCAAACGGGCAACTCCGAGCCCGCCCATCTAATTAAAGTTAGTTGTCTAGACACCCCTCCCCCATCCCGCACGGCAGACGTCAGAATGCGGGGGGAAGTATTTCCGGCGCGTCTGAGTGGTGGATGGCGGAGCGGGTGCGTGTCTCCAATGAATGAGTATAATAGGTAGCTCAGCCTTGTGCGGTGATGAATGTGGGGTGCAGGGGAAGACAAAGGAGAATGGAATGCGTCACATGTGGTATGTTTGTGCTTGTGCTTATGTTCATGTGAAGGGGAATAAGGTCTAGGTCTGTCTTGGTGTGGATCAGTATGGGAGTGTGTAGGGTGGTGTATATCTGAGACGGGGCGGATAGAGTCGGATATCTGTTTTGTGTTTGTGTTTGTTTTTTGTGTTTGTGGGTTTGGTCTGGATGTATGGATTGTTTTCTAGATGGTCTAGTCTATAGAGTGAGTGTAATGTGGTGGCGCGATGGAGTGGAGAAGAAAGTCTATGTGATGCTTTGTGGTGATATACTGGTGCTTGTTGGCTGTTGGTTATGGCTGCTGACTGTTGTTCAAATTTCGAAAACTTGTTCAAGCCAGTGTTTGATGACCACCTTTCCCTCTTCGAAGCCCGGTTTGGGTATCCGGACAATAATCGCGGCGTGGCTGTGTCGGTGGTTGTGGATGTAGACCGGGTGTCTTCGGAAGCCAACGGAGTTGAGGGATTCAATGATGGAGAATTGAGCCGGTGTCAATGCGAGAGTTGGAAATTCTTGGGTCTCGGAGACTTCACCGGAAAGTAGGGGCTCAGACGCACTGTCTGAGCTTTCGTCACGAAGTGCACTGCTTTTGCCCTCGACGGTTCTTCTGCCTTTTCTTGTGGATGTAACTTGTTTTGGTTTCTCCTTGATTTCGTCCGTGTTCATGGAGAGGTAGTCTGGGTCTTGTCTGGTAGCTGCGTGTTCGAAAGCCTCTTCGATGGCGTGCTGGACCCCTTGGACCATGACAGGGACGCGGTAGCGTCCAAATATGGTTCCTGAAGGTCCCTCTTCGTGGAGACGGATTCTTCGCTGGCTGCGGAAGGTCTGGATGGCGGAGTTGACGAGAAAGATAGGGAACCCGATGAATAAGATGGTGGTAAAGAGGAGTTGGAAGGGGATATCGGTCAAGACACTGGTAAGCTGTCGCCGTGCTTGGAAAAGGAGTGGCAGTGGCTCTGTGTGTTTCTTCTCTGATGGTAAGATATGCATGTCAGGATCAATCACGACCGGTTCATAGCCTTTCACGTAGTTGATATCAACATCCTCCGGATCGTGGAACGGGTTGATCGGTGAGATAGCCGTAGTGTAGTAAATAGTTGACCGGTCGTTGACAACATTCGCATACACGGTGCGATGCTTGAATTTTCTCAAAGCCTTGATGAAGATGCTGTCCTGGTCGGCTAGCACGCTGAGCAGCGGCTTGCCCGAGTCTCGAAACGAATCGATCATGAACAGTTGTTTGCCTGAGATGGAGATGGTGTGAGGCCCCACGTTGTTCCAGAGGAAGCCCCAAGTGCCCTTTAGAGGATGTCGTACGCCGACATGTGGTGAAACGAATGTGGTGAAGTTGACGGGCTCAAGCTTATCGAGCCATCCCCGGGCATACAACAGCCCGAGCGCATATCGAGCCACAAGACCCCCAAGAGAGTATCCGACCATGCTTAACTTGGTGATGTGATGCCCTGCTTCTGCCAGCTCCTCCAGTGCTTCTTCAACCTCATGTGCCACACGCTCTCCACCGACCTCGATGCCATCGTAGGTGAAGTTTCCGGAGTTCCGCTTGGCGGCTAGGATATGGAGCCGATCCTCGCTGTATCGGTCTCTTAGCGACGAGGTGATATAGTCCAGATGGGAAGGGTTGCCCCAGAGTCTGTACGTCACGGATAGTGTAGATGTCAGTGAATCTGATCCGGTTTCTGTATTCAGGGGGCTTATCTCTTACCCATGGACCAAGACACAGAGGTGGTCGGCATTCCGTGACGTCTCCGCCGGCGTTCGGCCGCTATCGAGCTCCATGGGTGGCTCTGACTGGTGTATTTTCTCAAAAATGGTGTCAATGTCCTGCGATGCTGTACCGGGTAGGCCTCGTCCGCTTATTTAACATTCTCTGGAATGACCGGCCGAGCTTCAACGCGAATCCCTTCAGGATGAGGCTGTGTACCTATTCTGGTGGCTGTCAGACTGTCCAGCGGTGGCCCCTTACTAAGCCCCGATAAGGAACGTCATCGGAAGGATGCCTGCGAGAGAGCCCCCACCCAGCTGGAATCGTGCTTATTTGTCTGCGTAGTCTCTCCATCGCGTGGCATGGCTGCTATCGAACAAAGCCTGGAGTACGGAGTACTAGTTTGAAAGGCTCGACCTCGCTTGGATTGGCGAACAGGTAGGACAGGACAGTGGCTGGCCCTCCTGCAGCTGCATGCGCCTGTTTGCATGGTTTGCACGCCAACATCCCGAACTGCAGCTTCGGCTTCAACTTCAACTTGATGCCATGGCAGGCACCGCGTTGAGATAAGACAAGTGCGAAGGACTCTCATCTGGAACTGCGTGATCAGCGTTCTAAAGTGGGTCCCGAACCCACAGCAGGCCCATTGCTACTCCCAAGCCAGTTCCTCCTTCCAGTTCCACATATGTCGAGTGCACGCTGCGAAGCAATGCAAGGCACGAACCGACTGTTTTCATACCTGATATATAATCGCTTCCTAAATATCCGTATCGACACTTCCTACTGAACGATCTTCTTTCTTATTCTCCGATCATGATGTTCGCACCTATCGGTCTATTCAAGGACGTACCTTGTCCGGAAGGACAAAACTGCTTGCTCTTGACCTGCATGTTCTCTCACAAGAACCTCAGCTCCTCATCAGATCCTCGAGAGACCCATCAGAGCGCCCATGTGCCACAGGCAACGCAGAGCTATATAGCAACGGCTTCAGGGGAAACTGGTCCTGTTAAACCCAAAATACAAACTACGAGTGACTATAAAGCCAGTATAAATAGCAAACCGTCACATATGTCCCGAAAAGAACCTACTGGTCAGAGTCCAGCACCAACAGCCCCAGCTATCAAAAAGGCTCGGCCCAACGGTCAGAGTCCTGTCAAGCTTCAGTCACTGTCCAGAGAAGTCACTCCGCCAGCAAAGGCAAGCTCGACCCAGGCAAAGTCGAGCGCATCCACCTCACATAAAGTCCGACCGCCACGGCAAGCACCACGAGAGAGCCTTAATCCTCGGATGCTGACGAAAGCACCTGCCCCTCATGGTGTGCGCCTGTCCATAATCACGAAATTACATGCCGCTATGTCTGCTCTTAATGATAAGATGGGCAAAGACAAAGAAAGCAAGGACAAATATCTCGTCCTCACGCCAAATGAGCTTGTCACAATGGCCTTGGATGAAGAGGAAAAGACGGCGAAGGAAAATCCAAGCATATATTCCAATGTCATCAAGCTACGAATTGTGAAGCTCTCGAAGATGAGCAAAGATGACTGGGCCAATGAAGTGAAAGTTCATCTGAATGAGCGGTATTACAAGATTGAGCCCGAGTCCGAGCAGTCGAAGCCAAAAGTTCTTGCCACTGGGCTCAGTACGAAGGAAGAAATCGCTCTGACGAGCAAACTCCTCACCCCTCTGCAAGGTCTGGAGCAACACGGCTACGTGACAAAAGCCCCATCAGACGCGGAGGTGGAAGGTGCCAGGAAAGGCGTTATAGAATCCAAGGGATGGGAGAAATGTGATCGATGTGGAGGGAGGTTTCAGGTCTTTCCTGGTCGGCGGGAGGATGGGACATTGACGACTGGAGGACAATGCACATATCACCCGGGGAAAGCCCTCTACCCGCCGAAGAAGAAGACCGATCACATTACCGGGCATAAAGATTCATACTTTTCTTGCTGCAACGAGTCAGTGGGAACTTCTGCTGGCTGCACCAAGGGGAATACACACGTCTTCAAGGTGTCGGAGACCAAACGACTCGCATCAGTATTTCAGTTCCAAAAGACTCCAGCACAGCCAGACAAAGGACCGCTGCCGCCAGTTTCCTTCGACTGTGAAATGGGGTACACAACACAAGGGCTGGAGCTGATTCGGCTAACCGCTGTTAGCTGGCCCAAAGGTGAACCACTCTTGGATATTCTTGTCAGACCCATAGGTGAAGTTTTGGATCTGAATTCCCGTTTTTCTGGCGTCTTTCCAGAACACTACACGAAAGCCGTCCCCTACGGCAGCTCTGTCCCCCAGACGAGCGCAGCGGTTCTGGAAGATGGGGAGGTAGAGATGCCTCCCTTGCAGGTGGTTGAATCGCCTGCCGCAGCCCGAGAATTGCTGTTCGGATATCTACAACCAGAGACACCGTTGATTGGGCATGCAATTGATAACGACCTCAATGCCTGTCGCATCATCCATCCGACAATTATTGATACGGTTCTTCTCTACCCGCATCCACGGGGCTTACCCCTCCGCATGAGCTTGAAGGTTCTATGCAAAAGACACTTGGATCGAGACATCCAAACAGGAGGCAGCCGTGGTCACGATTCCAAAGAAGACGCGATCGCTACGGGTGATTTGGTGAGGGTCAAGGCAACAGAGACTTGGAAGATCCTTAAGTCTAAAGGATGGTGCATCCACAACAATCAGCTCGTGCCACCACCAGGTACATCAGACGCCGACGCTGCAGCTGCACATGGAAAGCTTGGATTGGGGGCAGGCCAGAAGCGGACAAGCGCGACATTGGGGGATTGATGCATGACCATTAAGTAGGATATGTTATATAGTTCAGTGATACCCACGGTACAGACACCGAAAATTGTACAATGTTACTACGCATTCTACAAGGAGATAACATGGGTTCGAGTGATAGATTGCTCTATTCAATCGTATCTACCAGTCATAACGTCATGAGTAGAGGTAGCCATGACGAGCCAGGCCAGCTGCAGCGATGCCACCTTCTCAGGTACATGCAACACCAGCCATCACCCAAGGCGGCATAGGAATCCCTCCCAGTAGAGCGCATCTATACCCAATCCCGACTCCAAATAATAACCCTCAATTCAGATATCGCTCCCATTATTGGCAACCCCTGACGCGAGCACACTTGTCTGGTAATTTTCCGATTTTTTCAATTGGTTGTTTCGTGAAGGAGTAATTTACTCCTCATCCTCCTCGCCCTCGTCGTTGACGACGTTGTAGAAGCGGAGCTCGTAGACACCCTTGGAAGTGGAGACAACGCGGAGCCAGTCACGGAGCTGCTGCTTCTTGAGGTACTTCTTGGTGCTGTTGTATACCATTAGCTCCATATTCCTCGGATATCTCAAGCCGGAAAGTTGGTGAGCACGTACAGGTACTTGAGGTAGCGGCCAGAGAAGGGGATGTGAGCAACAACCTCGACCTTGCCGTCACCAGCCTGGGAGATGACGACCTTGTCACCGAGGTTACCGACACGGCCCTCGACCTTGATGCGGTCGTGGAGGAACTTCTCGAAAGCGGAGAGGTCGAAGATCTTGTCACCAACGGGCTGGGAAGCGTTGATGATGTACTATAACCGAACAATCATTAGTGACCCGAGTTCCCCGATTGCGATTGCGATTGCGATAAGCAACATACCTTCTTGGTGACCTTCTGGGCCTTGCGACCACGAGTCTATTACCGGAAAAAAAAGGGATTAGCCTACTGTTCCATAATGTCGGATCCCCAGGGTATATTCCATGATGAAAGTGATCTACACGGTCGCTCAATGCAACAATGCAAAGAGAAACTCGTGCTCATGGATATGGACCCTTACGGGGGAACAGCAAAGCAGTTGGAAAGGAAACATACAGTAACGGGGGCCATTGTGATGGTTGGGGGAGGGGGTATTTTGGAGGATAGAGAGGGATTTTTTGGTCGCAAAGAGGTGAATATCCTGCGCGCTTGGAGAGAGAAAATCGTCGAAAGTCGATGGAGGACGCTGGACACGGTCAAGTGCGTGTCACTAATCCGTTTTGGGACATGTGGATAGGGTTGGCAGAAGCTGATTAGGGCAGGCTTTTGTCATCTGACGGGGCTCAGGACTGGGCCAATCAGAGATGCCTTGGCTGCTCGCTTCTGGGATTTCCGAACGACGCTAGTCAGTGGCCGCGCACGGGCCGCCGGGCAGACGGTATATAAGCCGCTTCCCCCCAGCGATCTTTTAGACTTTTTTTTCTTTTCTTTTCCAGCTCTCTTTGCCTTTTGGCTTAGATCAAGTGTAGTATCTGTTCTTTTCAGTTTAATCTCTGAAAGTGTTCTAAGGAACACAACATTGATTAATCTTATTTTTGTACCCCGTGGAAGGGCCTCTGTGCTTGCGCATGCTTTTCCACACAGTGTCATTGGGCTTACACTACCTCCGATCGACGCGAACCTCTTTTTTCATCAATTTGGTCGGCATGCCGACTGCTTGGAGAAGAAGGATTAGATACTTGTAGCTTGTATACAGGCTTAGCAACAACTAGCATTTCTCTAACCACTCATCGCTTTAACCATATATAAGATTAGATACCACTCCGAATCTTCGAGAAGGAGCAACCTCAGTGTTCCCTCCACCCCCACGTGATTGAACTACATCAGCTGCTTTACATCCACGACTTTCATACACCAGCTCAAACACCGTAGCCACAGCAAACCATTCATCATGGGTTCCGTTGTTCTGCCGCATCTGCGCACAGCCTGGCACGTCGACCAGGCCATTCTCTCTGAGGAAGACAGACTTGTGGTGCGTATACACCCGACTTGAATCAGCTTTCGCGATATCCTAATAAACCGGCTTCAGGTCATCAGATTCGGTCGCGACCACGATGTCGACTGTAACTTCCATCCCTCTCCTATCTCAAGAACCAAACACTAACCAAACCCCCAGGCATGCGCCAAGATGAAGTCCTCTTCAAGATTGCCGAACGTGTGAAGAGTACGTCCCCTCTACCCAAAGACCCAACCTGTATGAGATAGATGTCTAACAAACACAGACTTCGCGGTAATCTACCTCTGCGACATCGACGAGGTCCCCGAGTTCAACACGATGTATGAACTCTTCGACCCGATGACTATCATGTTCTTCTACCGAAACAAACACATGATGTGTGATTTCGGTACCGGTAACAATAACAAACTGAACTGGGTGCTTGAGGATAAGCAGGAGATGATTGATATCATTGAGACGATTTACAAGGGAGCGAAGAAGGGACGTGGTTTGGTGGTTAGTCCTAAGGGTGAGTTTTCTTTTTCCAATCTACTTGCGGAGAGGTTGTGGCTGATAGTGGGTGTAGACTATTCGACGAGGTACCGCTACTGAGAGGCTGGGTTCAACTTATCTGGTTGGGTTAATGATATGAGTTATGAACGTGTGGGATTGTTCAGAGGTAGGGTAGATGATGTTGAATGTGAGGTGATTCCTTACTTCAATTTTAAGTATATCTCTGGCTGGGATGTAGATGGACTTTGTAGGTCCTTTCATAACGCCATATGACCCAAAAGTAAACGTAAAACTTGAAGAAATCAGACCAGAAACCAAACCTCTCTAAAATCCCAAAACATGGCATAGTAAAAGAATTACTAATCCCCAAATGTCGACAGGAATCTTCCTCCGTCCAAAGCGATAAATATAAGTAAAGTAGTAAAGCGGCAGAAAACCACCAATCCCCTGCCCCACAATTTCTTTTCAGCTTTATTTCCCTGACGTAACATCCAACAACACTCCCGCATCACGAATTCCTCCTCACCAACAAAAACCTCGCGCCTATAACCCCCCCAACTCATCAAGATGATCGATCACCATATCTTTGAGGACCTCCAGGCCAAGATCGACGACGAGGCCGCCGTTCGCGATGTAAGACCGTGCCAAGCCCCAACCCAACCCAGCCAGCGGCGCGTTAACGTATCGATATACAGGAACTTCATGACATTGTTCAGACTTTGGCTAGAAAGGGTACTTATTTGTCTTTCCTCTTCTATTTGATGTTGATGTTCTTGTGTCTCGTGCTAATACGGAGATTAGGTCGCTCAACTCAAGCTATTCTCTCCCGGGCTCATTCTACTCCCACTGATCAGTGTATGATTTCCCATTTACTTACTCCCCCCATTTACTTACTCCCTCTAGACACAGATAGCTAAGAAGAAGGAACAGTGAAACCCGTCCTCGACGACGCAACCAAAGAGATCATCGCACAACGAGATGAAGTCTCCCGACTGAAGACCGTGGCTGATAAGCACCCGTTTTACAAGTATAATGGGCTGTGGACGCGTGAGTTGCAGAACTTGGTAAGCAGTTAACTACTTATCATCTACGGCGCAGCACCGTATAGTACTCCTGTTGGAGAATGGCTAATAGTCGACTAGGTCTCATCGATTGAGCTCTGCGCCTGGCTAGGCGGACTTGAAGAGTACAAAACCAACAGCTCGGCCTCGTTTCTGACTATTGAGGAGGTTGGGAAGTTCTTGGGTGGTATGTTTTCTTGTTTTTTTCTGGATTAAGGGGTTTGGGGATGGATCTGGTGGTTGGTTGGTTCTAATGCTGTCTAGTGCCTGTTAATCTCAAGGAACAAGATGCTTTCCATCTCACGATCGAGGAGTATTTGCTTGCGTTGATTTCGATGGTTGAGGAGCTGGTGAGTAATAACCTTGACTAAGGAATGGGGGTTTGGCTGACTTGGTTGTTGTAGGCCCGTCTTGCTGTTAACTCGGTCACTCTGGGTGATTATACTCGGCCGGTGCAGATTGGAAACTTCATCAAGGATCTGTTTGCTGGGTTCCAGTTGTTGAATCTGAAGAATGATATTCTGCGGAAGAGAAGCGATGGGATTAAGTACAGTGTAGGTTCTGCTTCTTGTTTCTACCCTGCGGAAGCTAACTGAGTTGTATAGGTCAAAAAGGTGGAGGATGTCGTGTATGATCTGTCTCTGCGCAATTTGATCCCCAAGGGTAGCGCTGCGGCGTAAGACAGAAAAAACGAAGAGGTGGATGATGCAGTAAATAAGCATGACTTAATATGATATGACGACAGTCTATAACATGACAGTCGAACAAATTCCGAACCCATTCATACTATATAAAACCTAGTACTCAAGACAAAGACATCAACATGGTATCACAAACACCCTCCCTTCCCGTCAGCAGTATATATATATATATATGTATCCCCCCTATCACCCTCAAGCCAGCTTCGCCTCAGGCTCACCCTGGGCGTCACCCGCCTTCTTCACCGAAGCCAAGGTCCCCTCCTTCTTCGCCTTCTCAATCTCCTTCACAATAGGCTCCTCCAACGACTCAGGCTTCGTCAAACTGGCCCACCGTCCAACAACCTTTCCATCAGCCGAGATCAAGAACTTCTCAAAGTTCCACTTGATACGCTTCAGGCCCAGCAGACCGGGCTGTTGCTCCTTCATCCACGTCCACACCGGCGCCGCCTTATCCCCATTCACGTCCAACTTGCCCAGCACGGGGAAAGTCACTCCGTAATTGATCTGGCAGAACGACTGGATCTCGTCGTTAGAGCCGGGGTCCTGGCTTCCGAACTGGTTGCAGGGGAATCCGATGATGGTGAAGTCCTCGGGGTATTTGGCCTTCAGGTCCTGGTAGAGCTTCTCAAGGCCTTGGAATTGGGGCGTGAAACCGCATTTCGAGGCCGTGTTGACGACCAGGACGACCTTGCCCTGTAGGGAGGTGAGGGGGAAGGCGTTGCCCTTTTCTGTTGGTGGGAGGGGGTATGGTTAGTTTTTTGGGTGGGGGGAATGTAGAAAAGGAGGAGATAGATGGGGGTGGGTGAGTGAGTGAGTGAATGGAAGTGACGTACTATCGACGGGCTCGAAGTCGTAGAAAGTGGTCGCGGAAGACATGGTAGACAGTGAATGAATCCTTTGGATAGTAGGAAAAATGTTCCGAGGGGTGTGTCGCGATGATGTCGCAAGACAAGTAGCAGTAGTAGTTGTTGTTGTACTAACAGATCGTACCGTCCCCAAGGGATGCGCAACTAGATAAGCAGTTTGCGACGCAAGTCTCGACCTGCAGGATGATAAATCACGAAAAGCAAAGATGGATGACACACGCATAACCTCGGCGGATAGAGAGGGGGCGTACCAGCTTAATCCCAGGCGCATGCGCAAAGAGGAGGCCCAATGCAGGGTCGGGATCAAGAGATTCCGACACCCGAAGGACGATGGTCAGTGGTGCATGTCATCATCGCCTGTTGCGTACGGGTCGATCGATACGCAAAAGCCAAAAAGAGAGGTGCAGAACCGTTGGGTTGTTGCGCCACCGGCTCTTTTGCTGCTTTGGGCTTGGAGGGGGTTTTTTTTTACATCGGGCGCGGGTTGGTTGGTGCAGATGGTTATGCATGGCCATCATTAATTAATAACCATGTTGGTGATTCGTGGGTGGTTCATTTGGGAATTCCAAATACTGGGAGAGTTGAGACAGTGGGTGGATACAATATGTCTCGTCACTCTCGTGGCTTCTGGGGGTTTAATTAATCGTTGCCCGTTCATATTGCTTCTATTGAAGTTTAGTGGCCTGCTTATTTTCTTCTTAGCTTGAGCTTTTTTTTTCATGGCATGTTGTTTCGCATCTACCCTACCAGTAGATGGGTAGTGATTGATTAGTGATCTTCTTCTAGACCCTGCCATAAAACAAGCAGCCACCTCAAAAATATCCAATTTCACCCCCAATCCAATCTCCTGACTCAAATCCCCATTCGAAGCCCCATTGCACCGCCATCCGTAGATGATTCCCATCCACGGTACACGGGTGCGCATCCACGCATCCCCTTCCACACCCCCGGACACGGCTCGTCTCGTCTGTTCACCACGAGAACTAACATCCGGGTTCCGGGCTCCATCCGACCGGACCTGACCAGCGCACCCAAACACTGGCCCGACGACTCAAATCAACCAGATCGGGCAGTGGCCCTCCCACAATGCCTCTCGTAGAAGAGTAACCCTCGCAATAATACTAAAGTACTTCGGTTCGCCTGTGTATGGGCGACCAAGCTTGATTCATTCATTTCTCGTCCTCCGCGTCCAACACATCCACGTCCAATTCCTCCATCACTCCAAGTACAACACCCAGGTTCTCCATGAAGCCGTTCACGGCGACGCGCAGCATGCGGTTCGTGGTTGCGCGGTAGGTCGTCTCCAGAACGGTTTTGGCTTCCTCGGACGCGGTTGGCTCTTTGGTGGGGGTGGTCAGGGCGAAGCTCCGCTTCACGAAGGGGGAGAGCTCGGTGTCGACTTCGAGGGTGCGTAGGGCGGAAGATGCGAGGCGGTTAGTAGGGAGAGGGAGGGAGATGGTGCTGTTGGGTTGTTGGTCAGTGGTCTTGATTGACTTGGGGGGAAATGCGGGCTGGTTCGACTTACAGGGTGTAGGGGAATTCGGTGGGGGTCTGGTTGGAGGCCATTTTGGGTTGTGTGTTAAATTATTGGGTGTATGGGAGTGGGAGGTAAGGGTATTTGAACAGTAGGTCAATTGTCCTATATAGCAGAGCGCAGCGCTGTGAGAACTGAGAAGATTGATATTGAGGCGGGGAAGTGGGATGTGCGATAAGGCATGAGTCAGCAATGAGGCCTCAGGCTACAATACGTATACTATTTATGTTCAGGATAATGGAGCATTATATTCGTAGTTCCAAGACATTACAATTATTCTGGTATAAAGTACTATATACTGCACACGGCCTTTGCCGAGGCTCCTCTCCTAGGCCAAAAAGAAGAGATCCTTGAATGTACAACAGTATAGCCCTCCCACCGAGTCATGACTTCGTGAAGGTTTCCCCGGTCGAAGGCTCCATGACACGTCTCGAGGCATTGAGCGAGGTGTTGTGGGTATAAAGGTATAACACGTCATCTTTTACAGAAGAGCGAGGACGGACTGAAGGTTGGCAAGACCTCCTAGGGTATCGTCAGCAATATCCTCTCGAGTAGTTGTTAATGCAACTCACCGTCCTCGGTGAGGAGACCCAGGATGTTGTCAAGGCCGGTGACGGTCAGGTCACCTTGAAAGAGTCAGTAAGCTCGCTTTGTTGGACAGGTCAGAGTGTGACCTACCGCTCTGGATCTTGGCAACGAGAGTCTCGGAAAGGCTGGAGAGGTCATCGACGTCACGCTTCAAGCTGACATCTGGAGTACGTTAGTCGCGATACATTCCGTATAGATCTGCAGCACATACTGGCACCGGCACCGGCATTGGCAGAAACACCGCCATTGACAACACCGCCGACTGCGCCCTTGACAGTGCCGACGGCTCCGCCAGCTACGCCAACAACGGGCGATGCGACACCCTCAACAGTGTTGACAACAGGCGAGGCCGCATTTTCGACGGTGTTGACAGCGTCACCAGCGGTTTCAACCACCGGCGAAGCGACACCCTTGACAGTGTTGACGGCTCCGCCAACGACATTTCCGACGGCGTTAACGGCTCCGCTAGCAGTACCTCCAACAGTGCTGGCGGCCCCGCCAGCAATTCCGACCACAGGGGTAGTCACACCTCCGACGGTGCTTGTGAGATCGCGCTTGCTGGAGGGAAGCAGCTGGGTGAGCTTGCCCTCGATGGTGGAAAGTTCTGTAAGCTTCTATCAGCGGCTGTTCTTGAGTAGGTATCAGGTATCATACCGTCCTTCAGGTCAGTGAGATCATTGCTAGCGCAGCCAACAAGACCATCAGCAACATTGTCGACCTTTCCGAGAACACCCGTCAGCTGAGTGAGGGTGGACTGGACGGTGGTTTCGACAACCGGGATGGCAGCGGCCGAGACAGTGCTAGCGAGAGCGAGAGAAGCAGCAATTCCAGTGAACTTCATGGTAATGTCTTGGATATCTGAATGATAGGATTAGGAGATAGAAGGAATGTATTATCGTTTCCGGAAGGAATGAATAGAAGCTCGGTTGGAGGGTTTAGAGAACGACTGACACTGATGAACAAAGTGCTTGATGAGAGAAAAGATAGCACGCAGGGCAGAGGCCCGTTAAATACATACAAGTCATTAGGAAATGATTTTTGGGAAAGTTTGATTCAGGGGAAGCCGACAATGATGCACGCTTCCACATCCAGTGAATCTGGTAGGAAGAATGAGGATCGGCAGAGGAACCCAATGACACCACTCCGTCGTTTCAAATGGGATGGTAGAATGCAAGCCAGCCGATGAGCTTAATTCAAGCTCTTCACTATGCCAAAGACTTGGAGGCGATGGCAAAGTGAACTTTTCCTGTACAAGCGGGATTGTGTAGCAACTAGAACCACTGGTATGCAAGTCATGGCTGAGAACACAGACAAAGTGCATTCATAGATACGTTTTAGGATATGATTGAGAACGTTGATGGTAATTCATTTGATGGTGTGGTCTGCCTTGTGGCCATCGACCAATTTTCGGACATAAATCGATAGTCCTTTAGGTGGGCGGGTACGAGTTGACCTTTGTCTTCCTTTCTCCTACCTGGGGATAGGGACTCAATAGTGAAATCTTAAATGGTGCTCCACTCGATATGCGACTGCCGATGCTGGGCAAGAGCGTCAGGCTGGCAGCACTGCGGGGTTTAATGCCTGTATCTCATTAAACCTCCGTAAACAGCATGGGACTCAGTCAGGAACCCGCGGAACCTTATCCTGTATAGTCAAGTTCTGCCCAGCATGATGATCTATTAGCCCGGAGGTTTCAAGATATTATAGTCAGCCGTTAGCTCAGAGTGGTTGGTCATTTTGTCATTCCTGTGGCAATGCACATGTGAGTGATACTGATGAGCGGACAACGAACTGATGCTGTTATGGGGGTTATTGAGAGTCATCAAACAGGAGATGCTTGTTCCCAGCAGTCGGGATCCAGTCACTCTCAGCACCAGCAGATATTATGGATGAGGTTGGCAGGAAAGGTGGGCGCTGTCTGCTTGCTAAGCCATCCCTGTCGATCCGATCCACCCGCTAATCTTTCGAGAACCGTTGTTGGGCAGGACGATCAACATGACGACAAGGCGAAGATTCCAACCGCAACGGGACTTCTATCCACACCCGCTAACCAGGTATAGTCTTCCCCACTAAATATCATTTTTGAGACTGCCTTGAGCACGCCTCTTCCGTGATCGTTATACCATTGTACTATGTAGATCAGGACTTCGGCCCATCAGAGAAGATCAAGTTGAAGGATCAATCGGCAGACAGTCCCGGTACCTGGTCGCGATCAAAGGTGCTCTCTCGTGTTGATCTTGCAGCTGCATGTCAAATTTCCGCCTGTTACTGTCTAGTCAGGCACACAGCAGCCAGCTAGGCCTTATGGTTCATGATGGATGACGTCAGGATACAGGTATTGAAGAGATAAACCCCACGTCGTTGGCCTTTGCTCCAGATGATATTGATAGCAAGGGAGTGTAGGTAGTAGATAGGGTGTGCCGGGTGAGGCGTTGATGTGGGAGGATCAACTTGTGACCTGAACTCAAATAAGGGAACCATATCCGCTGCTTGGGCAAGGAACATAAGAAATCCAGCTGCTGTCAACAGTATTAACTCATATTTCGAGATGCTTTTTGTGCAGCAATTCAGTATTTGGTGCCCTCGCTGTTGGGCTTAATGCTCTGCGACTGGTAGCAAACTGCAATCATGCAGTGTGAAAGACTGACACATCCGGTCAATTAAAAATCTTTACACTGAGAACCTCAATCAGACTGGCTCGGCCTGTTGGTCTGACAAGGCGTACGGACATGAATGATCAAGGAACAGCAAGTGTGATCTTATCACAGAAGTATATGGGACTGCCAATCCCAATGGGGTTGAGTTGATGCGACAACCATTTAACAACAACAAGAAGAATGGCCACAAACAAACAAAAGTCACGGGGCTGTCACATGGCTGGCCCACTGATGTTTGTGGCTGGTGGAGATAAGTGTGGCGGGTCGGTTGTTTGCTCGGTTTGCCCGTGGGGAACCATTACTGTCTGACTAAGGAGCCAATCCCGTGATGGTCAGGGATCCTATCAGGACGCGGCAGCCTGAGGCGGCAGGGGTTGTCCTGTCAACGGCGGGCACTAAGCCCGACTGGGCGGATCACAACATAACAGCAGCCAGTGAGCGTGCATCGCAGTTGCCCCCCAAAGCCAGACTCATCGGCCTCGAGCCTATCCTCTTCTCGTGCGGCCAACTTTTCGTTCACTTCCCTCCTCTTTCTTCCCCTCACACTCCTCACTCCTCATTGCCAACCTCCACTGTTCCCTGCCAGGGCTCGTGTATATTTTCCTCCTCATCCCCCCTGGGCCTCCTCGTGCTATCCTTACCCTATCCGCACCCGTGTCTTATTTGCACCGCCTTTTGTTTAGGAGCGTCAACAGATCAGATCATGAACCATTAGTTCAGACTGTTGCTTTGTTTATCTCTCCATTATTGACAAAAACGTGACGTCCTCAATTGCGGCATTGCATCTCTCGACAGACACGTCTTGTCAGGTCTTTCTTTTCTCACAATTCTGTGATTGTTTATTGGCACCGTTAGCGACTATTGTTTTGGTTGCCGCATTGCCGCAATCAAGATGGCTACCAACAGTGGTTATGGCCAAGTGATCGAGTATATCCAAGGTTCGTTTGTTTATAGCAGCTGCCAATCGTCTTGCCGGCCTTGGACCACCTCGAATCCTTCATTGTCACCCTCAATGGCCGTCCGACGCGGGCTAACCACCGGCCATAATAGATCGTCTTTACCTCGCCTCTTACGATAACCCTCCCGATGCACGAACCCCGTTCCCATACCCAGTCGAGCAGTCAAGATCACCGAGCAAGCGCTCTGCGAGAGCTCAGCCCAGCACTCCTGGTAGCAAGAAGCGCAGCCCCGTGTACTTCACGGTAGATGATACCTTGCTGTACAACTCTTTCCATGCGGATTTTGGCCCGCTTCACATTGGTCATTTGTACCGGTTTGCGGTTCATTTCCATGAGATCCTTGGGGATCCTGCAAACAGTGATCGCGCGGTGGTCTTCTACTCCAAGACGGATGCACGTAGCCGTGCCAATGCGGCCTGCCTGGTTGCCTGCTACATGGTTCTAATCCAGTCATGGCCCCCCCACCTCGCCTTGGCCCCTATTGCGCAAGCCGATCCCCCATACATGCCCTTCCGCGACGCTGGATACAGTCAGGCCGATTTCATTTTGAACATCCAGGATGTTGTCTACGGAGTATGGAAGGCAAAGGAGCAGTCACTTTGCAGCCTAAGAGATTTCAGCCTTGAAGAGTATGTATAAGTCTGAGAGACCACGTTGACTGGGCTGACCGACTCTTAGGTACGAGAAATTTGAACGTGTTGATATGGGTGATTTCAACTGGATCACCCCCAGATTCCTGGCCTTTGCTTCGCCGCAACACCAACCGATCGAGCCTGTCCCTCAAAACACCCCCGAATTTGACGCATTGCCATCCACTGTCTCCGAAGTCATGTCTTCCAAGTTACCTCTTTCTTTCAAAAACGTCCTTGCGCACTTCTCATCCCGCAACATCGGCCTTGTTGTAAGATTGAACTCGGAGCTGTACTCTCCATCCTACTTTACTGCTCTGGGTATCACCCACGTGGACATGATCTTCGAAGATGGGACCTGCCCTCCCTTGCCGCTTGTCCGCCGTTTCATTAAGATGGCACACGAGATGATCACTGTGAAGAAGAAGGGCATTGCTGTTCACTGCAAGGCTGGCCTGGGACGCACTGGGTGCTTGATCGGCGCATACTTGATCTACAGATACGGGTTTACAGCAAATGAGATCATTGCCTTCATGAGATTCATGCGGCCCGGTATGGTGGTTGGTCCGCAGCAGCACTGGTTGCACCTCAACCAAGGCTCGTTCCGCGAATGGTGGTTCGAAGATTCCATGAAAGAGAAGCTCGCTCAGATGCAGGTGGCTCCCATCACACCCGGACGGCCGTCTACCAGACAGCGTGCCAATGGGCCCGTCGCCACGCCGCCGAACAACGGCCATTCGAAGCGAGCTGCTCTTGGCGAAATCGACCACAACGAGGGGGCTGGAACCCAGGCGGAGGAGAACCTGCCTGCACCCACCCCTGGACAGCCTCGCAAATCCCACCGGAAGGACTCTCGTCACCACCCTTACGCACGCACAACGTCCGGCAGCCTGGTTGTCGACAAGGAGGCGAGTAAGAACGGAGAACATACCAGCCACAGACACCATCGCCTCAGCAACGACAGCAGTGAGAGTGAAGAGGAAATTCAACTCCGTATGTTGGCCAAGCGTTCCTCGAAATCCCCAGTCGCATCTCCCAGCCAGCGGTCTGTTAGCTACTCCGCCACGGTAACTGCCAGCTACACTTTGAATGATGATAACCGGGAGAACTGGGGGGATGCGGCTGCTTATGCGGCACCGAAGACTCCTATGGGCAACAAAAGTGGCAATGGAGCGATCGCGGTAACCAAGGTTCGGACGAGTCCAAGGCGCGTCACGGATAGCCGGAGCGAGACCAGGGGTGTTCGCAAGGCTAGTGGCCGCGTTGGTAGCGCTGGAAGTCCTACGCGGGTGAAATAAACACCTCACCGGTGCAGGTTCACTTCTTTTCTTCTCTTCCGCTCTCTTGAGCTTTATCAGATATCCATTTGCCACATCCCTTTTTTCTGCCCCTTGTTGCTGCCGGGGTATAATATGTGCATAGTCCTGGGCATTTCTTTCTCGTGTTCTTTTTGGCAATTGTCCGGTGTCTTTACTGGTGTTGGGTTCTGGTGCAAAATCCATGGGGTTGGGTCTGCGTAACGGCGTTTGGTTGCAGTGTTGATGGTCAAATGATCAAGAAGTTGGTCTGGAATACATCCCATTATGTTCATAAGAGTGTTGCGTGGCTGTTGTCGATCAACGCGTTTCTCTGTACGTATATGATCTACGTCGATATGACCAATTGGTTTATGAGTTTTGATATTTATTATGGTAAATTGTAAGAGAAGCCTAGTTTCTAGGTTGTGCTCTAACCAGGCTGGTATGGTCGTCTCAAGGACTGTATAGCCATATAATTGAGGTGGTTCGTGGATTTTTCAATTCTCTTTTGTCTAGTATCTGTATTCCTTAACATACATCGTAGTTCATGACCTGGAAATGGTTCACACCCTCCATATACTGTTTAATCAGCGCTGAGCCCGACTTGACACCTTGCCAGTTGATCGACTTAGGTCATGGCCGACGCCATATCTTCGATGCTACTCACCGTCAATTCAGGTGGCCTGAATCTGGCAACAATATATCTTGCCACAGCTGCAATTGAGTCAGCGTACTCATAGGGACTGGAAAGAGACTTACTAGCAGCCCAAATGTGACGTCCCTGGGATACCCCATATGGATAGCTTGACAGCAATCGCAGAATTGGGTAACTAGTGGAGGATCTTGGGTATCTCCATGTTTTTGAACGGGCCTGACGATCTCCTTTGCCATTTCATCAAACTAAAAGAGACAGATCTATAGTTTGCTTTATGCTCTGTATAGTACAAAGTTAAGGCTTATAAAACAAGAACTAGCATTGTTAGTCTAACGGTTATGATACTCGCCTTCCAAGCGAGTGGCCGGGGTTCGACTCCCCGACAATGCATTTTTTTTTCTGGCCATTAAAGGTCCTGATATATACAGGGGGCTGTTTAGGGATATATGGATCGGTTTAAGTTGCAGTTGTTGAGTTGTTTCATGGCTCGTTGTAACCTTCCCTTACACCTACCTATCTACCCTTGACAACACCAATCACGTGCATATAGCTGCCCCCTATCTCCGTAGCTTCAATGATGTTTCCTCCTTAGGTCTTCTCTATCTCTCAGCGACATAATGCTCCAAAAAGCATACTCTCTCTTCAATCGATCTTCCGTATCCTTCCAGGTCCTCTCTGATCTCCACCTCGAACTCAACCGACAGTATTCCTCTTACGAAATTCCAGTCTGTGCAGAATATCTCATTCTCGCGGGTGATATCGGGCGCTTAACAGATTATGATGACTATCGCGATTTCATACAAAAACAAACAGACCGATTTAAATTAGTCTTTCTCGTTCTCGGAAATCATGAGTTTTATAATGGGACTTTTGCGGCTGGGCTGGAAAAGGCCGCACAGCTTGAACAGGAACCGACCTTGAATGGAAGGCTTGTTGTTCTTCATCAGAAACGATTTGATGTTCCGGGTTCGGGTGTCATTATTCTAGGCTGCACGTTGTGGTCGAAGGTGCCGTGTGACTTGGAGGGTGTTGTTCGGTCTAAGGTTAAGGATTTTCAGAAGATCGAGGACTGGTCTGTGGATGACCATAATGCACGTCATGAGTCGGATTGTGCTTGGTTGATGAGAGAGATTGATTTGATTCGGAAGGAGAATGGGAAGGTAGGAGTAAAGAGGAGTAGGAAAAGATCGATTCTGGTTGTGACGCATCATGCTCCGTTACTTGAGAGGACGTCGAGCCCGCGGCATGCTCAGAATATGTGGAGTGTTGCCTTTGGGAGTGATGTTCTACCGCAAGTATCAGATTGGGTGAAAGTCTGGGTGTTTGGGCATACGCATTATACTACTGATTTTGAGGAAGAGGGTGTGAGAGTTGTGAGCAATCAACGGGGTTATGTGTTGCCTTGGAATAGTCTAAAGGCACAGGATACATTTGATGTGAGGAAGGTTATACGTGTATCGTGAGGGATTGAATGTGCTTCATTTTCTAGTCCATAGGCATATTAGCATGGTGTCACTGATAGCAACCCTATATCAGCAGATGTGCCCTAGTGGGAGACTTACCCTTAATAAATGTCATGTCTGCATGTCAGAGATGGCCTCTTGCGCTTCGGTTTCGGTGCATTCACATCACGCCCATCCACTTCTTCCTATATAACCTATCCCTCCAAATACACCCGAATCATATCCCGATACTCTCCCGCCCGCGGCGTCAGCGCCTCAAGCCCAGGAACCTTGGCCGCATCATCCCAAAGCCTCGATGCAACCATCTCCTCGATCAACGGAACTTGCTCAAAGGCAGCCAGCTCGGCATCCTTGATGGTCCACCCTGAAACTCGAGGGATCTCTTGGATGCGGACGAGGGCGTCTCGTAGTATGTTGTGTTTGTGGCGGTGAGGTAGGGGCCCTTCGCCCTATCCAGACGATGTTTCCATTGTTCGTCGTCATGTACGGCATTTTCAATGCTTTGGGGGAGATGGGCCCCGGTGTCTCAACTTTCCTCTGTGCGGCAGAATCATTACCCACCCCCCTCCGTGGTCATTTCCTTGGCCTAGCTGCAGCAGTAGGGAAGGCGGGTGCTTCGATAGGAACTGAAGTATTTACACCCAATTAGAATTCGTTCTCTTCGACCGAAAAAGGTCAACAGGCCGTCTTCCTGATCGGTTCAGCCTTCACTATCGTCGGTGTGCTGATAGCGTGGTTCCTGATTCCCGACATGTCGCGTGAGCTGGAAACCGAAGATGCAAAGTTCAAGGCATATCTGGAAGAAATTGGGTACGATATCAGTTCATATGGAGAAGCGCTCTGCGTGGAGCGAAAAGGAAGTATATAGTAGCTGAAGAGATATCAGATCTCTTCAGCGCAGCCCGTGAAGATTATGCATGGGACAATGAAGTTATCTATGATCTTAGTACCCAGCCCCTTTGTGTCCTGTGCGCAGATCTCAGTAGTTAGATTACCTCATGTCAAGGTAGTGTGCGTTTTGCTTGCAGCAAATCCGAGGCCGATGTAGAGTGATCTTCGATCTCATAATCATCGGCTTGGGAGGGACGGTCTGTTTCTCGAACAGCCCAGGCAATACAGTCGTGCCAATCTAACGGCAGTACTTGATGGACAGCATTCACGATTTCCTTCCCCCAGCATTCCATCCATATATTCATCCGCAACCAATGCAGGGTGACTGCATAATTGGCCAGAATTGCCAGCGATAGCGGCTCAGAAATGCGCACCATTGCCCAAAATTCGGGTGGGCACACTACCGGAAAGTATGATAGGGTCATTTTGGTACGCCGATACAAGATTGCCATTGCAAGACTATCTCTTAATGTTCTGATGGCTGGCTGATATATTTCGATCTGAGTGGCTGTGGATGTCGTCGGAATGCGTTGTAGAATTGTATTTAGCATATCCTCCATTTCCCCTGGGAGCTTTACCGATGGAAAAGGATACGGTAGCATCAAAACGGACCAATGACTTTGTTCCATCGCGTCATGATCGGATTTAACAAACAAAGCCGACCCACGAATCATAGAAAAAACGTGGTAGATTCTATTGATGGGATCCTCCGTGGGCTCGGAGGACCGCTGTATTCCAAAGGTGTAGAGGGCGACAACACAGGAAAAGGCAAAGATAGCATCGCGGTTATCTGGTGTGACATTGGAAAGGTGAGGCCGAAACAATGCAAGGCCAAGGTTGTGGTGGTGGATAGCCATCACCGTGTGCTTTTGTTGTGAAATACCACGCAGCGCCAAATGCAATGCGCTTAGTCCCAGGAGGCCGTGGAGAAGGAAATCGTGCTCGAAGGCAAGCTCAGGTACCCAGTCTCCCCACATCGATTGGTCTTGGTCTTTAGGTAAGATAATTTCGGTGATACTTCTCGATGTGTGTAGAGCATAGTGATTCATCAGTCTAAGTCGCTCTTTTTCCGAGCGCGCAAAGTAAGATTCCGCATTGGATTGCTCAGTACTGGGTGTGGACATTGTAACAGACAGGAGGTCGCCAGGCGAAGGACTGCTATACTCATCGGAGAGGCTAGATGATTTCTGTTTGTTGTGAGACGACTCATTGCTGGCTTGAGCTTGAACGTCTACATTCTTGGCCGGAAGAAAAACCAGGTTTGATGGCTGATCAGCCAAGGAGCAAACAGCCCCTATCCTTTTACATCGCCCACAGTGAGGTTTGTTTTCATCGCACTGCGGCGGTAAGTATGGGATATGTATAAGGTAGTGTAACCCACCTTCGTGCGATTCTTCTTGCATTGCACACAGCCATGGCGGCTCTTAGTGTGGAATCGTCTTTGAGACATGGGTTCGGACCATAGTTTGGGTCAACCCAGTGGTTATGGACTGGCCGTTAGAGGCTCGAAGATCGCCAGAGAACACCTCAGCAGGGATCGGATGATGACGGAAGTGTAGTACAACCCTTGAGAAAGACCTGATACGACGGTGCCGATAATGACCTCATGGGAGACCTAGCCTGGAGTTAAGCTCGCCTTTCAGCCAAACATGTCTGATGAACCAGTAACATTGTGGATGGATGAATGGATTGTGAGCTGGAAGCCAGAGCGGAGGAGGCGTATGCACGCTAGTCCCTTTCCGGCATTTTGTACGATGTACGGTGTATAGTCCCTGGGATGGAGCATTCACCCAAGCTCACGTCCTTTCACATCGGATATTAGTTGGATTCTGTTCCTATCGCCAAATGATCCGTTGGGTTCGTGTCAGGGGTCTCGCCTCTCAGTATAAAATCTTGCCCAAAGACTCTGTTTTGCTACTTCTCGTTCGATATCAACCTCTCACTGCTTACTACCTCTTTCACCGTGGTTGGAATGGACATCGTACACGCTTCGAACACCGCTTTGGTTCAAAACCAGCCTTTGGTTGCTGTCTTCTTTGGTGGTACCTCAGGCATTGGTCACTACACTCTGCGTGCCTTAGCGACAGCTGAATCCAAGGGTGGCAAAGGGTTTCGAGCTTACATTGTCGGCAGAAATGCCAAAGCAGCTGAAGAGATCATCGAAGAATGTCGTGACATCTGCCCGCAGGGCCACATGAAATTTGTCCAGACAGACGATATCTCCTTAATCCAAGAAGTCGATCGAACCTGCGCCGAGATCATCCAGCTGGAGGAGAAAGCGAACCAGAACCCGCGAATCGATTACATGATGCTGTCGCAGGGAGGGTCTATCTTTCTCCCACGAAAAGGTATGCTCAAGGTGTCAGATATACCTGCAGGTCTAACAGATTTGCAGACACCAAAGAAGGGATCGATGTGACGATGTCATTGATGTATTATTCTCGCATGAGAGCCATCATGAAGCTGCTCCCTCTGCTCCTCAAGTCTCCTCTTCCCGCAAAAGTTGTCTCAGTATATGCGGCGGGATTTGAGGGCAAGCTCTTTCCAGACGACCTCTCACTTCGTGATTTGAAACATTACAGCTACTCACAAGCTCGGTCACATATGATATACATGCACACGTTGTTCATGGAAACCCTGGCTGAGCAGCATCAAGGAAATCTCAGTCTGATACACATATTCCCTGGTCTCGTGCTGGGACCCGGGTTTGATAGGCCGGATCTGCCTGCTTGGTTCAGGGTGTTGTGGCGTTGGGTTTTTGTCCCCTTCTTAGCGCCACTGGTCACAGTGCCACCGACCGAGTGCGGTAACAGGATGTTGAGTCTTGCATCACCACGCTATCCACCACGAGCAGTTGAGTCTTCTGGGACCCAGCAGGAGGCTGCTGTGGGGACAGATGGTAAGCAGGGGAGTGGTGTCTACTCTCTTAGTCGGAAAGGTGAGACCAATTACAACAAAAAGGCTTACCGGAAGATTGATAAGGATGAAATGCGACAGAAGGTTTGGGATCATACTGTGAAAGCTTTCGAAGTTATCGAGGCAGGGAAAGTTTTCACGGATTGAGTTGTCCAGGCTATTGGCTTTAGAGGCTGCGCATGGCTGAGTGTTTTAAGAACGTTTTTTGTGATCTCCACTACAAGTCATGTACTTCTTGTCGTACATTGAAGGATCGAATAAAATTATCTATCTAGTGCATTTGCCAATGTTCCAACATACTATAGCACAGCTCTAGAAACAGATAAGAAGTAAGTTCAGTTCTCTTACACATATATACTTAAGCTTAAGCTCCGAGCCTTGAACCGGAGATTCCGGCAGCTCCGCGGAAAGTCCGGTTCATGGACGGAAAAGTCCTCCGCTGCATCAACTATAAGATACGACTTTCCCACATGCCCCCATTACTTTTTCAATTTACCAACCCATTACAGATTCAGAATCTCTATTTGCTCTTCAAAGCCATGACCAGCCCAACCGCCGACCTCGTTGCCCTCAACTCGTCAACACTGGGCACAGCCATGCCGGAAGTGACTCTACCGGATGGCAGTAAAGTGCAGACAGGAACAGTGGGGTAAGCGGCCCCTCGAGCTCATTATATTATGTTTGTAGCACTCGAATTGACATGTATAGAGCGCTGCTGATCAACATTCGGGTGTATAATGAAGCTCATGCAAACGGCAACCGGGACAAGATGGAAACCCTTCGCACTGCCCTCAGAACCGCGATACCATTGTTGCAGAAAGTTGGCATGTTTGATCTGTTTCCGCCTGAGGAGTGGATCCAAGGTGATAACGAGGGGCGAAAGCTGGTGGGAAGGATATATCAGGAGTTCTTCGAATTGGCGTGATCGTATAAATGCTCTATAATTTCATAGTTAATTGAAGCGATACCGGATTCGGTTAGTAGAAGTCCTGGAAAAGCTGCCAGCCATCCACCAATCAGGTCTCAGGTCCCCGATAGCCTGCCGTCACTCCCTTCTTCAAATTCCCCTTCACTCATACTCCGATCTGTTTACAGCATTTATTACCAATCTATGGCAACAAACTAAGGAATAATTGCCGATGATACAATTGTGGTAACCATTGACTGGTGAATTGTCTTTAACATGCCAGATCCCAATTCGCACGGGCGCCAGACTCGGTCACCTGCGGTCCGCCGAAATGGATCCCTGCAGTCTTGCGAGCCATGTCGCAAATCCAAATTGCGATGTGACCATGGGAGACCGGTATGCAGCAGATGTTCAACAAAAAATATAGCAGCGAGATGCTTTTACCATCCTGCACCCATGACAAAAAGGGTAGCCTCAGGACTTGTTAAACCTTCTCGACAATCACGCAGTCAGCCAAATTCAAAGTGAGAATCTTGATCTTCTTTGCAAATGTGCCTCAAAAGCCGGTGGATGGGAATTTTTGACATTGATTTAGTATCTCAAGCCCAGGGCCTGCCCTGGAGAGCATTCATCGACTTCGCACCACTCTCGAGTCGCCCTCTGCTTCTCCAGGCTACTTGGGTTCGACAAGCTTTTCGGCCGTTCTTGCTGAGCACCGTTTAGAGTTCTCTCTTAATCTTGCAAGTAGCTCCATGCCTGGCACATTGGCACGACCAATTGATCCCGAGCGCCTCCAGACTGGAATGCGATTGCTCAAGTTGCTTCATAGCCTCAAGGTCTGCGATAGCTTAATTCGGAGATACTATTCTCGAGTTCTTGTTGGTGTCATCCCAGAAACAGTTATGACATCCATTCTACGCTCTACCCGGAATGTTCTCGAGAGCATTGATCACGGTGGAGATGTCGATAGTCAGTTTCAAGACCTGGTTTGTAAGATATCGCAGAATACATCCAGACCATTATCGACCCATGGTTCGATGACAGTGGAGCAATATTGTGCAACCTTTACGGATGAAAACTTGCGCTGGGAGGCTATAGGCATTGTGTTTGCAACCTCCGGCATATCGCTCTCGTCCACACCGGAAAATGACCCGGATCTTAACCAAGTGGCGCCAGACAATCCAGCCCGAGACAGACTTCGTGCTCAGCTGGTTGAGGCGAGCGGCACCTGCCTCGGATTCTGTGATCAGATGTCTTCCGTTAATGAGCTGTTAGGGTTCTACCAATATAACGATGTGGCTTTTCTCACCCACTGCTACGGTGACTCGAGTAAGTACAGAGGCCTGGATCCTTCCATTTTCATTGGAAAGTATGTATTCGTTAGCTAACATATGAAGCCAGGCTATCAAGCTTGGCGTCGCCGCGGTGAATTATCTGCCACGATATATGCAGCTGGACTTCATCAGGAGGGTTCGCCGGCCGATGACTGCCCCTTTTTTCTTCAGCAATGGAGAAGATGGTGCTTTGCTGCTGCATTCTCAATGGACAAGAATCAAGCCACATTCGTGGGGAGACCGCCATCCATTAATTATCGCTATTGCACACTAACACCTCCACTGGATCTTAGCGAGGACCTACTGATCACCGGTGGGGACAACCTAGCCAGCGCAATCTCAAAGCTAGATAGCTCGGGATGGGCAGCCAAGGACGAGAACGACCGAGTGAGTGTGCTCCGTCTCCGATTTACGTTCGCCGTGTTTAGGGAACAAGCTCTTGAGATAGCTCTGGGAACCAGTGAGCATGTAGAATTGGTGCAAAGAGCCAGGTGAGCCATCTCATACTAGTTAGGGTGGCTTCGTCGCTAAACCTCCACAGCCAAATTATCGAGAATGCGCGAGAGTCATGGGGAGCATGTCCTGCTCGTCTGCGATATGATGTTCCCGGGCAAGGGGATGAACTGGGGTGCTCTCCCAAGTCCTTCACCTTGCTTCACATTTTCCTTGACTATCTATATACTATTTTCCTCCTTCAGAGGACTATTGTCAAGCGTACGGACACCGGGCAGGAGGCTCTGTTGGATACGTCAAGACATATCCTGTCCATTATCGTCAAAGGCCATGCCAGCAGGGACACCGTCCTTGACTTGAGCACACATCGTGCTTGGATTGTATGTCGGACTGCTTCCATTACAATTTGCCCTTATCTGAAACTAACACGGCGCAGCTTCTCTACTACGGCCTCCCCAGTGCCAGTGTGCTCATCCTCGAGCTTCTTCACCAAAACCAAGGCCTGCGTTCATACACTACTGTGCTACCTCGCGCGGAGATTATCCGGAACCTGAGTGTTTTTATATCATGTCTGTCTTGGGTGGCGCGACCTGGCCACGGTAATTATCACACGTGCAAGGAGGTGGAGAGGAAGCTGTCCCATATTCTTGACCAGGTTCTCGATCCTCAGCCCATTGAAGACTTTGCCTTCAATGATGCCACCTCTGGCCTGTACAGCCTGCTAGACTGGGACAATCTCAACAACTGGGATTTCACTTCCGAGTATCTACCTTCGCAAAATGGACTTCCTCTGTGAGGATGTGATGAGTGTGTAAACATAAGGGTATCGCATTTGATCATCGCAGGTCATAAGTCATGAGAAAATGATCCAAGTCTATCAACCAGGGCCAATCAATGAGGGCCCGTATATAAGAACCAGACAAGAAGCAGATGGTGCTGCATATTCTGGCCGACATTATCGGAGTGGAGTAAGACGGACATCAGGCGAATGCCTTGAGAACCGAAAGAAACGGTCGGTCGGGGGTGGCGTGAGGCGAGCACCATTCAGACCATCCATACAAACTCATTACTGGGATGCGTCTCTTGAACGTAATATGCTCTATGGCAGAGGGGGCAATTGAAATGGTCCTGGAGATACCACTTCTCCAGACATTCTTTATGGAAGACGTGCAGGCATTTGAGTTCCCGGATCTCCTGACAGCGCAGGACGGACTCGAGGCACACGACGCTGATGGATGAAGAGGCGTTAGTGGGCGAATCAACTAGCGTGACGGATGGCGGATGGCGGATGGCCGCGACCCCCAAACGTACCATATGAAATCACCCTCCACGCCTTCCGACGGTAATAGGGGCCCTTTGGCTCGCGACCACCAGTCTTCTAGAGTTCGAGTTGGGGAGACGGCATCCAGCCGGCGCAGTTTGTCGTTGGAGCTGCCTTTCGTTTTGAGAACCGGATGGCGCTCCCGACGATTGACGAAAAGGGTCAGACTAATGCAGTGGATGGCGGGTGTCAGTGGCGCAAATGCCATTATCGTCATCATCATAATTCTCAGACTTAGGCCTTTAACTCACAGCAAACACATGATGATTAAGGTCGCGACTCCGAGTCCGATGCCCAAGACAATGGCCATATGATGATTCACCTGAGGGGATTTGCTTTCGTCCGACACCCCCATGTCTCGTCGCGGGGACTCGGGTGGGCGGATTGGGACGAGCGCGGTGACAAGCTGCAACCGAGGCCGAGGATGTTTATCTTTTGTCTTGCTTTTCAACCTTACAAAAGACCGTTCGCCGGGTCTGGGGCGTCTGGCCGCTAATAAAGGGCGCAAGCACTAAACGTTGTGCCTCTGATCGTCGTCACCTGGCGGGGTATGCGCCAACCAGGCTTTATCAGGCCATCCCGAAGCCATCAATCAGCAGATGCTCGTGAGACTCTGCATTTTCCACGGTCGCCGGAGGCTGGCAATTCATTCAACGGAATGAGGGGTTTGTGGATGAGAACATGGTTTGAAGAGCCGGTCATTGAAGTACAGTCGCCATCACCATGACAACAAAAGGTTCTTTGTCTTGTCTTGCTTCCGACTATGTGCCACCCCCCAAGCTTTATTCCCTCGAAAACCCCCCAGCGAAGGCATCTGGCTGCCTGCATTCCAAGCGCTTTTCCCCAGGTCATCCGGCAGCTTTGTCTACTAGTGCAGGTTGCCGCCTAGGCTGAGTCGGCTCAGCCATCCATCGCACTCGGCACTGACCGTCGGGCGATCGCTGCAAGCATCGATTCATTCCTTCCCATCCGCCCCAGACTAACTTCCTTGGCGTGGTGCAAGGGAGCTTTTCGCATGGACGGTCGGCTGCGCATGACTTGGGTGGCGGTCGCACTAGCCAGCAGACCAGCTGGTCACGCCATGTTGTGCCAGGTCATGCCACGGCGGTTGATCCACAGAGATCCCCCGGATATGCAGCTTTCAATCGATGGCTATGACGCAATCCGCTCGTGTCTATAAACTCCCAGATCTCCAGACGCAGTGGCCGTTTCTCCAAGCCAACGCACACCGCAGACTGCATCAGCTTGCTTCTGAGTTCTGGGAGTGTTTGGCAGAGGGTGCAAGGGGTGATGTTCTCCGTGCACGCTTATTTCCCCGCAATCCCGGCCACCCAAACTAACATGCTGACAGTACATCTGAAGCAGAAGTCACTAACCATCTCCCACAACAATCCTGAGGCCACCACCGTCGACTACTACCGCCCGGATTTAAGCAACATTTAACTCCACACCATCATGGAGATAACAACAATCTTACCCATTTCTCCGTCCAGGAGATACTATAGAGCACTGCCTATAAATATGCCGACAAAACAAGCTTCCCAGATTATTCTCATCTACAGATAACATCGACAACAATCACCAGCCATGGCCTCTCCAATGCAAGCCATCACCCTCGAAGAGCATGTTGCATTTCCCGCCCTGGACAGCAGCAACCCCTTCTACGACAACATCTGGAAGATCTTCCCCGAGCGCCTGAGCCTCGCCCAGGACTACTCCACCGCCCGACTCGCCAACATGGACGCCGGGAACGTCACCTTCCAACTCCTCTCCCACTTACCCGGCGGCATCGCCCTAACCGACCCCGCACGCTGCCGCGCAGGGAATGACGAAATGGCCACAGCCATCAAGCAACACCCGGGCCGATTCGGCGGCCTCGCAGCCCTCCCAATGGCCCATCCCCTCGAAGCCGCCAAAGAACTACACCGCACCGTCCGGGACCTCGGCTTCCACGGCGCCCTCATCGACAACCACCTCGCCGACGGAATCACCCACTACGACGCCGAACGATTCTGGCCCGTCTTCGCCGCCGCCGAATCCCTCGACGTCCCCATCTACCTGCACCCCTCACCCCCCTCCCCAGAAACCATACAATCCCGCTTCGCCGGCAAGTACCCCCTCCCCGCCGAACTGGGCCTCGCCACCGGCGCCTGGGGCTGGCACGAAAACGTCGGTCTGCACGTTCTCAAACTCTTCGCGGCCGGCGTTTTCGAGCGCTTTCCCAACCTCAAAATCGTCATCGGTCACATGGGCGAGCTCTTACCGATTATGTTGCACCGGATCGCGCGATTGCGCTTTTTTCAGGAGATGGCCGCCTCTCGGTCGAAGGGGATTCTGGATGTCTGGGATCAGAATATCTGGGTCACGACGAGCGGGATCTTTAGTATCGAGACGCTGATGATGGTGTTGCAGGTGACTAAGGTCGAACGGGTGATGTATAGTGTGGATTATCCGTTTGAGGATAATATTACTGGGAAGGAGTTCTTGGATAGGTTGAGAGAGAGTGGGAAGTTGACTCCTGATGAGGTGGATATGATTGCGTTTAAGAATGCGAGGGAGTTTTTGAAGTTGGGGATTTAAGATGGATGGATAGATGGTAGTGTAGATTCTTGATGGCGGGATGTCTTCGTAGGTTGTATATAGCGCTGTATATAGATAGGTAGGTAGATGGATATAGTGGTGTTGAGACTCGATGATGAGGACCTCGAGCTATTCAGAATGCATGTACAACACACATCGACCATCCCCTCACCATCACCAATATATAATAAGAAATCACACCGTATGCTCCACATTCACCACCGACACCCCCGTTTCCTCTGCCTTCTCAGTCTCCGTAGCCCCCTTGGCACCTACATCCTCAGGGAGAGTGCCCAACGCCCGACCTCCGAAGAGGAGATCGATTTCCTCGAGCGACTTTTGATTAGTCTCTTTGAACAGGAAGTAGACTGTTGGAAGCGTGATACATAGATCTATTCCGATGGTTAGTCCGGGTACATGCTCGCACTTAATAGGTAAAAAGAAGGAAAGGAAAGGGAAGGGAACTCACTCCACGCGGCAAAAATAAAATAGAACTTCCATTGGATCTTTTCCAGCGCGATCGGCGAGACCTGGCTCCAGAGTGTGCTTACGGCCCAGTTACCGGTTGCCGTGGCGAAGGCGTTTCCGCGGCCGCGGATTTGCATCGGCATTACTTCTGCCATGTAGACCCTGCATTATGTTTAGGGTTTCGTTCGTTGGTAGAGAAGGAAGAGGGGAGAGTATACTGACCAACTACAAGGTCCAAATGATAAAGAGAAAAAGACGGTGATGCAAAAGATGAAGAAGACGCCCCCGATACTGTAGCCCTTTCGGGTACCGTCTAGGTTCTGGGAGTAGAGGGCTGCTTCGCAGATTAGGGCGATGGAGATGGCGATCGTTCCGAACATCATGGGTTTTCGGCGTCCGACGCGGTCTAGGAGGAAGAAAATGAAGATGAAGTTGGTGATTGGGCCTACACAGTTGTAGATTCCGGCGACGAGGGTGTTGCGGTTGCCGGTGATGCCCAGGGCGTTGTACATGATTGTTTGGTAGTAGTTGACGACGTTGACGCCGGTCATTTGGGTGAAGACTTGGACGGCGATGCCGTGGCTATTTGAAGGGGGTATTTAGCAAGTGGGAGATAGGTTTGGGATGATGAAGGAGAACGGCAACGCACAATAGTCGGGTTCGCCATTGAGGGACACGGAACATGATAAGCCATCCGGGAGCTGTGGCGGCTTTTTCGGCTTGAATGGTGGATTTGATCTCGTTGTACTCGGATTGAATCCAGTCCTCGTTGGTGCCGTCAAAGTGTAGCTTTCGCAGGATTTTCATGGCTTCATCGTAGCGCTCCTTTTCGATTAGGTATCGAGGTGACTCGGGCATGAAGAACATGCCTATCACTAGGAGAAGCGCAGGGACGGCTTGAAATGCAAGAGGAAACCGCCATTGGACTTCGCTGGTGTCTGGCGCATGAAGGGATCCGTAGCCGACCCAGCTGATCTCAGGTCAACGTTGTTCTTAGGCGTAGGATATGCACATTGGCTGGGATAGTGGATACATACGTGCTGACAATAAATCCAACACCGATCATCTGCTGGGATAGACCGATGATGAACCCACGGGAACGTGGATGGGCGACCTCTGCTTGATATACGGGGACGGACATCGACATGAGACCAACGGCCCAGCCGGCCAGGATACGACCAACAAGGATCATAGCCAGGTTTTTCGCTGACGATTGCAGAATAGCGCCGATCATACATATCAAAGCACCCATCTGGATTGTGAACTTTCGTCCGAAGCGATCCATCGTTAGGCCCCCTTGGAGGGAGCCAATGCAAGCTATGAGTTATGTTAGCTAGCAGCGCAGAAGTGCAAGGGAGCAGAAATGTTAGAGCTGAAACGAGGTCCTACCTCCACCAGAAAATGTACTGTTAATAGCTCCAATGATGGACGATGTCTGGGTGGTATTGAAGAAAGTCAAGAAATTCTTTGACTCGATGACATCTGTCATGACACCGCTGTCGTAGCCGAACAGGAATGACCCTGTGGCTGCAAACGCAGCCAGCGAGATAGTAAAAGACCGACCCATCTTGAGATGCTCAAGAAGGCTGTTGTGTCAGGGTTTTAGGCCATGAATGTATGAGGTCGAACTATGGACAACGGAAGCTAACAAGGGTATAAAAGAAGCGCAAAAAAGGGCGCCAAACGGAAAGAGGGGCAGACAGCATGGTCTATATAGATCATTCTATGCTGAAACCTGGTTTAGGATCAAAACCACCACGAGGATCGCGGCAAGCACCTTGCATTGGCCGCAAGCCAGACTGGATAGGCTGACCGGTGGACGAAAAGACCGATGGCGGGTGCCAGGGATGCTGAAAGCCATGAAAATCCGGGGTGGCCGGCCTCGCCCGCCACTAGACCAACAAAAGAGGCGCCGGACGTCAGCCCGTGCGCTCTCGCAGTCTGTTTGACTGGCCCTGGCAGCCAGCCGGAGAAGGATTTTGCCTCAATGGTGGCGAGTCGAGTGCTTCTATTGGTTTTCCGTTCATACCGAGCTTCTGATAAGCCAATAGGGTATTTGATTCTGGGTTTCTAGGCGTTGAGAATGAGTGAATACCCAACCAGGCCAGCACTCGTCCGGGGTAGCGGCCCAGGTTGCCGAGGCAGACCGATGCATCGATCGTAGGAGCTGACTAGCAGCGGTCTAGGCTAGTCTAGGTGTCCCACTAAGCCTGACATGGCTGGTTGTAGATCAAAGCGCGGAGATGGCAGGTTGGGGAAGAGAGCCAAATTCGCGGAGGCTGAAGCTGAGTTGTCCGTCTCCATGCCGGGCACATGATCCCCTCACGTGAACCCAAGTCTTCCATCCCCATTTTCTGCCATTAAACTTCATGGAGGAAGGTCGTGCAACACGAGCCACAGAGGACTGGCTGCGGGGTAACCACAACACCATCCGCCTGGCAAATGAAGCCTCGACGCAAGCAAACTGGGCGCGCAAGGATACCCTTCTGGGAAAGGAAGATTAGCCGACCAGATCCTTGCCCATATGGTTAGTGCTTAGACACCAAGGCCAACGTGCCGTGTTAAGAGATTACAGGGATTGTCCGCACTTCTCGATTGACGGAACCGGGGCAGCCAAGCCCAAAGGATCGCAGCATGTCGAAGTCATTCGCACCAATCCGATGATAAATGGATGCCCAAGGAGATACCACTGGCTGCAACCTTTACCTGAGGGTGGAGGGAGTGATGTGTTGTATACAGTCTAGATGCTGTTTGCCAGTTTGGAGCAAACATACTATTGCGCTACTTGGAACAAAACTGTCTGACTCGGGGTATGGGGGGTATGACCCAGTGATGGCATCTTCGATGCCAGGGATATTGGCCACACCCTAGGTGACCAACACGATGGAAGAATGGATACTAGTTATCATTCAAGGCAATTTAGCGTCGAATCTAAGGCTTGTGGATACTTTCAACCGCCTGGTCGAAGTCCATGAGCTCATCAACCCTCTCCACAGGCCGTCCCCAGCGCACAATCCCTTCGGCATCAACTGCCCAGCTGCCACTCAACTGCCATCGATTTCCACTCTCCGTCGGCCGGTTCCAGATCCCTCTCTCCCGCCCAAGCTTCCAGATGGACAGGAGTCCGCCCGGACTCAGGACATGGCCCCAAGAGGTGAGTCCTAAGCCCCATTGCGCGTAGATCTTGCGCTCGGCATCGACGATGACCACCACCGGGTTAGCTTCGGCGTTACCTTCACCACCCACTGATTGCAGCCATCTGTCCGTTGAGGGCTGGTCACTGTGCGATACAGCGACAAAGTTGATGCTTGGGTTTTTCTCGGCAGCAGCACGCAGTTCAAGGAACGTTGCTTCCGCAACTAAGATTCATGTTAATTAGGGAATCTTATTAAAAGCATCTGTGTATTTGGGATGCTACTCACTGGGACATCCACAGTGCCTGAGAAAGGTTACAATGGTTGGCTTGCCGTTGTTAGCGGGGAAGGGCAGCAGTGCACAAGATGGAGCCTGCTGTCCGGGCTGGGGAATCGGAGACAGCTTCACGGGAGACGGCGAGAACCATGAGGCGGCTTCCTGCGAGAATGTCATTGTGAATATAGCAGCCAGTGACTAGGTAAGAAGTTAGGAAAGTTCTGTCCGCCTACGTCAACTCAAGCTGGGCCGATGCCGGGCCAGCCCGCGGCCCACCAGTTTCATTGCCGCATCTCCTGACGCCTTGAGCTCAATCACACTTCCACATTTACCGACAGTGCAGCGTCGGGAAGATGTCTTCGGTAAATCGCTCCAGCACGGTGCCGCCACCTTTATCGTCTTCTTTCCCACGATCGGATTCTTTCATTCGCCCGCGACAACCCAGCCTCAACGTAGATCGCGACATTCTATCCACACGTGGTCAACGCCTCGGAGGCTTAATCCGCCGTCGTTCTCTCAGCATCCAGAGTACCGATGGCTTTGACGAGAATGGTCGTCTCGAGGAATCTTTCCCTCAGGATTGCGGGGAGAGGCCTCCGGCCTTCGAACGCGCCAGGCGGCTCATCGGCGACAACAGGCCCATTTATAGCTGGTACGATGCATTTACATCAACTTGTTCGGTAAACTGACAGACTGCTGCAGGCAACGGTACTATCAAGACCCGGCTACGCTGAAGAAGATGCCAAAGTCCATGTACGTGCCCGTCTTACCCCAACTCAGTGTTGCCTTTGCTCAACCTATCAGGCGTGAGTATTACGAGCGCAACAATGATCTCATATCACAATACGTATACATCGACCGACTGCTGGATTCATCCCTCCCCCATCGCTTGATCGTGGATTATCACAACAACCAACCAGCGGAGTCTCCAGCTGCGCCCAACGGCCAAACAAACAACACAGCCTCCTACGGCACTGGGGATACCCAAGCACCAGGTAAAATCAAAAGAACCCCGCGGAATCTCTATCGAATCCCAAGCGAGAGCTCTCCCCTCTTGCCCCCGACAATCGAAGAACGGACCCCATCTCCGCCAGAGATCATGCCGACAGACGACGACTTTGTCGACAGTGGCGACCGCATAGTCACCGTCGCAATTTACGTTAACTTCGTCGCCAACGTCCTCCTACTAGCTGCAAAGATCGTCGCCATGACCATGACAAGCTCCCTCTCCGTACTCGCCAGCTTAGTCGACGGAGCTCTAGACTTCCTCAGCACAGCCATCGTCTGGACCACAACCACCCTCATCCGCCGACAAGATCGCTCCCGATACCCCATCAGTCGCCACCGACTCGAACCACTCAGCATTCTAGTCTTCGCCGTCGTAATGGTAACATCCTTCATCCAAGTCGCCATCACATCTGTCACCCGACTCCTCTCCCCCGATCACTCCGTCGTCGAGCTCTCCATCCCCTCCACCGCAGTCATGGCCAGCACCGTCATCGTCAAACTCGCCTGCTGGTTCTGGTGTCGTCTGATCAAGAACTCAAGCATCCAAGCCCTCGCCCAAGACGCCATGACCGACGTCATCTTCAACCTCTTCAGCATCCTCTTCCCCCTAAGTAACCCCTCCCCTTCCCTCCCCTCCTCAACCAACCTAACCAACCCAGTCGGCTCCCTAACCCGCACCTGGACCATCGACCCCCTCGGCGGCCTCCTCCTCTCCCTCTACATAATCTACAACTGGAGCGCCACAGCAAGCGAACACATCGGCCACCTAACCGGCGCCGCGGCCTCTCCCAAAGACCACAGTCTCCTGCTGTACATGATCATGCGGTTCTCCAAAGCCATTCTCAAAATCCAAGACCTAAAAGCCTACTATGCCGGCGACCGTCTCAACGTCGAAGTAGATATTGTCCTTGACCCTAAGACAAGACTACAGGATAGTCACGATGTCGGCGAAAGTCTGCAATATATGGTGGAAAGTGTTCCCACGGTCGATAGGGCGTTCGTGCATATCGATTATGATCCGTGGAATATTCCGAGTCATATGAGTCAGGTTGAGGGGTGATGTTCATACTACTATGTATAAGGATGGTGTTCTTGGTGGGGGAAGCTTGGATTAGCTTAGCTTAGCTTAGCTTAGCTTAGATGAGTTTGGACAGTGATGTGAGTCTGGATGCTGTAGAGGACAGTTTGTATGACTCGTTGCTAATGTAATAGCTATGATACTAGTAATTTGACGAACTATGGCCAATTATACGTCTACTAGAGAATGTTTTCATGGTAATGTATGGTTCACGACGAGGCGCGAGCTCGGTCCAGAACCATGTTACCCTGTATGTAGGTAAGAAAGAAAGAAAGAAAGTGGAAAGAACAGAAAGAGGGCTACGCGCGGCGGGCGGTGATATTCCGCTGGACCCTGGAACGGACGTTACACTCCAAGGTCCTCTTTCTCTTTGGGGGGGGGACGGAGTAGGTTAGAATGGGATTGCAGAACAGCATTCATGTGTAGATAGGTAGAGATGATTTGCATAGTTAGGAAGGGATAATTGATAAGAAATGTCTGTCAGAAAGTATAACAACAGGGCAATCAAGGGGGACAGCAGATGTCCTCGTGCAGCGGAAGAGCTCGGGCTCGGGATCAGAGAAGAGCGGAGGCCGGAGAACCTTACAGTACGGAGCAGTTACATACACTCCGTACACTCCGCGGTGCCCGCCCGCGTCCACATCGCGACGCGATTAGATGAAGCGACTTTTTCCTCCTTCGGGTTGGAGGAACGTTTCCACACCAGATCTCCTGCTCACTTCTTTACTCCGTTCTACTTAGGCCACGGCCCCCGTCTTTCTTTCTTCTACTTCTTTCTCTTCTTGCTTGATCCTTCCCCGTCCTCCCATGCTTGTCGCTGCTATCCACCATGTCTGATCCGGAGCCTTCTGCTGCTGCTGCATGTGCATCCTCGCCACCCCCAACCCAGCCATCCGAGTCGGCTGCTGCTCTCAATTACGCTTTCCTAGTTCACTCCCAGAAAACCCTGACACAAAACCTGCCTCCACGCGTCGACAATAAATTGCTAGCACGGCAAAAAAGGCGTCGGACCAGGTATGCCCGGAAACCAATTCCAGTCCCCACGGGCCCAATGGCTCTCAACCAGTATACCGCTGACACGTCAACCCTCTGGCCGTATAGTCCCGAAGACCACGCGATCCTCGAATCCGAGTATCAACAGAACCCGAAACCAGACAAGACGGCCCGAGCAAGTATAGTCAGTCGCGTCTCGTTAGGCGAAAAGGAAGTTCAAGTATGTCTCCGATGGCCACCCAACCTCCACCCCTCACATGCATTCTAACCTTTCTTGTCCGGAAACGCAGATATGGTTCCAAAATCGCCGTCAAAATGATCGCCGGAAATCGAAGCCACTGCAACCTCATGAGCTCCTCGCGCCCCGGTCGGACGTGCCTGACGCGTCGAAACAGTCTGCAACCGATGACAACCTACCGACAGAGCCAGGATCTTCAAGTGGGACGGAGAATTCTGAAGACAATTGCCAGGACACGAATCCAGCTACACAGTCGTCTGATAATGCGTCTTTCGAATCCGACGTTGTGCCCGGAGAGAAGAACGAACTGGAGCAGGCGGTGTTGAGCTCTCAAACAAGCTTGGCTACCGAAGTTGTGGAGGATTCTCAGAAAGTTCCCGACGAAACAATGCCGGATCCAGAACCAGCTCAGATGCACGATGAACCCCCTCTCGACGACTCACACCAGAATTCTGCCAAGAGGAAGCGATCGTTCTCTGACATCCGTGGTACCCGACCATTTGTACAGGGATCATCAACACCAGGAACGTTCCACGGTATGAAATCGCCGCCGTCATTGCGGATATCGCTCTCGTTTGATGGTGAGGCTATGGTGCGCAAGGAGGGCGAGTTGACCCCGTCTCCTCCTAAAGGACGGAATTCCCTGCGGATCGCCATGTCCTCTGATGGGAAAGCTGTGATCCGCGCCGATGGCGAGCCATCCCCGTCCAAAAACCGGATTTCCATGTTCTCGGCGCGTAAGCCTAGATTTGCGGGGCTTCAGAGGAGCAACAGTGCTGTGGCCTTTAGTACGCCACGGGGTGGCTCCATGGAGACCGAACGAATGTTTGGGAGATCACGAGATCCTCGGAACTGGGAATCCTTTTTTGATACTGACGCGAGGAGTGCGCTGTCTACCCCGACCAGCTCACAGAGTGCACCGAACGCTGGCTCCCCGGCGTTCTTTCGCGCACGCGGTCAGCGTTCGCTGACGAGGAGCATGTCGGCAAGACATAGCAGTGCCTTGCATCAGTCAGATTATCTCAACACGCCTGTTCCCAAACCGACCGGCGAGAAGAGGCGAAAAATTTCCCGTACGGTCTCTTCGCTGGGCCGGCTGGAGACTGGCCGTGCGACCCTTGGCGATAAGCTATCCAATGCAAAGATGCTCTCAGGGAAAGAGGACGAACTAGAGTTACAATGGGGCGACTCGGATAAAGAGAACTGGATACCAGGGACGCGAGTCTCCCACATCCGCCGACGAGCGACTTCCCACCATCACTCCCGCCGTCCCATCCTCAGGGAGACCGGCAGCAGGGATGGAAAAAGCAACAGGGATCTGGCATCCTCCGGAAGGTACTCACGGGTGTCTCACTCGCACCACCGCGCGAGCGGGGTAGCGAGCAAGGATGTGCCGGAGGTGGACGCAGAAGTATCTGCCTTCATGAATGGCGGGGGAGGTGCCAGCCAGGAAGAAGATCTTGACTGCATCCAAGGCTTGTTGTCTCTGAGCCAAGGGGCATGGAGATGAGAGCGGCTCCTCTCACTGCCCTGTTGATGATCGACCTTTCCTTTTGTCCCTTTCTTTTCTCTTCTTCATTCCCCCTTTGTTTCATATCCATTCCTTTCCTTCGTAGAGTCAATATTGGAGGTTACAGGCCAGCAAGCGGGTGATTGTGTGTATGATTTGTGAGATGATTGCTTTACGTTCCCCTCGGTGGGCTGCTCCAGGTTTGCTCCAGGCAGTTGCAACCATGGATCCTGATTTGATGACGAAACCCTGTGCGACGCCACAGACGATATCCAGTGCGCTATTACAGCCGAATAGCCTAATACAACAAAACAATGGAAGCCGATGATGATAAGATAGCTGATTTGCTTGATAAGTAGCCGCCCGCGATAAAGTGGGATAGCCAGGGGAAAGCGGGGTGATGGGGGGGTCGATGGGGGTATGATGGGGGGAATGATGGTGATAACACCAGTCGAGAATCTATAGTTGGCCTGGTGGGTGCCTCGGGCACGTGGCTGGCCGCTGACTTATAATTGCCGGCTCTTGCCCGTCTCCCGATAACTACGAAGTACTACTTGCTCTCGCTCTCCCCACTCCCTCTGGCCGATTGATGCTCCTGGGTTTCTCCCTTGTGTTACGTAGCGGGAGACGTGACTGCTTTCATTCTCGGGTAGGTTTGTCCAACCTGTTCTCATCTTTGTTTCGGTGACCTATTCATGTCTGGTTTGTGGTTTTTCATGTCTTGGCTCGGAACCATATCAAGTAGCAGCGGCTGCAGCTTGCGCTGTCTTACCTTCCCGCATCTCCAATAGATTGACCGGTTGCTAACGTAGTAGAGTAGCACAACAGGCGTCTGCTGCATGCAGTCAATACCAAGGACGTCCAGTCATTGCTGCAGTCTCCGGAAGGTCCCTTTCTTTTTCACAAGACCATCGCCATGGGCAAAAGGCCCAATGTAGCTGTCATCGGAGCTGGGCTTTCGGGCTTGAGATGCACCGACATTCTCATCCAGAATGGAGCTCGAGTGACTCTCTTCGAAGCAAGAAATCGAGTCGGGGGCAGGGTGTGTATAGAACATGTCTATCACCGATCAAGAAAAATTCGCTGACATCAAGCAGGTACACCAAGAGAAGATCCATACACACCTCATAGACATGTAAGACTGCCCATCATTCCCAAACTGATTTTGGCGTTCATGCTGACTCTTATCAGGGGCCCCAACTGGATACATGGCACTGGCAAAAACCCGATTGCCGCAATCGCAGAAGCAACGGAGACTGTGCTCGAAGACTTTGAAGGAAAACAGGCGTTGATTTCCTCGGATGGAAAGGCTATCGACGATGACCTAGCCTCCAGAATATCGGAAGTTCTGTGGACAACTATCGAAAATGCCTTTGAGTATAGCAACACATATAAAGACACCATTCCGCCGGATCGAAGCCTGCTTGACTTTTTCCGGGAACAGGTCGAGAAGACCGACCTCAGCGCAACCGAAAAAGAACTTTGCATCGAGTCTTGCAGATTATGGGGGGCATACGTCGGTGACCCGATTGAAAGACAGAGTTTAAAGTTCTTCTGCCTCGAAGAGTGCATAGATGGGAGTAAGTGCCCTAGTCACAAATATTGACACCCCATTGACCATTTGATGCCAGACAACTTCTTCGTGGCATCGACATATAAGAACGTTCTTAAGCATATTTCGAAGACCGCTCTCCAACGCGCCGACATCCGTTTCAATCAGCCAATCGTAAAGATTGAATCCGAATCCCGGAAAGACTTGAGATCCTCCGGCAAGGTGACTCTCACGACCGCATCTGGAGAAACCTTCCAGTTTGACGAAGTGGTAGTCACCTGCCCACTCGGCTGGCTCAAGCGCAACAAGCAGGCCTTTACTCCAGAACTTCCCCCTCGGCTTACTCAAGCCATCGACAGCATCTCCTACGGCAGATTAGAGAAAGTATACGTCACGTTCCCGCGGGCATTCTGGCACGCAGGCACCGAAACCGCCACAACCACCAATGGAAGCGACCTGAAATACAGCAGCTTCGAGAACCCCACCTTCGCACAATTCCTCAACCCAACCTACACGGAACACCCTAACGGGATCCTCTGGAACCAAGAATGCATATCACTGGCCGCTCTTCCAAGCTCCTGCGCCCACCCAACCCTCCTATTCTACACCTTCGGACCCTGCTCCACATACATCGTATCGAAGCTCGCAGACATCGACCCATCCTCCAAAGAATACTTCACCTTCCTCAATAACTTCCTCCATCCCTTCTACTCTCGGTTATACGGATACTCGGAAACATCCCCCGATTGCAAACCACTAGCCTTCACGGCCACCCAATGGCAAAACGACCCATATGCAGGCAACGGGTCCTACTGCAACTTCCAGGTCGGCCTTACGCAAGGCGACAGGGATATCGAGGTTCTACGAGCGGGGCTCGGAGCAGATCGTGGGGTCTGGTTTGCTGGTGAACATACGGCCCCGTTCGTGGCACTTGGTACCACGACGGGTGCGTATTGGAGTGGTGAGCGCGCGGCAGGTCAAATCTGCAATCTATATGGTTTGGGAAGACTTGGTATCGGCATGGAGAGGGATGACTCGTTGCCCTCGGCTACTCCGAAGGGCCATCTATAGATGGTAGATAACTTTGCGTTTTTTGGCTTGTTTTGCTTGGATATATAGTACATATCTTTTCTCTCCTCTTTCTTTTTTTCTTTTTTATTGCCTTCTTTCTTGCTTTTGATCGCCTTGTTTCTGGATTAACATATACTATATATACACTTGTGTGCAAAGAGAGCTAAGTTGTTGTACAGCCCTAAATATGTATAATTGCAGTATAGCAAACTAACCGTATTTACACACGCACACCCCCACCAGTCACAATAACGGACGCAGATCCATAGTACAGGAATACACACAAAGCCCACCCATAAGTGCAATAGACAAACAATAGACAACAAGGATATTAACAGGGGAATCACATATTGCTAGTCAATCAATCAATCCAGTTTCACCCGAGGAAAGGAACGAACAAGAGCAACGAGCAAGGCAAAAGGACGGAAAGGGCAGAAAAGCAATACGCCCCCAAAGGCATCAGTCAAAGTACCATGCGCCATGCTGGAATTAACCCAGATAAAATATGAAACGAAACTCGATTGGCAGAGAGCATCGACGAACCTGCGCGATCCTCAGAATCCGCAACCTTCCTGTATATGATCTGGTGAAGACCGTCAAGGATAATGCCGGGAAACTATAATAGACAATTGGGTATTTTCGAGTTGGGCGCCTGATACACAGCAAGAAGGAACAAGCAGGATTGGGTTGGACTGGGTGTTGTCTCTCAATGACAGGAGTTTATCTCCCTTGTGATGGATGGTGGTGTCCGGAATGAGTCGGGCAAGCGCGCATTGCGTATCTGATTGTGACAGGCTGGGCATGAACGAGACATTGAACGGGTGGTCCGATTGCCACTGAGCGATGCATAAGGTATAGATGGCCGATCAAGGGGCTGGGTGAGAAATCGGTGCTGCATCGCGCTCAATCTTCCCAGATCGTTTCCAAGTCCAAATCCTGTCGACGCTCTGCTCCACACACACTCCAACGCTTGCGTTTATCTGCCCGAGCACCATATCCCACCGATCCTCCCCGCATTGTAAGACCGCTTGATGGGCCCGAAGCATCGGATGACCCGCGCCGTCGATTCCCGCTGCTGGCCGCTTCTGCCTCATCCGCCTTATCTGCTGCAGCTTTCAACGCCGCAATTCTGTCCGCCTCAATGGCTGCGGCCTCTGCATCTGGAATGTCCGGAATAGTTTCCAGCGAGGAGATGCTCGGACTGCGGGATCGGAGGCTCGTCGGGGTCGAGGGTACAGATGAGGTCGCAGATGCCGAATAACCCGGGTAGGACTCGTTATATCTCATACCGAATATCACGGGAGAGGAATTGCCGGAGGGACTGCCCATGAACTGGGCGGACGAGGTTGGACTCTGAAAATGAAGGGGGGATGATGGTCGGCGACGGCCGACACGAGGTAGGGTGTGCGAGAAAACCGGCGAGGCAGGGTGATAATCGATTTGAGTCGGAGAGGAGACGATGTTGGTATCCAGCTCCGCATGTTCTGATATGGTCTCTGATATGTTCAGGGGCACCATTCTGGACTCTAGGCCGTCTCCAGTAGTGACCTGCAAAGGCAAATAGCGCTTGGCGGCATGATCTCCCACATTCGCCGGAGACCCGCGATTGTTGACGAATATATATCTTCCCCGCGAGTCCAGCCCTGGCGACGAGTGGGCGCGGGTCATGGGGGGTAGGCCGGGGACCTCGACCATCGATCGTGACCGGAAATGGGAACGAGTAAAAGGGAGACGAGTAGGAGTTTGGACCGGCGGGTCAGGTGTGAGCGACAGTGTGATCATGACGTTATCGCTGCATTTTGCCTCTCTGGAGTGCTCAGCGGGAGAGCCGGACGAGGCCGAGTCGATTGAATCAGTCGAACCCACGGGGCTTGAGGGAAGCATAATCCCCTCGGGGGTTGGGTGTGACGCTTCCATCTCTGTCTGGCAACCAAGAAGTCAAGTTAAACGGGCCTCATGCTGGTGAACCACCGGCGAACATTCAACGGTTACCACAGTCGAGCCGAACCAAGAAGTTGTGCCCGTTCCGTATCCAAGTTAGATCTGGATTCGGATTCGGCCTGGGGGGGAGGGCGGTAGGAGTGGAGAGGAGGCCGGAGGACGCAGCTCAGGGGGTGGAACACAGACACAACCTGGAGCGGGGGACGGGGGAGGGAACACAGGGATGGATGGATGATTTGGCCTTGCGCTAATTTAGATTGATGCTCCCAGTGAGTGCCGGAGTGGACCTTGAAGCCCCAGCGAAAACGTGGGGGCAGAGGAGATAAGGAAAGGCAGAGGGAGAAGGCCCAGGAGAAAGTTGAGTGGTGAGGTCAAGACGGACGGACGGGCAGAAGGAATTCGGAAAACACACGAGGGGGAAGCTCAGGCTCTCAGGCCCACCCGCCGCCACCACCACCACCTCCTCCACCTGACTGGCTTGTCCCTCTGCCTATTCTCTCCCTCTTCGCTCCTCTACGTCCACTCATCCTCCCTCCTCCTCTGCACCCATCTTCACGTCTCTCACATGACGACGATCATCGGGTTTCCATGTCCATAGTGGTCGTCATGATTCATTAACGCCGACAGGCGCGTCTCCTCAGCTCCAGTAATCCCCGTCGGCCTTCCGCAGCGACGAACAACTCACTTCACTCCAAACCAGTGGCTTTCCATCCTGAGAATACATCTACGCGTCGTCTTATATTGTTGAATCAGAGAAACGCGCAGGAATAAAAAAAATCTCCGACAAGAGGGATGCAAAGATGACTCCGAAGTCTGGGCCGGCCTAGACATTCCGCACGCTTCCAGAACCACCACACTAATGTAATGCATGCTGCATATCTATTGACGGGCATTGGATATGCTCAGCCACTTACTCTCCTCTCCATCGGCCTCTCCGTCCCATCTGAGCAAGTGTTTGTCAAACGGCCTCGTTCTTATTGCACTCTTTGATTACGAAGCGTTCAGACATTCAGAGATAAGGGCGTTGAAGGCTTGACATCTCAGCCTTCCGGCTCTGGGATCGCAAGAAAGCCTGCGGACAATCCTCGGTCTCACTGGGTCTCACCTTGACGCATTTGGGTCAATATGGTCAATGTAGCAGGTTCTCATATCCTTGCCCTCCTACTCGAAAGGTAGAAGCACTCTCTCGATCCTTGCAAGGTCTCCGTGGTCGGTGTCCTTGCTAGTAGTGACCGAGGATGTATTCGTATTCGCTCGAAAGATCAGATGTGTCTTCCAGGTGCAACCAACTGATTATCGGATCAGGCATCCTGTAAGAGTCTATCGATTGTAGTATCTAAGGTATAGTTTATCCATTTCTATAACCAAGTTAATAAACCCCCCGTCGAGTAGGTAGGGAATTCTACAACAATAACCAGCCAAGCCCATCTTTACTTGTAGCCAACGACTGTCGACACGAGACACAACAGACACAGTTTAACTCACAAAACCCGGTCGACTATGGCCCATCCTAGGCCTCACAGCAGTGCCATAGACTTTTCGATCACCTAGCAGGATTCTATGCAGCGGCTCCGTCAATCTAGGTTCCTATTTGCGCCTGGAGGGTCTGTGATGGCTACCGTATGTCTGGCATAAAAAAGGATGATGTTGCGCTTCAAATATAGTTCAAAGAAGTATCTTATCTTCATGGATAATCAGGTGATCTACTATAGCTGACAGCTTCATCCCTGTCTTCCTTCCACAGCATATTCCGCATGTAACCCGATCATCAAGGATCACCCCTCCACATCATCGGACCCATATTCTATATCCGATCCTAAACTTCCCTCCTATCTATCTTCTACTCCAACAACAACAGTGCATCTTGTTGAGATGACACACCAAAACCCATTAAGAACAATTACCTCCCTTCCTACATTCATCAATCCCATCAAGACCCCTTCAGGGGGCGCTTTTCTTCCCCTCCTCACCAGAAAGTCCGAACTCACCGATACCCAGCCCCCTCACCCCCGAAAGCAAACACTCATACCACAAACGACGAACCACCTAGATCACCATTTGTCCGGAGTAAAGATGCCCGGAGACACGAGCAAAGTAGCTGTGAGTTTATTATCGCAAGACAACATAACTCAAGTTTGATCTCCTCATATGAGGTTCGGAGACCGTTGATTGATTTCTCCGGACTGGTTCGCCAAGGTTTGATACCCGTCTGGTTTCCAAGGAGAGGGGATTTTCTGGACGGGTTGGAATTGGGACTGGGATGGTTGGCTTGTGCAAAGTGTGGGATGGGTTTTGGATGAGGGGTACTCGGGGTGGTTATGGAAGTTGGGTGGTGTATCGCGGGAGACGTAGAAGGGACTGGGCTGGGATATAAAGAGGGGACGATTTGCTCGGGTTCTGGATACAAAAGTTCAGAGCGCAAGATTCATCTGGCTATACAGACAACAAGACAATTCTTTTGATTTATTCTGTTCACGTTATCAATCTACATCGTCTCTCCAAAATGCAGTTCCTTTGGGGTGTTGTGCTCTGTGCTGTTGTCTTCGCGAAGGCTTCCACTGCATTGGTCGCTGGGAACGGTGCTGAGGTTAATGTCCACGGGGCTGGAGATGAGATTGTCCACGCAGAGCCGGTAAGTTACCTTTCCGCTGTGGTGCCTTGTGATGGAGGGACTAGATCGCTGACTTCATATAGGGAAAAGTGATCGTCAAGGTGAGTAGATGAGGGATGGTTCATTGATGATTAGTACACGTTTTCCTGATGTAGTGCTTGCTTTGTTTTAGGTCGGGGACCTCGAGGCCAGAGAGGCACCCCAGTGAGCCAGATGTGTGGGACATGGACGCTGTGTTGTGGGAGAAGGCAACTTTTATTCTCCTGATCAATGCGGCTACTGCCGGGGGCTGTGACGTCGATCAGGCGCGGTGTCAGAGCCCATTGTCCGTGCTATGATGAGATGGGGCGGTTCAATGGTATCGTTGTTTAACTGGGGGATCTTGTGGGGAGTCTTGAGGGAGACTGACCGAGTTCGGATGACTTATTTCGGCATTTCTTTTTGGTTCTCCAGAATTGGTTCTCTCTGTGCGGTATTAGTCATGTCAATGGAAAAAAGGCACCTGTTGCCAATAAAAGCCAAGGCCTATCGCAACCGGGCTGATTGCACCGCCAAGTAGAAGATCAAACAGCACTAGAGCGTAGCAGCCTATAGGACCCTGGACTTGTCTCACTTTGACAAATAAGCTAGTCAAAAAATAGGTCATCCTCATCACGTTGTCGTCGTGTAACACGAGCGGCTTCTCTCAGCCCCATTTGAGATTCAGCGTGTGATAGCTTTTGTGACTGACATGCAGAACCTTCTCCTTGTCCCTCCATTGGATGAGTAGGATGCCATGTGTCCAGTCAATCTCAATAAGGGTACACATCATCCTACCCAAAAGCCGTGCCAAGGGTCTGACAAGTGATCGACAGCCGCTGCCTCAGTGCCTAGTGTGGACCCTGTCAGCAAAAGGAATACTCAGCCACAACCCTAACCCTGGTCATACTTCTTTGTTTCGTCTTGGACAGACTTATGTACTTGGCATACCTACCCTGCCCCCCACGATGGCAGACATCCATCTTTAGACATTCAGACGCACTGTAGCGTCTCTTGTACCACGATGAGCCCTCACTTGTTCAGAAATCTCGTTCTTGGATGCTTGTCGTCCCGTCGATTATCCGTTATTGCTCTGATAGTGTTCATCTGGTTGCTTCATAGTCAGCTCCTGGGTTCTTCTATTAATCAGCACAATCCCCACGCGGACAAAAAGCCGGCAAAGCATCGAGTTGAAGATGCACCTAGATTTCTCTATCATTCTTCTTCCGGGGTGGACCTCGATGTGGAGTATGAGAGATATCTATCAGACGCCCTCAAGGAGATCGAGCAAGCCGCCGGAGGGCAGGATGTGGCGGAAGAAAGAATCTGGCAGATCACCAAGGACGAAAAGCACAGGGGATCGGAGTCGGCCTTATTTGAGGAAAAGAACAGCGATTGGGAATACACGTTAATGACCGACGAGAAAGCCGCTGCGTTTGTCATTGATGAGTTGTCCACTGTACCGGAAATTGCGACGGTATATGAGTCCTATCCTTATGATGTCCTCCGAGCGGATCTTCTCCGATACCTTCTCCTCTGGTACTACGGAGGCTTCTATGCCGATATGGACGTCTTCCCTGCTCGCCCGATAAGAGAGTGTTCAGCTCTCCAGCGGCTATTTCCACCACAGGGCGACTATCCCGCCAATGTGTCCCTCGTAGTAGGGATTGAGCTTGATGAGCCCTATGCCTCATCCAGTCGTATGCGTGAGTGGCACTGGACTAGAACCTATGGATTGATTCAGTACACGATGTATGCGCCCCGACGGTTTAGTCCGCTACTCCGCCAGATTATCGTCCGGGCTTTAGCACATACCAGACAATACCAAAGACATCACAATAGCCTCTTTGGATATCGTCAGGAGGATATCCTAAGACTGACAGGCCCAGATGTTTTCACGGATACGATTCTGGATATGCTGTCATCATCTCTCCCGCCCACACATCCGCTCATTCAACGATCTGTGGACGCAGATGAAACTATAGGTGATCTGAACACGGAGCAGAAACGTGTAACATGGGCTCCATTTCATGGCCTCCGCGAGACCGTGTGCATTGAGGCCAGCGAAGCTATTCCGGAGGCATCCATGGGAGGAATTTGTGTGCTGCCAGTTAGTGTCTGGGGGAACGGACAGAGGCATAGTCAAGCGGAAGGGTTCAATAGTCCACAGGCTTGTATCAACCATCTTTTCAAAGGCTCTTGGAAAAAGGGTTGGAAGAATTATATATTTGGGTGAAGGATCAATGATTAAACTAGACGGTTGCGCTTGTCTCAGGTTATTGGACATGGTTAATTACCTGTATGTATAAGGTCGGCCTTTGCCCTGGGTAAAACCAGTGTCAGTACTTGCTCAAGGCCTCAGTTGTCTCCTGAGTCTCCCGAGGGCAATACCCACAGTCAATCTCTGTAACAACTCAAAGGCCACGATCAAGCTCAGATGTTGTTGCCAGAATTCAGATATCCTGTAGCAATATACGGTATCGCTACTTTAGATCTGACCGAGGAAGGTATCAGACACGTTCTTGGTATCAGATGTCTAGAAGATGTGACAGTATGATGTTTGACCCCGATGGTTTCCAATAAGAGGGGAAGAGTGAAGCAGATGACGTGCCTCGATCACCTGACCTGCGTGGACTTTTACGTTTCTTGCCGCATCTCCTATGGATTTGCGTGGTTTACCGCCTATGATATCATTTCTTTATCCAAAACGAAGTCGAATGTGGGAATTCGCAAAATGCACTGAGATTTAGCTATTATCCGTTTCCGAAGAAAATTAAGTATATCACTCTCCCTCTAGACTCAAATCATGCACAAAGGAAAGTTCTAAAGAATCAAAGCACCCTCAACAGATCAGAAATATATGCAAAGGAAATGGTATAAACGAGATGAAAGTCCGGGTCCTTCGCTGGCTTGCACTTAGACAGGATCGGAATGGAGATGATGGCGAGCTTTCTGATGTCACTGATGGTTTTCATCGATACACATCGTCGAGTCTTTCCTCCGCACATATACTTCCCGCACGATGTCACCACCATAGTTCTTCAGCTCCCACTCTCCGATCCCATACTTCTCTGGGGCTCGTTTGACCCCCCGCCCGCCCCCGCCAATGATCAAGTTACCAGGACGGTATTCAGGATTGGCTTGCATGCGGCGAAGTGCGGAAACATGGATTTGAGCATCGTCGGGAATATCGCGTACCTCTCCACAGGGGAGCGGCCAACGAATCGGCTTCCATGAGCCATCCTTCTGCAGGTCCATTCGTCGGAATGGAAGGTATTCCATCAATCGCCATGTAAGGACAGAAAATGCCGACAACCCATTGTTGAACTCCAGGCAATCGTGAAGTAAGCCCTCTGTGCTTGAAGCGAGAAGGGCTTCCCGGAAGCTGCAACTTGACTGGGAAGCATCTTTTTTCTTCTCGTCACCAGCAAGTCTGAGTGGTATTTGGCCGTCGCCCACATGGCTATGCATAGAGTCGCGACAGAAGTCGCGATGGTGCTTGCAGCGGTGATGTTCTCCAATCGGAGTGTAGTCTCCGTCGAATTCCTCGTCACATTCGAATTGCTTCAACTTCTTAGGCTCAAACTGTAGCCCGGCCTTCTTTGCCTCTTGGACCATCCACACCAAGGGGGCATGGCTCAACGCCCAATCCTCCTTATCCCCGAGTTTCCACCCTCCACCAATGTCTGCATGGCCGCCAGGGAACCATACTTCTTGGATGTCTTGTGTTTCCTCGTCATCATTAGCTAGGTGATTGGCCACTCCTGGCACGCGAAGGGATAGTTGCCCTGACTGCCCACTTCGGATCGAGCTCTGGTCGTCTATGGACTCGGTTGGTATGGGCACGGCTAGGCTTGCCTTCGTGACAGGCATCCTAACAATGGGTGCGCGGTACCGGTGACCAGCATGAAGGTCCTCATGAGAGCCATTGGCGCTGCGATAAACAGACTCGGTCTCTTCACGCTCGTGCCTGCTGGATTGTACACCTTGGGCCTCGTCGTTACCAATATCGTCACTGTTGATCCTCAGTACGGGAACATTTCCATTCCCACGGGCTTCCATGGGGTGGCGGAGTTGGTGCAGATACTGTTTCCCTCGCTCCTGTATATTCTGCTTCTTTCCATGCCATGGCTTCGCCTCGGAAATCAAATCCTGGCGGAACTTGGCCCGGCGCTCGTCAATACCCACTGCGTGCCGAATGACTCTAGCCGAACTTCGAGCAGTATAGGGGAATTTATTTCTCTGCATCCACGCTGACTCGAACTTGGGAACGCTGTTGACTGTGTCGAAAAGACCCATGAATCTGATCCTACTGATAGGTCGACTGAACGTTTCTCGGAAGGCTTTCATGTAGTTGAACAACTCTATCTTCTCCTCGCGTTCCTTGTCATTGTCACCGCGTCGCTGCTGCCATTTGGCAAATGTCTTCCAAGCAAATCGGATCAACTCTTCATTTCCGGCTTCGAGTAACCCGATATAATCAAGCATCTCAGCCAGAAAACGTGCAATATAAGCGCCTCGACTGAAGCCGATAAAGTATATATCGTCCCCGGGTTGGTAGTACCTCATCAGGAACTTATACCCGCCCATCACATGTTCGTCAAAAGATGAACCGACAGCGGAATCTTTGGCTTTCAAGTAGGCCGACTTGATCCTTTGGATACGCCCATGACTGGAAAGAGACTTGCTTGTTATGTAGGTTCCGATACCTGGCTGGTAGTAGTGGAATTGATGGCTTTTGCTCCGATCAAGCATCTTGAGATTGCGAAGAGATTATGTGAGCGGAACATCATACCACTCATGGAGCACCTACTCACCCGAAAGATCTTCAGAACATTGCTGTCCGAATCATCCCCGCAAAATTTGTTTCCTGTACCATCAAAGCACAGAACGAAATGCTTTGGCGCCTGTGCAGGGCCATACAGCGTCGGTGCACCTTCCATTGCATTCAGCGGGAGATTCATATAAAGGCCTAACTCGGCGGCTCGTTATGCACGCATAAAGCGGAAGGGGCTTGCTGTTAGATTAAGTAGCAGGCTGGGTGCCGAGCAGCGTGGGGATACGCATGCTGTATATAGATACAGAGGCAATGGAGCACTACGGGCAGCTTATGCATGAAAGATCAAGAATTGTTGCCCTACGCCGTGGACCGTCAACCAAAAAGGGTGTACGCTGACACAGGCTCCCCTGATGCATGGATTTGAGTTCCTGCAGCCTCGGATTCCTGCCTGCTCAGCATCGTTGAGTGGAGCAGGAAAAAGGTGGTTGGTGGAAGACATTGAACCAACCGACACATTCCTACACAGCACCTGTGGAAAGCCGGTCACCATCCCACTTTTGCTTTTTCCCGTTGTCCAGTCGCTTCTTTTGGGCCGGATGTTCCCCACAGGCCTCAATAGCCTTGCTGGATGTCAGCTGCGGCCCCGGCGGCCAAGGCTGATTATGCATGCCTAGTTAGCGTCACGAGCATCTCGACCCAGTCAAGTCAGCCCCTCAGACATGATGGACAGCGGCTAAGTAGGCGAATACAGGGGTCCTGCGTATCCAAAATTCCAGACGTCTAGATTTCCTGCTCACAGACCCATTTGGTGATCGTCTCCTTCCTCCACAGGCAATACAATCTGACATCCTCTGCAACTTCAGCTGGGCGATATCCCTGGCCAGGGCCCGCATCCTGGGCGGGCTCCGGTGTCAGGAGGTTGCACTCGGATGGCGGAAAGCGAAGATCCCCACACGGTTTCGCACATTCGGACTTCAGAGATCAATCATGTCTAGTGGTGTGTGAGACCCATAACACGAGGGGATGATCCTTCCCAACTCTTCCACGAGTGGAGACGTTCTGACCATCGGAAGAGATGACTGGCAAGACCAGAGTTTTGCTCATGATTGGTAAGTGAGGGATGCTTTTAGATAACGCTTAACACAGCTATGCTACACAAGGGAGTCATACCCCATAATTATCCATACTTTTCGGGCTCAAGGATACCCTAACTTTTGTATATATGTGCATATATGATGACTGAAAATGTCATCTTATGGATTACGGCTGACGGGGCAGTAGAACATTGAAAAGCAAGGGATGGATAGAGGGGGTGGGTGGCTGGGCTGGCGGAGACGGGTTGATTGACCTGCTCCACCGGCATGGCAGAAGGGGAAGCACCTGGTGGGGAAGAAGGGGGAACAAACAAGCGAGAGCAAGCGAGAGATGTGGATGTGGATGCGTCAGGCGGCAGGCGCTGCTAAGAAAGTACGTATGGACTATCTATCATGAAGGGCTGCAGGGGGAAACCAATCCACCCAATCCAAGAACCCAAAACTGCCCTGATGAACTGACAATAAATAACATTAATATACATCCACTAGACTTCCGATGTCAACTTTTACGGTGCCGTGGATCGACTCCTTTGGGCCGAGGGCGGCCTAAGCGCCTGAGGTGTCTCCCGCCCGTGGGGCCTTCGACGGCCTGGAGCCGCCACGAACCATTCGGATGCTCCCGATCGCCTCCCACGGAAAGTCTCTCTCTCTCTCTTTCTTTCTCTCCTTGCAATGATCTCTACGGAGTACCGATCTAATATCTACTGCTTGTTTGTCATTCCTTTTACTCCGTGTCCCCTCCTCCTGCACCTAGTCAGCTAGATGCGTCAATCACCATTTGAATCTGAACCATGGCTTACTGCTCAGCGTATGCCATCTCCTCTCGCTTCCAAGTGGCTTTGGCTAGCCCAACCAAACCGGCTGTCAGCCAGCCAGCCACCAGGTTCCGCATTCGGATGTCTTGATCAGCCGAGACATATGACACTCGAGGATCTTCTTCTCTTTCTCCCCTCGCTAATCGCTGATGAGCGACTGGCTCAGGCTGGAGGTTACCAAATCAGACCTCAGATCGATCGGGCGGCCTAAGTAGTGATGAACACCATCCTGAGTGTGGATCCTCCACCCACGAAGATCCTCGCCCGTCCAGCTCGCTGTACGACCACGGCAGGGGCCCAAATACGTAAATTGAAAGTTTAGTCTGTTAGTCCCGTGATGCTGAAGTCGTGCCTGTTATCCTTCGAACGTTTCCTGCTGCTTTTGTCGCGACAATCGTTACCGGTTTTTATTTTCCGATGCGCAAAAGCAAACATGATCGGTATCCAGGGATGGGGAGAAGCAAAAGGCCTATCTACCGTGTCATGTTACGTCTGAATGATTGCCAGGCTGCCAGCACTAACATGGCCCAACCCGCAAATTCCTGAAAAAGTTTAATGAGGATGATCCCGTGTTGCGAACGCGTGGGTACCCTACTGATGGTCCGTCCCCGATTGGACTCCGCTGGAATCTGTGATGGATCTTGGCCTTTTTCGAAGGACTCCTCACTTGGATGAGACTTCCGGCCAATGAAACGCGGCCCCTACCTTGCCATCCATGCGACTTTTCCATGCCCTCTGGTCTCAACACTTGGTGATTGTACTGTGTAACCCACCGTCGCTCTCTCTTGCCCATGCGGTGTTGTCCTTGCTTCCAAGGGAAACCAAAATGTTGCTGCTTGGTTGATGACCCTGCGGCCTGCAAAGTGCAATGATCGGTGAGCCGTCCTACGGTTCTAGCGGGAGAAGCTCCCTATAGTGGGTCTTCAGCTCCAGACGTCAGGTTCTCCAGCCTCGACTCCATTGGCCCGCCGTGCGAGCGCGAGTCAACCTCAGATAGGATCACTAGTATTGAGTTCTACCGATCCACTACGCCTGTTTGCAGTTGGCACTCGGGTGGAAATGGGAACACCCATTATTCGGCACAGTCCGGTGTTTTGCTCCCAGCTCGAGCCCTGGAATGCCGTCCTGCAATTGGCACTCTGGAGCCGAAGTGGAGACGGACCCTTCCAGCTCCAGCGCCATGGCCTCGTTTCCGCCCTGAAGATGTTGCTCATTGCTGTGCTTCCTCTGTGGTTGGCGAAAGTGGAATCACGTCACCATCTTGATTGGCACTGCCTAGTCGAGATTGTCCTCTTTTTGTCCGAATGTGCTCCATACAATGGCCTTTTCCTCTTGATTCGACGGAAGGCAAGCAAAGTGGCTGCCGCTTGCCTGGCTGCTGCTCCCTTGGCAGCCAATTCCCTTCGGCCAGCTTCAAGCGTCTTCCTGCGTGAAGGAGGGTAGATTCTGCATGTATCCGCAAATCATTTGTCTTATGTACATTGGCTGAAATCCAAGGCCACCTTGCACAGCGGAACCACGTTTGTTTCCACATGCCCCTTTACCCAGCACTCGGTCGACCCGACGATCCCCACTCTACCCGGGGCAAAGGTTCAGCCAAACTCAAGGGCCATCCTAGTATCCGTGGGGCTTGATCGATAGATCAGCGGCATCTCGATACGGTGCACATGCTAGTGGTGGCCCGCCTGAATCGGGTAATTACTATTGTGGTGATTGGGATTTGATGGCTGGGTCCACAAATTGGCTAGCACAATTAATGATTTCATTTCATACTGGCCTAAAGCATCCCATGCGTTGTCTGCTTTAAAACCCTATTGTTCCGAAGCTCGATGGCTTGTTATTGTTGATCTCTCCTCTATTTTGTTCTTTGCACGCTCTGTTTCCCCCCATTTTTCTGTCTTGATTCTTACAATTTTGTCTCCGTTCCTTTGTAACTTTTGCGATATACATAATCATAATGTTGCGCAGATTTTCATCGACATTCAAAAAGTCGTCGAAAGGCGACCGCGATGCGAAGCCGAATGGAGCCCAGGTAAATGGGCAGAAGCGCCAGTCGAAAGTGCCGACAGCGCACGAATCGTCCTCGGATGAGAGTCGCAGCGATCGCAGCGACAAGAGTGACGATGGCCTGCCGGCATTCGAAAAGTATGCCCAGGTCTTGCACGCTTCCCGGCGCCCTTTGCCGAATCAGACTGGCGATGGAACCTATCTTGAGCATGAGCACTCGGGCAGTTTGTTCCAGGATCTCCGGACTTTGGGTTTCAAGGATGTTGGGACGCTGAAGGATCTACTCAAGACGAAGGCCAAGGGAGAATACGTGGATGACAAGACCATGCTTATGGAACGCATTATTCAAGTAAGACTCTTGGGATTTACACGAACTATGCTCGAATGCTAACGGGTGCTCCTTCAACAGCTTGTCAGCAGCCTTCCAGGGAATTCCAAGACCCGCGCCGACCTCACGAATGCCTTTTTGGATGAGCTATGGGGTTCCTTGCCTCACCCACCTCTATCGTAAGTCGAGGCTTGGTGGTTGCATTATGCGCTCGCCCTAATACTCTGCAGATACATGGGAGAGGAGTATGCCTACCGCTCGGCCGATGGCTCCAACAACAACCCGACTCTTCCCTGGCTAGGTGCCGCCAACACCGCCTATGCTCGCTCGATCGCGCCTCTAACTATCCAGCCCGGCGGATTGCCGGATGCCGGTCTCGTTTTCGACTGTCTGTTTGCGCGTGAGAAGTTCACCCCTCATCCGAATAAAGTCTCGAGTCTTTTCTTCGACTGGGCGTCTCTTGTCATCCACGGTTCGTTGGTTTCCTTATAACGTAATCGTAACTAGACGCTGATTCGATTATCAGATATCTTCCAAACGGATTACCGAAACCCTCATGTCAATAAAACATCCGCCTACCTCGACCTCTCTATTCTGTACGGTGATAACCAGGAAGACCAGGACTTGGTCCGGACATTCAAGGATGGAAAGTTGAAGCCCGATACTTTCTCGGAACAGCGACTCCAGGCTTTTCCGCCGGCGTGCTCCGTGTTGATGGTTATGCTAAGCAGGTGTGTATTGTCTCCCCTGGCATTGAGAATCCTCTAACTGGGTACACAAACAGATTCCATAATTGGGTCGTGGAGGAGCTGGCAGCCATTAACGAAAACGGCCGCTTCAATAAACCCAAGGCTGGCCTCGGCGAGGAGAAAGCCAAGAAGGCTTGGGCAAAGTACGACAACGACCTTTTTCAGACCGGACGACTGTAAGCCATTCCACCAATTCCGCTGCGACGTCTGAGCGAAGATCTGACATTTCTCATAGGGTCACATGCGGCCTTTTTATCAACATCACTCTATATGATTACCTACGCACCATTGTCAATCTGAACAGAAGCAACTCTACTTGGTGCTTGGTAAGTGAGATCAAAGGATGATTTGTGCTGAGACTGACCGACAACAGGATCCCAGAGTGCAGATGGAGGGCAGCAAGAGTACTCCGTCTGGTCTCGGTAACCAGTGCTCCGTGGAATTCAACCTCGCATATCGCTGGCATTCTGCTATCAGCGCCAATGATGAGAAGTGGACTGAAGAGGTCTACGAAGAGCTGATGGGGAAGCCTGCCGCGGAGGTCTCGATGCATGAGCTTCTCATGGGGCTTGGAAAATACGAGCAAAATATCCCGAAGGACCCTTCCAAACGCACGTTTGCCAATCTTAAGCGCCAGGAGGATGGAACGTTCAAGGATGAGGAGCTTGTCAACATCTTGCTCAATGCCATCGAGGATGTTGCCAGTAAGTTGAGCTTTGGCTTAATAGAGAACAGTCTAACTTACCATTGCAGGCTCCTTCGGCGCACGAAATGTGCCAAAGGTCTTGAAATCCGTCGAGATCCTGGGTATTGAGCAGGGCCGCAGGTGGAATGTGGGCTCCCTGAACGAATTCCGCAAGTTCTTCGATCTGAAGCCATACGAAAAGTTCGAAGACATCAACTCCGACCCAGAAGTCGCTGATGCTCTTCGTCATCTGTACGAGCATCCCGATTACGTGGAACTCTACCCTGGTATTGTCGCTGAGGAAGCCAAGGAGCCCATGATCCCTGGTGTTGGCATTGCTCCTACGTACACAATCTCTCGTGCGGTTCTCTCTGATGCCGTGGCTCTCGTCCGCGGAGATCGATACTATACCGTGAGTATCTACCCGGCCTTCAAGCACCTAAGCTAATTATGCCTGTAGATCGACTACAACCCGCGAAATCTGACAAACTGGGGATACAATGAGGTCCGCTATGACCTCAGCATCAATCAGGGATGTGTGTTCTACAAGCTCGCGCTGCGGGCCTTCCCTAAATACTTCAAGTCTGATTCCATCTACGCACACTACCCGATGACCATCCCCAGCGAGAACAGGAACATCATGAAGGACCTCGGCCGCGAGTCCCACTACTCTTATGACCGGCCTCGCTACACCGAGACTGCTCCGACCCTGTTGTCCTACCCCAATGCCAAGCTAGTCCTGAATAGCCAGAAAGACTTCCACGTGCTCTGGGGTGGACTTAGCTCGCTCTATGCCGGAAAGGGAGGCATTGACTTCTGGAGCAAGTCGTATGACAATGATCAATGGAGGAAGAACATCAGAGACTTCTACGAAGATGCTACCTTGAAGCTACTCGGCGAGAAGTCGTGCAAGCTTGCTGGAATCAAGCAGGTTGACATTACAAGGGAGTAAGTCTTTGAGAATATCCGAAAGATCTCGCTGTTGCTAATTACGTTACAGTGTCGGAAATCTCGTGCCCGTGCACTTCGTCTCTAAAATCTTCTCGTTGCCGCTGAAGACCAAGAGCAACCCCCGGGGAATCTTCACTGAGCATGAAATGTTCATGATCATGGCAGTGGCCTTCACTTCCACATTCTTTGATGTTGATCCTACCAAGTCCTTCCCACTCCAGCATGCGGCGCGCGCTGTCTCCCAAGAGCTGGGTCGTGTTGTGGAAGGCCACGTCAAGTCCATCAACTCCCCTGGGTTCCTTCACAGTATCATCGATAACTTCCGCGATGATCACAATGCTCTGAAGGACTACGGCGATCAGCTGATCAAGCGCCTATTGGAGAGCGGGCTGGGAGTTTCCGAAGTGACCTGGGGCCAGATCCTACCAGCGGCAGTTGAGATGGTCCACACCCAGGCTCAGATGTTCACCCAGATCATCAATTTCTACCTCACAGAGGGCAAGGCATATCTTCCGGAGATCAACCGCCTGGCTAGGGAGGAAACTACGGAGGCTAATGACAAGCTTGCCCGTTACTGCATGGAGGCTGTGCGCCTGAATGGTAACCTGGGCACCTACCGCGAGTCCCAGACCCACCTCACGGTGTCTGATGAGAGCGGCCAATACAGCATCAAGCCAGGCGAGAAGGTGTTTGTCGGTTCGGTATGTTATTCCCGACGTCTGAATCCTTGTATTGGACTAACATCCGGTAGGAGAGAGCGAACCGTGACCCAAGGGCCTTCCCTTCACCCAACGAAGTGCGTCTTGACCGCCCTCTGGAGTCCTACCTGCACTTTGGCACTGGTCCTGAGAGTGGACTGGGTCAGGATGCCACCTTGATTGCGGTGACCGCCATGGTGCGGATTGTCGCTCGTCTGGATAACCTCCGACCTGCTCCTGGGGGTCAGGGGCAATTGAAGAAGATTCCCCAGTCGGCTGGATTCTCCGTATACCTGCGGGAGGACCACGGCAGCTACTCCCCGTTCCCGACCAGTAAGTGTCTTCCTCTTTCTTGGATTTCGACCTTTGCTAATCCGAGTTTCCTACAGCCTACAAAGTGCACTACAACGGCGATGTGCCGGCCCCTAAGCGACAGGTCACGACTGTTTGAGATGGCTATTATTGCGGGGCCTTTGGTTTCAATTGATGTAATGGTGTAATTTGTCACGTTCGAGATATCCTTGTGTTTCAATCAAAATGTCCTCTACTTGCCGAGTGTATTCTGTGCTCTAATGCAATTTTGAACATAAGTCAACTGTGTTGTGTAATTTAGAAGCGATATGTGTTGGAGAAGCTGCCCTCGCGAGGGGTATCAGTTAGGAACCAAGTTCAATTGTCCGATTGGTACTAAGCGCCGCTCTTATCGACGTCCACTGCCCTGGTGTATGTGATGATACGCGGCCGGGTGAATCACGCTGGAACATGCACGAGGGCATTGGCGACAAACATCTCCGCCCAATCCAACGCAACCATTAAGCGCCCGGGTCAATAGTAGGTAAGATACGCGACCCCATTGAGTATGTCGACCCACCGGTGTCAGACGATCCTGTCTGGACGGTATCCTTCCTTCCCTTACGCCGGATCCCATTGGAGGGGGCGGGGGTGGCGGTTTGCGCCATCCGTGAATCCAGGACCCTGCTTAGGGAAGGCGCCTAATAGCCTGGACGTCACCGGACCAGCGGCAGGGTCAGCCCTACTGCCGGACTCCCTCGTCCCTCCGCTCCAACTTGGGCCTCTGGGGGAAGATCCTCCGTTCCACGTCCGTCTTCATTCCCCGTGCTTATCTCCCTCATCTGTCTTCTTCTTCCGGTGCGATCGAACCATCACGGAACATGCCGTAGGAAAACTATCCCCATTTCCATCTTCTATTTATCCACCCCTCTCGCAGTGCCTTGTGGCCTTTCCCTTCACTTACCTGTAAGGAACTGCACCCAGCTCACACACAAACAGACCCCTTCTTCCATGGTGTCGTTTCAGTTAAACCACCATTGACAGTTCCCAGTCACAAAAGACCAACAGCATCATCCAATAAACAACAATCGAACCGCCACGGGTTACCGGCCGAGCCAGAGGGAACGGTTCAGGGGAACCCCCGCGCTAACGGATCTAACCTAGCGCTGCCCGGGCCCGGTTTGATTAGCAGTCGATCGCCTCAGCCGGTCAGAATCCTTGCCTGTCTGTCCACTAGGCTGTGTCGCATCCTGGTCCGTCCTCTTAGTTGCTAGTTGCTCCTGTCTGCCTGCCTTGCCTTGCCTCGACCGGCTTATTTATGGGGCCTGCCGTCCGACACCTCCTCCACAGATTACCGACAAGCTTCTCACTCTACTACGCCAACCACCATACTTGACTGTGAGTTCTATTTATCTCTTTATGCTTGAAATTTTTTTTATTAGTGTGATTCGTGAGAGTTGGTTAACGTTCGTTACAGATCGTCACCACACCCATCTTCACTTTACGTCCAACCACGAATCAATAAACCAACCATGGTCCCCATCACCCAGCACGAGAGACCCAAAACCGACTATGAGCGATGGCTCGAAGCCCAAAACGGAGGTGCCCCGGCCGGCGATCAAGCACAGTATCATCCGCCCAGTCCCGATTCCGACAAGGCAGACACATCGTCGGCTGAGTCGGGGAGTGGATATAAACACTCACATGGGATGTTCTTGCATCACACAAGTCATCACCAGAGTGCAGCTACGGCTCACGGACGTGGTGTTGGCGTAGGTGGACTGCATGGACCGCATGGACTGTTACATGGGGTTCTTCCGGGTTACTACGGGATGGTGGCGATGAAGGTGGCGGTGCTGGCACTGTTGGTGGTGGTTTTCCTACGGGTGGGAAGATTTTTGAAGGGGAAGCGCTGTCGTCAATGTCAGGGTCAGGGTCCAAGGACACCGCAGGTCGGGGGTCTTGGGATGGATTTGGAGAAGAAGTATTTGGTTTGACCTGGAGGGTCTGTGACACTAGTTGGGTTTGAGGCTGTGGTGCGTTTCCGGGCTTTGGAGTTGGGCGTTTTAGCACGATTATGTACACAATCTTGTACTATTTGTTGGTTGTTTCTTTTGATATCCCATGCTTGGTTTGTTTCTAACCGCGCGCCAAGATCATAAGCACTTTGTTAGAATGAAAGTGTTGGTTCATTGGCGTTCTTAGGTTTAAGTGGACTTGATTTCACTCTATTCATAGACTGCTGCTGCTGCACATGGTCGGAGAAACCACCCCTTTGACAGGGTCCAACCCCCCGAGAAAGCCCACGAACAGGACAAAATAACCCGCACCTCCACCCAGGGCCATGCAGGTGCTGGCTGGTCTGGCTGGTCCAACTAATAGTCCAATATTCGCGACGGCGCGCTTAGACTTCGCTCGACCTTCCTAGTGGGGATAGTCCAGCGCCTTAAAAGTCCGAACCGCCGAGTTAGTACTCGGGTCCCCCACCCAGCATCAAGTCGAACATTCAACGACGCGATCTACTGACCCACGCAATATCAGCTTGTCCGTCCGATTGGACACAGAAGCGCTTTCCTGGGGGTAATTATAAATGTAATTTCCCGGGTGGACAGAGAGTGGTTTCTCCGGTCAGGTACTGCTGGAACTGAATCAGGAGGATTGGCTACTGCGGGGCTAATGCTTCGACGCCCTAATTTTAGGGGTGTTTGATGCAGGGTTGCACCACTGGGATCTTTCGTTGTCGTTGGGGGTTCTTTGACTGGTGATGGAGATATGAGTTAATGATGAGGTCGAAGGATATTCGTACAGATTGTATTGTTGATTTGACAAATGGTGTGTATACTGTACAGGCCATGTAAATATCTGTTCTAATTTATTTCGAGTGCCGGCTCGGGACCGACCAAATGGGGTCGGGAGGCTGCGGTGGGGGTCCTTCTTACTTCTTGCTTCTTACACTCTACGCACTAAACTCGAAGCATGGAGGGATCAGCATCTTCCAATCTTGTCCACTACTACTTACGCTAACGGCTTATCTGCTTCTGACAGTGGCCAGGATCATGAAGCACTCCTTGGTAGGGTCGTGCCATCACAGCGCCTGATAGTATGTCACAGAATCTCCATTCCGCCCTACCACATACAGACAATCTCACCCAACTCACCACTATAATGAAAGCTCACTCAAGTCTCCAGAACCCACAACCGGCAATCTTTTCATCCGGATTTCACCTTCCTCGCTTTCCGCCGTAATCATCAAAGATAGCCATTGGCCGAGCAAGACCTGGGCGCTTACTGGCCTCCAAATGACCAACACCCACCCCATACAAAGAACCTACGAGTTTAGCCGCCGAGCAGCATCAGAAACAGCCATGCATTTAAAGCAAGCCATCTCCATCTCCAGGATCACTCCATCGCCATGATACCCCCAGCGTCAACTAGACCTCTCTGCCAAGCCGTATCCCAGCTCCATCCGGTCAGGTTGACCCTACAAACCACATACTACCCTCTTTACCTATACCCTTCGTTCTCCTCTTTGCAAAAGGAACCCGTCCAAAATGTCCAACAATGACCTAGCCCCTCCATTCGGCTACCCCCTCCGACGAAACGGCTCTTGTTATGACACCGAAAACGACTGCGGCACCACCTGGGGCCCCTACCACGAATGCTGTCCCAAGGGCGCCACCTGCGCCCCAGGAAATTGCTGTCACTCGGCCGCAGCGTGCGGTAACATTCTCAAACTTGACCCTCATTGCGGAAATACATCAGCAGTCTTGTATTACGAAAACGACTATTTCTGCTGCGCGAACGGGACCGATGCCTTTGCTTGGGTATCGGATGGGTTCGTCGGGTGTACGAATAATGTTGCAACATTGGGGTCTGAGTTTAGTTTGTTGTCGCCGGTTTCAACGACACAGAGTTCAGCCAGTTCAAGCAGTATGTGATGTGATGCATGATGTTCAGTGATGGACTGGGTTCTGATGGATATGCTATAGCTCCAATTGCCTCGACGACGTCACATGCATTCACAACTACAGCGGCAACTACTACATCGATACCGCTCCAACCTACAACGACATCCCCACCCACTACGACATCTACACCAATGTCATCCCCTGAATATAATATTCCTGCCATCGTGGGTGGGGTAGTAGGTGACGTTGCCGGCTTGGGTCTTATCATCTGTCTCATTTGGTTTCTGCTCTACCGCCGGGCGAAGGCAATACGACAGCAGCAATCAAGTCAACCCATGTCGTTCCTTGGCCCAAGAGCCAAGAATTATCATCCCACGGAGCTACAAGCTGATGCTCACCCGGCTGTCCCGGAATTGGCGCCCAGTCTGCCTGTCTATGAAATGGGGTCCCGACCACCGGTCTATGAATTGGCTTCTAGACCGCCTGTGTATGAATTAGCATCGGACACGTTGATTGAGGGTGGGAGGATATGACTATTCCCTACATTGTATATATAGTAGATAGATAGATGGGGAATCCCGGTCTAGCCCGAAGTGGCACCGTCGCCTTGGCAAAATGGAGGTCGCACGGACCCCCGGGGTGAGTTCTCCATCCTTCCGTACCTTTAAGGCACATACAACTGGTCCTCTTCTCCTCCGCAACTTGGGGCGCCATGGCTATCCCCTGGAATATTCGCGGGTCGGCGTCCCAGCTTTTCTACCAAGATAAATCTTCTTCTCAATGCCAGGCCTTACTTGCAATTTCCGGGGTGCCTCATCCAGACCGATCTGTCCTCGGCGCCTTTGTCAACGATGCATTCGACCCTCAAGCTGCAGCTCGCTACTTTCTCCAGACAACGAGTACGGAAGATGTATCCAAAGAGCCTAAGAAAACAGTGCCCCAGTTCTTGGCTGCATGGAAAGTTCTTATCGAGAAATGTGGGTACTAGCCATCCTCGGCGACAAATGCCTACCATTTACTACCGGATAATGATTTGTTTGTGAAACTGTAGTTCGGCCGACTCCGACCATCTCGATATCCAGCGAGACAAAGATGCTCATCTATGATCGAGATGGAGGATACTGTTGTCTTACGCGCACACCATTCAAGTCGTACCAGGATCACGGTCTAGAATACGTTCACATCGTACCACCTTGTGTGTTCACGGATCCCGATCTCTCAGAAGGAGTACGTACCATACAACCACCATGCTAAAGTAGCTAACACATGTGCCAGACCTTTCTATTAGAATTGCTGAGAAATTTTCTACCAAGAGAGCTCCTGGGGGCTGTCTGCGATCCGCGCCGTCAGGAAATAGAGAGGCTTGATAATCTTTGGTTATTATCTACGCTGGCCTTTGATGCGGTGAAGAAAGGGGAGGTATTCTTGAGGACTCAAAGCTGGGGAGACCATTCTGATACGACACGAAAGCAGCCAGTAAGTCGGTATTCTTAAGATGAGGTCCTGGCACTAATTTTCCCCAGTATACTGTCGGTACCAACTTCTTCAAACCCCAAAACCCCGCCTGCTTTCCTCTACTGAAGAGGGAAACGCTCGTTGAGAACCGGACCCCTCAGCTGACTTTGATCCCCAATGAACAACTGCTTGGTATTCACGCTCGCTTCTCAAAACCATTGGCGTGGATAGAAACCAAAAAGTACATGGATTCATCGCTGCATGGTGCTAGAAATAAGCCCCCGGGTCGTTACCATCGGCTGATCCAACATATCCTGGAAAGGAACTGCTTTCTTCCATCATTGGTGTCGCCGTTCTTCCCACTTTTCCAAAAGTGTTGGAAGACACTCCCTTCTTCAATTCGCGCATCCGTTTACGACGGACTACGATGGATCGGCCTGCGTCTCTACGGCGGCCCCCTTTCAGATACCGTCTTCAAGTTACCGTTTGGCTTGATTTTGCGACGGGGATCGCCAACCTTGGTGCCGAAGTTTCATGCGGAAACTCACACGCTCCAGATGGTAGAACGATCAACTTCTATTCCTGTCCCACGAGCAATTGATGTCCTAGAAACCCCTCGTTTTGGTTACATGCTCATGACATGTGTTCCTGGGCATCCAATTGGTCAAATGCTGGATTCAATGAGCGACGAGCAAGTGAAACAGGCTGTGGTTGACCTGAAGAGATATGTTTCCGAACTTCGGCAAATCCCAAGCAACAATACCGAGTTTCGAATCTGCAATTCTCAAGGAAGCGGTATTTTAGACTGGCGACTTGCTGATAGTCAACGCGAAGAGCTACGATTCAAAAGCGAAGCTGATTTCAACAAGTATCTAACAGATCCTTTTTGGGAGGACATTCGAAGACGTGCTGCAAAATCACATAACATTCAGCATCAGATCGTCTTTACTCATGCCGACCTAAACCCGGGGAATATCCTTGCGGACAACGGCAGGATAACTGGTATTGTCGATTGGGAAAATGCCGGCTGGTTTCCGGAGTATTGGGAGTACACAAAGGCACACTTCAGCGTTCGAGGCTTCCAGCGTTGGCTCGCTGATGTCATCGACGAGGTATTTGAGGGCTATCGTGATGAATTGCTGGTGGAAAATATGCTGTCTGATCTTTCGGGCCCATTCTAGTCGAATATCATCGTTTTGTACATTGATGGGTCGCAGTACAGCTTCTGGGATCTATCTTGAACTCGTGGAAGGTGTTCTTACGTTGCTCCTAACTGTATTGCCTACAGAGACAGCCAATATAGCATCAGATCTATTCGGTTACTCAACAACAACTTTATCTGGAATTGGTGGATCACCCAAATATTGAATCCTCCCGGAACCCGTGGCAGTTCTTACTGATACCCATCAATGGGTACGGACAAAACATGGCTATCAGACGGGTGTATCAGATGATCATATGAAAATGAGGCGACTAAGTGCTGGAATTTTCGACTCGAGCAGCAAATCGTCTCTTTTCGACCGCGACTAGGTTGTCCGTGGCATAGGTCACCAGAATAGCCTCAAGCTCTGAGATTGTGTGCTTAAGCTCGATTATCCGGTTGTTCTGCAGCGCTATAATGGCGTCCTTGACCCAGACTCGACAGGAGAACGCCTCCCCCGTGTTAGGGGAGGGTTTGCCATCCGCAGCCACGCCGTTCAAAATATTTGTGCAGGTTTCCCAGGTGCTCTGGTCGATGGAGCCAATTCTGTACGCCAAAACAAGACTCATCGAATACGGGACATTGGCGCTTGGCTTTGGGTCCAGCTTCCACCCTCCTTCGCGGTCTGTCGCATGCCAGATACGCCCGGCGGGTGTATTTGTGGGGATAAAGATACCCCAGTGGAAGCCCGGCTGAGCGCCACGGCTGCTCAGTAACACATATATCGAGTAGTTTTTATATTGCGCAGCGACGGTGTCGAGAGATGAGCTGGACATTTTATCCGTATAAAGAGGCTTCCGTCAATATCTAAGGAAAGACATTCAACATATCCAAATGAATATACCAAGTACAGGCAAAACTTCAATCATCATTAAGGGGACGGGGGGAAGAAGAAAAGCCAAACGCTGATGAGGGGGTGAGAAGGAGAGGGGGTCAAACCTCCATGTAACCTTCTCCCAATCCAGTTTACCTCTGTGTCCCGCACACCCTCCTCTGTTGGTGATGGCGATGGTGATTGGTGGCTCGAGCCCCCTCGGTACTGTCTCCAGGGCTATCATGCTCTCTCCTCTCTCTCTCTCTGTCTGTCTGTCTGTGTGTGTGTGTGTAAGGCTGAGAGGGGTATACGATGTGGATATGTTATGATACTACTATGTAAATGCAAGGGTACGAGTCCTCAACCACCCCTACATTTCCAGTAACCAAAAAACACACTGAAAGAATAAATATGATACCGTTTTCAACCCCTCCCAGCCTGTGATCCGTCTCTCCCCCTCCGAAAGATCAATGAACTCACCCACACCTTTCCACTCCAACGAGTCAGATCAACCCACCCCACGGACCACCTCATCTTAGAGTTATGGTTAGACCGTTTCCGCACATACACCGACCAAGGGACTAGTAGGTACATCACCTAGGTAAGGTATCAAGCCATGCGAAGGGCCTCTATTTAAGATATAATTCAAGTCGAAGTAATGCTGCAGATGGAATCCAAGCTGGAGGACAACATGTGGAGATAAGGTATAAATCTCGATAATTAGACCATACTCTGCAACAAGTGAGAGCTACTTCCAGGGTAAGAAGTTAGCAATCAATCTACTTCGATGATTATTTTGTATGAAATGAATGTTGGCCTACCTCAAGTGCAGCCCAGAACTCTTTTGTCTCCATAGCATGACAATCAGACATCTGATCGCCTAAGGAATCGAACCAGAAGACCTGATTCTCCCGGTGGGTAACTCTGGGTGTCCTCCTGCATCAGCCTGACCATATGCTCTTCCCTCCTTCCATCTCACCTGGATCAAATCTCGCCAGATCACCCAGAAGGGCTATCATGGAGCCATTGTTGATAGTAGATACCAAAAGGTCAGCTAAGTTCTTTCTTGAAGTCCCGATCCATAATGCTGTAGCAGGGATCGATCCGTAGCATTGGAAAAAGAGATGGTTACCGCACCTGCCTCATTCAGCCTATTGTACGAGAGAGCGACATAACGTGTGTATTGTCACCTAAGCTGCGTCTAGTATTCTTGCATGAAGCTGGATAATACGGTATACGCCCCAGGTCGGAAGGAAGGAAAGGAAAGGCCCTTGTCGTGGTTGAATCAGACCTTTCATTCTCTCTCCTGGCTCGTGCACTGCCAAAGCGTACCGTCTATATATCAGGTATGCAGAGGGGGTGATGGAATAACGGTCTCTTGGTTTTATTTGTTGGATAGAAGTCTAAATGGCTTCATACAAAGGATCATTCGATGTATGATGAAGTAGCTCTAGTTTGGGATGTTGACGGGCCAGTGTCGCTAAGTTGAGGAACTGGCATCAATAAGGGGTTATGAAATAGTAGGTTGTAGTCACAATGGATCGATCAACAGAGACAATATAATAGTAGGCGTCACGAGCAACCCATATGGAAATAGATCTCTGGCACTTGATACACGGGTATTTTGATGGAATACCCTTTCCAATTGCACCCCAAAAGAACGTTCGTATACGGAGGTATGTGTAGTTGATATGCATTCATTCCCATTATTCTAAGAATAATCTAAGAATAAGAGCATAACATCACAAGTTGGGGCACTGCCATAGAGAAACCACCCGTCTTATCAAGCAAACAAAAGTATACTCGCTCTAATCGGTCATAGTACATACATTAACATACAGACATGCATACATACATATATATCGTGGCCGGCATCAGTCTCATGCGCTTGAAAGCAAGGCAGCTCAGGAGGTCGCAGCACTCGTGCGCGCCGCGTTGCTCAGCTGCCGGTGATACGAGCCGATCGTTTGAAAGCCCCTGCTGCGGTTAGTATCTGCTTCCCCGAGAGTGAAACGGCACGGAAGGCACCCACCTCGCCAGGTCAAATCCACTCCCCTCGTCGTCCTCATCCTCAGGCCGCTCGTTGGTCTCCGGCTCTCGTCGGGGCGGTAACCGTCCCGTCGTCATACCGTTGGAGGTTCCGGGCTTGCTTGGACTCGCCAGGTTCGGCGGCGGCGGGCTGCTGCTGGGGATACTGCCCAGCCCGTCGCCTGGGTCACCTTTCAGCGGACTCATGTCTGGGACAGGTCGGGCAGGTGTGCTGCCAATGTCCGCAAACTTCCAGAACTGGGCCGGTGAACTCATCGGCATGAACTTGGACGGAATCTGCGCCGTGCTGGGCGGTGGCAGGCGTGGCTGCTGGCGCTGCGGCGCCGGAGTGATCATGGACGACGGTCCGTCATCATAGTACGACGACGACAGCACAGGGGGCGACCCTGCTGCATTGTCGGATAGTCCGTAGGTCCGGCTCAGACTGGTGCCGTTGCTGGTATTCTTGGTCGCCGATCGGGTGGGGAGCGGAGATGGCTCCTCATAGTCGCGCGTGTGTGGAGGGCGCAGCGGGGCACCCACTGCACCGTTTCGGGTGGCACGAGAGCCTCGTTCGGGGGTATACGCCTCCACTGGGGCCACCGGGAATGAGCTGAATCCCGGTGAGGATACAGGCGGGGACTTCTTGGTGGCCGAGAACACTGCCTCCATGCCGTTGGCTCCCCGCGCGGCCGGATCCCTTGTCGCAGGGGATGACGGGGCGGACGACTGCGTACCCTTGCGCAACTGCTTCTTCCAGTACTCCTCGCGATATTCGGGGGCAATCTGCCATTTCATGCCTTTGCCGGGCTCGTCCGTCCTCCGGGGGACCTTCTGGAATGCTTTGTTCAAAGAAAGATTGTGACGGATGGAATTCTGCAAGGGGTGATTGTCAGCCATGTAATTCCAAAGAGGGAAGAGACAAGCCCACCTGCCAGCCGCTCTGGGAATGGCGGTAAAAGGCGTATTTGTCCATGATCCAGTTGTAGATGCTGTTCAGCGTAAGCTTCTCCTCCTCGCTCGAGAAGATGGCTTGCGCAATCAGCGTCGCATAACTGTAGGGCGGCTTCAAGTCCTTGGCGGCGTCCTTGCTGTAATCAATCTCCTCTGTACTCTCCATCATCATCCCGCGGTTATATAGCGGCGACTGCTTAGCCGTGCGCGCGCCCACTGTGTCGGGCGACCGCGGCGGCGGCGTCACCTGGCGCTTGAGGAATTGCGGTGCGGGTGCCAGCGATGGCGGGCCAGTCGTGGCCGGGGCTGCGTCGGCAGCCGTCGAGGAGGGCTGGGGATGAGCGTGCTGGGAGGCATCCCAGGTACCCACATCTTCCTCCCCGTTCGCCAGACGTTGGGAGCGCTCGATAAAGCTGGGATGAATATTGGCCTTGTCTCCGGGGGTGACGAACATCATCTGGGTATTAGCGATCTCGATAATATCGCCGCAAGAAAGAATAGCATCGGTGCCGCGCTTGAGGATCACATTATTCAGGCGCACGCCGTTGCGCCCGTTGACGCGGATGTGCCAAGACGCTGTCTCCTCGCCGTCGTAGAAGATCTCGGCGTGCAGGCGCGACACAAACTTGCTCGGGCCCAAATCCACATTGACCTCGGGTAGTGCGCGGGCAGCGATCGTAACCGGGCTCGACTGTTCATCCAGCTTCTGTTCGCGGTCGGGCTCGCGACCGATGTTGACATGGAGAGTCTTAACGTAGTAGGTCCAGTTGCGGCCGGCGATCTTGGCGTAGGCGCGGATGCTCTGGTTGTTCTCGGTTTTCGCGTTCGAGTGGTCGCGGAGCACGCGTACCTCTTCCCGAGCGGCGTCCAGATACGAAATCACCATATCCACCAAGTCCTGATTTTCCGACAGTTCCTGTTCTGGGGACGAGTCATCTGCTTCGTCGGCAGATTCGGGTTTGATGGAGCGAGGATGGGGGGAGGCGCGGTGGTCCATCTAAATAAGTCAACGGCTGGTCTCGTACACGGCGGTCATCCTGTATGCAACCCACCTTGCGCTTCTTGTTCGACGGCCGCGTCGGGGATGAATCCGGTGCCTCCGCGTCCGAAGTTTCCTGCAGCTGGATTTCCTTGCGCCGCGCGCGACGGCGGTTGGAAAGCGGCATGGTGGTGGCTAGTCGAGCGATCGCGAGAGCTGGATCAGCGCAGAATGTCGTCTATTCGGGATTTCCGGAATCTGGTCGCCAGGGTGGTTGTCTAACGAGTCTAATCTAGGGCGGTGGTGGTGGTGTTGACGTCGAGTCGCAGGATTTCCGCGGCGAAACCAGACGGACGGTGATGAGCTCAGCCGAACAGAAAATCACAGACGAATGATCGGCGAGAGCGACGGACAACCGAAAAAGGGAAGGCGAAAATGGAGGACAAACCGGGATGGCAGGTCCAGGCAGAAAGACCCAAGGGAACGTTTGCCACCGCGCTCGACGGACGCGAACTGGAAGTGGCTGACTGATGCAGACGGACGGACTCGAGGGCCAGCCACCGCGGGGACACGGCGGTGGTGGTGATGGTTCGTGTGGATGTAGATCGCCGGGGAGGTTGGTGCGACGACAAAGGGATTGTGTGGTGGGTAGGTGAGACACGGGGTTGGGGGTTGGGGAAAAGTGATGATAATGGTGGTGGTGGTGGTGGTGGTGGTGGTGAATGGTGGTGGGAAAAGTAGAAAGAAGAGAAAAGGGAAAGAGGAAGAAGAAAGACGAGACGATGACGCTTGAGCAAAAAGAAGCAGCAGCAGCAGCAGCAGCAACAGCGCGAGCAGACAATCAAATCAATGCTCGCAACGCGCCGCGGTTTGGCCAGCCAAGCCAGGCGTGACCGCTTCCGTGTGGGGAAAAGAAATCAATCACTACTAAGTAAAGAGTAAGTAAAGTGTAGTGTAAAAGACTGCTTCATTCTTCCCTCAACCCTTACAATTAAGGTTGATCGCCCTCCGATCTATTTCATTCTTGTCTTTCTCCTTCCTCCCTTTTCCCTCCGACCCCGTTTAATATGCAAGCGCTGCATCCCAATCCGCCTGCAGGTGGAGGCTGCGCACCGCCGTAAAC